GTATGATAACTGAACATGAGGAGAGAAGTTCAGTATTAGTTGATTTACTTTTCACTAGGGCTGAGAATACACCGGAATCTTCAGGAAATCTATTCGAAAAAGAGACAAATAAATGTGAATACATCGGATGAGTAGGTACTTACACTTCAGCAACAACTAATTTAAATGAATTTCCTGACCGTTCTCGGCGGAAATCTGGATTGTCAGGAATTTCTTTGCCATTTCTGAGCCAAGTCAATTCAAGATCATCTTCAGTATCTAGAACGAAGCACATGCTGCACCAATGACGTGTATTCGTCAAATAAATAGTACTGACCATCACATGCACACTCAAGCGTCAATGAATCACTTTCCATTAAATTTTGAGATTTGATATATTTAACAAACTTTGCTTTAGGTTCAACTGGTTTTTCTTCAGCTGGCTCTTCGACTTCTTTTTTCTCTGGTTCAACTTTTGGTTGTTCTTCTTCTTTCTTGGGTTCAGGTTCAGCTGGTGCAGGATCTTCAACTTTAGGTTGAACTTCTTCGGTCTAAACAAACGCACGTCGGCGATCAGATAGCCATTGACATGTTTCATGCTTACTTTCTTCTTTTCTTCAGCGGGTTTCTTGGCTGGTTCTTTCTTTTCTTCAACTTTCTTTGCCGGTTCGGGTTTTTTCAAAGCGGCAGCCCCAACTGGTTTCTTTTCAGGTACGGCTGATTTTTTCGCTGGTGTAGCTTTTCCAGCGGCAGGTTTAGCTGGTTCGGGTTCGGGTGCTGGAGCAGGTGCAGATTCACTACCCACTGGTGCTTCAACTGGTGTGGGTTCTGTCGAGATGTTTGCGCTCTCGGGTACTTCAGCTACAGCTTCTGATGGAAGTTTCTCTTCGACTTTAGTAGCTGTTTCACTGGCAGCACCTTCAGTTGGTTCAGGAACAGGAGCATCTGTAGCAACGGATTCTTCACTAGCTGCTTGTGGCTCAGCTTTAACAGAAGTTTCATCTTCTTCAGCCAATGATGCAACATAGGCATCTTCGTTTTCACCTGGTACATGTGCTACAATATGAGAAACGTGTAGAAACTCTTGGAAAATAGATACCATTCAAAATACCTTTAATTGTTAATTGTGCACTTGATGTGTCCGAGCCTTCATCGTTGGTGGCTCGGCAGATATATTCTCCGTTGTCGTCTACTTTAACTTTTTTGATAATTAATGTTGCTACATCATCATCATAAGTTTCATGAATTCGAGGTTCAGTAGTCAACGACTAAAACACAAGCGATGATTTAATGACAAAGTAGTTTTCCAACGAAATTTACTTCGCCATTCTTTAACCATTCGATCTTTGGTGTTGGTTTACCCTTAACTGTACAACTTAATTTTGCTGTTGAACCTGAGAGCGAAAATCGATGGCTTATACGAATAAAAGAAATATAAATGTCATTACCTTCGAACATAGTAATATCGGTAAGCTGTTCACTGAATTTGGGTGGATCTCGACGTTCTTTACGCTCTAAAAAGTATTTTGATTCAGTTAGATTAAAGGAAATTCGACTTTGTTTTTCTAAATGATGTTACTTGGTTTTTCAACGTCAAGCGTATCTTGGTGAGCAGGTCTTTCACTGGCACCTAATTTATCGCGCCAGCTTGAATCTCTGCCCGATGATCCGAGAAGTGATGGTGAACGAGCTCGACTTGCACCTCGTGAAGTATCACCATCTCCTGGACGCATCGAATGTCCGCGTCGTGTACGACGGACTTCTGCAAAACAAAGAAACTCAACCAGCTGTTCTTATGCACGTGTTTTACATACCTTCGACATGCATGAAACACGATGTTTCATCACTACCTAATGGATTGGTAGCACCGCAACGATACATAGCAGTATCTGACGTTTCACATGCTGTAATTTCTAATGTGCATACACCATGTACATAAGATGTCAGATAATGTTCATCTGTATCGCTTAATTGAGTACGTTCTTTAAACCAGTGCACCTGTTGACAGATGAAACATCGCAAGGTGAATATAAAGAAGAAAAAGAATTTACTTTTGGCGTTGGTTTGCCGCTAACACAGCAGATTAATTTCACACCAACGCCTTCTTGAATAAGACGTGGTCGAAGTTTAAATGTAAATACAGGCTTGGCATCGGGTTCACTCCATAGATCAAACTCCATCTCTTGAATCGGCCGTCGAGGGCCAAGTTCACGATGCTCAATTTGTGGTGTAACAGGTAAAGCTAGGCGAATAAAGACAAAAATGATATTAAACGAACGTACGATCGACATTTTGGCGAAATATTTGCATTTAAAGAGATTTACTAGTTTAATTCTTACAGTAGGGAGAGACTGCATAAGCTCGACCAGTATATCGACGGTAGAATAAACGAAATAACGCTGATGTCTTCGATTTCGCATAGCGTTTTGGATGCTGTGAATAATTATTCATCATCCCTTCACAGTGACGACAAAAACAATATTAATAGGAGGAAAATCGACTAAGATAGACTATCGAATTTGTTCGTGTCACACATGTTGATATTGTTTTCCTTCATACTGCTTCGATTAGATCGTATATTCCGCCAAGAAACCGCACAGACATTATTCCCGATTCTCCTGTCGGTATCGATACCATACGAATGATATCATCAATGTGCACCGACATCACCCACCCGGTTTATTTCTTTCTGTTTGTTCTATCGAAGGATATTCCTGACAGTCACAATCGGTAATATATGACAACAATGCCAATATTGCTATCCATATCATTAATTCTTTTCCTTTCTCTTCTGTGCGAGAAAAAAACTGTCTGTAAACAATCTTTCATGATATCACGGATATTAGTGCACCGAATTCCTTTTTTTTTTTATACATGCAGCCGCCTGTTCTGTGTCAATCAATAGACAATCGTCGCGAAAAACTGAACTGGAAAAGATGAAGATCTTTGTCTCTTTACGATATCGATACGATACAAGAGAAAGATAAACAAGGCCAGAAAGTCCCATATGTGTAGACAAATCTGTACTACATCTGTTTGATATTTAACAAAAAAACTAGTCTGGGAAAGTCTATGATACTTACATTCAACCGTTAAAAAGACGGCATATTCTTTTTCGCCATAACTATTCGATGCACGCACAATGTATTCGCCTTTGTCGTCCTGTGTGCAGCGTTTGATTTCGAGTTTATAATTGTTTCGGTCGTATTTCTTCGAATGCTTGGTTGATTGACGAATTTCTGCATTGTCTCGATGCCTANTGAACATGAGGAGAGAAGTTCAGTATTAGTTGATTTACTTTTCACTAGGGCTGAGAATACACCGGAGTCTTCAGGAAATCTATTCGAAAAAGAGGGAAATAAGTGTGAATACATCGGATGAGTAGGTACTTACACTTCAGCAACGACTAATTTAAATGAATTTCCTGACCGTTCTCGGCGGAAATCTGGATTGTCAGGAATTTCTTTGCTATTTCTGAGCCAAGTCAATTCAAGATCATCTTCAGTACCTACAACGAAGCGCATGCTCAACCAATGAGAGGTATTCATCTGATAAACAGTACTGACCATCGCATGCACACTCAAGTGTCAATGAGTCACTTTCCATTAAATTTTGAGATTTGATATATTTAATAAACTTTGCTTTAGGTTCAACTGGCTTTTCTTCAGCTGGCTCTTCGACTTCTTTTTTCTCTGGTTCAGCTTTTGGCTGTTGTTGTTCTTCTTCTTTCTTGGGTTCGGGTTCAGCTGGTGCAGGTTCTTCAACTTTAGGTTGAACTTCTTCGATCTACACAAACACACGTCGACGATCAGATAGCCATTGATATGGTTCATGCTTACTTTCTTCTTTTCTTCAGCGGGTTTCTTAGCTGGTTCTTTCTTTTCTTCAACTTTCTTTGCCGGTTCGGGTTTTTTCAAAGCGGCAGCTCCCACTGGTTTCTTTTCAGGTACGGCTGATTTTTTTGCTGGCGCAGCTTTTCCAGCGGCAGGTTTAGCTGGTTCAGGTTCGGGTACTGGTGGTGGTGTTGGTTCGGCTGCTGGAGCAGGTGCAGGTTCACTACCCACTGGTGCTTCAACTGGTGTGGGTTCTGTCGAGATGTTTGCGCTTTCGGGTACTTCAGCTACAGCTTCTGATGGAAGTTTCTCTTCGACTTTAGCAGCTGTTTCACTGGCAGCACCTTCAGTTGATTCAGGAACAGTAGCATCTGTAGCAACAGATTCTTCACTGGCAGCTTGTGGCTCAGCTTTAACAGAAGTTTCATCTTCTTGAGCCAACGACGCAACATAGGCATCTTCATTTTCACCCGGTACATGTGCTACAATATGAGTAACGTGGAGAAATTCTTGGAAAAGAGGTACCATTCAGAATACCTTTAATTGTTAATTGTGCACTTGATGTGTCCGAGCCTTCATCATTGGTAGCTCGGCAGATATATTCTCCGCTGTCGTCTACTTTAACTTTTTTGATAATTAATGTTGCTACATCATCATCATAAGTTTCATGGATTCGAGATTCAGTAGTCAAGGACTAAAACACAAGTGATGATTTAATGACAAAGTAGTTTTCAAACGAAATTTACTTCGCCATTCTTTAACCATTCGATCTTTGGTGTTGGTTTACCCTTAACTGTACAACTTAATTTTGCTGTTGAACCTGAGAGCGAAAAGCGATGAGTTATACAAATACAAGGAATGTAAATGTCATTACCTTCGAACATAGTAATATCGGTAAGCTGTTCACTGAATTTGGGTGGATCTCGACGTTCTTTACGTTCTAAAAAGTATTTTGATTCAGTTAGATGAAAGAAAATTCGACTTTCTTTTCTAAATGATATTACTTGGTTTTTCAACGTCAAGCGTATCTTGGTGAGCAGGTCTTTCACTGGCACCTAATTTATCGCGCCAGCTTGAATCTCTGCCCGATGATCCGAGAAGTGATGGCGAACGAGCTCGACTTGCACCTCGTGAAGTATCACCATCTCCTGGGCGCATCGAATGTCCACGTCGTGTACGACGAACTTCTGCAAAAAAAAGACACTCAACCAGCTATTCTTATGCACGTATTTACATACCTTCGACATGCATGAAACACGATGTTTCATCACTACCTAATGGATTGGTAGCACCGCAACGATACATAGCAGTATCTGACGTTTCACATGCTGTAATTTCTAACGTGCATACACCATGTACATAAGATGTCAGATAATGTTCATCTGTATCGCTTAATTGAGTACGTTCTTTAAACCAGTGCACCTGTTGATAGATGAAACATCACAAGGTGAAAATAAATACGAAAAAGAGTTTACTTTTGGCGTTGGTTTGCCGCTGACACAGCAGATTAATTTCACACCAACGCCTTCTTGAATAAGACGTGGTCGAAGTTTAAATGTAAATACAGGCTTGGCATCGGGTTCACTCCATAGATCAAACTCCATCTCTTGGATCGGTCGTCGAGGACCAAGTTCACGATGCTCAATTTGTGGTGTAACAGGCAAAGCTAGGCAAATTAAGACAAAAATGATATTAAACGAACGTATAATGGACCTTTTGGGAAAATATTTGCATTTAAGGGAATTCACTAGTTCAATTCTTACAGTAGGGAGAGACTGCATAAGCTCGGCCAGTATATCGACGGTAGAATAAACGAAATAACGCCGATGTCTTCGATTTCGCATAGCGTTTTGGATGCTGTGAATAATTATTCATCATCCTTTCACAGTGACGACAAAAGCAATATTAATAGGAGGAAAATCGACTAAGATAGGCTATCGAATTTGTTCGTGTCACACATGTTGATATTGTTTTCCTTCATACTGCTTCTATTAGATCGTATATTCCGCCAAGAAACCACACAAACATTATTCCCAATCCTCCTGTCGGTATCGATACCATACGAATGATATCATCAATGTGCACCGACACCACCCACCCGGTTTATTTCTTTCTGTTTGTTCTAGCGAAGGATATTCCTGACAGTCACGATCGGTAATATATGACAACAATGCCAATATTGATATCCATATCATTAATTCTTTTCCTTTCTCTTCTGTGCGAAAAAAGCTCTGTCTGTAAACAATCTTTCATGATACAAAAGATATTAGTGCACTGAATTTCTTTTTTTTTATACATGCAACCGTCTGTTCTGTGTCAATCAATAGGCAGTCGTCGCGAAAAACTGAACTGGAAAAGATGAAGATCTTTGTCTCTTTACGATATCGATACAATACAAGAGAGAGATAGACAAGGCCAGAAAGTCACATACGTGTAGACAAATCGGTACTACATCTGTTTGATATTTATCAAGAAACTCTTCTAGGAAAGTCTATGATACTTACATTCAACCGTTAAAAAGACGGCATATTCTTTTTCGCCATAACTATTCGATGCACGCACAATGTATTCGCCTTTGTCGTCCTGTGTGCAGCGTTTGATTTCGAGTTTATAATTGTTTCGGTCGTATTTCTTCGAATGCTTGGTTGATTGACGAATTTCTGCATTGTCTCGATGCCTAAAATTAGTCAGTAGTTATGTACAATGATATATCATGGTTTGATATCGAATATGATGCTTACCAGGAGACGACAGGTGGCGAAACAGCAATAATACGACAATCAAATTCAGCATTGTTACCTTCTAATACATGAGCATTGCGAGGACGAAGGATAAATCTTGGAGCAGCTTCTCGACGATCTGAAATTGATTGTCTTCTAATCATGAAGAGATGAAAATATCAAAACTGTACCCCAGAAGCTGCTGTATATATTGAATTCTTGAGGTCTATTCTTTCGGAGTGAACTCCAATTAGCCATGCGGCCGAGGCCGATAGTTGGATCTGGATATCCAGCCTAAATGAAATATTGTCAAGTTTGTTCTAGAATTTCAGTCGACATACGTATCGAGCTCGAGTACGTTGACGAATATCGTCGAATCGACCGGATGGTATTCGTGAATCGAGATCAGAACGATCTTCGCGTAACCATGGATGGTCAAGTGCATCATGAACTGTCATTCGTGCACTAAAGTATACGAGAGTGACACATAAAATTAGAATTAGTCTTGAAGTCGAGTACGTACTTTCGACTTTTCAATAAAAGTTTTTTGATAAAATCTTTTCCATCGTCAGAGATATTACCAAAGACTTCGTTGGGAAAGCGTACATCACATTTACGTATATTTTCCATGGTATCATTGTCATCTTGGCCACCAAATGGTGACAAACCACTGAGGCTAAAATTAAAGAAAAACAACGAAATAGATCTGAAAAGATCCATTGCTACTTACATAACATAAGCGAGAACACCTGCTGCCCACATATCTGTGTAGAATCCAACCGCATCATGATCGACTATTTCCGGCGCAGCGAATTCCACAGTAGCAGCACTAACTTTGACAACTTCGTTAGGATCAAGTTTCGTTGCTAAACCAAAGTCGCATATCTTGATATTAGTACTGTTCTTGGTTTCACACATAATATTTTCCGGCTGAAACAAAAAATTTTCACTTCATCAATGATGTTCGACGTTGCAAATCATTACTTACTTTTAGATCTAAATGAACGACATTATTTTCATGCATATGTCTGAGTCCTTGACAAATTTGTCGCATATATTTGATCGCTTCAGCTTCGGTCATTTTGTAATTGGGATCAGCAATGCGATCGAATAATTCGCCTCCGGCAATGAATTCTGTTACCATGGCCATTTCGACTTCTTCTTCGAAAGCATCATGCAAATGAAGTAACTTGGGATGATTCAAATCGGCCATAACTTCGATTTCACGACGAACGGTTGCTTTATCCGCAGGAGTTAATGTCGGAATAAATTTCGCGGCATATGTTTTGCCGGTGGCTTTCTCAATACAACGATGCACGACACCAAATGCCCCGCTAAGCAAATTTCACATCAAATGAAATATGACACGAAGCAAAGTGAACTCACCGGCCAATTTCTTCAAGAATATCGTAATAATCATAGATACTTCCATGTTTCAGTGTAGCACGTGTTGGTTGACGACCTTTATCCCAAATATCCCAAACTAAAATCAATGACGATAGATCAAATGAAATTCATGGTTCGTTTTTCTGAAATGAGTACATACAGCATCGATCGTAGTTGTCCAATTTGGGTAGATCTTTGTTCTTTCGTCTTGATGCATCGTCATTGCCGGTACGTCGTTTGCGATTAGCATCGGAATCTAGGAAAAGCGAAGATGAGTTACTTGGATATTTCGTTTCGTTTTCTTACCAGTCGTTTGAACAGTCTTCGTTGGTTCTGATGGTTCGCCAGCTCCGAAAATATTTTCAGCAAGAATGCGAAATTGATACGGTTTATTTGGTAATAGATTTTCTACTGTACAACGAAGAGATCGACTTGTCGCTGCTTTCACCCACTTGCCAGTGTCAGGTTCTAATTTTTCAATAATGTAATTCGTTATGTAACTACCACCATCATCTTCCGGTGGTCGCCATGATAAAGTTGCTGAATCATCGAACACAGAATCAACTTGTGCATCACGTGGTGCACCAGGTAGATCTATTCAATAGAAATAAGATTTCAACTTGTACAGATGAACATCTTACCTGAAACATGAAGACGTAAGGTTGCTTCATCTTCGCCTAAGTTATTCGATAGTTTGATCTTATATGGTCCACTTGTATTCTTGTCTGCATTGCGAATAGTTAAGGTAATGCCGCGGTCGCTGACGTCAATAGAGACGTTCTTATCTTTGCTGACATCATTACCGTCTTTAGTTAACGATACATTCGGTAATGGACTGCCAGTATATGGAATTTTAATAACAATTGTTTCACCTTTGTCATAGTTGAGAACATCATTGTATTTTGCCGGTAAGCGAAATCGTGGCGGTGCTATTCAAGTTCAACGCATGTCAATCGTGTTTATGGACAGTTATATACTTACATCGAACATCGACATTACACCGACACATTCTTGAGCCACCCTTGTTTCGCGCTTTGATACTGTATTCATCAACGTCATCTGGTGTAGCATTGTTAATAACCAGAACGCACTTATCACCGTCACGCGTGATGGTATATTTCGCACTTTGTGATATTTCTTTTGTACCTTTGTACCTAATTAAGTTCGAAAGAATAGTTTAATTTGCAAATATTGCAAACGAAATAAAATATTCTCCTACGAACCATTCGACATCTGGTTTTGGAAGTCCAGTTACTTCGGCTTCGAGAGTAATGGTTCTACCCTCATTACCTTCAGCATCTCTTAGCTTCTTAAGAAATTCTGGTGGAGTTGATGCATTCGGATCCTTGATCTATTGAAGCGGTCCAAACAAGAATTTGCAATACTAAACAAACTCGTTTTGTCTTTACTTTAGTTGGTTTTGTTGCTTCGGAAGGTACTCCTTTTCCGGCTTCATTTTCCGCTGTAACACGAAATTCATAGACACGATCTTCAATTAATGATGGAACAGTGTAATAGGTCGATGGAGATAGTGACATGTTCACTGGTATCCATTTATCTGTATTTTCTTCGCGTTTTTCAATCCAGTAGCCAGTAATTGGACCGCCACCATCCGACGTTGGCTTATCCCAATGAAGTGTAGCTGAATTGTTCGTTAGTTCATTAATTTCAGGTTGTCCCGGTGCTCCAGGTGGTTCTAAGTGGAAAACAGAATGTCTAAAGTTCAATTTTCGCCAGACAAAGACATACTGAATGGAAGTTTAGCAGTTACTGGTGACGATGAACGTAATGGTTCGCTAGTACCATTTTCATTGACAGCCATAACACGAAAATCGTATTCATGTCCATCGAGTAGGTTGGGAACAGTAAATGTTGTCTCTTTACATGCTTGGGTGACAGGTATCCAGGCGTCAGCAGCTTTCGATGTATCACGTCGTTCGACGATGTAGCCAATGATTTTGCTACCACCATCGTCCTTAGGTGGCTTCCAAGCGAGTGTTGCACGGTCTTTTGAAACATTTGAAATTTCAAGTGGACCAGTTGGAGGAAGCGGTGGAGCTATATTAAGTTCAAAGACGGTTTTTTAGAACTTCTTTCCTCGCTTCGTTTCTATCTTACCAATAACTTTGACTTTCATCGGTATGTTGCATGAACCTGATTCGTTAGAAACATTAATTGCATATTTACCAGCATCTTCTCGTTCAATATCTAACAACAGATCAAGAGATGACGTAACAATCGATCGATTGATTGAAAGAGAAAGTACACACCTGGTATTGTGACGACAATGTAATCGTCGTATTCTTGAATGCGTACACGATCACTGTCTTCTAGTGATTGATCATTTCTCTTCACTTTGAAGTTGAATGGCCCTTTTCCAGTAATGGGAATCTTGACTTTCAACGTTTCACCCAGTGGTACACGTTGATCATCTGGTTCACGTGTAAGTCTAGGCGGTGCTAGACAATAACGAAAGAAAGTCAGTTGATTTAAGATATTCATAAGAAAACGAAGTTTCTTACTTTTAACAGTAAATGTCGCTTCACAAGTTTCTCGTCCAAGTGGATTGACGATTTCACATGATATCTTTGAATTATTATCAGTATCCCAAGCTTCGTTGAAAATCAATGTTGATTTGAACTCATTTGGTTTTGTGCTTATTCGATAACGACCAGAAGATGATAATTCCAGCCCATTGCGAAACCATTTCACTTCTGGCACTGGATTACCTTCGAATTCANAAATATTGTCAAGTTTGTTCTAGAATTTCAGTCAACATACGTATCGAGCTCGAGTACGTTGACGAATATCGTCGAATCGACCGGATGGTATTCGTGAATCGAGATCAGAACGATCTTCGCGTAACCATGGATGGTCAAGTGCATCATGAACTGTCATTCGTGCACTAAAGTACGCGAGAGTGGCACATAGAATTAGAATTAGTCTTGAAGTCGAGCACGTACTTTCGACTTTTCAATAAAAGTTTTTTGATAAAATCTTTTCCATCATCAGAGATATTACCAAAGACTTCGTTGGGAAAGCGTACATCACATTTACGTATATTTTCCATAGTATCATTGTCATCTTGGCCGCCAAATGGCGATAAACCACTGAGACTAAAATTAACGAAAAACAACGAAATAGATCTAAAAAGATCGATTGCTACTTACATAACATAAGCGAGAACACCTGCTGCCCACATATCTGTGTAGAATCCAACTGCGTCATGATCGACTATTTCCGGTGCAGCAAATTCAACAGTAGCGGCACTAACTTTGACAACTTCGTTAGGATCAAGTTTTGTTGCTAAACCAAAGTCGCATATCTTGATATTAGTACTGTTCTTGGTTTCACACATAATATTTTCCGGCTGAAACAAAATTTTTCACTCGGTCGATGATGCTCGACGTCGCAAATCATTACTTACTTTTAGATCTAAATGAACGACGTTATTTTCATGCATATGTCTGAGTCCTTGACAAATTTGTCGCATATATTTGATCGCTTCAGCTTCGGTCATTTTGTAGTTGGGATCAGCAATGCGATCGAATAATTCGCCTCCGGCAATGAATTCTGTTACCATGGCCATTTCGACTTCTTCTTCGAAAGCATCATGCAAATGAAGTAACTTGGGATGATTCAAATCAGCCATAACTTCGATTTCACGACGAACGGTTGCTTTATCCGCAGGAGTTAATGTCGGAATAAATTTCGCGGCATACGTTTTGCCGGTGGCTTTCTCAATACAACGATGAACGACACCAAATGCCCCACTAAGCAAATGTCACATCAAATGAAATATGATACGAAGCAAAGTGAACTCACCGGCCAATTTCTTCGAGAATATCGTAATAATCATAGATACTTCCATGTTTCAGTGTAGCACGTGTTGGTTGACGACCTTTATCCCAAATATCCCAAACTAAAATCAATGACGATAGATCAAATGAAATGCATGGTTCGTTTTTCTGAAATGAGTACATACAGCATCGATCGTAGTTATCCAATTTGGGTAGATCTTTGTTCTTTCGTCTTGATGCATCGTCGTTGCCGGTACGTCGTTTGCGACTAGCATCAGAATCTAGAAAAATCGAAGATGAGCTACTTGGATATTTCGTTTCGTTTTCTTACCAGTCGTTTGAACAGTCTTCGTTGGTTCTGATGGTTCGCCAGCTCCGAAAATATTTTCAGCAAGAATGCGAAATTGATACGGTTTATTTGGTAATAGATTTTCTACTGTACAACGAGGAGATCGACTTGTCGCTGCTTTCACCCATTTGCCAGTGTCAGGTTCTAGTTTTTCAATAATGTAATTTGTTATGTAACTACCACCATCATCTTCCGGTGGTCGCCATGATAAAGTTGCTGAATCATCGAACACCGAATCAACTTGTGCATTACGCGGTGCACCCGGCAGATCTATTCAATAGAAATAAGATTTCGACTTGTACAGATGCACATCTTACCTGAAACATGAAGACGTAAGGTAGCTTCATCTTCGCCTAAGTTATTCGATAGTTTGATCTTATATGGTCCACTTGTATTCTTGTCCGCATTGCGAATAGTTAAAGTAATGCCGCGGTCGCTAACGTCAATGGAGACGTTCTTGTCTTTGCTGACATCATTGCCGTCTTTAGTTAACGACACATTCGGTAATGGACTGCCAGTATATGGAATTTTAATAACAATTGTTTCACCTTTGTCATAGTTGAGAACATCATTGTATTTTGCCGGTAAGCGAAATCGAGGCGGTGCTATTCAAGTTCAACACATGTCAATCGTGTTTACGGACAGGTATATACTTACATCGAACATCGACATTACACCGACACATTCTTGAGCCACCCTTGTTTCGTGCTTTGATACTGTACTCATCAACGTCATCTGGTGTAGCATTGTTGATAACCAGAACGCATTTGTCACCGTCACGCGTGATGGTATATTTCGCACTTTGCGATATTTCTTTTGTACCTTTGTACCTAATTAAGTTCGAAAGAATAGTTTAATTTGCAAATATTGTAAACGAAATAAAAGATTCTCCTACGAACCATTCGACATCTGGTTTTGGAAGTCCAGTTACTTCGGCTTCGAGAGTAATGGTTCTACCCTCATTACCTTCAGCATCTCTTAGCTTCTTAAGAAATTCTGGTGGAGTTGATGCATTCGGATCCTTGATCTATTGAAGCGGTCCAAACAAGAATTTGCAATACTAAACAAACTCGTTTTGTCTTTACTTTAGTTGGTTTTGTTGCTTCGGAAGGTACTCCTTTTCCGGCTTCATTTTCCGCTGTAACACGAAATTCATAGACACGATCTTCAATTAATGATGGAACAGTGTAATAGGTCGATGGAGATAGTGACATGTTCACTGGTATCCATCTGTCTGTGTTTTCTTCGCGTTTTTCAATCCAGTAGCCAGTAATTGGACCGCCACCATCCGACGTTGGTTTATCCCAATGAAGTGTAGCCGAATTGTTCGTTAGTTCATTAATTTCAGGTTGTCCTGGTGCTCCAGGTGGTTCTAAGTGGAAAACAGAATGTCTAAAGTTCAAGTTTCGCCAGATAAAGACATACTGAATGGAAGTTTAGCAGTTACTGGTGACGATGAACGTAATGGTTCGCTAGTACCATTTTCATTGACAGCCATAACACGAAAATCATATTCGTGTCCATCAAGTAAGTTGGGAACAGTAAATGTTGTCTCTTTACATGCTTGGGTGACAGGTATCCAGGCATCAGCAGCTTTCGATGTATCACGTCGTTCGACGACGTAGCCAATGATTTTACTGCCACCATCGTCCTTAGGTGACTTCCAAGCGAGCGTTGCACGATCTTTTGAGACATTTGAAATTTCAAGCGGACCAGTTGGAGGAAGTGGTGGTGCTATATTAAGTTCAAAGGCGGTTTTGTAGAACTTTCTTTCCTCGATTCGTTTCTATCTTACCAATAACTTTGACTTTCATCGGTATGTTGCATGAACCTGATTCGTTAGAAACATTAATTGCATATTTGCCAGCATCTTCTCGTTCAATATCTAAGAACAGATCAAGATATGACGTAATGACCGATCGATTGATTGAAAGAGAAAGTACACACCTGGTATTGTAACGACAATGTAATCGTCATATTCTTGAATGCGTACACGATCACTGTCTTCTAGTGATTGATCATTTCTCTTCACTTTGAAGTTGAACGGCCCTTTTCCAGTAATGGGAATCTTGACTTTCAACGTTTCACCCAGCGGTACACGTTGATCATCTGGTTCACGTGTAAGTCTAGGCGGTGCTAGACAATAACGAAAGAAAGTCAGTTGATTTAAGCTATCTATAAGAAAACGAAGTTTCTTACTTTTAACAGTAAATGTCGCTTCACAAGTTTCTCGTCCAAGTGGGTTGGCGATTTCACATGATATCTTTGAATTATTATCAGTATCCCAAGCTTCGTTGAAAATCAATGTTGATTTGAACTCATTTGGTTTTGTGCTTATTCGATAACGACCAGAAGATGATAATTCCAGCCCATTGCGAAACCATTTCACTTCTGGCACTGGATTACCTTCGAATTCAACTGTAAATGTTGCTTCACCGTTGAGCGGTGCACTGGTGTCGACGAGTTTTTTCACAAATGTTGGTGCATGGCCGTCTAGATTCAAGCAATTCGATCAAATCAAGACGTCAAAGTCTTTTCTTACTTGGATATTCGGTGATTTTAACTCGACCAGTTGTTGAACTTGGTTCGCCCTCACCTGCTTTATTCACTGCTTTAACACGAAATTCGAATTCGCCATTTTCCGGTAAATCAGTGACTGTTGCGGTATTGTCGACGACCGTGTACGGACTCGCTTTCGTCCATTGATCACTTCCAACCGGTCGTTTTTCCACGACATAGTTAGTAATTTTCGAACCGCCATCATTTGTAGGTGGAGTCCAACTTAATTCGACATAATTCTTGCCGACTTTCTTCACTTCTGGTAAACCAGGTGATGAAGGTGGAACTAAAAAGAAGACACATTTGCAGTGATTCCTACTCTTGTATCAATTTCGACATACTTGTGTCAGGTTTTAATATTACCGGTCGATCTAGTTTAGTATAATCTCCCCAACCAGCAGCATTTTTCGCTTTCACACGAAATTCATATGGCTTTCCTACGTCAAGGTTTTCAACAGTAAAATCACTTCCTTTAATTGGATAGTCATTGACCACTTCCCAAACATCGCTGTCCGGTTTGCGTATTTCGACTTGATAGCCAGTTACTTTAGAACCGCCATCATTTTTAGGTTTGTCCCATTTCAGTGTAACCGAATCTTCAGTTTGTTTACCAACTTCAACATTTGATGGACCTTGTGGTGCATCTAAATCACACACAAAACCATTGTAACGCTTCACGGTACATAAGTAGGAAAGGTATCTTACTGTATGGAAGTTTAGCGACAATTGGTTTCTCACATTCCAATGGTACACTTTGTCCATAGACATTCTCAGCAGAAACACGGAATTTATATTCCGAGCCTTCGTCTAGACCAGTGACTTCGTAGAATGGCGTACGACAGAAACTCGACACTTTTTGCCATTCGCCTTTCTTCGTATCGAATTTTTCAATGACATAATTAGTGATCGGTGCACCACCATCATTTTTCGGCGGCTTCCAAGTCAAAACACATGAATCAGGTTTAACATCAGAGACATTCAATGGTCCTTCGGGTGTATCTAAAGTATCGAGGAAAAATTGACATCATTCTATACAAGTTAACTTTCGTGCAAGTACCTGGTTTGTCAACAACGACAACTTTCATTTGAACAGTTTCTTGACCAAGATTATTCTTCAATGTACATGAATATAAACCAGTGTCACCGGCCTTGACTTTTGGTACAACAAGTTCAGCAACACCGTCTTTAACTGTCACTTGTGTATTCCCGTCAGGCTTGATTTCATCGCCATTTTTACCGAATGTAACTTGTGGTGCAGGTGAACCAATAAATGGTACCGTAAGTTTAAGATCTTCACCAGCACGAACAATGATTTCCTTTGGAGCAAATGTACTGAAACCAACCGCATGTGGAGCAACATCGGGTGGACGTGCTTGAATGGGTCCTTCGGTTTTAGCTAGAAAAAATATCGAAAACAGAAGATTAAGGGAAAGTGTGCTTTAATTTGTATTATTACCATATTCTCCCGGTCCAGCTCGATTGACTGCAGCAACACGGAATTCGTATTCTTTTCCGTCTACCAAACCCGGTACTGTATATTCGGTACCGGATGCAGGTTCACGATTAACACTAAATAATGAGAAACATATAATTACATTTGAATGGCAACTTTGATTCGCAGTTTAGATCACTTACGGAATCCATCGGTCAGTTCCTTTTTCTTTCTTTTCAATTAGATAACCTCGAATTGGATTGCCACCATCACTTTGTGGTCGTGCCCACTGTAATGTTATTGAGTCGCTGGTGTGTGCGACGCACTCAGGTGTGCCTGGGGCATCTGGTGTAGTGAATGGCCATTTAGCTTTCACTGGTGTGTCAACCACTAATGGTTCCGAGACACCATTGTCATTTTCAGCAGCGACGCGAAATTCATAATTTTTGCCGTCTTCTAATCCTCTCACGTCACATGTTGTACCTGATACAGGAGGTCCGATTTTCGTCCATTTTTCTGTCCCGGCTTCACGTCGCTCGACAACGTAATGCTTTATGTCATTGCCACCGTCGTCTTTCTACAAAAGTCAAACAATTCTTCAGTTCTATTCGGTCGAAATTGAGACTCACGGGTGGCTTCCAGTTTAAGGTACATCCTTCAGCAGTAACATTCGTTGCTTCAAGTGGGCCTTCAGGCTTTGCGGGTGGTGCGAGAACGTTGACACGAAATTGTACTTGGTTGGTACCTTCGGTATTTTTCAAAATCAGTTTATAAATACCGGTATCTCCACGTTCAGCTTTGCGATTGAGTACTGTAACGACATTATCTGATAGCTAAAGGAAATCGAACATACATGTAATATAGTGCAAGGTTACAAGTTGGACTTGTCTTACCTTAGTATTGACACGGTCATCGGCAATCAATTCCTTATCATCAATTAACCACTGTGCTGTTGCTTTGGGTGTAGCTTTATACGGTATATGCAATTCAAAATCTTTACCAGCGCGTACTGTAATATCTTTGATATTGTGTAAATCAAGAAATGATGGTTTGTCTAACGAGATGAAAACATGTTGATATTCAGCATCTGTGTTGGCACATTTCACAGAACATACCTGGTTGATCTTGAACGGTAACAGCGTCGGTTGGTTTACTTGGTTCACTGGGACCGATTGCATTGACCGCTCGAATACGAAACGAAATATCGTCGCCTTCTTTGAGGTTAGGAACTGTATACGAATGTTCCCGTGCAGGTAGCTCTGTTACTTCCGTCCAATCGCGACTAAATGATAAATCACTCGATTCGTTCAAATGTATAGTAATATCAGATAGAAACAAACCTATCAGGCGATCGTTTCTCAACGATATATCCGGTGATTCGACTGCCACCATCATTAGTCGGTTTCTTCCATGAGAGTGTCACCGAATCTTTAGTTATTTTTTCCACTTTGGGTTGATCGGGTGCATCAGCAACGTACATTGGCACTTCAGCTCTCTGTGGTTTAGTTGGTTTTGATGGTGTTCCTGGGCCAGCACCATTAACAGCAGCAACACGAAATTCGTATGTCTGACCTTCACGCAAACCCGTGACAGTATATTCGGTATTTTTCGTCGGTAGATTGTTGCATGGCACCCAATTATTACTACCCTTTTCCCGCATTTCAATATTATAACCCGAAACAGGATTACCACCATCTCGCTTTGGTTTTTCCCATTTAAGTTTGATAAAAGTTGAATTGTACTCGGCAATTTCAGGTGTATCGGGTGCGTCAGGCGCATCTAGACAAAAAAAGCAGATTATTACCACCCTACAGACTACCTTGTTCGTACCGTATGGTGGCTTGACAGTGATAAGCGATGTTGTTTCTAGTGGTTCACTAAGACCATAAATATTTTCAGCTTTGACTCGAAATTTAAATTTCTTGTTCATTTCCAAATCTTTAATCGTGCCTTTCGGTTGAGTGAACACACCTGGTACTTTTTCCCAACGGTCCGAATTTTCCGGACATTTTTCAATGGTATATCCTAAGGAAGAGAAGAATAGATTTTGTTCTATTTTATAATCAAGATAATCCACCTGTGATATCACCACCACCATTGTCTTTAGGCGGTTTCCATTGAAGTGAAACGCTATCTTTCGTTGTTTCAGTGGTTTCTAAAGGTCCTTCGGGTGCTCCGGGTTTGTCCAAGACGATAACATCAATGTCACATTCATCTTCACCCGAATCATTCTTCAACTGAACTTTGTACTTGCCAGTATCCGCTCGTTTGGAAATGGGTTTGTGTAACTTAGCATGAAAATCGTCATTTTCGATTTGTGTACTAAACATGATCGAAAAGGGAGTAGAGAAAGGAGCGTGAAAAAAACGTACTCTCGAGCCGGTTGAACAGTTTCACCATCCTTGGTCCAGGTAATAACTGGTGTTGGCGATCCGTTAATAGGTAGATCAATTGTTAGTGGTTCACCTGCTTTCACACGAATTTCTTTTTTACCAAGTGGACCAAACAATTGACTTGTATCGAACGACGGTTTTTCTAAAAACGGAATAATCAATTTCAGACATTAACCACTTGTTCGTCAATATTCGAATTACCTTTTTCTGGTCGGGCAGCAATACTGCCAGATGAATCACTTGGTTCACCTGGACCCGCATCATTGACAGCAGTAACTCGATATTCGTATTCTTTCATAGCTGTGACGTTTTCATCAACAAAATTGGTTGCCTGAAAAACAATTAAAATCGTTGTATAAGTTGTAAACTTGTTAGTGAAACATACTTTATGGACTTCACCACGATTGATTTTTGTCCATTCTTTCTTTTTGGCAGCTTTTTCACGTCGTTCAACAATGTAACCTTTCACTGGGTTGCCACCATCATTTCTTGGTGGTGCCCATTTCACTTCAATATGTTTACGATCGCGTGAAACACATTCAGGTGTACCCGGTGCTCCAGGCTCAGCTATTGAGTAAAAATTATTCATTAATTTCGAACAAATTCAATAGACAAATCAACATACTGAATGGATTTTTGACCAGAACACCTTTATCAGTTACTAATGGTTCCGAAAGACCATTAGCATTTTCGGCCATAACACGAAATTCGTATTCATGTCCTTCTTTCAATTTGCCAATTGTTACTTCTGTACCATTGACACCTTCAGCACAGCGTACCCAATCGCCGCTCTGTTTGTCACGTTTCTCTACAACATAGTTTCTAGAAGAAAAAAAGAGAGAAATGTAATAGCTTGCTGTTGATCGCAATGTTTGAACTCACGATATTTCTTTGCCACCATTGTCTGTTGGCGGTAACCAAGAAAGTGTAACGCTAGATTTTGTGACTCCTTTAACTTCGAGAGGACCACGTGGTTTCGATGGTGGGCCGAGCACAATAACTTCACAATCAGCGGTTTCCGTGCCCGAGTCATTCACTAAACGGATCAAATAGCGACCTGTATCAGCACGAACAGCTTTGGTGATAACAAGTTTGGCTAATTTATCGGTTTGAGTCATTTGTGTGCGATCGTCAGGCGTGACTTCCTTAGAACGAGGAATCAATTCAACATAAAAACAGATAGTCAAGGCATCGTCTTACAGTTGCATCACGTTGCCAAGTCATGTTTGGCAATGGTTCAGCAGCATATGGAGCTTCCAATGTAATTGTTTGTCCTTGTTTAACAGTCACAGATTTCAAGCCAACCTTATTGATACGTGGTTTCACTAGAAAATTTTCAGAAAAGCAAGATTAATTCGTGTTTTCAATGAGTATGAATGTACATACAGAAACGTGGTTTGGCAATGACTGCCTTAGATGGCTCACTTGGCTCTGACGGACCTGCCTTATTGACAGCAACGACACGAAATTCATATTCTTTTCCTTCTGATAAACCACCACAGGAACCTTTCGTCGAATTACCAGAAATTTCTGCCGCCTTTTGCCATGGTTCGCGTCCTTTCTCACGACGTTCAATAACATACTTCTCGACAGGTGCACCGCCATCCTTTTCCTAAAATAAGCGCATAAACCATTTGTAATTATATATCTACCAATGTTTCGTTTATGCTCAAGTACCGGTGCTTCCCATTGTAGATCAACACGATCTTTATCCCAGTCGGCCACTTCCGGCTTGCCTGGGGCACTTGGCTCATCATACGGATTCTTCGCTAATGTTGCACCAGTTGTTTCCAATGGTTCACCATCGCCTTCCTTGTTGACAGCACGTACACGAAAGAGATATTCTTTTCCTGGCGTTAATTTTGTCACACGTAACGATGTTGTTTCGCCATTCACATCACCAGCAGGTGTCCAACCGCCACGACCAAGATCTTGCTTTTCAACAACATATCTTTCAACAGGAGCACCACCATTGTCCAATGGAGGCTTCCATGAAACGACACATGTTTCTTTAGTCACGTCGCTCACTTTCATTGGGCCCTCAGGTTTACCCGGACGATCTGACGAAGCACAGCTGTCAAATTTTTATCTCGAGGAACAATTAGCTAACGTCTTACCTAGAACAATAACATCGATTGGAATCTTCACTTCGCCCTTGGCATTTCTTAATGTTAATTCGTATTTTCCTGTGTCTCCACGTTTTGATTTTTCACTACATAAACACAAAAATAAAATGATTTCAGTTGAACGAATATAACTCCTAACATATTCAGTTTGCATTTCTTCGCATCAAGTGTTGTCTGACAAGAAGAACCGTCACCAGGTTGCACTGTTTTACCATCTTTAGTCCAGGTCATTGTTGGTGCTGGATAAGCATCATAAGGAATCTCTAGATCTAATGGTCGACCCGCTTTGATAGTAACCGATTTCGCAAAACGTGTCGCATCAATTCGCGGCGGTTTCTCGGCTAGACAAGTGATATTTGTTCATTATCTCCAAAGGATAAATGAATTTTTCTTACATTCCTTGACACTGATCTTGCAACTGTCTTTCAAGTCTCCACATTGAAAAGAAATGTCTCCAGCATCTTTAAGACCAATGCTCTTCAATTTCAATCGATAAACATTGCCTTCATTGAGGATAACAGTTCTGAAAAAGAGAATATCAATGGTAATCAGCTAAAACGAAGAACTTCGTTGCGATTACTTTTGATCGGGATAGAGAATTTTGCCGTCCTTGAACCATTTTCCTCGTGCATCAGGTTTGGATAGAGTTACCTCGATGACGACTTCTTCTTCTTCCAATGCATCGATATCTTTCAATCCTTTTTCGATACGAAGCGCCGCTGAAAAATATATCCGAAATCAGTTCAATAGGCATGTTTTTCCTCAATCAACATCAAACATACGTCGAACGGATACATCGCAATGTGTTGTCATCACGCCAGTTCGACATTCGTATTTGCCTTTGTCGTCAACCGGATGTAGTTTTCGCACTACTAATTTGCGAACTTTGCCATATGAAATCACTTCATATTTATCGGGATTGGATTCCGGAAGTATTTTCTAGAAATAAAGAGTAATTCACAGATGAAAAGCGATGAATGCATTCAACTTACTTCTCCTCCGAAATACCAATCACACTCAGCATCTTCATCTTGAACGCTGCATTCAAGTTCAATTTTATCATTTTCGTCACCTTCTAAGGTAGCTGGCAATTTCGTCTCAAAACGCCATTGAGGTTCTAATCGGAAAACAAGATATGCAAACTGCGATCGCATTTATGAAGTTTTAGTAATCAGTACCTTCGACGTAGAGGTAACCAGAAGTTTTGATGCCTCGGTCGTCGTCAATTTGACATGTGTATTCTCCTGAATAGAAATAGGATAAGTTTAGTTTTTTCTATCGTAGAAGAAATGATCGACACAAACCTTCATCTGCTTTTGTCGTCTTAAATATTCGGAGGATACATCGTGTCATATCCTGATGATACTTGATGCGTTTATCTTTTTCAAACTAAATCGATTTTAGAGTTTCAAATCCTTCATCCTCAATAGGGGGGTGACTTACATCAATTAGAACACCATTTTTGAACCATTTGACGGGCGCATTTGAATCATTGACATGACATTCGAGTACAGTCTGCTTAGTTCGAAAGACATCCATCTTGGCAGGTAATTCCTTGTAGAAATCATACAGAGGCTTAGCAGCTAAACAAAAGAAATTTCATAGATAAACTATCGAGAACTACTGAAGAGAACACATACGTATAACTTCCAACCAAGCTGACGTTTCAATATCATTCACACGACAGAAGTATTTTCCTGAATCGTCAGGATGTAATTTATAGATTGTTAATTTTTGTCTGAATACAGATGGAATTCTTTAAAGGAAAAGTCAATGTGTACGGCTTACTTAGCTCCACTTGAATCGAAATGATATTTTAAACCATGGAAAATTTCCACCTTATTCTTTAGCCTGAAAAGAAATCGCATTTATTTCACCAGAGCAATGAAATACCCCCATTCAACTTACCATCGTATACGTGTACTAGGTTTGCAGAACGTGCATTGAAATGTGATTTCTCCATCTTCTTCTTTACATTTAATATCTTGCAAATGTTCCACAAAAGCTTCTTTTTCCTATGAATGAAAAGCATTTTCAGTAAGATCCTTGTCTTCTTCTGTCTATTCGTCTCACACTCATGCATTCTTAGCAAACCGAGCACACTGCAATTCACATTCATGCATTGCAATTCAATGATGATCCATAAAGATATAGGCAAATATCGATCTGTAACCATTCCGAAGCAATTCTTTGTGAATAATGATCCCATGATAATAATGCATGTCTTGTTCACCTTTTCTGGTCGTTTCACTTTGTGTAATGCTGGCCAATCTGGTATGACATCAGCCAGTGATGGTCGACGTGTTTTGGAGTCTCGTCGAACTTTAAGAAGATTCTCTTGATCGACACGACGAAGTGAAGGACGTCGATCGTCCATGATACTGGATCGACGTGAACCAGGTGTGCTTTCATCACCACCACCACCGGTCTGAGAGATATAGAGATGCGAGAATAATGCACAAAGGAAAATGCATTCAAGAAAACGTCTGATTCTACTAGTTGGAGAAATCACTACAAATGGTCTTTAGGTTTTATCTGTCTATGTATCTATCTAAGTTTTCAAATCGAAATTTCATCTGGCTTTCTTTTAGTTTGCGATTGCAATATTACCTCTTCTGGTTGATCAGTGCGAATTTGTGGAGCTGAAATAATACAAACAATATCAGTTAAATCTGATGAAAATCGATAATTATGGAAGTAATCATGCATAAAAGCTTGTCTAATCTATATCTATGTCTAGATCTAGGAACTAGTCGAAGAAAACATCGTTATTTACAAACGTGTTTTAAGTTTATCTGTTCCCTTTCTTCTTCTTCAACCTTTTTCCTTTGTTTTTCGCGGTGTTTAAGTATATCACGAAAATCAGCTTGATCGTCTTTGGCCGCTATGAAGATAGAGAAGGAAAATGATGGATCAGATTTGTTTCATGCTTAACCGATTTCTATTTTGAATACCTTTCACATAGAGATGGAATTCGGCATGCACTTCTCCATGTTCATTGTGCGCAGTCACCGCATAAGGCGAGTCATCAGTTTGACGACATTTGACTATGTGCAACGTTGCAATACCTGTTGTTGGATCGATTTCCATTTTGAACTTTACACCTTCAGCTATTTCAATTTTTCCTTTATACCAAATGACTTTAGGAAATGGATTTCCATCAACGACAACTTCGACAAAAGTCGATTGGCCTGTGAGACGAGGTGACGAGCAAATTAGTAAAACGAAAACTAATTCTACAAGAGCTAATTCTAACGCATTTACCTTCTTTCGCACTCGTATTTTCGGGTTTTTCAATAAAAAGAGGTGCAAGTGATTCAGCATGTGCTTCGAGTGGTTCACGTATTTTACGTTCACGTGGCTTCGCTGCGTATGCATAATCATGCTTATCAGAAGAAAACATGCTCGATTAACTTACTTGATTGACCTTCAGATATGATATCAAGTTTAGCTTGAGATACTCGTTTGATTTTGTCGGCTGGTTTTTGACGACGAGGACCTTCGTCTTCATAGACAGGCTCTTCGGCTAAAACACATATAAGCATGTCGGAATGTTTTCTCGAAAGCTAATGAATTGTACTTTGAATCGTTGGTACACGTTGCTCATCAGATTCAGGAGTGGTAGATGCAGCAGCAGCAGCAGCCGGTGCTGGTGCTGGTGCTGGTGCTGATGGTGGAGTTTCGACTGCAGGTGCAGCTAGAAAAAGTGCACTAGTTTGCATAAAGACTTAGTTGCAAGACAATTTACCAGCTTCTGGTGCCTTTTGTTGTTCCAAAGCTTGCTTTCGTTGTTCTTTTTTACTTGGCTCTTCATCTTTTGGAGCAGGTGTTTTGGCAGGCGGCTTTCTTGTACGTTTAGCTTTACCACGTTTTTCTATACATAACATAGATCAACATAATTAATAACTGATACAGTTCATGATCAACTAGACAAGTTTGAACTTCAGATGTTTGCCTATTCATACTATGACTTTCCTTTGATCTCTATCTGTAACTAATACATGAGACACTATCTGTCTGTCTGTCTGTCTGTCGATATGATCGGTTTACGTCTCAATGAACCGGTATGTGATAAACATCAATTGTTTATGTATGAAGAAACGTCGATATGTTTATGTTTTACCTTTGATAGTAACACGAACTGTTTGCGTCGCTTCACCAGCTTCGTTCCATGCTTCGCATACCCAATCACCGCTATCATCCACGTAGCCATCAGGAATAGTTAATTTAGCTGTTGTGCCATCATATTCTTGTACATAGTCCTAATAGGCATATAGAAAACATATATAATATTATCCCTCAAGATCAACAAATGTCTGTCTTGGATAATAAGACAGAGCGGGGGAAAATACATGTGCTAACAGACGGCGGCAATTATTCTAGGTTAAAAGGATACATCATCTGCCCGTTATTTCATCCCATTCAAACTCTGCAGATCTGATGAATCGGTCAGTGAAAAGAGGCGTTCACTTACAGCTGACGGTTTGATTTCTTTCTTATTGTGAAACCATGTTATTTCTGGTGTTGGCGTACCCGTAACTTTACACTGTATTAGTACTTTGTCTCCATCAGTGGTCGACTAGAAATAAGAGAAGAAAAGAAAAGAAAACGATCCGGAATCCATAATGATGATGATAAATCTTCTGGATGACATACCACTTCCTTAGGTTTATCGGCAAAAACAGGTGCAGTCATTTTATTTCCAGCTGTTTCGGGTTTCTTCTCTTCTGCATCTTTCCTAAATTGAAATACATCGCTTGTAACAATCTATTCCTGTGACGAAACGGATATTTCGCTTACTGTTGAACAGCATCAGCATCGACAGTCAAATTCACTAACGCCTGGGAATCGCCAGCATCGTTTTTAGCAAAAATTTTATAAACGCCACTGTCATTTGTCGAAGGACTCTACACGACATGCATGGAAAATTAAAAATTCGTTTGATAAGTAGATCATTCTTACCAAGATTTCCAAAATGTATAGATAGGTTTCTTCAGTCACTTTTGTTTTCGTGACTTTATATTTATTCGGTGTATCTTTGATTTCTGTTTTCTCTTTCTTCCACGTTACCTTTGGTTCTTGTTTGCCTTTGCAGCGACACTCGATTCGAATCGATTTCTCGGTGACGCTCTTCGTTGTCGTCGGTTTTTCGAATGCCGGAGCTAATCGATCCAATTGTTCCAAAGTTGCCTTATCACCTAAAAGATATGCCAACGTATTATCACTCAATCGAAATTCACTTCAATTATTTACCAGCAACTTTGATCACAACATTGGCGACAGCTGTACCTAATTCGTTCGCTAAGGTACATTTGTAGACTCCACTATCCGATGTTGCTAAATTCTAAGACACAAAATTCAGTGTATGTACTAAACAAATGAATGAGGATATTTTACTTTGATATCCAAGGAAATGCGATATTTGTTGCCACCTTGTCGATCAATACGTGTGATGATTTTATCAACATTCAGTAGTTCTTTGCCATCCTTTGTCCAATGTAACGATGGACTTGGATCAGCAAGAATATCAATTGTAATAGTAACAGTTTTAGCATCTTGTTTAATGGTTGGTTTGTCGAGAAATGAAGGTGCGATACCTTCAGGTAATCTAGAATCAAATCATTCAAAACACAGTCCTTTGTCAAAGTCTTTCCAGACATACTTGAAGTCAATTCCTTCAATATTTAATTGAATATTTGCTGCACCATCACCTTTGACGTTCTTGGCAGTGCATTTGTAGGCACCTGAATCTTTCGAAGTGAGTTGAGCAATTTCAAGGAATATTGTATGCGTATTTCCTTCAGATAAGATTCCTTGTTTATATCTTGCTCCTGTAGCAATGGCTTTTCCGTCGAGTGTCCAAGTAAAGCTTGGTACGGGATCAGCTGTGCATCGACATTCCAAAAGTACAGATTCTTCAAACATTCGTACTTGAGGTGCCTGAGTAAATGTCGGTCGGCCCGTAGCACTTGCATCTTGATCTAGATATCCATCATGATCTTTCTTAGTTCGAACCAATCATGCGCTACTTACTATCAAGATTTAGTTGAATATGGGCATTGCTTTCTCCGAGTTTATTCTTGGCAGAAATTTTATATTTTCCTGCGTCCGAAGCGTTCACATCATCGATAGACAAACAAGCGACATAGGCATTGTTCGGTAATGGATCGCAATAGATTAAATAACGACCAGCATTTTCGATCGCAACGTCATCGTGCGACCAGAAAAGATCTGGTTTAGGATCAGCAGCAATTTTACATTCGAAGATTAAACGTTTTCCATCATCTTCTTGTTTAATAATAGGTTTTTGAATAAACGTTGGTGCAGTTCCTTCAGCCGAACTAGAAAATTTGTCATTCGTTTTAAAGTCACGTTCTCCTCGTGCTCTTCTTACCTTTCAGCTGCGCTTGCACTAGCGTCATCTTCATTTGAAAAATTTAAATTCACATTTGCAGTCACTTCACCTGCTTTATTCTTAACGACTATTTTATATGTACCGGCATCAGTAGGACCAAGATCAGTGATTTCAAGCGTAATATCGTAATTATTTCCAGTTGCAGCTTTGATTGTTTGCTTATGTTTAGCTGATGTAGTTGTCAGTTTAGTCTCGTTTTGAAACCAAGTCACATCGGGCTTGGGCGTTCCTTGCACTTGGCATTCGAGATAGAGACGCGTAGACGCATCGGGTGAGTGTCGAANAATAGCTGGCGGCTTAGTAAATCGAGGTGCACTAGCTGCCATTCGTTGTTCGTCAATCGGTCGATTAACTCACTATTTATCTATCTATAAGAGGAAAAATTCAATCAAATCAAATACAAACAAGATATTATCCATGGTATTTTCAGTTCTGCCGTGATGTCGTTATGTAGAAAAGTATCAAAGAAATAATCGTAAAAGGGATTATAACTGGTTGCCGGCAAGTCAAGACTCTAAAGAGAGAGAGAGAGAGAGGCGAATCAAAGGAAAGAAAGAGAAGGAAATGCATGTACTATTGTGTGCGGTAAAAAATATGCCCATTACTCTCTATATGGATAAATCGGTGTTGATCGTCTCGCATATTCTTTCATATCGCACAGATGGAGAAAAGAGAAAAAATGGAGACTCGCAGTACAATCCGATGCTAAAAGGCAAATTGATGACAAAAGTTCTTTTCCTTTCTTCTCTCTTTTTTCTTCTTCGGTACAAGATATCTGTTGCATTCTGCCGTACAACTCATTTTCCTCTTCTTTCGTTCTTCATTGGATGCACTTCGGGAAAAAGTACAGAGAAGACGTTGTCTACGCGTTGGATAATTGTAAGGCAGCGGTAAACAACTCGGATATGTACAAGTAACCAGCGAGAGGGTGGTGCAAAACGAGAGAGAGAGAGAAGGAAGGAAATGAAAGGTCCTTCCATAATAAAGAATACAACTATAAAAAGACAATTGACAAGATAACAACAACAACAACAACAACGAAGCGAGAAAGGACCAGCGCAGCATCACGTCTAAATGAGAGACACACGACGTGTACTATAATCTTCTTTGGACAGAAAACGAGCTGCGATTCAAAGTAAATGTATTGAGAGATAAGCCATCCAATATGATCGACAAGCACAATAACGAGAGAGTATAGAATGCTAATCGTCCCTGGATATCCCGAAGACATAACTGAAAGAAATATTTTAATTAAGATGATGATGACCACTATTGACAAACATGTCGATCAATCATAATAAACTTGTTTCGAAAAAAAAGAAAGAAATCATCCGCGTGTACGTACCACTTTTACTTAGTCTATCTAATTCATATTTTCAGCCTGAATAGTTACAAATAATAACAAGCTTTATTGCAAAAAAGGTCATCAGTTTGATGTAGAAAACATCCTTATGTAAGAACAATGAAGTTCCCATTTAGTTTTTCTTCTCATCATGAAAAAACACAGGATCTATATATCTATATATGTATATATATATATATATATAAATATATTGAGTCGATAAAAGCAACAAGTAAAAATATACAGGAACGTCAAGTGAATGTTTTTTCGCCACACGTATTCTGGCAAATGTGGGCGTCGACGGTCGACGCTGATAATCTTACAAGTATAGGCAGAAAAGAAGAGCACATCATGGAACGTGTTGTCTTTAACTGTACGCCGATGAAGACATCAGAACAGTTTTGGCAGTGGATAGGGAAAATGTCGAGTTTTAGCTCGAATAGGAAAAAAGACGAGAAAAGAAAACAATAAATAACAATTTCACATGTGATGAATCTCCGAATGCTATTTATACTTTGTCTATTTTGCAACTGAGACAGCTAACATGATCATGGTGATGGTGATGATGATGATGATGAAAAACAAAGCAAGCACTTTTTCTGCTCGTTACGATGAAAAGGCCAGCCGGTATGAGAATCTGTGGAGACAAAGACGAGCAAAGATCATATTCATTCAAATAAATATACAATAACGGCATATCAATGATCGAAAATACTCGTGAGACTACCGACACACCTACGTTTGATCATGCTCGTTAATACGTCGAATTCTTGTTCTACATTGATATCGATGTCTAATGACCTTCTGTAGTCAATCTCCGAGGCTTTTCTTTGTACGCTACTGTCGTTGACAGACGACATGAATTCTTTATACATATGATAGTTGTACTTATTAAGTAATCGATCACCGTAAACAGCCGAATGTCGGATAAAAACAACAATGCATTGATTTCGTCAGATACAGATGATGAAATAATTATTCTTATGGACGAAATATTTTCTTCTGGCAATGACATGCAGTTAACAATTAAACAATCATCTAATCGAATTTCGAAAGCAATCAGCGAAGGCATTCAGCGTATGCGAAACGAATGAGAAGTAATTCTATCATAAGTTCGTTGATATTCATCTGACATTGAGATAATTTTGTTCTGATTAATGACAGATTGACATCAGATGAAGAACAGATAATGGAAGCAAAGTTGCTTTTGTATCTCATTTGCTATTTCGAAAATAGCTTCGCTGTTTTTGCCTATTTATACTTCTACTGGAAGAACTAATCGGTTTATACATGTACGAATTGATTGAATAAATTTGCAAAGTATTTCACACGCATAGCATCTATTTTATTTGATCAAAAACCTAGTCTAGAAACGTTTCAGGGCGATGACTGTTTCGTAGAGAGATTTATTATAGAATTTTCCCTCGCGACTGTTCACTAGATGTGACAATCGTTGATTACGAATGTAGAGTTTTTGGAAGATGCCGACACCTTTCAGAGCCGTATGGACGGAAACATCCGACAAAGGAACAGTGAATTTACGTGCACTGGGCCACAAGGCATAAGTAACAATTCCAACAGAAGAGCCATCCTTGAGAAGATAAAGACGACGTACACATCGTGCAGGATAGATAATAGATGCAACAAATATAGCACCGCCTACAAAATAACAAAAAAATGCGTAGAATTCAGACAACAATAGCAAAACATGCAATTTCTATTATCGACTGAAAAATTTTGACGACGAAGACACTTTGTTGAAGAGAAATCGAGGTTATTAAAAAAAATTTATCGCGTGAAACTATTGACATTCAAATAGAAGAGTAATATCTCGATTGCCTATCTGTGGTTTGCGATAATTAATGTCATCAATCTCGATCTGCAACTGGCTTCAGTATGATATTTTTAGAATGAAGGAGAAGACTGATTCTGTATGCAAAGTTCGGAACTTACTTAATAATACGATGACAATATTTGTTGTATACCGAAATTTCTTTGTCGGAACAATAATCGCTGCTCGTTCTAACAATGTTGAATCTGACGTTAAAGTGTCTTCCTTAGCAGTGACTGTGCCGAACAGATAAAAGCTCCAGCGTGCAATGAAACCAAATGCTATGAATTGAACAAGACCAATAAAACCCACGATCGGCAATATTCGGTCTTTATATTCGAAAACAAGAGCATTATTCATCATAGGTCTATGTACGTTTGAAGAAACTGATTGTGATATGTTTGTCGTCGTTGCTGTGGATTCATTTCGAAAAATTGGTTTGATGAGATTCGAACCCATTCGACGCCATACTGGACAGAGCATAGAACGAAGTAGAATCATTCTTTAGTCTACAAATCAAAACACTTGTATTAATCATTGGATATGTTTCGTTTATTTCTGTTCTAGACACAGTACAATAGCGAAATTTTTATCAGTTCAACTGAATAAAAAAACACGATGACTGTAAATGCAAACTGGTATACATCTATCTGAATGAAATTATTGAGAAATCAAAAACGAGACAGACAAACACATACAAAACAAAGAGCAGTGACTGAAATAACAAAAGTCAAGTAAATGCCATTCAACTTGAACACACAACTTTGAGAATATATTTTGTCAATAGATCCGGTACTTGAGGACTATTGTCATTGATGGCGTTCAAAACTAAATAATGCAAAAAAAACATGATTTGTTTTCCTTCATGAAGAATTATTCAATCAACAACGAACTTTGATTTAGATTTTGTATATGCTTCAGTGATAGACATGACGGATGATCACGATCATATGGAATTACAGTCGTTAGATACTAGACAAAAAATAAATGACATATTGTTTTTCCGTTCCGGATTGGGTTGTATTGAAAACTATATGTACAATCCTAATTTTCGCGTTTCCGTTCTTTCATATATCATATTGCCGTTTGACATGTTTTGTTTATCCGATGATCAAGACAAGCTTTCAAAGTTTTTCTTGTATATATTAATGGCTAGTAGCATGATTTAATGCAAATATGTTTCATAGATTCCACCGAACGACACATCAAGAAGAAAGGAAACATACACACACACACGTTCTGCTATTTTCTATGTGATTCTTCGTTAATTAAAACATTCTCGATAATCAAGATGACCTCTTCTTCGGCTTCTATTTCCCTTTTCGCCATTAGTCTGTCTGTTCTAATCTAATTACTAACAATACTAAACAGTAGTCTGAAAGAGAAAAGAGAAAAAAAAGAGCTTGCTTAGCAAGGCATTTCGAGAATGATAAATATTCATAGACTAGTCTTCATTTTCTCGCCAGAAAGGAGAGAATTCCCAATATAGACACAGACATAGTCAGTCATATCTATTCGCATCACTGGTTATTAATGTTTTTCGATGAGAATAAAAGAAAAGCAAATTTACCGTTCCCGGTTCAATAGAATTTGTATTCCCAAACAATGCACGACGTTTTTGACGTTTTTCATTTTGATAATATCGTCGTTTGTTCTAAGGAACAAAACAATAATTGCCTGCAATTGAATTAAATCGAATCTTACTTGAATACTAAGTACGAGAGATATAAATGTATTTTTCACTTCTTTTTCATCTTCGAGTTCATCTCGATCTGCCAGTTCTTGTACAAGAACACTTGATAAATTTCGAATCGAGTCGTTCAGTTCATCGGTTAATTGATTCAGCGAAGCTATTGTTTGATATTTCAAGTCGTAGACATCGTATGTAAAATGTCCTTCTTGCAAATCATCACAAAAGCCGGAATCGGGTGTCATGTCTTTCAGCATAAAATCGATTTTATTAATGACCTGTTCGGCAGTAAGAAATGGTTCAGGAGGCAATGTTTTCGATAGAACAATCGCTTCGCGTAGCTTTTCCTCTTCGTCTTCGGTTAAATTGTCAATCGATTGAATATCATCTTCATACGAATATCTGTCTTGAAGATTGGTCATTTCAGTTCGGCTATGTGGCAACTTCAAATCTTGACGAAGTGACTGATGAAGTTTCTCAACTAATTCCGACCAAGTACTAAATAGACAACGTCATATATGGAAAGTTAGATCAACTGTGAAGGATATACTTCGGTGTTGGAATGACATCTGCTTTGGAGACTGCCAGTTCTTCAGGAAAACACGCATGAATTGTTTGATCAAACGACTGAACAAGATCTTCGAGTGAACACGCTTTGTACGAGTTTTCTGTAGAAAACACGAAAGCTATCAAAAGACGTTCGAAATAATGATTTCAACTTACCTAATGATGGATGTAAGAGAATTTCGATCGATGAATTGGAATTAATCCGTTCATCAGTCATATCATCGTCGTCGTCGTCGTCATCGAGATTGTTGGAGTAAGAAAATTTGACAATTGGTGCACACGGATTATCATACAAAAGTTGTTTTTCATTTATTCCAAACGACATAGTCTTCCAAAGAAGAGATAGAATGAAATGAGAAAAAGCTAATTTCGCTTATTCCTGTTTGTTGTCTATTACATCGAGAATGGCAATGCATGTCTCTTCGCTATCTATTCAATTCATTCATTCTTTTTCTGTTCTTTTTCATCTTTGGAGAACCAATCATTTTCTATAATTCAGCTTAGCTTATTTCCTGAGAAACACACGATGACTTTCTTGAATTTTAATGATAATTGTTTGGATGGAATATCTTCGATACGATATCCACTTGACAAGGCGAGGATTGGGTGAGAAGACAATGGTCGAAAAGAAACCAATCATTGTGAATTAGAAGTTACTACGAATGAATCATCAGCATATTTGGTTACATGATCGATCGTTTGATACAATACTAGTGCAAGATGAATTGGTTGATCTTTTTCGTATTTCCTGTTACTCAATCGTATTTGTTCGGATGTTATTATGATTACAACCAGCCGTTAGTTCTACCTGAACAGTTGCCGGTTGATACTTGTACGCATGTCTTACTGATTGGAGCAGTTCTTGTAAAAAATCTAGGTGTGACTGTTGTTCAACACCCCTACAATGGTTTCGATGTCTTGCAAAGTATGAGAGATTATCGTGTACGAAGCTCGAATGGACTGAAATTTGTTCCATCATTGCTTGGAGATGATGTCGAATGGAAAATTGCATTAAAAGATGCGGAATCTCGCCGAATATTCATCGCAGCTCTAATCGACTTTGCTAAATCACAAGTAATAATGAACTGATTCACATGTTTTCGATGTTGATTTCATTTGGTTAATATCATAGAAAATTGATGGATTCGATTTCGATTGGGAATATCCATGTGGAGATTATAAATCAATCTACACTGATTTCATTCAAGAACTTCGTACGACTGTTCTCAGAATCTTCGGGAAGGAGTTTCTGCTTACAACTGCCGTTGGCGCAGGCAAAAATACAATAGATGATTGCTACGAAATGGCCAAACTAGGTCAATTGCTTGATCTAATTCATCTAATGACCTATGATTATCACAGTACGTGTTGGTTCTTCGCATCGGGTTAATCAATTTGCGTTCCTATTTAGGTATTTACGATAAACAAACCGGATACAGTTCGCCTATTTACTCAAAGAGTGTTGAGACAGGCGACGCCCGGTATTTCAACACGGAATGGAGTGCTGCTTATCTTGTTGAACTAGGTGTACCACGGGAGAAGATTCTCATCGGACTCGAAGGGCTCGGCCATACATTTCAGTTGATGGATAGCACTATCCATGACTTTGCAGCACCAGTGGTAGGTACGGGTTACGGCGGAGGATGGATGACATTTGTGGAGTTCTGCTTACTTATTAAATCTGCTGGCTCACATTGGGATGATGAAGCGAAAGTGAACTATACATATTATAAGGATCAATGGACAAATGTAGGTGATGTACGAGCCGCTGCAGAAAAAGCACTCTTTGTCAAAGCAAATGGTTACGGTGGTGCATTTACTTTTGTAAGTCCAACGAAAATATTCGACTGCTGGAATATGTTTGTATATGTAGGGCCTTCATCTCGATGATCCAGCTGATATTTGTCAACATGGTGAAACTTTCCCAATTCATCGTACAGTCGCTCGATATTTGCAATAACTGTGATACGATCTGTCACTTGTTTTTCGGTATTTTTTTATAAGTAATATTTTGCTTTTTGCTCCAATTGATAATAATAAACAAAAAATCTCATTGTGATACCTCAATAAATCAGAAAACATCGTGATTTTCTTCTTTTATCTTAGTGAATCAACGATGTCGTCGGTGTTCAGTCGTATCTATCTTCTAGTCTACATCCTATCTATTTTCATAATGATATGCGAAACACGAATGATGGATGCAGAAGAAACAATTGAGAATCCACAGCTTGCTTCTATTCTGGCAAACTATCGTCATCGATTTGAACATTCAACAAATATGAAAAAACTTCGATGGATCTTGCAGAGCCGATACAATAAAGCTTACTGTGAATTTTGCGATCTAGTCGTACCTGTGGTATGAGGACGATCTAGTTTATCTACTGACATTGAGAATTTGCTCATTTAATTTAGGTTCGATTACTGATCGAAGCGAATCAAACTGCTCACATAGAGAACGTCGTCATGGGATTCTGCAAAGAATTCAAATTAATCGATATCGATGTTTGTATCGGTGCAGTTCACGAATATCGAGTAAAATCTCTCTCACTAACGAAAGCTCTTTCTTTTCAACAACTTTATTTCTCATATAGGATGCAGTCATAGCAGTTATATCTCAATCAAGTTATAGTAACAAGCAATTATGTGCATTAGCATTAAATTGCCGTAAACAATTTGATTATCCGATATTAACATGGAACGTAACATTTCCATCAGACAAACCAAAACCATTGCCAAAACCGCCCCAGCCTCCCAAAGTAAGTATTACCAATAGGCATTATAATGATTAGCGATTAATTTGATCACGTCGTGTTCACTGTCGAGTAGTTTGCTTGTGTGAGTTATTTTTTGCCATGTGTAAGCTGTTTTGTTGTGTACAGATGAGTCAGGAAAGAGTTCATTGAGATCGAGGGAAGGATTCGATGAAGCACTTTTGTTTCGATCGGTTTGAATGTAACAGCACACAGATGTTTCAAGCCAAGCATTGTCCGTATTTTTCGCGTCGTCTATGAAAAAAAAAATAGCAACTTCATTTGGTTAGAAAATGAAAGTATAAAATTCTCTTTACCTATGTAAGCAGTGCTGACAAATGTTAAATGATCGATGATTCCATTGGTTGCATCACCATTCACGTTCGAATCTGAACTATTCCATTTATGATAAATGTCACCGAGAAAACTCTTCAAAGTTTTCTTCACAGCACTCATGTTTGTTCCTGTGGTCCATGTCGCTGGTAAATGATAATATGAATCATCAACTGTCGTATGCATCATATATTTGAAAACTTCTTTATCGAACTTCATTTCATTTGTACCACACATGACGACCAGATGAGTTTGATAATTAACTCCCCAGCGTGGTAGAATACCTCGGCCATGTATACCAGTTCGACCAAGAGGATTCAGTGGATAACCTTCGGCATCGATTTCATAACGACCAGTTGGATTTGCAGTACGTCGATCAATATTATGACTGATATCGAATGTATTCCACATAAAAGTTGAATCGATCTCTTCAGGATCAGTATCAGTACTATCATAGAGCAGTGAAGAATGTGTGTAATACGGTGGATTGTAACTATATAAAAATAGCTTTGACCTTTCTGCTATAGGAGTGATCACGTAAATCATTACTCTGGTAGATCAACAGCCCAGGGTACTTGATCATCTTCCATCTGTTGCCGGGATATCGATGTATCTGGATAAACACCTATCCGGCAGAACTGATGGATAGGCAGAGAGTTACTCTTAACCGATGGGCGACTTTGCACTTGTTTTTTCTATTGAGATCAGATAGAAATTTTGCAAAGGACGCTCTTTTCGAATACTTTCTGTCGTCGTCCACATGCATTAGCAATAACATGTTGATATGGCGAAAGTAATTCTTCTTCATCAAAAAGACGTTTTTCTTCATCGGTTAGCTTTGTTTGATGAACTTGAACAGTTTTTTTCTTTTGAAGTTTCAGTCCTAATAATTGTTTACACATATCAATGGTAAATTCATTCGGATGATTTATCTTCTCATGTTTCTTCGTGCCAGATGGGGATGATTCATTAGCTATTGATAGTTTCTATACAAATATTTATTGCAACATGTAAGAAATGCAACAAACTTGAGCGATAAGTTTTATATTCGGTCGTTGATTGGCAAACTTTGAATGACGATTCGCATTCAAAAGTTTGAATAATGCTTGATCTTTCACGGAAACTTTGTTCATGTCTGTGATTTACATGATAAAACAAAACTAAAATCGAAAAAATTAGAAAAACTAAGCGCTTTATATCTAGACGTATTCGTTCTTTTAGCCTGGCTCACCTATCTTCACTGTTTTACATTTATCGGATATTCATGTCGATTTTTCTTATAAACCTGGCTCGCAAGCTGACTGTTCGCAACCGTTATGTTGTCGGTATGGGGAGCCAGGTTTGTACCTGTCGACGAATTCAAAGAACTTATTTACATAGTGTGTTTGTCATTAGCTCCAGGGCATGTAGGTGCTGGATTTTGGTAAGACTTTTCTCTGATGATAATGGCAACTCCAAAATATGTTCTCAATCTAGGGGTGATGTGCGTAATTGCGATCTTCCATATTGGACAGCCGAAGTTATGCTGAAATATGCTTCCGAATTGGAAAAAGTAGCATTTTCTGGTTATATATGAAAAATATTCGTTTTCTACTTAGGTCGATTTTGTTTATTATACCGGTGATCTACCGCCTCATAATGTTTGGAATCAATCTCAAGAACAACAACTTTATTCACTCAAAACAATCAATCAGTTACTAGCAGAAACATTTCCAAATGTAACATTCTACTCTGCAGTCGGTAACCATGAAGCCGGTAAGCGTCACAAAACAAAGTTTACGATTTCACCAATGGTGCTTTCATTCAATTAGCTCCGTGCAATTTGTTTCCAACGCCTAATATTCAGTCAAGTAATATTTCATGGTTATATCATGCATTAGCTGACAGTTGGATTAATCTTGGATTACCCGACGATACACGTGAAACAATCGAGCGTGGTGCTTTTTACACAACAGTCGTCCGACCTGGTTTAAGAGTGATTTCATTGAATATGAATTATTGCTCAGCAGAGAATTTCTGGTTGTTTATCAATTCAACCGACCCGTTGGAACAACTTCAATGGGTAAGACTGTTTCCTGAAGAAAACATCAATGTACATCCATCACGAATTTCAGATGATCAATTGGTTACAATACGCAGAAGATCATGGAGAAAAAGTGCATATTATTGGACATATACCTCCAAAAGCATGTCTAGCATCATTCAGTTGGAATTTTCACAAAATTGTCAACCGGTAAATTGTATTGATATCTAAAAACCACTTTCAGATGTGTTTTATCGAAAATTTGATTAGCTATGAAAATACGATTTCTGGTCAATTCTATGGTCATACACACAATGATGAGTTCTTTATCAATTACGATGAACTTGATCCCAAACGACCTGTTTCAATGGTTGAGACGCGCTCCTTTATGTTCCTTTATACACATTCACCTTGTTTTAGGGATATATAACACCATCGTTAACCACTTTTTCAAATCTCAATCCCGGTTATCGTGTATATAAAATCGATGGTTACTATCCTGACAGTTCCTATTGGGTACTTGACCATCGCACTGTAATTATGAATTTAACAGCAACAAACCTTTACAATCGAACGATTTTCGTTGATGAATATGATGCTCGTTATGCGTATCAAATGGATAATTTATTTCCAGATGATTGGCATAATTTTGTTCAACGTCTCGAAATCGATATGGATGGACCATTAATGAGTTTGGTCTATCAGTACTATACGAAATCCTATGCAAATGGCACACAGTGTGATCACAACTGCCGTCGAGGACTTCTATGTGATTTTGTTACATCTCGTGCAGAAGATCCGCATCCGTGTGATGCAATTCCGAATTAATTTGTCTTTCATTGCAATCATTGCAGTTCTTTTTTTTGTTCTTATTGGGATAAGAGAGAAAACCATGATCGATACAATCGAAATAAAAACTAGTGTCCTGCGAGAACGCCTTTCCTCATTTCCATGGGAAAGGGAGCTGGAAGAGAGGTAGAAATTGATATTCCTTGAATTTTTATCATAGAATTGCTGATTTTATTAAATTTTGTTTCTAATGCACAATTAACAGAAAGATAACGAATTTGCATCAGCAAAAGTATATTTTAATTGACTTTTAACTCTACGGCTTATCTAGGTAACGATCAACCAGCGCTATTAATCTTTTTTCATTAGTTTTTTAGGTATACTGTGTTGATCTATCTCGTTACCTTTTAGAAACTACGAAAAATGGTCATAGTCGTCAGGAAAAATTAACTATTTTAAAGCAAAAGTAGTTTTCAAATGCATTTATGTCTCGTGTCATATTTTGACATCCGTTTTGGGGGCTATCACAATGAATGTATTAGTAGACATCGATGCTATGTCTACACTTTCCAATCTGCAAACCACCTGTAATTGTTGCTAAATTTACAAGAATAGTGTTCTCAAAGGACTCCATAAAGTAACGTAAGTGCGTTACCTAGGAACAAAACTTGTGTCACAATTCAATTGAAACAGCACTACCCTCTTGAATCAAGTCATCGAAAATTTTGGGAATGGGAATAAGTATAATTCTTTTGGGGATAGGAAATATAAAAAGTCGTTCGTGAACGACACCATATAAAACACAAACAGATGCTGCTGATAATCAAAGTTAAAATAGTAGAAAAAAAACTTCATACGAAATGACTAGTTTTATCAGCAACAACATTCGCTTTGATTAAAACAAGTTATACCGAGATAAGATAATCGTCATACATGGCCTCGTTTGTTATTTTAGTTCTTCTTATTTTCTGTCATAAAATCTATGGAGTTTATAAGACGGTTACTTGTTGTGCTGTGCGTCACAACGTGTTGTGTATCAATCGTATCGGCGCGATCAATTCTACAAGGTTCAGTAGAAGTACTATTGAATGACGCACCTGAGAATGACGAGTCCAGTTCACTGTCTGACAGTGTCAGCGGGTATCGTCATCGTTTAGAACATTCAACTGATATACAAGCGATTCGTTGGTCTTTGAGGAAGTTAAATGCTGACGAATTATGTGAATTTTGTGACTTGATCGTTCCAGTTGTAAGTTATTTGCTTCGTTTTTGCGTGTTGAATGGAGTTCTGTAACAGTGATATGAAATTAGATTCGTATACTTGTTGAAATAAACGACACAGCTCGTTTTGAAGCAGCACTGTTATTCGTATGCAGAGAATACAAGAAAATAGCTTTCGATGTTTGTGTTGGTGCAGTTGATGAATACAAGGTAAGTATTTGAACTGAATCTTACATGAAAAACTATATTTACATCATCAAATTTCAAATAGAATGCTGTTCTTGAAATTATCGTAAAATCACCACTGAATAACAAAGGATTATGTGCGCTGGCATTCAAATGTGACTCGCAGTTTAATTACCCACTTCTCAACTGGAATGTGACGATTCCAGATAAACTCAAACCAACGCCACGACCACCTCAACCACCATCGGTAAGATGATAGACACGATCGTACTACAAAAAAACAAATCTATTCCTAGCCCTCAGCGCCTAAATTGACTCTCCTTCATCTCTCTGACATTCATGTCGATTTCGCCTACAAACCTGGATCAATCGGTGACTGTGGTAAACCACTATGCTGTCGAGACGGTCAACCAGGTAGGATCGTTCTTTACAAAAAAAATGATCAGAAAATACTATTTTAAACTTTGAACTTATTCAGGGGCCAATCAAACGGGAGCTGGTTTTTGGTAAGGTCTATTCTTACCATACATGTTTGATGTATATATATATATGTGCATGATTAAAGGGGTGATTATCGAGGCTGTGATTTGCCGTATTGGACAGCAGAAGCGCTCCTGAAACGTATCGTAGAAGTTGAAAAAGTAAATTTTGTCGGATTCTGCCATACGATTTATATTCTATCTCTTTCAACAGGATATTGATTTTATCTATTATACTGGTGATTTGCCACCGCACAATGTATGGAATCAATCCCGTAGTGACCAATTATACTCGATCAATACGATCAATCAGTTATTAGTAACACTTTTCCCGAATAAAACATTCTATTCTGCCGTGGGTAATCATGAAGCAGGTAAGCGGTTACCTAAACATTTTCTGAGTGAATAATATATTCCCATTTGTAGCACCATGCAATATGTTTCCAACGCCGAGTGTTCGCTCGGATAATATAACTTGGCTGTATCAAGCATTAGCGGATAATTGGATCAAACTTGGTTTGTCGCCAGACACTCGGCAGAGTATTTTACGAGGTGCTTTCTACACAACAATCGTCCGACCTGGACTACGATTGATTTCAATGAACATGAACTATTGTGCCGAGGATAATTTCTGGTTATTTATCAATTCAACTGATCCATTGGAACAACTTCAATGGGTAAGAGCGTTTTCTCAAGAAAACAAAAGCATAGATTTGGTGTGAATATTAGATGGTTAATTGGTTACAATATGCCGAAGATCACGGTGAAAGAGTGCATATCATTGGCCACCATCCACCAAGTTCATGTTTAGCAGCATTTAGTTGGAATTACTATAAAGTTGTCAACCGGTAAGCAAGATAGACTGTCTTCGAAGGAAATACTTATCTTTGAATGACATTAGATACGAAAATACGATTGCCGGCCAGTTTTTTGGTCATGTCCATTCAGATGAATTTACTGTCTTCTACGATGAAGTCGATTCGAGACGCCCTGTCTCCGTCGTAAGTAAACTTGTGTTTTAATCAAAATATTCGAAAGAATCTTTTCTTTTTGCAAGGCTTATATCGGTCCTTCTGTAACAACATATTCCAGTTTAAATCCCGGCTATCGAGTATTTACAATTGATGGATACTATCCCGGCACATCGTATTGGCCACTCAATCATCGAACAGTGATTATGAACTTAACGGAATCAAATATACAGAACAAAACTATCTTTCACGATGAATACAATGCTCGTGATGCTTATGAATTGAAAAATCTATATCCAACTGATTGGAGTAAATTTCTCGATCGACTACAGAACAATATCGATGGTCCAATGATGAAACTAGTCGCACAATATCACAGAAAAAGTCATGCAAGTGAATGTAATCACAACTGCCGTCGTGCACTTCTATGCCGGTTAAAATCTGCGAGATCGGAAGATCCTCATGCTTGTGATTCGATTCCACCATTTTGAGCAAACTCGTTTTTGTTTTCTTTATTAATCAAATTCAATAAAAAGTTTCAATTTTATTCATACAAAACAGCATACAGCATTCGACTTAGTCCGAGACAAGTTGTAAGAATATTCCATAATAAAGTAATTCGAGACCAAAAACAAGCGTCAGAGTGATCGTTCGCTTCTTGATAAATTGTTATTCGAAAAGATAAACACAGTGCGATAAAAACCCAGGATAAGAAAACCAAAAATAACATTCGAATACGACCATAAATACCACTCGTAAATCTTTTTTTCTTCTTGGACGTTTTTCTTCATTTAAAAATAGTTCCTGATCAAAACAAATTAAGTTCGCCATTGACATCAGCTCTAATGATCGCACATCTTTCGCTTTCACCTACTCAACAGGAAATAATCAAAAGGAAAAAAAACATGATTCCACAGTCATAAATAGTTCTCGCTTAATTATTCATTGATATCTTATATAAAAAGCAGAAGGGATTCTGAGAGAATCTGGTACAAACGCACAGAAACCTCCTGAAGATGCATATTGAAATTCAATAAGGTCATTAAAAAAAGAATTCACGTAGTTTGTATTTACTAGATGAGCTGACACTCTTTTCTATTCGAAATAGAGGTTGATTGTCATCGACATAATCAAGATCTGTCATGTATAATTGATAATCAGCATCAATGAAGTCTATCCATGATGTTGACATTGAATTCATTATCGATGATTAATGTTTGTCATTGATGTGAGCAATTTACAACGAGTTATAAAGCTTTTTCTCTTTTATTGCTTCTAATACAAGATTTTCTTTTTGTTATCTCAGTTAACCAGCATGTAGAAAATAAAAAAAAGATGAAACTTGTTGTCAAGACTGTAAGACGATGAAAACATTCATTCATAGGTTAGAACAACTACTTAACGAAGTGCTTTAGGAATATCGAATGAAAATTTCGGATCGTCTTTTGTTAACTGAAGATATTCTCGCGGCGAAGTTTCGCGACGTACCCAGTGTAGGACGATTTCTTGATCGGATGGACACGACTTAACGAAAGCGTCCAATTCGTAAGCAGCGGCTAAAACGAATGAAAATAAGAGTCGCTTTTGGTTTTAGACATCGACGTACCTAGATAAGCCCATACGGCTTCGAATTCTGTCGGAATACTTAAATGTAAAATGTAATCCGCTGCGACGCGAATGTGTTGTAATTTTGGCCATAGAGAACAATCGAGTCCTGTGATGTGATTGGATGAAATATATTTTGTATTTCGTGTTCGAAGAAAACTATCGATTTTTTCCAATTCATCCAACAAAATCCGAGGATTATTGTGTACATCTTTGATCAAATATGTGAAGCGGGTGAAAACGTTCGACTGGACTTTGAATGCTTCTGGATCTTGTGCGGCGAGTTTATAATTCGGAGATATTGTGTCGAGATAATCTTCAATATCGTCGATGTCATTGAGAACGACGTCGCCATGAACTAAGGTGGGCAGTTTTTTCGAAAGTTCTTTGAATTCTTTCGGCGGATTTTTACAGTTGATGGTGATAACATCAAAACTGAAGTCATTGTCAGCTTCGCGTTTGATTAATAGTTTCAGAAAGATATCTTGACAAAATGGACAGGCGCCTTTCGATCGACCATCATTTCCAGCTAAATCGGAGGTGAGACAGTCAATAATACGGATTGGAAATGTTTTTCTCCTTACCTTTGATAAACAAATGAAGTTTTTGACCATCGTCACCATTTAATACAACTGGCTGTAATAGACAAGAGAAAAACGAACGATGTTTCATATTTATCTCTGTCAAATACTCAACTACTCACAGAATCAGGTTGCTCATCATCGACTTCATCAGCCATTTTTCTACTATAATACGAGTGATCTTTTTTATATCAATACTGTCTTTCTCTTTCTCCCTAGTGTGTGTACGAATGTCTATATAAGTAGAAAAATTAAAGTCGCATGGTGATAAAAAGCCCGATGATGTCGACAAACGCCCGTCCTTTTCCCGTTTTTTTCTCTGTCTTTTGTTCGATATTAAAGGCAATCTTCATTGGCCTGCTCACGTTCGTGTATCTGACACATCGCAGAGTAAAGGGAAGAGAAAAAAAAACGTGAAGGAAAAGAATAGAATAGCGTGCTCGGTTTTGCGTTTCTTTATTTCTAACTAATTATATGAGTTTTCACAGAAGAACGAGCAAGACAAAGAATAGAAAGCATCTGTTCAACTTCAAACATGTGAATCGATTTACCTTTCAAGATAAAAGATTCAAATGTCGTGCTCCAGAATGAAGACAATGACAACATTCATATAATTGATATCTACTCACGGATGACGATTCTTGCCTAGACATGATGAGTAATACGACACAGTTAGAACGTGTTTGCAATGTGACAAGAGATTTATCGTAAGTCAACCGACTGAAAAAAAAGGAATCAAATATATGCGTAAGACCAACAGATTGTGGAAGAGAGAAAGAAGCAGCGACATTCAAGGTTTAGGTGCCTTTATTCATATCCAACCGAAGTTATTTTTCACACGTCAATAGAAAACAGAAGGTAAAGAAAAAAATTGTCAGGTAGAACATGACTATTGGTTCGATCATCAATGGGTAGAAAAAGAAAAAAGAAAGAAAACGATTATGACACTTCGTCAATATTTTGCTTACAAAATACTGTATAAATATATGTATGAAATCAAAAAACGTACACCTACCGGCAAAGGACGACATTGTTTCGAGTAGAGAACTGGTCGTGAGAGGAGTGTAACTTGCATAGTAACTTTAATGATCAATACAATCACTACGCGATGGTATAGCTTTGTGCTTCCTCTCTTTGTCTTTGTCTAGCAATGTGCACACAAGTGTGTTAGCAAATGTATTCAACATTAAATCGACATATACATATGAATGACAATGTCGCGTCGATTGAACATCATCTCTTTCTCTTTTCTATGTTATTTACATACGATTTCTCTCTTATTGGAAGTGATTAAACCTCTCGATATCTCTTTTTTTTGCCCTCCGGCTATCAATCATAGGTACTCTTCTCTTTCGTGTTCAAATCATCATCGATCTTATTTCGACACTCTTCGTTTTCGAAATAAATGTCTACTCATATTCATGGTACGAAAGGATTTGATTTGGCCTTTGTAGACTACCATACTGACACACTAACTCGTGAGCGTTTATCGACGATGATCTACTCTGAAGACATTACCTGAAGGTTTAGTTCAATAAGTGCATGACATGATGAATTTATCTGATCCGATTAGTGGTTGACTGAAACAAATAGAAGAACACGGTTTAAATCGGGCTTGTTCAATCATCTCGTGACGAGATACGTGCGGTAACGAGGGACTTATTTTGAGATTTTACTCGCATTTTGCTTTCCAGCAACGACATGTAGTATTTGTAGTGTGACGGTAAAGCAATTCTTTTTTTTCCTTTTTAACGCGATTTGAATAGATCCATGACATCAAGGACTACTTATTTGTCTTCTTTGTTCTCTGAACTTTCACACCTGTTGTGCGAATGAAAGCTTCTGAATACAAGAAAGTTATTATGATTACGTAAGGCATCTGATATTTCCTTGTACGAGTTTGAACATCGGTAATGATTCCTTGCAATTGAATGATGCGAGTAACTCTACGTCGAAGTTTTTTGTTAAGATTGTCAGAAGGAAATGGAAATGGTTTAGATAGTTTCACTATCTATTTTAGTCACAGCTACTGATTCGTATTACAAATAATTACTCTAAAAATCTAGTTTCATGCAGTTGTATCACTCGGTGTGATGGTGTTGCTGCTTCTTCTTCTCTGCTGCCGTAGCGCAGCTACGACGCCTGATAGTGTTGAAACCTGTAATGGTTGAAGAGTTCGGATCCATAAATTATTGCGAGGTTCACATTCCAGATGCCCGTTCGACATTGTGTCCAATGGCACAACTAATCTTTGTGATGACAATTGATCAGCCAGTGGTGGTGACGGTGTACGATTTTTGTTTTTTACCGGGTTGGAAGCTTTTTGAACAACGATCGTTGGCGGTCGTGTGTAGGCTGATCCATTTGGATGGATTGTATTCAGCGGATACATCCTCTGCTCCCATCTGTTATAGATACTAGTAATAGCAATGCATATGAGGGAAAGCAGAGACAATATGGAAAAAGTGCCAGCAAGGGCAATAAATAGAATTCTAGCGATCTTAGCTTCCAGTTTTGATATTTTTTTTAAATAACCGTGCTGATATTTGGTAGACCAATAGATAAATAATAACGATTGGTTTATGTAAAATTCATGTTTATCCAAGTTCAAACATGGATCAACCGAGCATTCTTCACATGAACTTTCATAATCAGACCTGAAAAAAGTTCATTTAAAAAAACAATAGAAATTTATTTCGTTCGCAAAATGATTTACCATGTTGAGTAGAGAACAATGTTTTGAACATTGTCATATATAACACATCCTCCAGAAATCAATTGGCAGGTTTTCACTTGTTGATTGCTACAAGATCGATTTTTGTATCGAATATCATTGACCGTACAGTTCGTTCGAAAAGTAAAGAACTGTTCCTTTAAACTACCGAGGTAAATATGAACATAGAATACGATGAAACTAACCAATGCAAGACAGAAGAAAATACCGATAATGATGGTCAATCTTATCCACGCTTTTCGAGACAGTTTTAAAATCCATCGTCCGCAGTAATTACAAGTTGGCATGATTGCACAAATAGACCAACTATCAGCCTTCGTGCAGATAAATGAGAAAAAAACATTGTGCTAACAAGTAATAAAGAAGTATGTCAGATGTTAAATGGAAAGATTTTACGTCAACGTCTATAGAAACAAATTAAATATTTGAACCAGTAGGATTCTTCTTCTTTCTGGAAAGTGCGTACGAGAATACAACATATCCGTTGTACCACGGTATTTGAAAAGGATTGTCATGCTTTCATCCAACCATTTGTGGTGGTATAATCATAGATAGACTGCGATTTTCAGGATGTAGGAATCCCACGGTTGTTAATCAACAATTAGCTGAAGTAACGGAAATCGATTAAAAAACAATCGCCGACGTTGTTTTGTTCGGTAGTTTTCCTACTCTCATTCTCGTAGTTTCTCAATCATTCTGTAACACATGTGACCATTTCATGTATCAGCTGGAAACTTATATTAAAAACATTTGATCGACTCATAAGCAAAATCATTCGTACTGATGATTTCCAACCCATCACATTTCGCTAGTTATAAACAGAGACATTGTACCGATAGATTTTGTTTAATTCTATTCATCGGCTTTGTTATTGCTTATATTGTTCTGGCGATAATTGTCATCAGCCATGGAAATCCAATAAGTTTGATACAACCAAGCGATTCTTTTGGTAATATATGCGGACAAAAAGAGTTCAAATCGCGACCCTATCAATTCTATTATGATATAAGCAAATGCTTAACCGAGAATAGTCTTTCACTGGTCTGTCCAACGATAAAACTATGCGTTCAATCATGTCCTACTTATTACTCGCATTACCAACTGTTACAATCCGATGAGAATAATGATTATCTATCGAAAAATCGCACTCGTCAGCAGTTGATCTGCGTATACAATTACATACCGATGGAAGATAATCGCAGTATTCTCGAAATGGTCCAAAACAACCTTTGCGCACCGTATACAATTCCATCGGAGCCATTTTTTGGTCTTTGTATTCCGTCGATGATCACTGATGTATTTGAGTATCAACAAAATCGAACGTTGAACACTTCTCGTGAACAGATGACTGGAATTGCTGGTATCAGTCGGCTCGTTGCTTCGGATTTAGAACAAATTAAAGAAAGTTTGGCATTATTCATACTACTCGGTGGTTTACTAGTTGTGTTGTACATGTTTGCTCTGACAAAAATAGCTGGCTTTATTGTTTTCTTCACGATTATTATATTCCTTACAGTTTTATTTGTTTGTAGTCTATATTGCTGGTACACCATCTATACTGGTCAAGATTTCGTTTATGAATATAGTGCTATGGCAAGAATTATTAATGATTTTGTTAAATTAAAAACAATTTATTATATCATTGGTTGTCTAACAACGTTCTTCTTTGTTTTCAGTTTAATTCTTACCATTGTTTCTTTGAATCGCTTTCGTTTAAGTGTCATTCTATTGGAACATGGAGCCAATGCCATCTTTTCCAGTTTAAGTACATTATTTTGGTCGCCGATCGTTCCCACACTGTTCGTTTGCTTAACCATCGCAGTCGTCTACATCCAAATGTGTTTTTCAACCATTCCTTGTTCGCTGAAGATTGATGATACTGAATGTGCCTTCCAACAGGAATTCGGCTACAATTCATCCGTTCCAAACGAAGTCGATTATTTCACACGTACAACTCTCAAATTTCTGGTAGATAACAAAACAAATCTGAAATGGTTGAATTTATTTGCGTACATTTGGTTCAGCAGTTTTCTGTTTGCATTCGATAGAATCGTTCAAGCCGGTGTTTTTGGAAATTATTACTGGTCGAAACAATCCTTTACGACTTCATGTCCACTCATCTATTCGATTGTTATTACAATTCGATATCATTTAGGTTCCATTGTATTTGGTGCGTTAGTCATTACGCTGTTCAATCATTTACGAATGATTCTCAATTATCTGAATCGAAAACTATCGAGATTTAACGGATGTTGTCTACTAACATGTTTCTTCTGGTTATTTGAGAAATTTCTGAAATTTCTTAATACAAACTCTTATATACTCATCGCTACGCATGGTTATTCATTTTGTAAAGCAGCGCGTCGAGCATTTCTCTACATCTCGACAAATTGCATTCGATTTTTTATTGTGATTAACCTAACACAATGGATTCTCCTCTGCGGGCGAATCTGCGTCTCTACATGTAACGTCTATTTCTTCTATCAATATCTACAATGGACAGATCAGTTGAATCATCTGACTCTTCGTTGGATTCCATTAATTCTGATTGGATTACTAACTTATCTTATCTGCAATATGTTCTTTAATGTTTATAATATGGCAATCAAAACATTCTTTCTATGTTTTCTTGAAGATTTCGACGAAAACGATGGGTTGATATCATGTCCTTATGTAATGAATAATGAACTTTTACGTTTAGTACACAAAACAAACATTGTCGTTGGAAAAGAATGAAAACAAAAAACAGCAAGCACGCGCACACATCTCTATATAAAGAAGAATTTTTTTGTTATATTTTATGAAGAACTGTCGGTTAAAACAGGTTTCAATCGTAGATTGAGTTTGACTTGTTTGGTGACTCGTCGAATAACAGGTAAATAGACCATACAAGGTACAAATGTGTGTGCAAATTTAGGATCTTCACTTTCGAGGAGAAATGGTTGTAGACCGCCATTTGCTTCGGTCAAAGAATTAATTCGTTTGTTCGTATCGGTCGACGATTGACTTAAACTTCGTTTACGTTTCAATGAATTATGATTTCCATCGGACTCATCTTCACTTTCTTGTTCTTGTTGCTCAGTAGTATTTCCGGCTGCTAATGACAGAAACGGGTTTAGCATGGAATTCTCATGCATACCAGTAGCTGCTTTCATGAGTTGAATTAGTGTTTGATATGTCGGATCAGATGTATCATTGTGCAATGTTTGCATATGAAACATATAGAGATATTTCGTCGAGAAATCTTTTTTACATATATAACAATATGTATTGCTGTTTTCGTTATTGGATTCGTTGATATCAGCTGGCTCAGAAGACGGATTATCTGAAAAGGAGAAAAGTCATCGATTACTACCTGACCGGATGTTTGCTTAAAGAGATTTAGCATACCGTTGTCGGGATCAGTATGTTCATCTTGTTGATTTTCTGCTCCTGGTGATTTCATTACATCGTTCAAGGCTGACTGATGAAGTGTATTAGGCAGTACCATCGTCGGCGGCATGCTATCACCATTACCGTTTGAAGTATGATTTGTTCCGTTGATGATCCCATGAACTTTTGCTAGAATAGAAAAAAAAAGATGAGTAACGACCAAAATGTGAGATCTTCACCTACCTTTATGTGTTTTTAGAAAATATTTATTACAAACTTGTTTATTACATATTTCACAAACAACGCGATCGGCCATTTTTGCACAGAAATAAGAATCGTGCAGGATTCCATACGATGCTGGTGGCCCTTGGCCAGCAACAAGTTTATGTGCCAGTGGACTGGTCGTATCAACATAAGGTTGTAAGAAACCTAGAGTGCTCGACGGTGATATTGGAAATGTTGGTGTTGCTGTCAATGGTGGTGATGATTTGTTCGCTAGATTTTTCTTCGTTGTTTCATTCGGATGAAATGTATTCATGTGCATTCGCAGAAGAGCTTTGTTACGAAATTCTTGTTGACACACATGACAACGACGCACAGATGAGGAAGGTGGCGGTGATGACGATGATGACGATAGACTTTCAGTATGATTAGTCGCCGCATTGCCCGGAAATAATGGCTTAATATCAGTTGCTGTCGTTGGAAGGTAGAATGGGTTTGATAAAGAAGAGATACTTGGTGGGACTAGAGATGACAAATTAGATGCAAAATGACAAGAAAAGAATGAAAAAGTCAATCTACCTTGCGTAGGCCGACTAGCTTGACTTTTGACCGGGCTTTCATTGGCGCTTTTTTGTAATGATTTGATATAATCGGTATAGATTCCATGACATTCACCCTTGTGTTTCTATTTGAAAAAAAAAGCAATCGGAATTCAATTTTAATCCTTTACACATCTCGACTAACGAATTGTTTATTCTGGTATGCATTCGTTCGTTCGTGGATAAATAAGCTTATTAAAAGTCAGATAAGCTCCTCGTTTCTACTATCTTTTGAAGATGTTCACAATGTTCTCTCTTCAATATTTACATCGAAACAGAAAGAAGAAGAAGAAGAAGAAGAAGAAAAAAGATTCATCTAAAATTAAACATCACATCTTTTTGAACAAAAGAGGTAATCTCTACAAACAGTAGTTTGAACGAAAGTAAAGCAATCTATTAGTGTGCGTGCTTGACAATGTTTGGAATATTTAAACTAGAAGTCCTTCTTTCTCAGGCAATGTAAACAATGAACGTGACTTAACTTCAATTTGATCAATACTTACACGAAGATAATATTTATTACAAAAACGTTTTTGGCAAATCTAAAACAAAAGACTGTTCCAAGCAAAGCATCACAAATGACCTAATTACGCACTTCACAATAATCTTCGCCCACCTTTTGTGACGATGGTTCAGCTGATTGGATTGGTGAGGATGACGAAGGCGGTGTTGATTGATTGGTATTCGAGTCGATTGCGGAGAACGATGGAGAAACGACGTTGAGAACACCATGTTTTTTAGCGAAATGGGTTTTGAGAAAATATTTATTGCAGAATGAACGTTCGCATAGATTACAATAGGCTTTCGTCGGGGAGTATTGATCGGAATTGTTGTTTTCCGGCGAAGGCGATTGACCATTGGTCAGATCTTTTGAAAGAAACATCGAATTATTTTTTTCGTTAATATCAAAATGGGAATCTTTACCTGTGGGAATACCTTCGTCTTCACTTGTAACTCTAGAAAGCAAAAAATATTTATGATTGACTAGGAAACATGATTCTTACCGATTCGGTTTGATCTGTTTACGTTTGTTTGGTGATTTGAAAAGATCGTCATGGCGTTTTTCATCAGTGGATTTGCTTATTGACAAATCATTGATTTCATCTTCTTTAATGATTGAATTTTGCTCACCAATCATTGTCGATTCTGCTTTCAATATATCTTCGTCTTGAATGATCATCATTTGAGACGATGCATCAGACAAGGAAAAAAACGAAGACAGAGAGAAAAAGAAAATCTAAATAGAGAGAGAGAGAGAAATATGTACAATAGAGACGAGAGAGAGAAAGAGGGAGAGAAAAGACGAAGAAGATTTATTAGTTTTGTTCTATAACATAGCAGAAGCAAGCAAGATGTATATCTTCTCCTTCGTCTTCTTTTTTTTTCTCTTTCAAAATCAAGCAACCCCGTTGGCTCATCATCATTATCGTCTCGCAGGCACGCGTCGTCCTCCTGTACGATATTTTCAATACATGTGTACACACAGATATGAGAAAAGAAAAACAGAATATGCACGTATATCGTTCGGGTTTTGCCCGCTCGAGAAGGGGAGAGAACGGAAGCGACACACGGATCTAATTGAAAAATGAGGAAGAAGATGATCAATATCTTCGTAGCAAGAACATCTGGTGTGTTCTTTTAGTATTAGTGAAAAAGAAAAAGATCAAAAGGTCAAATTCTTGAAATTCATCAGACAATAATGCCGAAAGAAAACTTAGTCAACGAGATCTCACATAGATAACATAGTTTGAAATCGAAACAATTTCGCGAATAAATTCATTCAAATATGCAATCGTCAAGTTTAGATTTACAACCTAATTGACAACAAAGAATAAACAGGAAATAACATCAAAGTTCGAAAACGGATATCTCATTTCCGACTAGACCTGTTTATTGTTCAACATCGTTCGAAATTTTGACAAATGAACTTCGCGAACTGTCAGAAAGATTTCTTGTCAGTTTCTGATAATGTAGTTTTCGATCTTCTTCAAACTGAGCCTATCGATGACCAGATGTCACGAATGCGATCATTCCAGTGAGAACAAATCTTCCTTTTTGTTATTCTTAGGGAAAAAAATAAATGAGAAGCACGACCGATCAGATATCTTGACTTTCTCTTGAGAAAATAATGTTCTAATATCCTTTCATTCGATTCATATACGCATTGACATATCATTTCTCGTTCTACTTCTTCAAATATCTTCTCCATACGATTTGGATCATGCTGTGTGATGCAACAATGAAGAAGATCGGAAAGAACTGTATATATACATCGCAGATGAAAATATTCTCGCGCGAAGACGAACACATTTTCCAGCGCAGCATGTCTCATCGGATGATACAAATAATAAATCTTAGAAAACAAGCAATCGAACGGAAAAGGCACTCTAAAATGAAAACATAATAGATAGTCGACAAGGAAGAAGAAGAAGAAGAAGAAGCCTAGTAGGTTGTTTATTCAAAGCAGTCAGGCGAGTTGATGATGGACAACGTTTCTTTCCATTTTGCTGATATGCAATCGACTTTTAACGGTTCACCTCTTGCTGCTCGAGGTGATTAGGACAATATGGGAGCGGAAGAAAAGGCAGAAGTTCTGAAAAAATGATAATGATGAGATGAACGATATATTCTCAATGCGAAAGCAACAGAAGATAACAGACACGCGTCTGCTACACATCGGTGAATTTCTTTTCAATTGATCGAAAGTACACTACTCCAGATGTATATGTGAACAAATAACTCTTCAGACAAATGCTCATTTAAGAAAAAGAAAAAACGATCATGTCGACGAACATCGTTTGCAATTCGTTGGACACTCAATCGATCTTTCAAGCAAGATATGAGCATAATCACAAGGCTCATTTTCTTTCTGTCGGCAGTAACAGAACGAACGTTTTTCAATTTCCGTTTCTTGTTGTTTGCAAACGATCAATAGACTCGATTCATAACCTATGTGATAGAATGAAAGTAACGCCCCTCTCTCTCTCTCACATACAAAAGAAATTGATATACTTTGAAGTTTGAAATCAAATAGAAACTCGTGAATGTACCAGCGAAACTTACTTTGTTGAAAACTGTATTGTTTTGCTTTGATTAATTGTGTACATACGCATAAGAGACTACAACATGTATATTTGATGTCAATTCGACTATTGAATGAAGGGGAGAGAAAGAGACGATTATCGTCTACAAAATCGATAAAAATTTATGCATAGAAGAGTAAAAGAGCACGATTGAATTTTCGATTTCTTCTTCATTTTTCTTTCGTATTTCAAAATAAACATCAATTGGTTTCTCTTCTGTTTTCTTTCCTCCATACACACCTGCGTATGTATGTCAACGAACGATATCGCATCTCGCGTTAGTTATTTATTAATTTTTTTCTCTCTCTCTGTACACATCATTGTGCAAAGGAGAAGAAAAGAGAAGAAATCGAAATGCAATAGGAAAAATCAAATAGTTAAAGATTTTGTAAGGTATACATCGTCTCGTTGAGTTTTATAATTGGTAATGTTTATTTATTCTTCCAGATTTCAATCAACATTTGTATTTCGTTTCATAATTGAAAAGAAAGAAGAAAACGTAGTCCGCAGACGAAAAAGAAACTTCGTTTTTTTTTGGAGACCTGGCGCCATTTTCGTCGGTTGCACAGAAATATCGACGATTAACACAGAAGAAATTTGACATTTTTCGAGGTGAGAAAGAGAACAGCCTTTAATGGTTAGTTTTACTTTCAAAAACGACAGTTGAATATGTATATACATACAGTTACTTCGAGAATATCGATTTTTAATTGCCCACGAATACGATTTCTATCCAAAGAAAACAAAAATGGCCTTTGTCACTTCAAAAGTAATTGGAGCACAAGTATATGATCAATTAATATTGTATTTCATTATGTTTACGATCTTAACAGCGAACTAAAATATAAAACATTACCTCTTTGATTATTGAGAACATCGATTTGTTTGAAGATATTTCATTGTTGAGTCAAAAATGAGTAAAACACTTCACTGACTAATTTCAACCTGGAATAACAATGTATTACTCATTTTTATCTTTTCGATACACTCGTCATACTTGTTATCTGCGCGTCTATATATATATATATATGGTGAGAACTCCAGTCCCTTGAAAACATAGTCATGGCTCGTCTTTCATGTGGTATTCAATGTTCGCGTACAATGTTATTCATCTTGAACATTGTATTTCTTATTTTGGGTTTGTCACTGTTGGGTTTTGGTATATATTTGAGTGTTAGCAAAAAATTTGATGTCGCTTTGTCGGAACATATCAATGCTAGCGTTCTCGGTGGAAATGTTCTACGAGATATTGGATACGTTCTGATTATTTTTGCTGTTTTCACTGTACTATTATCAACATTCGGCTGCTGTGGTATGTATAGTTGTCATAGAGGTCTCGGACAGATTGGATAGTCTTCTGTATTGTCTTTTGTAGGTGCAATTTGTAAAAATCGTGTGTTGCTCTATTTATACACGTTGATCCTTAGTCTTTTGGTCATTGGCGAAATAGTGGCATTTATTTTATTGTTAAGTTCACGAACGTCGATTCGTGATAGCTATCAAAGTGGTTTCAAGGAATTCTTCAATGAAGCTTACAGCAATAATCATACGGACCTTGAGAAAATTATCGAAGATATGGAGATTGAATTCAAATGTTGTGGTGCAAACAATGTCACTGATTATTATACGCGCAATTTTACCGTTCCATCGAGTTGCCATGAGAAACAAGATGTACACAAACCGATTTTTAGTAAAGGTTGCGCAGAGACGGTTGTTGAGTGGCTCTGGGATCAATTTCCGATTATCGGAAGTGTCTTGGGTAGTATTTTCCTAATTGAAATCTTTGGAATTATATCGTCCGTTGCTCTGGCAATTGCAATTTCCCATTCGACATACAATGAAATCTTGTAATGATTGTCATTTTACGTGCTTGTTACTATTCAGATTGATTTTGTATTTTTTTAAAGAAGAATAAAAGTGCTCTAGCTGATTGATTGTTAACAAAACACTTGAAACTCAAAATGATTAGTATGCGCGTACATAGAAATGAGAATATTTACAATAGGCTTTAGCTAGAAACCTGTTTGATTGAGCAAAAATATCTCTTAATGATCATTCAATTCTGTAATTTCAAATAACTACACCTATTTTTTTGCAGAAGTCGGTTTATGTTTCATCCAGAACAGAACTTTCCAAGAATATGAAACAAAAATTAAGAAGTGCATAATTGACTTTGAATGTTCTTTGCTGCTCTCTGACCACTTTGAAAAGCTGAATGAACGCAACCGTACGACCATTGATGAATACCATCATCAACGTTTGCATGTTCACCTGCCCATTGTACACGACCATCCGATGTTTCTCTTGCTAATAATTCGATCGTATGAGGTCCTGTATTAACCGAAAAATACGAATAGGATCCATATGATAGTGGATCGTGTGCCCAACGAGTAAGTCTATAATGAGTTGGATCGGGAATGGTTTTCTCAGGGAAAATTTGTCGTAGAAACTTCATTATTTGTTCTATAGTTTCAGTATCCGAAAGAACCTCTAGTTCGTGTGCAAATGAACCGGTAACAAGGAAGATAAGAATATTTTCCGGTGGTGGGAGACAAAGAGCAAATCGAAAACGTCCACGTCGTTCATTGCATGCATGTACAAAACACGCCACATTTTCATTCCAAAAGCATACAGGAAATTTTATAATTAATTTATTCATTAGACCCATACCCATTTGATCGATGGCTTGGCGCTTCCAATCAGGTAGTGGAGGTTGAAATGTGATTGTTTCATGTTTTAAACATCCTAATGGAATAGTGATGATTACTCGACGACAGTGAATCTTTGAAGAATTATTCGATGTTGTAATCTCGATTCGTTCGGGATCTGTCGTATCGATACGTGTAACGAGTGTATTCAATTCAATAGGTAAATTATGTTTTTCTGCAATTCGTTCTAACAAATTTCCATAACCACTTGGAACCCAGAAATCACCTCCGTCAGCAGCACCCACACCCCATTGTTTTCCCGAGAGCTGAGCGAAATCTGCTGCATCATATTGTTCACTACTCGAAAGGTAAAGGTCAACTAGACGTTTCACCGGCCCGTTATTTGGTACCAATCGATCATATATTTCTTGCATAATTTGTTGGATACTCTGGTCTTCTTCAGCTTCTTTCGATGATCTATACGATTCTATATGTTCATCGATTTGAAGGTATATGTCACGTGCTTGAAACATTGCTTCGTGAGAAAATCGTTTGCCATCGTAATCCAAACAGAGCTGCGTACCACCTATTCGACGTTCAGTGTCTTCGCTTTTCAAAGATTGATGGAAACTATAGAGTATATTCTGTGGCCCATACGAATGAATCCAACTTGCACCAAGATCGACTCGCGCAGGTGCAAACGTTTCTCGATCGGTATACGCTCGACCACCAATACGATCACGAGCTTCAAGTATCACAAACGTTAAATTTGTTGATTGTAATTCAATCGCTGCAGCGATACCAGCTGCACCTGCACCAACAATGATCACATCAGCATTCATTTCGACACTGCAACAAAATAAGTTAATGCAAAAGGAAAAATATAGTTGCACTTATAAGTATGTAATTTCGCAACATTCATTGTCAATAGTATGAGTCAAGAAGAAGGCAAACGCATCTAAATTTGTTTTTCTCGATCGTGTTTGATAATGTTGAAAAGGATATTGCTCTCCGGTGACAATGGGATGATTATTATAATACTTAGGTGGATAATTATCATTCAAAGCCCTTCTTTTCCACGCTGTATGTATGTCTATATATATATATATGATAGACGCATGAGTTCTACAGATACGCCTACCAGTTGGAAGAAGATACTGTATCATCGATGTCTCATCTATCGTGCGGAATCAAATGGATACGTTTCGTACTCCTAGTATTGAACATAATATTTCTTATCGGTGGATGTTTGACCTTCGGTTTCGGAATTCACATGAAGATTAACGAAAATTTTATGAAGACAAGTACTCTCTATGATACAATCCAAGCGTTGGGAGCAGAAGCGATTCAATGGTTTGCAAAACTACTGATAATCATCGGCGCGATCATCTCTTGTTTAGCTATGTTTGGCTACTTTGGTGCTCTCTGTCATACTCGAATTTTGCTCTATATCTATTCGATTGCACTTTCATTGACAATCATATTCGAATTTGTGGGTATTATTGCTATGCTAAGTTTTCATAATAATCTTTGGGAATTCTACGATGCCGGTTTTACGAAGATATTTCAAGGTGCCTATCGAAACAACCAAACAAAAACTATTGAGATCATGTCAAAATTAGAACGAGAATTTCACTGTTGTGGCGTTAACAGTATAGGAGATTATATCAAATCTGACTATCGGATTCCTTTATCCTGCTATCCGAACCAAGTACCTCAAGAGAAACCGTTCAATCAAGGTTGTGCTGAAGCTATCGTAATTTGGATTTGGAATGAATTGCCATTGATTACTGGAATATTCGGTACTATACTCCTAATCGAAATCTTTGTTGTAGTCGCATCGTTAGTGTTGGGCGTCGCTATTGCACATTCAGCAAATACAGAAATCTACTACAAGTTGTAGATTTTTTAAAAATATCTTGTCAAATAAATAAACTATCATTTAATCAGACTGGAACTTCATTTGATGTCTATTCGTTCGAGTTGTTTTGATATTGACTATCAAGAGTAAGTCTAAGCGAACTTACAAGGACAATTCCATTGACAAACACTATACAGTATCTCCTTCGTCATGTATAGGATTATATTGGAGGTCTCATGTTGACGACAAATAATTCTAGAGCGTCTGTATCAACAATTGTAGATTATTTATTTTATTTCCAGGATACTCATCAGCGGTTCTCTTCCATATTTTTATCCGAAGAAGCAAAATCCATTTCATATTTATTATTATCAACATCCTATTCAAGTAAGTAGTTCACTCCGTGAGATGTCGAAGTTTGATAATAGTGTAACTGAACTAGGATGTACATTTGAAAGAACAATTGATTCTTTCTTTTTCGTCACTTCAGACATTCAATGACGTATAGAAGCCAAACGAAAAATTACGAGTCAAAGCAAGGTCATTTGAATCGATCGATTCTAGTCAAAAAATTCTATATATCTAAGCTAAGGATATCTTACACTAACAAATAAGACAATTCTATTGACCTATAGTTGAATAACAAGTTCACGAAAAAAAGACAGAAAGAAAGAAAGAGATTCAAAGTAATGAAAAGAAAATAGTTTCAATTGATTTGTCGTCCCCGTCAAATAACAAATCTTGTATAGCCCTTTTGATCGATAATACTCATTGACTAAACATAAGCAGAAGAGAAATAAAAAAAAAAGACTGACGTATGTAATTTATCTTTCGTTTTCCAATCAAGTACCGAAGGATATTTTAGTAACACTCGAAATGTAATTATTCACCTGTTGATAGTTACATAATTCACACGTATACATATACATATATATCTATATATGTATGAACGTATGAAATCGAATCAAACTTATAATCGATCATCAGTGTGGTTGTGTGTGTGAAAAAAATCAGTGCACACAGTTGAATGAGAGTGATGACGCTCATATAAATACGCAAAACAAATTGACTCTTAGGAATTGCTATTCATCCTACTGAATAGCTTGGTCATTATTGGGATTACTATTGTCTTATGCCGATGACCTTGGAGTGATTTTCTTTTCATTCTTAATTGCTGTTTGTATATATGTGGATATTTAGTTGCTAACACTGCAAGAAATTATGTAAGTGATGTAATAACCTTGTTGACATTGATGCTGAGCAGAATAATCAGAAATCTTTGTTGATCTATACTTTTTTTTTATTCACTTGACATTTGATGATTGGATTAATGAACGCGAATAGTCGAACGTGCGATCATATCAATGTAACAGCTCAGATCTCTTCGCCTTACTCGAGTTTGTTTTCTCTTTCACTTTTGATTATCGTCTTTAAATCAAATCTCCTTTCTTTGCTGAATCAACTCTCGGCCTACTTGATCGGTTGTTCACGTAAATCGAGAACAAGATTTGTTCAGATGATATGTCCTACGCACGATCGACCATCCATGCTGCAGTGTATAAGATATCCGATATTTGATCTTACACATCTCGCCAGTTAATGATGTAAAAAATCTGATGATGACAATCAGTTTGCTTTTTTCACTAAGCAAACGTCCCTCATCTGCTTTTCGTCACTCACTCGCTCTCCCTCTTTTTCGAATGTGTGTCATGTCTAATAATCAATAATAAGAACAGCATTTCAAAGATATATATATGTATAATATTTAAAAAAGTGTGCATCATTCGTTCTTTTTTTTTCTCTTTCCTTCTCTCCCTTTTCAATCGTCGGTCTGTCGTAGTAGCTCGAATAGGTATGTGTTGCGTTAATGAATGTGTTATCTATAGGTAATTCTGACAGTTTTGTTTATTAGACTTGAAAGTGTTCAATATGACGCAACGTTCACACACGCGAGTGAGAGAAAGGGAACTTTCTGTTCTTTTGATCTTTCTACAAGTATGTACGGAAGAATAATATTAATCATTAGTAAAACGACTCGAAGAAATCGATGTCAAGACGTTGGACAATCTCATTGATTACCGATTTAGTGATCATTATCGTGTCTTTTGTTGAACACTTCCTTAGTCGCGACCTTAATAGGAATGGATAGTACCATATGAATGACCGGAGGCATAAGAATCGATTACACGCCCTACTGTTTATAGCAGCCTTTCATCATTAATACGGGAAGAAGAAGAATAAGAACAAAACGTAGGAGAAATACTTCATCGTCGGACAAGACTATTTCATGAATAGGAAACTAGATCAATTCTCAATAGAACGTCCGTTTTATTTCATTTCGACGACTAGTAATAGTAGTTTGTATTCATCATTTTGACACGAGCACGCATGTACAAATATCGCGCGTACACATCATGACGCTGAGTAACAATCGTTGTCTCTTCACAACACGAGTAATTCTTTTCTTTTTTTCTTTGTCTTCCTCGATAATTATTTACCTCGTGATTATTCAATGTATTTCTTGTTCTTGTTGATGTTGGTTGTTGTTATTGACGTAGAAGCTACAATCAATAGACACTTCACTAAACAATTGACTCTTATGGATGTTTGAGGTGTAGAAGCGTTTTTTTTTCTTCGTCATTAGTTTTTAATCATACTCGATAGTCTTACTTCTATCAAAAAAAAACGAAGAGCAAAGGTGGAGCGAGAGAATGTTGTTGTATGACAATCGATAAAAATGTCAAATATTCGACTATTATTCTAATGAGAAAGACGTTCAATCTATACGAAGGTTAATCTTTTTTTTTTATTCTTATGTCTATCCTTTCCTTCTGCTTCTCCTTTCTTATGAAATGTTGATTGATGAAGATGAAGTTGTGCTCTGATACACCTGCATTGTTTCATTCATTTGTCTCGATCGATACTTCTAGATGATGTTTCTACTCCTCTACTTCCTTCTCTTGATTGCTTCAATTCAAACTTGTCCATTGAAAACAGTCGATATTCGTTCGGGATGTTACTGCGGGATCGAAATCGACGGAATGAATTATATCCAATGTCATCCATATACAATCAACAAAATGCCTGAATTTACTCGTTCGTATGTTCACGATAAATTGAACCTGTCGAACAATTTAATCGAGCATTTAACCAACAAATCCTTTCACCAATTGAAAGTCAAACGTATTTATCTGGAAAATAATCCAATCAACTTCATTGATAAGCAAACATTCAACCAGAACAATCTCCTTCATTATCTCGAAGAACTTCATATCGATTCATTCAATCAATCGATCGAATTTCTCTGCTATGGTATATGGAAAAATCTTCGGATATTGAAACTATCTGGTTTCAATCTCAATCAATTTCAATCTTGCTTCGATAAACTGTTTCGCTTAGAAAAATTAGTCATTCAACATTCGCAAATCAATATCATCTCCTACCATATCTATTCACTTCCGTTTCTCCATGAACTGTCCGTCACTCACGATTCAATTCAGTATTTAAACTTCGATGAACATTATCTTACACATTCATCGTCGATTCGAGTATTAAACTTAACATCGAACCAGCTCCGATCGATACCTAATGATGTCAATCTTCGCCTACCTCATTTAGTCACTTTAGATCTTTCGCATAATCTTATAGAACAAATACCAAGTATCAATCAAATGACGACATTAAACGTGAATTTAAGTTTTAATTCAATTAGTTATGTTCAGTTAAATCTCTATCAACATTTAATTCTTGACCTGTCTACAAATCCGATCTGTACCATGGACAAATTGGCTGATATCTCGAATATTATCTTGCATAATTTAACGCATATGCATTGTGACTGTCGACTGGGATTCATTTTAAACGAAAATCTCACACGTCTTATAGGAAACGAAACGAAATGTTTAACACCGACAAAATTTCAAGGATTGTATGTTCAAGATTTGACTTATGAACAACTGATGGGTACATGCTCAAGCGTATTACCAAAGTACTGTAAAGAAATTAGAAATTTTGCTGAAATTCAAGACTTCGCAAGTAGTTTCACCGAAATGACTCCATGTAAGTTCGATCGTCTTGCATAATGATAAAATTAATCGGATTGTGTATAATGTCGTTTGATAGTTATCTTTTATTGGATGATTTCGGTCTCGTTTGAGCGGGATTTGTCCTTAGTGAAAGACTCGAACAGCATGTCTAATTACTAATTAAATGAAGAAGGTAAAAAAATAGTTGATAGGATATCAAATCTATCAAGGCGATCTTTCATTAATATGAAACAAATCATCAACTGTAGCGAGTTTGTTCGTGTACCTGGATCTGTCTCTACGAATTGATTTTCCATTTTAGTTGTTGAAGTTACGGAAAAGCTCACTACTGAACAGGTCTCATCGATTCGTTTGGTATCATTTCATACGCACTATGAAAATAACGATCTGTTAATCTTCTGGGATTTCGATGTTAGTTCATCGACGAAAGATGTTCTAACAGCGCAATTTCAAATTATTATTGAGCAAGATTCGGAAGTCATCCGACGAAGTCAATTTATTTCACCTTACCTCAAACAATACATTATACCTCATTTACCAGCAAATAAAAATTATTATGTATGTTTGATCCTAACAAGAACATTCTATGGAACGGACAAATACTGTCGACAAGCGAATACCTCAACTTCTCAGACATTCTCACAAATGCTATTCGCCAACCGATCAATCATATTCGGTTTTCTCACTGGCACCATCCTCACTGCTTGTCTACTAGTTACCTTAGCATTCATTTGTCATCTGCAATACAAACGAAAACATTCACTTACATTATTTCCAACCCATCGGCAACAACCACATTATATGTACATCAATCGTAACGAAGACGATGGAACTTATTCACATTCGATTGTCTCTGCTCCATCGCCGAAATACTCTCATATGAAAAAAAGTCATTCACGTCGTACATATCTCGCACCAGTACCACCATGGTATCAACATGACTCGAAACATCTATCGACAGCGGCGCGTTCGCCTTGCTGCTTTTCGCAGTATCACAATCGAACATTGAGCGACTGTACGACCACTAATCGCATGCCAAGTGTTTCATCTGAATACAGTAATGGAATCGATAAAGAACAGATGACATCAACATCAATTATGAGCAATATGAGTTCAGATGAACAACATAGTAACATTATTCAAAGTCCAGCAAAACATGTCTATGAAGAACTTGGTGATGATAGTTTACTTCTTTAGTATTTCTGTTGCCTTTTTTTTGTAAAGTATTTAACTAGAAATTATTTGTATCATAAGTTATATTTTCTTTCTTTAGACTAATAAATTTTCACGATAGATAGGTAATTATGATTGTATGTATTGAAACGACTTTTTGAATAGATTATGTTCTTACGTCTTCATGAAATAATCAGTGACAGGTCATTTCCTATAAATGTGCTCGTTAGGAGAGAGAGAGAGAAAGAATAGGACTGATTGGTTTTACTATTAACGCTCTATAGAACATGTGATCGATTGATTTTCTCCACATAGTAATCAAGTAGTATGATTACATAGAAGAACGAATCACAGTAACATATGTTGAGAAAAAAAGTTTGCTATAGGTTAGTAATTCATTTTCTCTGTTGAAAAAAGACTAAAACTCATTCTGTAGAAGAAAAAGATCAATACTCTGAAGGTCTTCCGCGTGTTTATTGTCTTCAAATACAGACCATTGCAAAACAAGTTAAGACAAGACCAAATGCGATTTACTCCACAAATACATTATGTATGTCAAACACCTAATTGTTCTAACCGTTGTTCTCGCAAGCATAAAGTCTCTTCCATTCCCGTTGCCACTGTGAACACATGTTATCTGTCACTTTTATACACTCGTACTCTCTACTATCATCGAACGTATTTTATATGCGGAAAATGCGAACGTGACGACGAATTTCATTATTATCAATGTCAGAAATGTGGACATGTCTATTGTCATGATTGTTGTTTCAAATAGAACTTTTTTTTCGTTCGAAAATAAAACTCGACGAGTGGCGACACCTGCCTTTGTTTCTATATGTTGACCCAAGATTTAATTTGATCTGTTGCTTTATATTATATAATGTAACGAACAATTTTTTCTTTGTTTCTGGATCAGTTGAAAAGCGTTTTATGCAAGTAAACGCCTCTCTGTAATTGGCACTGCGTTTTGCACTGTTAAACAAATCACAAATACACTAGGTCCGTCGCGGAGGCTCCGTCGGCCGCGTTTTTGCATTGGAAAAATCAAGTTCCACATTACATTTTCTCAATCAATTTCACTTTTCTCAACTTCAGATCATGGTAAAAAAGAAACTGAACAGGTCACTTTTTTCCGCCATAGTTGAACAAATCGATCCCGAATCCTTATCAGCTGAATACCATCGCGTTGACAACGAATATTTTGCTGCATTCAATTCGCTTGACGGTGTTGAAAAGTTTCATAATCAAATCAACGAAAAGCGCACGATGATTGCTGAGCAAGAGGCAGCAGACAATGCCAGCGAAGAAGAAGATGATGATGATGATACGGATATGAAATCGTTTGCTCAACAATTTCTTATTGATACACCTGAAGCAGATCAAGCGAGAAAAGAAAACGCAACGACATCTGTGAAGACTAATGTGGATACGAGAAGAACAAGACGACGGCGAAATATTCGGGATTTGCCGCAATCGAGTAATTTTATATTTATGTCCGATAATGATGATGATAACGAACCTGGAAATATCTTCGATAGTTTAAAAGAAAAACGATTTTCTCATCGGTCGAATCGGATCGCGTACGAAGATATGAGTTCCATTCTTTTAACATTAGATGTTACACAGAAGAAATCAAAGAAAAATTTAGATAGTCAAGAGCCAACTATTGCTATTGAATTAGCAGAACCATCGATGATCAAATGTGAACCTACTGAACCTGAACATGTACGTTTTCATTCACTGAAAAGAAGCCAAATGAATCTTCTTTGCTTTTAGCTTATCATCAGTCATGTAATTGAAGCTAAAGAGGAACCAGTCGAATTGAATGTATGAATATCAATCTTGAATTTATACTTAATGAAAAAGTTTGGTGTTTCGTTGCAGGTTATTCCAACTGTACCAATGGGTTTCGGAACCCCCGAATAGTAATCATCAAAACCTATAAATGAACTTTTGAACTAGTGATGTTCTTTGCTTAGTTCTGGTCGCTTGGATAACTATGTGCAAAACATTCATCGTGCATGCTCAACGAATGTTTCCATATCCGATTCTGTACTGTCCCGACCGAAACGTATCCGTAAGCGAAAACGACTGTATATCGAAGAAAGTGAAGCAGCAATTAAACCGAAAAGACTACGAAAAAAACGCGTACAAATCAATCCGCCGTCAACATTATTAACTGACGCCGAAATCGAACAACAATTTGGTGAACGTTTGTCACCAACAGTCAAGTCCGAGTGTAACGATGAAAATCGAACAGATGTTTTAGAACTTGAGCCAATATTTCAAACGCCAATTGAGAAAGCAAGAGCAAAGTTCAAAAATGCACTAGAACGTAGGATATCATTGAACAAGAGATGAAGTAATGCTTTGATCGATGTGTTTACTCATTAGGCGGCCATACTCCAGATACATTTTTACTCAAAATTCGTTCTCGGGAAAGTAAAATGATTGAAGTTGAATTGGCGATCTACGGTACAGCTGACTGGCACGCGCACCGAACAAAGGTTCTTGCGAAAATCGAGGAGGTGAGTATAGCAAACGAAAACATGGACGAATCTTTTGTTTTCTGTATGAAAGGCACTTCGCGGTCTTCGTGTCAGTTGGACCAAAATCGACATTCGTGTTGATGATTATGATGTACAAATCTGTACGTCACCACAAGCAGCCTTAGCAACACCCCCAGTAACTATATCCAATAGTAATTCCTCATGGTTTTTAAAAGCTTTGAGCGAATGTGGACCACTAATTGTTCACATTCATGATCGACGCTATCCTCATCAACGACATTGGACTAAGTGTATATGTTCTCAATGTTCTCCAAATAATCTAACACCTGAGTGAGTACTTTCCCTAGCAAAACGTCTCGGATTTCGATTGTTCCCTTTTTAGAACTTCATTACCGGTGATTGTTAGTGTTTCTCCGGCTAAAACATCTCCTCATCGTTTATCATCACCGAGTATTCTACGTAAATGTCACTCCTCGCTCAATTCACTCATTTCGACGTTTCCTACTATTCCAGCAACAGATTTTAAGCAACTCACTCAGCAACACGGCATCAACATAGTCAGTTCGATCACACAGTGTCTTCGGGACTTAACACTAATTGTTAGTGTGCACACAGCGTTAGCTTATCTTCAGTCATCGACTGAGGATTATCAATCAAGATATCAACATGTGCTTGATCCGATGAAATCTCCTAAGAAAAACAGTGCAAATGCAACAGTATCGAAATATTTTATTGGACCGGACATTTTAGCATTCGAGAAAATCATCAAACAAAGCAAAGCGAACATACGTAATGCCCACTGTAAGAGTTCTTTGCTATGTTGCACTTCATCTGCTCACTCATTCTTTTCTTTAGCGATGAGAAGTGTGATTTTTCAAAGTATTCCACGAACGCCATTATCTAAAATGATCAAAACAACAACAGTGATTCTTCCGAAACACAGAACAACTGGACATCCATTGATTTTAAATCGTTCGCACAAACGTCATCGAAATTCTGCTTCGACAAGTGAAACCACTACTAATAACAATAGCGTGAAACAACAAGCACATTTCACGCCAATTATAGAGCTGAAACCAATTCTGGGTGGGTCAACTCATACCGACGAAGAACCCATTCGCAAAGTAACAAAAATCATCTCAACCAATACAATACAGAAAGACGCACAACGAATCAATACAATCGTAAGTTATTTGCTATCTAAACTCGATAGTTTCACCTAGAATTCACTTCTCTAGACTACACAAGAAATCGCACCTCGTGTTATTCGCTTATCTATCGCAAAAACATCGCCGAGTTCGAGTACAATCCATTTAGTACCATTTCAATCGTCGATGAATCAAATCGGAAGTTCGCCCTTAATCCCCAAACAAATCAATATCATCAAACCATTAAACTCATCATCAATTACTCCAGCTGTTAAATTAGCAAATCCAGTTCTCATTTCCAATCGATCCCAACAGCCACTGATTAAGTAAATAAGGATTGCTTTTATTGGTGATATCGATAGAAATCTGTATATTCTTTATTATAAAAGTTTTGACCGCCTGATTACTATTTTTTTGAAAATAAAAACGAAAAACCGGATGTTGAACTTTCATCCATGAATTTGTTTCACTTATAAGTCAAATATTTGCCATTGACTCGGCATTCAATTCATACCACCATACAATATGATTTTCCGCCGTTACATTCATTGTTCTATTGCTTATAAAGAGACACAAACTTCTCTGAAAATGTGACATTTCCCAATCAACCAAAATGAAACTCGTTTAGATTACTATTTCGCTAACATTCATCTTATGTGTTTCATCATCTGACGGAGAACATCGACATTGAAATGCACGACGTCATGTTCCCTCTCCTGTCAGGTATCGAAGAAGAAAATACCACTAAAGTATATTGGCAATGAAATAAAAAATGATTAATATTCTTTGTATCTTATCAATAGAAGCATATGTCAAAGAATTTTATCCGTGAAGTTGTTTTCACGAGTCATGATTAAGGCATCAACTGTTGTTCTTTTCTAAGTTTACGAAACAAAAAGGTTCGAGCGAGGTTTGAACTCGCGACCTTCTGCGTGTGAAGCAGACGTGATAACCACTACACCATCGAACCATTGTTATAACAAGCAACGTTCAAGTCAGGCAAATATTTGCCAGTTAAACCTTATTTTATTTCAAAGCAAATTGATTAAGTTAGAAAGCAAAATTTGATCGCTGCTCTGTGGTCTCCGTCGAAGATACAACTGGTTCTTGTTTGACACGTCTCTGTTTATATCGTCCATCTTCGTAGCGTTTCGTTTTTAAATCAGGTAATTCTTGAGATTGACCCAATGATGAAGCCAGTACATCATCGTCCGCTAGTTTTCGAGGCGAGAGTATTGCTGATAAAGATGCTGGCGCCGTGCTTTCGTTTCGATACGTAGCAACTGACTGAGGCACTCCAAGTTTCGAGGCAATATCTAACATTGATTTATCGAGTTCACCTTGACGGCCAGAAGCCGTATGTTGATTGTAGGACCGATGGAATTCTGAAAGAGTAGATTCAATAGTTGATTGAACAACATCGGTATTCTTCTGAAGAATAGCAAGATTAAGTAAAGCAACCAGATTAGTTGGATCGAGTTTGAGCGAGTATGTGAAAGCTTGCAGAGCATTACTAAAATCATTCAGTTTCGATAGAGTCACACCTAAACACGCAAAGTGTCAAACACAGAACTGCCTTACATCGAGAAAGTTCAGATCAAAATACCTAAGAGAGCATAGCTTGGTGCGTGTTTTCGGTTCAATCGAATGGCTGATTGAAGAAACACTGCAGCCGAAGCGCTTTGCTGCAAGTACAAATGTACAAGTGCCAGATTATATAAGACGTTTAATTCGAATGGTGCAAGATAATTGGCGCGTTTCAAACAACTAATAGCCGCCACGAATTTCTTCTTGGAGAAGAAACACATGCCGATATTATTCCATACTTGTGCACATTCAGGTTTCCGCCCGTAAACGATACGATATTTCGATAGAGCAACGTCAGCATCACCATGTTTTTGAATAACTTGACAAGCTGCCATGATGGCGGGAACGTGCGTCGGACAAAAGGTTAACGCAGTGCCGAAGCATTCAAATGCTTTTGTATAATCGGATTTCTAAGTAGAGATTTGAAAGAAAATAATAGAGAAACTGGATATGTTACTTCAAATGCCAACAGACCAATCTTAGTGAAAAGTACCGGCGATTCAGGATTTCGTCGTGCACCTCGTTCGAAAACAGCTTCAGCTTCTTCACGTTCGTTCTCTAGCAGATAGATTTCTCCCAATGACAAATAAGATGCTTCTTGCATTTCAGACACTTGCAAAGCTTGTAAGAAATATTTTTTCGCTTCTGTCAGATCATTTAAATGAAAATAGCATAAGCCTAAATTATGAAGCAGTTCCCAATCATTGTTCGTGCGTGTCAAAGCGTCTTTATAAGCATCAATAGCTAATCGGTGGCGTCCAAGTAGTGCTAATGACTTGCCTACTTGTTTTATATGAACCAAAGATAACTCTTGTAAAGCACACTGTTGAAAATAATCCAATGATTCGTTAATACGTCCTTCTTGTCGATGAACGAGCCCCTGAACGTATGTCATATAAGTACTTTTATGCGATTGAATACGTATGAACTGTTGAAGTCGATCGTATTCACCCCGGCCGTACATAATATGTAAAAGCCAATTATATTTATCCATGGTCGATACATCATTTGCATATTTCAGTTCAGTAACAGAAGGTATTAGAATTGAAGCCGGAGCAATAACTGTCGGTGATGTAACCATTGCGAACTGAGATAACTTCACTGCTGCTGTTAATAATTGTTCCACACCATGTTTCTCACTTTTCTTTTCCATGACAATGCGATAGCCTATAACAATACCTGTATTTCCGTAATGAAACTTTTCTCTCTTTTCTTAATCCGTCTTTAAAACCGATGACATCTTTGATGAAATGCACATATGGCAAAGCTGATAATCAACGGCTTAACAAATGTCAATGATTACGTTCATAAAAAAGGACAAATGCTTAGTAACATGGTTCAATGTTAACAACCAGCATTTTCCTTCATCATCGGTAATAAAAGAAGAACGAGAAAAAATGTCACTTGCTTCCATTAGTGTTAGTCTCTATTTGCATAATTTTCAACATAATATCTAATTTTCGCTGATTTTCATCACCTATTTCAGTAAATTATTTGCAAAAATTATGTAAAAGACATTCTCGCAGTGTTGCCGAGCATTTTAAGTATTCAAGTTGATCTCGTGTATATCAATATGCTTCGTTTTATGAAATGTGATCAATCAAATAGTAATGGACTGTTAATATGTCCCTGAAAGGTTGTGCAATAGTTAAAATTCAAGAAAAAAGAAATGTAGCACTCTACTGTATACGCAATCTACTAATTTACATACTTCAGTGTTTTTCAAAGCGTAAAGCTGAAGTAAAGGTAATGAAGGTTGAATACGAAGATAGACGGATGATAGAAAGAGCATACTGTCTGAACGGTGACTCGAACACTTGAAAATTTTTTCTTTTTTCGTGAACGAAAGTCAATGCACATGAACAAAATCGAAAATATCCATATAAATTAACTAAGACACGAGAGAGAAAATGAGATTTTCAAGTAGGAAGAATTACAAATCGATTTTTGCATGACGTAATCAATTACAATCCTGCGAGACAAATTTTCATTACTATCAACAAAAATGACCGAGAAAAAGAAAGAAAAAAAAACTTCGAACTTTCCCTTTCTTTTTTTATTCATCATCATTACCTGGTGGTGATGATGATTGATGGAGTAGCGGCTTCTGCTTCAGACTACTCATTCGCTTATGCTAATTTTTACATCAGTTATGTATATATTCTTGTTAAAGATGATGGCGCCGACAAAATTTCATGAACAGGCATCACCACCGTAAGAAAAAAAAAAGTGTATATAAATTCGAAGGTCAACATTCTTGTACAATGTTGCTTCTTTTTTACTTCTTCAATCGACACAATTTCGATCCGAGTGTAATCTGCGAATGACAGCTGGTGTTTTTACTCCGATAGAAGGAATAATCAAGACATTATCTTCTGCATCTGGACAGCGTATTTTCGTAGATATTGAGAAGTATTACGTTATATTTACATTTGTACTTGATACGTTGATAAGCGTTGAAGAATGAATCGATGACATTTAAAGAATTGAAGATTACTTTTAACTAATAGTTGACAATGGACATATACTTCTGATAACTGATATATTTATTCATGTATTGTTCAATGAATAGGTTCGTTATAACGACTGTACCGTTTTTCTTCCTTCTACTTCGCTTTCTTGTTGATTTAAAAGCTTTTTTTTCGTAGATTAATAGTCTTTTGAAAGGAGATTAGAAAAGAAAAATACATAGTTTAAGTACTGTTCAGAATCAAAATAGTTGAAACAACAAATCATCTCATCTTTTTGCTCGATAGAAAAAAAAAGACGAAAAGGATATGGCGTGGACATTACCTTTTCTTTTTTCGATGCTTCAGTTCACTTTTATCGCTTGTAGAATAGATCAATAGACAAGAACGATGTCTGGCACCAATGAAGATGAGTTCATTGGCAACGAACGTCCTCGTTCCGGATTCTTTCGTCGTTCGTTCTCTCCACATTCGTTTGATAAGTTACGCGATGAAGATAGTGACTACTTTTATAAGCCCAAACGCGGTCCGTCGAGAAGTAAATCAAATATTACAATCACGCGACCAATCAAACGGATCGAAACGGTAACGACGCTGATGGAACTGCTTTCCAAAGGCACACATTCGAATTCAAATTCGAAAGTCCAGCTGAATGAAGATACTGAACAAGCAAACTTGTCGAAAAAGCTGGATGGTCAGAAATCATCACCTTACTCGAGCTTTTTATCCATGGATGGTGGCAATTCATCATTGAATATTCCATCTACTCTCTCGTCGACCTTTTCATCACGTTGCAGTTCATCAATATTAACGGCAGCCGAAAGTGAATCTCCGACAGTTATTATTGCAGAACCCATGTCAGAATTAATACAAAAAAGTAAGCTTTGAGTCCGAGATCTGTTAAACGTATTCTTTTTCAGTACCTAATCCTTCCGAGGAGATTCCAGATGACGAAAAGCGAATCTACTTGACATCACCGTGTCATGTGCCAGCTGTTGGAATCAATGTCACAACGGCCGGCGTACATCTTGTTCTACTCGAACTTTATCCTCAAAATATCGATTATTCGACTGTTATTTTTCAACGCTATCTCATTTCTTTGATTGTCAATAATGAACATCAAAATTGGTCGATCTCGAACGTCGAATTACGCTCGGCAATTGAACAGGAAGTGAATTTCCGTTTGTTTACACTCACACACGAAGAATTCGATCTTATTCTCATACGTTTACAATCATTCACTAATTTCAAAGCATCAATCGCCTCCTCATTCGTTTTAAACATCGCTTTGACCGGCGAGCAAACAAACGAATACGAACGCAAGATTTCCTCGCGTTTAAACAAAATCAATTTGAATTTCGATATTATTCAATACCGAATTGAATCCTACATGATTGGCTTAGACTTCTTTCTCGGAAATAAGCGTTTAATGCATAGCGATAAACAAGACGAGTTAATCGAAGTTTTCGATGATAAACCAGTCGAAGACAATCGCGAGATTTATCCGTATATATTAGTTCATGCCGAAGCAGGAAGCACATTCTTTTACATTGTTCATACTTCAACCCGATATTCGGTACTGACATCGAATAATCTGTGTTATAAAACCTATGCAAATCTACTGAGACTGTTGCAGCCTGGATTTGATCTGAAAAACGATGAACCGACGTAAATAGGAATTTGTTTTTTTTCGATTTATTCTGTATATTGTCTTTCGTTAGATTATCTTCGACAACATCGTTTCCAGTTCGCCGACCACCACCTGTTTCGTTTGATTTTACACGTCAAGACCTATGTAAGAACTGTCATCGTTCATCAACGACTTTCCCAACTGAACTACCGTTGACAAGTTTTACTCGCTTACCACAACGATGTTTTCCATACGACTATTCCATCTCAAAAACCCCACATTATATCTACCGAGGTTGGTCCAATCGACGAACATTATCTTACGACAAGAATCTCGCCACCTATGACGTTCATACTCAAACCGATGATAGCTTCCTCGAGTCTTCATCGTCACAGATGCGTTTAGCAACACGTCGCTCCCTATTATCCATGCTTACCATGAACATGGCCTTAACATTGAAATTATTACTGAAGTTATATCCTTCCGTGCATCATTGCATATTAATCGGCGAATTCTTTCAATTAGAGAAACAAGCTATACCTGATCTGACTTTGTTTATGCGTTCAATTCTGGGCCAGGATACTCCGCATATCTATCAATTGAAACGTGAATCGCTCATATCGGCATTGGGATGTGCGCTTCCACGAGTTTACTTTGATGTTATCGATGATAAGGGAATCATAGGGAATGATTGTATTGATTGACTTTTGTCAGAAATAGAATTTGATTATTTTAGTTTGTGCACACACTTGTTTGCCAGAGACATAGAATGTAGTTCAGACTATTTTGTGTTATATATTTTTTCGGCAAAATCAATAAAAGCGACAATACAATCGTCCTCACGTGAGCGAACATGTTCTCGTCTTTTTTCTGTGAGATGTTTCAAGAGGAAGCATTCTAAGATTCACTATGTGGGAATGAGTGAAAGCATCCAATCGATGTTGTGTACGCGTACAAGTTTTTACGTTCTTGAGAAGAAAGAACTCTCGAACAACGTCAGCAATCAGGTCTTTCACTTTCTTGTTCTACGCCCTACTGAATAGTGTCGTTAATGCAAATATGGCCTGATGAAAAATTAGCGATTCTTTTATTGCGACTGAAAAGAAAATCACACATTTGATTTATGCAAATAACGAGTTGTTTTTCTCTTTAAAACATTTTTGGTGAAATGAATAAACAAAGCACAGTTTTCTCCGTGCAAAAATTGCGAAATCGTGCTGTGGCCTGATCGTTTTGTCAAATCGAATGTATGAGTAATAGATGACAAAATCAACAAACGTTTTTCATTGTACTATAAAAGTCGGTTTAGTTGGAAAGAATTTTTTGAGTTCATTCGTCGCTCAGTTTCGTAAGAGTGATTATTCCAAGCAGGTAAATTACTATTTATAGCAAACAACGTTTGTAAAATCATCAAATAAAGCAGAACTTTAGTCGCACCCATATGAATCAAGTCGGCTGGATTAATATCGTATTATTGTTGTTTGTTGTTCCATCTACGGTCAACTGCTTCTTTCTTCAAGATGTAGGAAATCTAACAATTCTACGTAACTTATCTTGTGTTGTGAACGCTAATGGGACAATGGGAACTGATTATCAGTTCTGTGTTGTTCGTGTATACAATGGCACAATAGGCACTTCTACTACAGTGGTTCCAGTATACTCCGGCCTTCGGTACACAAATACATTTCTTCGCTACCTACAACAAAATTGTCCAGAATATCAGACAAATCCTGACACTACAGTTAGTGGGACATGTACTTCATCGTCATCATTTGAAACTTTCTCTTCCATGCGCTTCTGTATCTGTGCAACTGACAGCTGCAACAAAAATATATCAACTTGTGAAGTATCAATTTTTAGCTTGGGAGACGCACCTGTACCGACCAGTTTTATACCATCTTTATCCACATTCATTCCGTGCAACCATACATACAATTCATCTATTATATGTACGGAACAACCGTTCATCAATTCCTCACTTTGTGACGATTATGTTAAAAATAATAGCGTGCTGTGCGCTATTTCATCAAGCGGAACCCAAACTATACAAACAGCATTGGTAGGAATAGACTATGAAAGGTATCTCTCAGAGAAGGTCTATCAGCTAAGATCATTAAATGCAAATAATGGTAGCAACAGTTCGTACAGCGAAACAACGAATATCGCTTATTACACATATGCTTCCGCGACAACTAGTTTACTTCAAGAGTGTGTGTGCACTAATCTTTCTTATTGTAATTATAATATGACCACATGTGCCCCACAAAATGCCGAAACGACTACAACTACAACTATTACTACTACACCAGCCAACTTCACTACTGCCACATCAACAATATCCGCTAATGCCACGACAACATTAGCTACAACTACTGCAGCAACAAACGCTACTACTACCGCATCAACAGTGTCTGCTAATGCCACGACAACATTAGCTACAACTACTGCAGCAACAAACGCTACTACTACCGCATCAACAGTGTCTGCTAATGCCACGACAACATTAGCTACAACTACTGCAGCAACAAACGCTACTACTACCGCATCAACAGTATCCGCTAACGCTACAGCATTAACTACAACATCCACTAGAACATCAACGAGCACTTCTACTAGCACCAGTTCAAGTGTAGGCCAACAAAGTAAATATTTTTGTGCAAATAGATACTATTAGATTGTTGTCTTTTTACTTTAAGATTTAGTAACGGGTGAGACGGGTCTTGGCAGGTCGGCAACCGCTGGTCTGGTTTGTGGCATTATATTCTCTGCACTTTTGTTCATTGGTGAAGTTCTCTTCTTTAAATTTATTTTTCCTCGCTTCTCTGGTCCAACTGGCGCAGAGCGTTCAGTTACTTATCAATCGAGCTGAACACTGATCGACATTACGACTACAGTGTAGATTTTAATGACGAGATCATTTTATTTTTTTTCTTTGAAATTTAACTGAACACTTTGTAAATATAAAAGATTTGTGATCGCTTGAGTTTTTACTTCTGATATGAATAATCGAGAAATATAAAATACAAGAATTCATCCGACTTCATAGCTTGTGTCAGTCACAATCTGTTCAAGTAAAATTTACGATTTGATTCCTGTCTTTTTTACGAATACTTGATATCGTGGACAATGAATGTACGTAAAATAATTTCATTTCATTTGCTTTTGTCTCACATTTCTCATCTAGCGAAATGTCGTGACAAATAAAACAAATGACATATGTCTATTTCGGACATGGTTAAATGTCTTACTCAAAATACATTCATTATTTCATATATCATAGATTGTCATTCATCATTCGATAAACTCATTCGCCACTGACCAATGTTTCTTTATCTATATTTCTCTATTCTTTGTCTCTGTGCCTTTCCTCACACAGTATTAACAAATGAAAACTCCGTCCTGACAAGCAAAACTTATTCGAACCAGATTCACTGTCGTCACAATTTCTCGATTCGAATCCGTTCAATTCAATATTTCTATCATAAATACAATTGTTCACTTGTTCTTTCTTATCCAAATAATCATCACATACGGAACATATGTTTGAATCAATCAACTTGCTCTATTAATCTCAAACCTTTTCTTGACATGGACGCACAGTATCGCATGTCGGCGTGTCGTACGAAGAAATTGAAATCTCTTCGGTTGAATTATACATGTATCAATCCGAGATTTATCAACGGAAAGAAGACGTACGCTGATACAGTAAATACGATTATCATCTGTTTCTGGATGATTATTTCTGTTAGTTTACTTGCTCTTATCTGTTCGCTTCTTCGACATCCTTCCAGACATGATATGGACGAAGAGCACAAACATTCGATCATTAATATTACAAACAACATCGAGTCACTTGATGAGAATCCAAGTAAACAGGAATACGAAGTCGAAACATCCTCGTTATCAACGTTAACGTCAGTTACAAGTCAAACTGTTCCGCAAACAAATTCAAGTGAATATGATAATTTAATCCAGCTGATGTCATCTTATCTTGATCATCAGTTTCCAAAGAAAATGCCATAGGAATTATCAAGACAAATAATCCAATCGAACATTCATTTCTTTTCCATCAGACTTTATTTGCTTTAGGTATTCAAAGAATGTTCTGATTATCGACANTTTCTAGAAAGCATCGATGTTATCAATGCTGATCCAATTACTGCATGCGAAGCACTTCGTCAACAGAATGATGCACTTCGACAAGAACTACACGACATTCGACGCGTATGTACATCTTATTTGATTCGAATTCATCAGAACTACACGCACAGTTCATCAATACCTCGTTGGACATGCTCAATTGCTATTCATAGAATAATCATCTAACGATACTGCTTCGTCTCACTCCACACTTCATCTTTAGCTTGTGCGATTCTGATAAGGATATTAAATACACAAGATATGTACTTGAAATAGATACGTCGATGACACAGATTGCATCCGTTCTGTCCTTGACAAAGAGAAAAAGAAGGAAAAAGAAAAGAAAAGAGAAATGTTTGAAATTATTGATACTTCTTCTGAAATAAATCTACTAATGCTATTGATTATTATTCATTTGGCTTTCTAGGAAATGGATGAGATTACAGACCAATTTCGCACGGAAGATGCAGAAGAATTCAAACAATTGCAAGCAGAACTGGAAGTTGCTGGTATGTGAAGACAAATTCAAATCTCATTGCTTTTTCGGAATTCTTCTAGCGAAAAATTGTCGAATTCTTCAATTTAAATTACGCAAAGCTGAGAAACGAAATGAAACTGTCGAAGCTGAAAAAGACATTCTAGAAGGTAAGATCTACAGCCGCTTCCGCCCACAACAAAGAACAAATCGATTTCCTGTTTCAATATCCTCAAGATCGAATAGACATTCATATTCGATTCTCTACTAGTAATTCCTACGAATCAAATCGATTAGACTTTGAACCTTGATGCGTATTGATTGTTGACTTACAACATAGTTTTGTCCTTTATCAAATATAATTACTCTTTCTTATCGAATGTAAACTTCGGAGAAGAAAAGAACGCATGACTGATAGTTCCATGTGGCTTGCCAGCTGTTAGATAGAACTTTTGCGCGTCGAGCGTTTTTCCTCACGACAAAGGATTAATCTTGTCAACAGCTTTATCCGTGATGGTTTAATCCAACGTTTCGAAGTTTAACGAAAAAAGAATGTCTGCTGGTAGGATCGCATTTCTATTGTAAACAAGTCCGCGAGGGTGTTCTTTTTCTATTTATCTCAATTACATCTGGCGGAAATGATTTGCCTTGAATATGAGATGATTTGTGTTTAGAAAAAATTCAACAAATAATCCGTGATAATCAACGCGTACGTGATCTGGACGGAGAACTACTTGTAGCCAAAGAAGTTAGCGTTCGTTTACATGGTGAACTTGAAAGAAGTGAACAAGCGAGATTATTGACGGAAAAATTGAACATTTCTCTCAAACAGAATCTTGATACATTGAAAGAATCACTCGACGAAAAACTTACACAAGTAAAGTGAAAATTTCGATTTGTTTGAACTTTTTCTAAGAATGAGTCTCTTTAGAACACCAATGAAGATTATCAATCATGGCAAATGTTCGTCTATTTCTACGAAACTTTGTTTCGAGAGTATATGCTGATGGAAGAAATAACATGGTTAAGTCTGAAGAACAACAGTTCTAAACTTCCGGAGATTGTCACAAATAATCATCGTAATGATCTATCCGATTTAATGACATCTTATCAACAAAAGATTAGTGCATTGAATGATGAGATTTACAATCTGAAGAATGATGTTGACGATCGTGATCGAGAAATTTCTCAGTTGCGTATTCAATATAAGATCTTAAAACAACGTAGTCAAAGTGTCGATCGGAATGGTTATTCCTCTGGTGAGAATGAAAACCAAACGAATCGATCGAAACGTGGAGTTAGCGTAGATGCGGGTGGGCATCTACGCGAGCAACTCGATGCATCGCAGGATGAAATTCGTCTGCTAAAGAACAAACTGCTCCGACTGGAAGATGAATTGAACAACTCCGTTCTGGAGAAAGAAACTCTATTAACACAAATTGATCAACAGAGCAAACAAGGTCAGAATGATATCATGAACGAAGATATAAAAATATTTACGAATAAAATCAGTAAGACAAATTGATACCATCATTGCATTCGTTGTATTTGTTCGTTTAGATGCTTTAACAACCTTTTTAAAAGAAAATAAAACTGACGAAAAGATTGTTTCAGACATTCAACACCTCATTCGATCAACACGATGGAGTAAAGAAATAACCGTACGTATTCGAATACCCGCGGAGTGTATTGCTAATTAAGAAATGTTTAGAAAACAGCCATGATAGGCATCCTAACCGACTGAAATGTTTGTCTTGAAAAACGAGATATCTATTTAGCGTAGGAAATAGACGATATCCTAAGACAGCTTGTCAATCAAAAAAGAATAGGAAATTTTATTAGTGAAAAAAAAAACATAACAATAGACAGTAGCTAGACTTACAAGCGAAAAGAAGACGCTTTCTTGCATTGTTGTTCTTTATTCAGGAAGATCAAGTACATAGTGTGTCAACGGTAACAAAAGCCAACCAGCAGGCGACTGAGACAATCCAACAAGCGAAAGATTTGTTTAATCTTTTACAAGAGAAATTGACGGTTCTCGATCAAATTCGTTATCGATTAACGAATGTGACTATTGATTCGAATGATACCTACGCTCTGTTAGAAGAATTGGATACAACGAAAAAGCATTTGGACGAACGACAGCAAAAGTTAAGTCGCCTACAAGTCTCAATGGATAATCTTCAAGTCTCGTCGAAACAAATGGAAGAGCAGTTACAAGTTCAACTGGAGAAAAATCAAACATTGGAGAAAACTTTGGAACATCAACGGTTGGTCAATAATGAGTTATTGCAAGAAAACACGCGTTTGTCGACGCTGAATGCAAGGCAGTTACAGGATTTGAAACATGTCGAACAGTTGCGACAATCGATATTGACCTTCGAGAAGAAACTGGACCAAAAACAAACGCGCGTCAATGAGTTGTCGATGAAAATTATTGAAAAGGAAGATATCATCGAAACTAAAGTGAAAGAATGTCAAAAACACCGACTGGAACTACGAGAACTAGAAGCGAAGTATCATACATTAGGCAAACAGTTAGAAGAACAAATAATAGCAATGACCAAAGAAATGGAGAAGCTCAATGCGGAGAAAGAAATGCTCCGGTTTGATTTAGAATCGGTTCGGTTAACCCAACAGAATGTATGTCGTATTTTGTTTGAAATTCTCGGCAAATATGTTTGACTTCTAGGATCGATCAACATCGGGAAGATCAACAGTTGAAGATGAAGTCCTTCGAGTTCAGTCGGAATGCCGACAACAGATTTTCGACAGTGAAATCGAATCGTATAAACTTCGTCTAAACCAGGCAACCAGTGAAAAAGAAGAATTGATGAAAATTGTTAAAGACCTCGAAAAGAAACATAAAGAATTACAAAATAAATACAATGCGGACGAGCAATCATTGGCTCGAATGAAGACAGACATGGGCGATAAACAACGCAAGGTAAAACTCGTCTCTTCGAATGTTTGTCTTTGTCATCTGAAACTTCCTCTAGTATGACGAAAGTATCAAGATGAAATCTGAATTACAAAATGCAGTGGATCGTCTTCGCCAGAAACTGTACGATCTCGAAGTTCATTCTCAAGAGAAACAAAACAAATATACGATTGACAAACAACAATGGGAGGTTCATCGACTTGAATTATCGGGCAAAATCAATGAAGTAAGAAACGAGTTTGAGGTTTGCGCAAAGGGTTTATCGTTTGATTTTAGTTGGAAGAGCAATTATCCAAAGTAACAAAACGTCAACGAAAGGATCTGGAAACGGCGTGGAAGAAAGAGCGAACAGATTTACAGAAACAATTGCAACAATCTCAACAAGTCTTGAAGGATATGCAAAAACAAATCGTCAATCGCGAAGCACCCAGTCATTTAACTGAGAAAATCAATGTTCTCATGACCGAAAATGAACTTTTACTAAATAAAATTCGCGAGTTGGAAAACATTGTCGATGACATTCAACTGCTCAAGAATGAAATGCAACGTTTACGTGACAAGAATTCCTCAGATTGGAATTATTGGAGAAAACAGCAGAGTGATCTCTATGCTCAATTGAGACAGCAGCAATTCGCGAAAGAAGCGATCCTGAACAAATTCGACAAATTACAAAAACAGGTCATTTTCTTGTGTATCACCATTGTCTACGACTTTTATTCTGTATGATATAGATCAAATCAGGTGATGGCAATGATCGTCTACTTCGTGATATTAGCGTTGGTCCTCTATCTCTGAATAGCTTTCAGAACGAAGCGACTATTAAGACAAGTTTATCGAATTTCAGTCGCGAAACTTTCGGTGATGATATTGAACTTCCCCATGGAACTATCGATGTTCGAACAGTAAGTTCCAGTGATATTGCGGGTACGATTGACGATTCGAAAGTGCCAGCTGGAACGATGAATGAACATGATAAGCAAGAAACATTCAAAAGAACTTATTTCGCTCAGGAAAATACGGCTGCTAGCCTTGAAGAGGTAATTCTATCAAATTGTTCAATTAACTTTGATCGAATTTCTTCTCTTAGATTGCAATCAAAATCGATCGCGTGGAAGATAATCTGTTTTCCTATCAGCGTTTTATGGACTTCATTCGCTCGTAAGTCTAATCGATTATAAACGAATTCTTCTATTGCTTTCGTGGTTTTCTTTAGTAAATCCGAGAAAGGTTCATCAGTCGTTCGAGATGATAGTTACACTAATCTTGCTCAACAGGCACCGACTGTCATGAATAGCAAACGTTTAGCCTCGGCACCACCAGAAAATGTCAAGCAGCCAGTACAACAACGTCGATCTCGATTCGATGATAATCCTGTCACGAGTTATGAACATATTCCATCGACATCAGATGGCCATGAGCTAAACACATCCGTGATGTCACCGGGAACGAGTTCGAAGAATCGATTCTTCTCCTTGAGTCGTCGTTTTCGTTTTCGAACACAATCACCTGACAAAACATCGGCGACATCAGCATCTGTGCATTTTCTTGATCAAGATATTGATCTAGAAACAAAAGAGCCAACACCAAGAAAATCCGATAAACCATCGAAAGGAATACTGAAAACACTTCGACATCGATCACCATTTCGTTTTCGCTCCAAAGATGCAGTTATTGTTGAACAAGAACCTTCTCCTCCATCCTCACAACCATCTGCACCTGAACCTAAGGCAACCAAACCTAAAGCTGCTGCTTCTTCGTCAACAGCATCAGCACCAGCACCGAAAACTCGGGGTCGATTAGTCGAATTGAAAAAAGTGGTACCTACATCAAAAACATCATCCTCAAATGGTACATCGAAGAAAATCGTCAATGTCACTCCGATTGTCGATCCGTCTACAACATCACTAGTACGACGCACGTCCGGCTTGAAAGATCTTATACATCGATTTGACACAACGCCATCCAAACCGAAACGAATTGTTATCGATAATCCGTCTGCTACTGAATCCAATCCCGACGAGTATTCACTAAGTTTAGATCTTCCAAACGATGATCAAGTGACTGCAACGAATAAATCCAAAACTATAGATATTCCAGATCTATTACAAAACGTGGAAAAAGAACCAGTAGCAACATTAGCGAAACCTGTCTTGAAACATTCGAACTCAAGTAAACAAACAACTTCATTTGATTCAACAACAAGTATGATCAGTGCGAATGATTCAATTACGACTACAGGTAGTGCACGAAAACCTACATCTACAGCACGTCCACTTATGCTTTCCGTGGTGAGTTGAGTTTTCATCCGTTGTGGTTGTCTTTCAACAGAGTTTTTTACTTTTAGAACAAAGAAGAGTCATCCTAGTATTAATCTGTTCAAATCATCTCAAGTTATTCTTTTTTATTTTCAATCTTTTTTTTATGTATTTGTAAAGCTTGTTTTTTCTTCTGTATTTATCAGTTCGATTGTACGACAATATTATAAATATGATTTGCTTCGACAAATAAAATGTTTATTCATACCTCGGCAGGAATCGATTCGGTTAAAACTTAGTTCGAGTGTGAAGATTACGTTTCACTCGACAATCGGTTTTGCTATTCTTATATTCTATGTAAAGATGAAATAAATTAGGTAACGAACAACACCAAAAATATCTTGGCAAACAAAGAGAAAAGTAAACTTTCATAACCTTATGTGTTTTTCGATATATGATGACAATAGTAACAATGAAATGACGATTTCGGTGGGAAAAAAGGTAGAACACAAAAGTATTATCTATGAGAAAACGTTCTTTGTGATGACGCTAGTTGACCAAGTGCAGAATTCAGTCCGTTTAAATGATTCAAGAAGATTTGTTTCTCAACCTGCACAGCAACATTTTGAATTTGAGCATCTTTGAGGATTCCTTGAACCTAGAGAACAGAGAGGATATCTTTCGAGATAATATTCGTTAAAATCAAGTAACAAACTTGAGCTGTGATTCGCTGTTCGTCTCCATCATTGGCAATCTGAATATGAATCGTACCAACGACTGTCGATGAAGTTAGATTCCAAAAATGTTCATCCGAATACGATAAAACTTGATCAAGTTTCAATATTCGGTCGAGAATTTCATATTGAATATGCGATGGAGTTTGTAAGAGAAGTGTCATTGCACTATCTTTCAACAATGGAAGTACAGATAAAAAGATCATGATAGAGATGAACAATGAACATATTGGATCGGAGATATTCCAACCAAAAAATTGAATTAACAACGAAGAAATAATTACGCCCACCTAGAAAATCCAAGAGTACAAAGACACATCTGAATCAATCCAGCGATACTTACACTGCCTAATGTATCGGCTAATACATGAAGAAAGACTCCTAACACAAAGAAAAGAACAATCGGTTTCGTTCGACATATGCTCATGTAATTTACCTTTCATATTAGCATTGTCTCTCATTGAATGACTGTGTCCATGATGACTGGCTTTTTCATTGGATCCATGCGAATGACCATGATCATGTTCGCCATGCGAGTGTCCATGTGAATGTGAATGCGAATGATCGTGTCCATCATGAGAATGACCATGATGTTGATCTTTTGCCGGTGCCGAGTGACTCATAGCACAACTTCCACCGCCGCCGTGAGCATGAGCGTGAGCATGACTGAATGAAAAGATGCCGATCATGTTTACAGCGAATCCAGCTACTGAAACAATTAGTAAACGATTGGTGTTGATTTCTGGTGGTTCAAACAATCGACCGATGGCTTCGTAGAAGACGAAGAATGCCACGACGACAAGAAACAGACCATTGACGAAACCAGAAAGAACTTCTACTCGACCGTAACCATAGGAGAATACTCGCGTGGGTTTCCATCGAGCCATTAGTGCAGCATAGAGACCGACCACAAGTGCTGTACAATCGAATAGCATATGAAACCCGTCACTAAGTAAACCTAAGGAATTCGTCCAGGCCCCATAGAGAAGTTCCACGAATGTAAATGTCTAATCGAGAATTAAAAAACGTGACGAATGTGAATCCGATCAATCGAGTTCTACTTACTAAATTAATGCAAAGAAAATAAAATATTTGTCGAGAATCCGATTCAGCGAGAATATCTCGCAGGCTCGATTTCAGGATCAACAACAGTGATTGCGATCTCTGATGTGTTAAGTTAAATAACGGTACACCTTCTTGACTGTAACCAATAAAAGCACCCGATCGTTGTCGAATTGGACTCGAGAGCAGATCAGTGGCAAAAGCAAACATAACAACAGCGAATACAACACCACCGGACAACACGTGTTCCTCGACTTCTATTGTACGTCCAAGCCATGCATTGCTGTTTGCAGCGCTAACCGTTTGAACCCAAATAAATGAAATGACAAGACTAGCGAAGATCATAGCTAATGTTCCAAAACGATATGTTCGGATACGATCTAGCTTAACTATTGCAATCTGTTCGACATAGAAATCCAAGACAAAAATGAATAGACTAATAATCAGCACCGGAATGATCAGAGCGGTCAAATTTGTAAAAAAGGATGCTGTTACTGTTGTTGTTGGTAATGTTGTTTGGAAATTTGAACGGGCTGATTCAGTTGGATCAAGCTAAAACGGAACGGAACGGAGTCGAGAAATTGATAATTACACAGTAGTTCTCTTACAAATAAATTGTTAATTAGCATCATAATGAATGACATTGGAATCAAGCACACCGTTGACAAACATGTCGTCAGCGCGTAGAATTTCTTTGGTCCACCAATATCTAATACTAATTTTTTCGACCAGGAATTCATTGCACAACGACCAAACAGAGCGAAAAGTAGTAGAATAACTCCGCCTTTATGATCAGCAACACCAACAAATGACGTCAAACGATAGAAAATATGTGCAAAGAAGCGATGATGCGCATGGCCTTCAGGATGATCCACTCGTTGTCTTAAATCGTCGTTATCGAATGCAAATATTGCCAGAACTGCCAGTGCAAAGAAAACCACACCACGAATACGCGCCGTATGTCCTTGTTGACCGCTCATGGATGACGAGAAAAGTACTTGAAAGCATGCCAGAATAACGATATCACTGTGTTCAAATAGTAAGATTGTTCGTAATGGACCACATAAAGTTAAACCAAACAGCCAGAGTAAACGAATTATTGTTAGGCATATTGTGTATTTAATTATACGATAAAATAGAGCTCTATTCGGTCGAAATGATGAAGAGAACGGCTTTTGAATGAGTAGTAAACAAATTGAAGTAAATAAAGTTGCAAGAAACAGAATTAAAACAAGATGATATGATTTCAATAAGTCGTAGGTTATAAAGATTCCAAATGTTTTCAAAATTTTTATAATAATTAACAATAGAAAGATATGTAAAACATCCGCCAATGGACGGGATTTTGATGTTTTAGAAAAATCGTCCGAATCAAGCATTGAATTCTGATCTTTCAAGATACAGATACACCGATGTTCACAAGGAAACGAATCAAAATATGAATGGCAATGATTCACACTAGAACGCCGAGTGGCAAGTCATTCTGATTGGTTAGTGTTATTGAGCCATATATACGGCGTTAGTCAGTTTCTATAGCTGTCGCTGTATAGTGATAAATGACGTGGAAACACTCGATAATCGAAGAAAACAAAATTCACGATTCTTTTGAGTTGCCTGTCAATCTGAATACATAGGAGTCAAAATCGAAAAAATCCTTGGCGGACGCAATCTATCGTTTTCCTTATTTATAGCATAGTTTGAATGAGTTGAGTTTATAAATTAAATTGTAAGAAACTAAAGACAGAAAATGTGTTAAAATATCGATGCTCGAAATAAAAGATGCTATTCTTGGGTTCCAAATGTAGTTGTATCAAATGTAATAATATTCTCTTCTGACGTTGTCGTTATATCGACTGTGAAAGATTCGTCAGATGTAGTAGCCACATCGAAGAAGGTTTGCAATTGCAAGTGAGTACTGGAGATGGGATCATCAGTAATCACTTCGAATGGTTCATTAAGGAGATTTAGAATTGTTGGAGCAAGAATTGGTACGGTGGAATCCGTCATAGAAGCACGTTCGGACGTGATTGTTTCTTGTGCAGTTGTAAATGTGGAAGCATCAGTAGTTGGCAAAAACGGTGCTGTCGTTGGTACAGTTGCTGTCAGAACTAAAATAAAGGTGTTGGTACAACCAATTTTTTCATTGGTAACTCACTTTCAATGAATTTTGTTATGCTTTCATCAGCAACTAAGGAATTATTCATCAATCATTAAAGAAAGAGTTTTCACTGTTATATTGTATACATACCAATAACACCAAGTGCTGATGCCAATGCTAGAATCGTTGTCACACCAACAAGAAATACAAGGAGGAAAAGACATATCGATTTTTTCGCTGAACCTCTTCTGCGAGATCTAAAAACAGTCAGACAAACTCTTTCATCTCAATCATGATCAATGCAGTCTATACTTGTTCGACATTCTACCCTTCATATCTTCAACGTAAATCTAAATTGGTTAGATACGATATTAGATCAATGTTCTTCAAAATTCACGTACTCTTTCTTCCGATAGTTCAATACGACTTCGGCCAAAAATGACCGATGAACTATCGCCATATGATTCTAACGGTTGAACATCTTCTAGCTACAATTTTCGGATAGAAGAATGTTCAGAAATATATCCAATTTACCGCAACGGAGAGTAAATTGTTTCGTTCGTGGGGACTGGAGTGACTTCGACGAGGCAGATGCGTTTTAAATTGGCTATTTCCATTCAAGAATGCGCGTGTCTGCTTTTCACAACCATTGTGAACCAAACTATGTGACTAAAATTAATTTAAATTACAAAATTAATAACTTCTATTGATTGTGCGATACATACAGGCTGATCTTTCGTAAGTACTCGAGCTACTGTTGCCTGTTTCGATGTTCGCGACATTGAGCTGCTGGTGGTGAATATATTTTATGTATATATGAATATGAATACATACTTGCAATTGCAAATATATGTATATATATATCTGTCATCTCATCAATCGAACGTTAGTATATCATATAAACAAGAGAGTCAAAGAACGATTGGTTTACATAAGATATGAAAGAAAAATTGAAGACTTACAAGTTTCAATAGAAAGAAAAAACATTGATGACACGAACTTTAATCAAAAAAGTATTGAAAATTCATCGTTGAAACGATTGATTAGCCTCGAACTTCAAAGAAACATGTACATTTAGCCAAGTCGAACAAAGTTTTTTCATCGTTTCTTTCAAGTACAATCTAACGCGCGGATTACTTAACGAAAGAGAAGGGTATATGCTAATATTTCCTGTGTAGAAATGTAAATTTGGTCCTAAGTAGGAAGAGGAAGGATTGCAAGATGAAGTCATAATTCGTCGTTAAGTACAAAAGGAACATATTGAAGAGAAGATTTCATTCAAATAGAATATGATGAATTAGACATTTTGTAGGTTATTGTGACATACCGATTTGAAGAAAAGTTTCTTCGTAGGTTTTACTGTCGTCTTGATAAAAAGAACCGAAAAATTCGACTTCTATGTAAAAAAATTATCATCACGAAGCAAGTATTTCGACTTCTTTGCATTCCTATTGCCTCCTATCTTAGCGAACATGTTGTACTGTCACTAAAAAGTGCATTTTTTCCCAGTGCTATATTGTTTTTAAGGGTAAACGGACCCGACATATCACAATTCAACGGTTTCATTTATTATCTACACGGGAATAACATATAAAAAAGACGAGAGGTTTATGTATCTATTGTAATGAATTAATTTGGTTTATAAAAACATGTGGTAACAAACTTTTGTTTGTATCGAATCGTTGTGCTTAGAATCATAATTCCGTTCTAAAGTCAGAGAAGAAAAGTGATTAAATTTCGTAGATTCTCATAAAATTGTCGAGTTACTTGAATCGAGAGGGCATATAAGTGTCCAAGCATGACGCTGTTCGGTTCGGGAAGAACATCTGGATCACACTAAACAAACAGAGAAGAATCTAGCGAATGTTTCGGTTCACCCTGAAGTAAACAAACATGAGCAGGAAGTTTCCGATTGAGAAGAATATTGAGAAGATGAGGTGGAATACGAGGTGGTGGCGGTTGCTCGGCTGGTATGAGTTGATTATTTACATCCTGTGTCCATTCATTCATTTTATGCAGAGATAAAATCGTTCCTTCGAAATGGTTATTTACATGTGAATCATTACCATTGATAGAAAGAAAATGCACACGACCGAATTTAGAATGAAATTCGATCGTCTAAAATCAACAAATACTATCGATATCAACGAGATTTAACAAACATACTTCACTAGGAATGAATCGCGGGCGCCCATTGACGAATATTTGATAATAGTGGCATCCATCAGGTATTTCCAGTCGTACTTCGTATTTTCCATCTCTATGAATCTCACATAAAAATCAGACGACATGAAAAAAATACCGTCACATACACTTTATGCATTCGTTCTTCTATCCAATCGGTGAATGTTCCGATAATACATGCGCAGGTGTCAAATGGTAGAGCAGGTACAGAGAATATCCTCGCTGTACATTCAATCGTCCGAATCATATTGTCATCTTCATCTACCGGTGGAATGCTTCTTGTCGAAATCTAATTCAAAGCACATTTGCAATTGAGAAAAGGTGTCGGTTTTTCGATTTACTCGTCGTTCTCTTTGTTGAATCGTTACTAAACGTTCATCTTCGCTATCGTGTTTATTGAAGCCAACCGATTCACTGGGACGATGTTGCCGTCTCGGATGTATTTGATGATTGCCCATTCTGATTATTCCTGGCACTTGAAAATGTTTGCTCTCTGTATATATATGAGTTGAATATCGAATGTCAGAGTTTTGAAAACGTGACCAAATGTCCGGTATGTTTTACGCAGTTTGATTTCACGATAATAACCATGATCATATGATGGTTTCATCTGCAGCGCGAATGGCAAAATACGAACATACTTTAACATTGATGGACATTGATGCATGTTTCAAATCAATTAGTTCGATCTATAAGTAAATCTGTTTTCCTTTGCTTGACTCATTGATTATTAGTTTGCATTCACCTGCGAGTTTTGAAATCCTTTTGTCAATAGACAATTGTGAGAAAAACGAAAGTTAAATTTAATCTTTCTCGAGAAAAAGCCAAATTTCATCATCACGTTTAACTTTTCATGTTTATTGACAAATGCACAATTAATCATGGTTACCTTCATTACCATACAAAAACATGTTTATTATTTTAATCGAATATCGACAATATGTTGAATTAGAATCAGATTACTTTTGAAAAAAACGAAAGAAAATAGCGGAGTAAGCTACGAAAAGACATATATGCATCATTGTTGTGACTTTCTCTCTTCATTTGATAGTCGATCGACGTTTGAATATGACACGCATCTTTCTTCTCTCAGTCGTATGCCTGCTTCTCGTATCACAGACACTAGCCGGTAATTGCCAATGCCATTGTTGTCTATCGAAATCTTGTATACCAAGTTATGTCGGTACTCAGTCGGTGTGGTTCTGTTCAAATTCGTCTTGTTCAGTTAGTCGATGTGTCGGATGGTTTCATCAAAATTGTCCGCCATCAGATTCTCCGGGAGTAACACAAGTATTCTGTTCAAACGGCACGGAACGATTATTTTCGTCTTTTTATATTCTCACTGGTTTTATTTCGATGGTTTTATTAGTGAAAAATCATTTTTGATCGTGACCACGCTCGATTTTTTTCCTCGTTACCAAATAAACTCATCTTTTTCGATTTCATAAATGTAACCTCTGAGTATGAACGGAATAAAAGATGCACATTTGCCCGACTCGTAAATCAATGTTCAATTTTATTTAAAGTTTACATAACGTTTGGAAATTCTCGATAATAAACAAAAATGACATGAACTGTATGGATTTCGTATGATCATCGCCGAATGTTGCTTGCACAATGCGTTGTGCTTCAATGAAATTCTTTTTTGCTTCTTCCAACTTCGCATCTCTTTCATTTTGGTTCGGTGGTTTCTGTTGAGTGAGTTGAAGCACGAATTTCATGCAAATTTCACCTAAATTCGAATACACATCACACACTTCAATATGATCGGGACCTAAGTTATTCAGAAGAATCTGTAGCGCTTGTTTGACGTGAATATACGCAATGCGATAATCATCAATCATGGCATAGGCTAAACCAAGTGAATTGAGAAACATGCCATATTTGTAATGCTTATCACCGAATTCGCCTTTGATAATCACCAGTGCTCGATTGATGTATTCAATCGCTTGATTGTAATTTCCTGGAATCAGAGAAATTCTATTTATTCTTGTTGATTTTGTCTTCGAATCTTACCGAGTTGGTGTTGAACTTGGCCGATATTGTGAAGAATTTCTCCGGCTTCGGAATGTTGTGGGCCGAGTGTTTTTTCAATCGATACTAACGCTTGTTGATATAGTTTCAACGCACTATCAAAGCGATTACGTTTGCGATCGAGATCAGCAAGATTGTTATAGTATATACCGAGTTTATAATGCGGCTCGTCGTGTCCGAATGTATCATGGACAATTTTAATCGCACGTTTGTATAGTTTCTCAGCTCCATCGTAGTCGGCACGCTTTTTTAATATCAAACCCATCGAATTCAGTACTTCAGCGACTTCGATATGATCAGGACCATAGGATTCCTGCAATGCTGTCAATGCTTCTTTGTACGTCGCTTCGGCGATCTTGAATTGTCCTTGCTCAAATGAACAAAAAGGAATTTGAGCTTCATATTTCGTGAGAGGCTTTACCTTTCGATAGATATCTCCAACGTTGGTTAGATAAATTCCAATCGTCGGATGCCGTTGTCCGTAAAAGTGTTTGGATATTTTCAATGCTTGCTTTAGATTATTTAACGCCTCGGTATATTTGCCTTCTTTCTTATGCAGAACGGCCAGATTATTCATAATATCTGCAATTGTTGGGTGGTTTTGGCCATGAAGTGCTTCGGCTTGTTTGAGAGATTTCAAATAGAGTTCTTTTGCTTGATCATAATTGCCTTTCTTCCGATAGATATCTTCATGAAAATCAAATAAAATGACTTTCAAAACTATAAAAACCAAGCTGTCGCTCTTACCTGCAAGATTTGACGTTATATCAGACCAGAGATGTGAATGTGAATCAACAATTGCCAGTGCTTTATTGTACGTTTCAATTGCATTGTCATACTTGAATAAATAGAACAACGTATTCATCTCGATCAATCAAACCGCTCTCACTTACATTTGAACATTTCTTATCAATTAACCCCAGAGCATTGAGAATCTCCGCTTTGGTCTGCGATTCATCATTAGGCCGTAAGAGATCCAACGCTTGCGTATAAACATTTCTTGCATCTTCGTACTGAGCTTTTTTGGATAATAGAAGCCCTCGAGCTGATAGAAGTTCAATACGTTGAGGTATAGAATTGGCATATCGATATGCTTTTATATACAATGCTAAAGCCTTGTCATAATGATTTGTATCGCGTTCGACTTGTGCTTGAAGGATGATGATCTTTTGCGAATGTTCCTTTTCTTTCATTAATTCAATACACTCTTTGGCGCTATCATAGTCATGTTCAGTGTAAAACAAGTTCGCTAAATCGTACAGAACATTGTCCGTAATTTGCGTTTTGCCTTCTTTGCATCGAAACAGGATCGTTCGTGATTCTTCCAATTTTGCTTGTTGTTTCGCGGCAAGCTTTTCGCTGCTGAACGCACACAAGCGTTTGTGTTTAACCAGATCCGATTTGGCGACCTTCGCTTCGCAGCCATGCAGTGCATTGGGACATTCGAACAATAAATTGTCAACAAAACGTTGAATCACGATGTTCTTCAGTAAACTCTGTTCTGTCAGCGTTGTTGATCGACATCGTGGACAATTTTTCGTGGATTTTTGCAGCCAACCTTGTATACAAGCCAAACAAAACAATTGATGACAACAAGGTGTTTCCCGCACATCGTTTAAATAATCACAGCATATGCAACACTCAATCAAACGCTGAATTTCACCTTTAGATGCTGTCATTGTTCTATTTTCTTATTATGTATGAAATCTAATGCCATGGAAAACGACAAAATAAACTTTCTTTTCTTTTCTTTTCTTCTCTTTTCTCTCGGCGTGGGAGAGGTTTTCTTCATTGTTACATTTTCAATGGTATGAATAAGTTTTGAAGTAAAACAACAATTACCTGATGTAGTCGCTAAAATCATTGCGAAATAGATGAGTCATACGGAGCAGATATTCAAGGATGTTTTCAAATATATAATATTTATCATCATTTTTTAATGCTTGTCCGTGTGATACGACCAATGACTATAAATTCACATATTCTCCTTCAGACAAATTCAAAAACATCAATTTTTGTTTCTCCGGATTCTTCATTATTGCAAGTTGACTTCACTGTTTGGATTGTTTTAGTAACGACGGGTTTAGCCGCTTTTTGATTACCATTCGAAATTGATTTGCTGATTTAAATAGGTATTGCAAGGGGGAAAAAGCGGTTCCTGGTTCCTCGGTTCCTCGTAGTTCCTGACGCAAGGGGGAAAAGCGGCTTCTAGGTACCGTCAGGAACCACCAGGAACTGTGAGGAACTACCAGGAACCGCTTTTCTGCCCTTATTCTGGTGGTTCCTCACCGTTCCTGGCGGTGCCTAGGAACTGCCAGGAACCGCTTTTTCCTCCTTGACTAAATCTATTCCTAAAACTATTTCTGTTGGTATGCATTTATATTCGAATAGAAACTGGTCTGTTGGGGGTCCATTTATAATATAAGTCGAATTAGGCAACTCATGTCGGGTTTCCCAATCGCGATATCATTCTGCTGAAAATCAATGTTTTCAAAATCGCGTAATGCATTTCAAGATTCAATGTATAACAAAATAATTGATGGCAATATAGAGCCTTACAAATATCACATTTAGATCCTGTCAGTCTTTTATCTTCTTATTATGTATAAAATCTAATGCCATGGAAAACGACGAAATAAACTTTCTTTCGTTGTTATATATTTTCAATGGTATGAATAAACTTTGGAATAAAGCAACAAATCCTTGATGCAGATGCTAGAATCATTAGAAAATAAATGAATCATAACATAGCAGTTATTCAAGGATGTTCTCTGTTCATAGTTTTGATCGAGACTACTAATGAATTGATATTCATAATAATATCATTAGTAAATGTATTCGTGAAAGAGTATAATTAGAAATGATGATCGTTTTAAACCCTTCTTTACATACGAAATGAATGCGCATGCATTTTGAACGATCGAAAAATTTTTTCCTTTTCTTTTTCAAACAATGTGCACAAGTATGTTAATCTTTTCGATAGAGCTACTGTGAGCATTTTATTTCGCTTATCCCTCATTTTTTCTATTTGAGGATGATCATCATCATCATGAACCTCCCACTTTTCCTATACACAATAAACGTAACTACTTAACATTTGTATGTTCTCGTCAAGATTAAAGAAGAAAAAAAAAGAGAGAGAGAGAGCTGGTCCGTCCGTTGGTTCAATCGAGTTCGTTGAATCAATAAAGTAAGTTCGAAATGACATTTATCGAGATATTAATAGAAGATATCAGAGCAAAATATAGATACAATTTCATTCCTACGTGTGCATGTATATATCAATTTATAAAGCCTTGTATCAACATTATTAACGCTTGTGCAGAGAACATACACTGGTGGATTAGAGTTCGCGTGTGTATTCGTTTTGTCTCTAAAGAACAATAACTCGATGCTTGATGATTGTATTAATATCGATATATGTATCTAGTCAACGTTTAATTCGACATATAGGTGAAGCACGTTCTTTGAAAATATTTTTTGTTTAAAGGTAAGAGATATTTTGTTCAAATAGCATTCTCGGCTGAAGAAAGAGATTATCTTTTGACTGATTTATATGTTTTTATGAGTTTATTCTCTTGCGTATATCAATCGTTTCTTGTTGTAGGTTTTTTTCTTCTTCTCCAGTCGTTCGCATTACGATACTATAATCATAAATGTCTGTATGCATTTATGTAGAAAAAGTATGTTCATGTTTGCTTTAATAAATTCGCTCGTTCGGAATCGAGACATATGGCTGTAAACGACTTTCTCTCTCTCTCTGTCTCGGTTTCTTTTTTGACATAATCAACTAGATCAACGCCGTGTTGTTGTTATTATCTATCTTTTCTTCTGATTGCTCGTAAAGAAGAAGAAGAAGAAGAAGTACATTTATGTATCGATATTTTATAATCGAAAACAAACTTACTTTGCATTCATCCATTTGTACGCTTGTTCTAGAGACTATCATGCACAATCAAAATAATATGTGCGGAGAGATAGAGAAGAGAGAACGAGAGTCAACAATGTTTTTATTGAATATAATTTATGCATTAGGGAGAAAATAGATTTTGATATATACAATGCGATGCAAACATTTACTCTGATCAGCACGTATATGTAAGTATTTAATTGAATCGTCGGTTAAAAAAATCAGACAGTCTTACTTTATTAGAACAGAATTTCGATTGATTAGTGATCAGCAGTTGATCAGCTGTTCGTTTTCCTTCATATAATACCCGCGCGTCGATTCGATGTTCATTTTAGAATGTCGGCTAAAACCAATTCGGAATTGAATCAATTGCAGTCGCAACTAGCGACGATTCAAGAGCAACAGCGTTTACAAAAACTGATGATTAAACAATTTCAAGAACAATTGAATTCTTATCAACAAAAACAACAAGGTAATGATGAGCCGAGTTTGATATTTACTTATATCATTCAGATATTCTTCTTAAGCAGTATCACCATTACCATCGGAAGAGGAGGAAGATGACGGAGAGGAGAGTTCACCATTAGATTTAACGTCGAAATCCGATGAAGAACCTTCGACATCAACCATCGAATTTCAAATGGAAGCACATGAAGGTGAACCGGAAAATCCTAATATGTCCAAGGTTTGTTCATAGTCAAAGTCACTTACATAAGGCTTACTTTTCATTCGAATATTTAGCTGAAGTCCATGATCGAAAAACTTGAGCGAACGTCTAATAAAAACGATGCTAATGAATGTGTTGTTTGTAAACGTATTTTATCATGTCAAAGTGCGCTGAAAATGCACTACCGAACGCATACAGGTGAACGACCGTATCAATGTCGTATATGTTCGCGTGCATTCTCTACTAAAGGCAATCTGAAAACCCATATGAATATCCATCGATTTACTGATAATACTTCTATGACCGAAGAAACATCGGAAGATGAATCACAGGTTTGAAGTCTGCTTTATGAAATGATTACAAATTGGTTTGTGTTCATGTGTTTTAAGAATGATGATGGAGTGGACGAAGATCAACTACCACCATTCAATGTTGCACCATTTTCGTTATTCAATCCACAATTTTTTCCTTTTCTAGCTGCAGCCGCAGCACTAAATCAAAAAAAATCCTTGAATTTACTAATTCCAGACGAGAAAAAAGACACAACTATAATTCCTGACGAAATTCCTCATACACGACGATCGTTATCGACATCTCAACACATCTGTGGAATCTGCTCGAAAAATTTCTCATCTGCGTCTGCTTTACAAATTCATAATCGCACACATACAGGAGAGAAACCGTACAAATGTGAAGTAAGTAGAAAATTCATTTTCCTTCCCGAAAAACACTCGTTTTTTTTCTGTTCAGGTTTGTGGACGAGCATTTACAACTAAGGGCAACTTGAAAGTTCACCGAGGTACGCACATGTACCAAACAAATCATCCAACCGTGGATCAGCACGGAGGCAAAATCCGTTCTCAACAACGGCGTTACGACTATCATCCATATTCGACAGTAAAAAGTGAATCGTGAAGGATATGAAATACTCGAACGTAGTCTTTCATATATCTCGATTTCATAGTAGAGAATGCATTCCTAAACATGTGTGCGAATATATATGTTTTAAACTCAGGTTTCTCTTTTCATGTGCGTGTATATAATAGCTGAATGTGTCCACGTTCTTATTCTTTGAATTAGCATGATTGTTACTGTTCATATCATTTGTTTATTAACGAAATAATAGATTTCTACAATACTGAACTGAATCACGTTGCAGATGTGACGAAGTACGTTGATGAATGTATACTCTCAGTAATTACAACAGACTGCGATACTATCCGAGCAGAGAAAAACAGCATCCGCTGCCTCGTTCAATCTCCACGTCAATTGTTCCGTATATTAAAAGTACTTCCTTGGAAAAGTTCCCTTGAAATTATTATCGATTAGCTTCATTGCTGTAATGGTTCTTTTTCTTCCTTCTCGCTCTCTCGTTATTTTATGAAACAATAAATGGTTTCATTTGATACTTTATGTTTTTTTTTCTTTAATCATTTCTATACTATAAAAGGGTAAAGGACGATACAAACGCACGAATATAAAGCATCATTCACACATATTGACTACTAAGATAGACATAAATGTCAGATTGCTAAAAAAGTGAAATGAAGAAGAAGAAGAAAAATAAATCATTCACAATATTGACTAAAACACACACACGTAGAGAAATACGAATACAAATTTTGATTAGGAAATCTTCTTAACAAATTCTAAGATAAAGGGAAGCACAATAGATGGAGAATCAAGATCAAATTCCATTGCTAATCTATGTATGATCGATCTTAACGAACGAAAATCATTGAAACAGCTACAACCATGATGGATGAAACAATCGTCATCCATTGTTGTTGTCGATTGGAAGATGGTGCGCTATTGCAAAGGTCCCCTTGACATGAGCAAACGCTTGCCTAATGCGAATCAAGAATAGATCTATCGAATTCGTTGAAAATTTTCTTACATGATTTACTCCAGCTGTTTTATAACAGTCCTTCGTTCCCTTTTTCAAACCACATGATCGAACAATACTCTTTTCCTTATTGACTAAATTATATCCGAGAAATAAACACAATTCATGTTCGAGTGAATTCTACTCGTACCTATTTGAACAATTTTACGGCAATATAAATCGGCTGACGATGGTTGAGGACAGTTTTGTGCAAATTTTGCCAAGTTGTCACCCTCGGCATCTGCGCAGGCAGCATCTTCAAGTGAATTGCATTGATAACACTGGAGAGTGGTTATCGTTGGAACTAAACATTTACCAAATAAGTTTTCTCGTTAAATCAATCGACAGACTTACTCAATGCAAGAAAAAGAACGAGATATATTAATTGCATAGTGAAGTTTTTGACTAAGTATTCGATCTCTAGAATAAATCGTACTGATACAAGTGAAACAAGTGCAGAGAAAGAACAAGCCGTTTAGTTATGTAAAGGAGAAGAAAGAAAAACCAGATTCTCGATGCGATTTCGCATACACAAATCACATCGTGTACGCATTCTTTTCTTTTATGGTCTCAAGGTCATACTCATTAACCGAAGAGATGAAATTCATCAATCATATTCCAAGAAAAATAAATTCTCTCGAAAAAATCAGCTAATAAATTATCTATACAGAAAAATAATATTCTTTCACGTGAAAAGCACATTTCGTAGCGACATCTATAATAGCAGATGGTTTTTATATTTCTTCAAAATTCATCGGAATTCCTCCGTAAAAATATTGTATTTAGAATAAAAATGTTTTTCTCGACGAAGTTTTCTCGTTAGATCCTGAGAGGATTTCTTCTGCTTCAACAATCCACCATCACTATATCTGAGTCATACTAACATCCAGTGGACATATTTACTCCTATTCTATTATAACAAAAATCCAACGATTATGGCCTTTGGGCATCTGGACAGTATGTAAAATGCTTATCAATGGGTGCCATAACCAGTTGCTGTTGTCATTGTTGCGGGAAAACATCGAAAAAATACCAGTAAATTATCGGATGATGAATGTCTGTTGCTTCCTAATTTTACTTTTATTCGTCGTAGGAGCGGTGATTATGGGTTAGCTCGTGGTGGTAGCAACTCAAATTATCCATACAATGGTGGTGAGAATTCTCCTGGATCTTACGATAATAAAATTCATGTTTCGGAAATCTATGGAAATAGTACGTAGTTCATCGCACAAATTTGTTCATCTTTATGGGATTGTTTTAGATTCTGATGTTGAGCTTGCACCGTCCGATAATCCAACTACATCAACATATTTCGCATCTATGCTTCGTTAGTTCTCAACACTTCTATGTTGTCTCGTTGTAATTTCGACATTTTAGAACATACAAAAGAATCAGCCACACCTTTGCCAATACCAACAATTGTACATGAGAATGTCATTAGTTCAGCTCGAGACAAATCATTTCGGCAACCGATTTCACCCAATCGTATGCGTGATCCTGTACATACGTTACAAAAACACTCAAATTCATGTTCGACAATCTACGTCGATGATTCAACTGTTTCTCAGCCCAACTGGAAAGCAATGATCAAATGTGTCAGTATTGCCATACATTCGCACATTGTGCATAGGAAATCCAATAAAACATTGAGTATATTCGATGAAAAACTCCATCCATTAACGGTACGTTGACTTTCGTGTCCAACGGAAAAGGATTTTCATCTTTGCTTTGATCCATTTCAGAAAGATCGAGTGCCTGATGATTACGATCAGCAACTACCAGAACAAAAAGCAATCTATCGATTCATGAGAATCATTTTTACAGCTGCACAGTTGACTGCTGAGTGTGCTATTGTAACATTGGTAAGTACAAAAATATCTTGTTCATAATCTAACTCAGCAGTGACATTTAGGTTTATCTCGAACGTGTTCTAAGTTACGGTGAACTTGATCTATGTCCATCGAATTGGAAACGCTTAGTTCTGGGTTCGTTCCGACATTCGTTTTGTTCTTGCTGATGAAGAAGTTTCTGTTTTTCTCTCTTTAGGCGCAGTCATGTTAGCATCGAAGGTTTGGGACGATCAAGCCGTATGGAATGTGGACTTTTGTCAAATATTGAAGGATATTACAGTTAGTGAAATGTAAGTATTCACGAACGTTCAATGTGGCAGAACTTTCACTGGTTTCTCATGATTTACAGGAACGAATTAGAACGTGAATATGTTCAATTACTTCAGTTCAATGTTAATGTTGGTTCATCAATTTATGCCAAGTATTATTTCGATCTACGGCAATTAGCCAAAGAGAACAAAATCTCCTTTCCCGATGAATTATTAACCAAAGAGAAAGCTATTAAATTAGAAGCATCATCAATCGTTAGTTATAGTTTACAGGCTCCACTTAACACGGCAAATGCTGCTCAGCCGCTACCACCAAACCCGCATCAAACCTCAGTCCCAAAACAGTCATTTATACCATTAATCTCATTACGTCGTTCGGCCAGTGTCGAATTTACACAATCACCTCGGAAATCTCTTCTAATTATATCTTAGTATTCAGTTTCTTCATTTGCTCAATGTTTTTTTTTCCTTTCTTCTCGTTTTCGATCCACTACATTCCTGAATGAACTCGATTTTCCTCCCGTCATATACACTCACTCGCCTATTTGTTGTGTGTCAGATCTTAAAAGATCTCTTTAATATTCATGATTTGTGTGTGTGTGTCTGTTTTTCTGCAATAATTTTTTTATACGACGAATACAGTTCTGTTTCTTTTCTGACCTGTCTACTCTGTGGATGTTTATTTGTGTGTGTAAATACGTTTAGTCGCTTTTTGTTGGCTATGATCTTAATGAGAGAATTTCATCTTTTTTTTTTGATGATATGAAATCAATTTTGTTGTGCAGCTTGTGTATGCGTCAAATAGGAAAAATAGCAAACGATAAAATACTGTTTGTTGACAATGCTTTTCCTGTTTATTTCAGATTGACAATGTAGACTACTTGTGAACGTTCAAAATTTGCTGATTGATCGGTAAGATTAAATTTTAGTACTTTGCTTTCGTGTCTCACATTAGAGAAAATAGATGCTTTATTTTCTGAAATTTATTCTAATGAGGACAAAAAAGTAAAATAAGATTATGTAAAAGCAAGTCAAATAGTAAAGGTTCAATGCAGATAAGTTACAGGTGCGTTGTGGATTTTCATGTAAGGTGGATCTGATGCGCTGCCCTGTTTTGGTACGACGTGTAAACAAGGTTCATTACAACCGTAGACGTTATGGGATGGTGTCGAATCGATTTTTCGCAAATGATGTGTTTTTGTTGTGGCTGGAATATCTGAGTAGAATGAATGGCCGTAGCATGATGATGTTGAAGGCGTTGCATAGTTGATTACACGTGTATCACTGACTGGTACGACTGTTGCAGAATTTGGCCGACAAGTATAATCAACTAACGTATTTGGTGGCCGACAGCTGTAGTCCGTAATTGTGTGACAAGGAGTTACACACCTCGTTACTGAAGGGCTCCGTAGTTCCTGGGTTGTTTCGTTCCATGTGCGCGTTTCGTTCACAGGTGTTTGGGCTCGAGCTAATGTTGCTTCGCGATAGGCTGGTAGATGAGCATCGCGCCATGCATAATCATTTTGATTTGTTGATCGCCATGGTTCACGTGGTAGTGACGAAGCTCTGAACAGAAAAGATAGAAGAATAGAGAAGCAGATTTGTAAAGATTTTAGGTATTCACCTTTTTGCGGATGAACTGCGAGAACGTGGACGCGGTTTGGGCGCATCATAATGCTGTTTGTATGTAGGTGGCTCTTGAATAGGCGTTGGTTGTGGCTTGGGTGGTGGATGATAGTAGTCAACTGTTTCGGTGGCTTTTTCCTCTTTCGAAGATTGTGACATGTTCAGTTCGAGACGAAGACGTTCGATTTTTTTCTCGATGGATTCGATTTTCGAGTCATATTGAGTTCGATCGAATAGATCACGACGAGCTTGACGTTCTTGATCGTGCGTTGATGGCGAAGGTGAGCGGGAGCGTGAGCGAGATCTTGATCTACTTTTCCGTTGATGTTCCGATGAATCTTCATTCCACGGGCAACACAATTCGCAGCAATCAGTACATGTTCGTGTTAAGCATGGTGGAATATTATGATGTACTACATGTTGTATTTGAGCCGTTGTTTGATCAGCGTTTTCGACAGGTTTTGTTAACAAACCGTATGTTGGATAAATAAAAGCGGTGTTAAGTAATGGCATTGTTGGAAGTACTGCTGCCGTTGTTGTTGTTGTCGCTGTTGCTTGCGGTACCATATAATAGCGAGTTGTGGATTGTAGAGGTACCGGTTGAGTTCCTTGAAGAACCATCGGTGCAGCTAGGGTTGTTGCCGGCATGTACAGCATCTTGATTTGGTAATGATTGAATATGTCTCCTTCAAACAATTGTTGTATGGACGGAATTGGTGAGTGAAAACTGATGTTTATGTGTTTGGTTGTTGCTAAGAAACGCGCTCGTCACACTTATGTTAGAATAAAGAATGGAAGAAGAAAAGTAGAGAGCATGCCTTTTCTCTTTTTTCTCTGTAAAACTGCGAAAAAGGAATGGAACTCGTTTCTTGTTCGCTGAGATATTACAAAAATATACTTATCGAAAGAAGAACGAGACTCCTGTCGATCATATCGAGTGTTGCAAATAACTTTTAACATACACTAACGATCGAATACAGGAAAGAAGAAAGGAAGTCAATAGTACTCTGTTCTTATTATCCTTGTCATGGACAATGAAGACTGAAAGGTTGACAACAGACAAAAAAACGAAAATTTAAATGAATGAAGGAGAAAAAGAAAATAATCTGTTGGCATCTCTGCATGTTGACAAAGTTGAAGATATGCTCACTCAACATACAGTGAAGAAAGCCACTATTGTTCCTTGTGCTCTCATTTTTCTCAAAGATTTGCCTTATATTCATAATATTGACTGAAACATGTTTTCTTTCTTTTGTTTTAGACACATGCGACAATCAACGTCTCTCATTTAGTAGCTGTCAGAGAGTCATTTTTAAAGGGATTTTGTTTTTAATTTCAGATAATTACATATTAAAGATCAAATATGTCAGAACGTGGCGGAACTCGAGGTGGCTTTGGCACACGAGGTGGTATGTATCACGATCAGATTGGAAAAATTCATTAACTATTTGTTTTTACCATTTGAATCAGGTCGTGGCGGTGAAGGTGGACGCGGTCATGGTGAAGGTTTCCGCGGCGAAGGTGAAGGTCGCGGCCGTGGTCGTGGCGAAGGTGCGTATTTCAGATCGGACTGAATCGTTCGTAGAATAAAACTGTCGTTTGTTTATTTACAGGTCGCGGTCGTGGTCGTGGTCGTCGTGGTCAACGTCCAAAAGAAGATTCAACTAAATCATGGGTACCCGTCACCAAACTAGGTCGATTAGTTAATGATGGCAAAATTCGTTCACTTGAAGAAATCTATCTATTTTCTTTACCCATCAAAGTTTGTTTTTTCTTCTGATGACCTATTTCGTCTCTCTAAGATCATCTAACATTCTAGGAGGCTGATATAATTGATCGTCTTTTACCTGGTCTTAAGGATGAAGTACTTAAAATCATGCCAGTACAGAAACAAACCCGTGCTGGTCAACGAACACGTTTCAAGGCTATCGTCGTTGTCGGTGATAATAACGGACACATTGGTCTCGGTGTTAAATGTTCAAAAGAAGTAGCAACCGCTATTCGTGGCGCTATCATTCTTGCTAAACTTTCTGTTATTCCCGTACGACGTGGTTATTGGGGTAACAAGATCGGTGCACCACACACCGTACCATGCAAAGTATGACCTAAAGAGCAAATCGCTTGCTGCTTTATTCCCAATAATGTATTTCGTTTAGGTCACAGGTGAATGCGGTAGTGTACTCGTACGTTTGATTCCTGCACCTCGTGGAACAAGTCTTGTCTGCGCTCCTGTGCCAAAGAAACTTCTCCAAATGGCCGGTATTCAAGATTGTTGGACAGCAGCCAAAGGATGTACCGCTACACTTGGCAACTTCGGTTCGTTTCATTTCTTGAAATAGTTCCTTCGTTGTTCTCATCAATGTCTATTTTTCCTTCAGCTAAAGCTACATATGCTGCTATGGCAATGACCTATTCATACTTGACACCTGATCTATGGAAAGAAACTGTATACACTAAAACACCATTTCAAGAGTTCAGTAGCCATCTTGCCAACACAACCAAGAAATATACTGTTGGCTCAGGTGACAAACACTATCAATAAACAAAGAAGAAACGAATACAAACATCCGACTAAATTAAATTTCGATCTTTTTTTCAGTTGTTTTCGAATGAGTTTAATCTCATGAAAAAAAAATTTTGAATAAGAACAGCATGTGTGTTTTCTTCTCTTGTTATTAATACATCAAAATTCAAACCTTGTATTTGATCGAATAAAAGAGAATAAAAGAATAGCCGTACACATACGCACACATAAATAAAAGAATCTCGATTGAACGAAAGGAAAACATAGACCTATCAGCGGACGAAATGGAAAATGTTATTGCGCAATCTCAACTGAAAATCAAATCGAATAGATAGTTGAGTGATCGTAGGAAATGCCCGGGCCAGTATCGCCACCCATTGGCAGGCTCGTTGCACAACCTGATGCGTCAGAGAAATTCGCTCTCGTCGCTAGTGAAAAAAATGTAGCCGTAGTTAGGATGCGTTTTCTGAGGTGCAACCGGCACTCAGTTTTTTTTTCTCGTGTTTCATTGAACAGAAAAGCTCTCCATTTAATCAATTTTTATTTAGAAAAAGTAAAAAGTGTATCTGACATAGTAAATTCAAATAAAAATTTTTATCTGCGATTCTCATCTGACAAATTATAAGACTTTCGTAAAATTCTGAATGACAAAAAATGGAGCAGTTGAGTCGGTCGATGTATGGTGAATCGGTGGTGGTGGTGTTCGACATCCAAGTAAGTAACCAATGAGTCCAGCCACAGCAATCAAAAGGGAAAGACCTAAGCACGTAAATGCGTACGCACACACTCTATCGCAAACTAAAACGAACCTGATAGCATCAACAGAACAGTACCCCAATGTGGAAATAAACCGTACAGCGCATCATCAGATTGATCCAATTTGAAAGTATGTCGTATACTGTAAGAGACATCATCTAAATTTCCGAAGAACATTCCAAAAATTCCTGTGTATTTCTTCGGTAAGTATTTTATTAACTTACAAGCTGTACTATGCCACACAAAGATGGGGAAAATAAGAACGACACACATTATCGTATTCATTTTTCGAAGATATCTAAAACATATGTCAGGACAACGAACGTTATTTTGCTCTCTATCATTTCAGGATGAGTATTGGCTTGTCAGAATATGCCAGAGAATGAAGGCCTCTTTCGATTTGTTTCTTTAATCTTTATTGATGTAAATATTTCGCGTATATATGTTTCTTTTTCCTATTCAAAAAATTGATATAACATCGTTTTTCTCTTCATTGAACAAAAAAATCCAAGTGAACAAATGTTTTGCTTTTCATATAACAACAAACAAACGCGCAGAAAAAGAAAACAGAAGAAGAGGACACAGAATAAAAAGAAATAAACAAACAAACAAACAAACAACGGACACTTGTAGTGATCATTAGATAAATGAGAAAGTTACAACTTATTTTTTGAAATATATATGTATACTAGAACACCTTAAAATAAATGAGAGACGCATAGAATAAATAAAAAGTCAGAAATCGAACCATTTCCATTGTTTGGTACCATGAGGGCAAGACTGATAAATGTTGTTGGAATATATTTGCAGATCAAGAAAAACACGAAGAGCAAAGAAAGAACGAAAAGGAGAAAGAGAGGGAGAGAATGTTTAAACGCTTTGAAGAATTTCTTGACAACAATGTTCACTTGGCATTCTTAAGTTGATTGGAAAGCCAATCGAGACCTTCGTAGAGACCATCTCCACTTGTTGCACATGTTGCTTGGATGTACCAGTTACGATTTCGCAACGAGTGAAGGCCTAATTTATCGGTGATTTCTGCGGCATTCATGGCATTTGGTAAATCCTAGAGCGAAAGGTGAAATTAACTTATGAAATCACGACCAGAAAAAGGGCAATTGTACCTGTTTGTTAGCAAATATCAAAAGAACGGCTTCTCGTAATTCATCTTCAGCAAGCATACGTTGGAGTTCATCACGAGCTTCACCGACACGTTCTCGATCATTACTATCGACAACGAAAATTAAACCTGAAATTGATCAAATAATGAGCTTTCACAACCCTGCTATGGTATTAGTACCTTGTGTATTTTGAAAGTAATGTCTCCAGAGTGGACGAATTTTATCCTAAGGTGAATTTCAGTCAGTACATTTTCCAAAAAAAAGGAATATCCAACAACATACCTGACCACCGACGTCCCAAACTGTAAAACTAATGTTCTTGTATTCAACAGTTTCGACATTAAAACCTGAATGAAAATGAACCTTCTAGGTCAGAACACTTGAATTCAAAGAAATTTCGTTTACCAATTGTCGGAATGGTTGTAACAATTTCACCTAACTTCAATTTATACAAAATTGTAGTTTTACCTAGCAGAGACAACGAAAATGAGATCACATGACAAGAGTAAGTCGTGTCGAACTAACCTGCAGCGTCAAGACCGACCATTAGAATACGCATTTCTTTCTTGCCGAAGAGATTTTTAAAGAGGTTAGCAAATACATTTCCCATTGTACTCGGTTTTTTTTCTCGATTTGACTTGTTAGGAAAAGGTCACTGAAAATAAATCTAAAGAAATGCAATTCACTCGTATAATTAAAATTGAATGATGATAAATCGAGCCACGTCGGCGGAGACACTTGATGGGCAACAAGCAAAACGAGTGTCGAGAAGAAAAAGAAAGCAGAGGGAACAAACATGACGAAAAATATCAACGGCCATTGATCATGCTAGATGTCCCATTGATTGGGTGAGTTTAACGGCAGACGAAAAATAATTGTTCTACAACTGTGAACTTCTATAATAAACTTTTTCGAAGGATATTTTCGGAATTTTTTAAAGAAAATCCACTGGCGATAAAGCGCCATCTGTGTTGTAGTTTTTGTTTTTAAATACATAACACAGTACTCAAACTATTCCTCCAAATGATAGTCTCGAAAAACAAAATTATGACTGGATTCCGTCGCAAATTTATTATTCAGTAAAACTGTGCCAACCGACATCTACCTCCAATGTACTAAAAGTGCATATATAATTTTAATACCACTATACATAAGTGACATCTATATCTCTTGATGAGCTTTTGCATTTTAAGACAACAAATTTGCAATCTGAAAAAGAAAAATTTATTTGATGCAAGATTTATTTTTCCAGTTATTATCTTTACCTATCACATCATTAAGGTACACATGTATAAACAATGGGAACGATGTGTTCTGTATACTTTTCTATCTTGCGTCCTTTTCTTTCCGACAGCGTCATTGTTTCTCTCTCTCGCTCTCTCTTTTCCTCTCTCTATAATCACATACTAATTTCTTTTTTTTTGCGTTCTGATCGATTCGTTCCTTCAACAACCGAATTAGACAAGACACGAATTGACAACTTTTTTTCTCTCTCTATTTTCTGTAAAAATAATGCTGTCAGAAATTGTACCTATTATTGATATCAGGTAGTTTCCTTTTATCCGACAAAGGCAACAAAGCGATCGATCATTAATTGACATTTCGTTTTCTTTAGTTGTATTCAAAAATATCAAACATAATGAGCGGCTTTGAGTGTTCGTTACTTGAAGAACAGCACTTTCAAACATCGGATTCACTCAAAGATGGCGCTATTTCCTGTTCAGATTGGTCTCGATTTGCTATAGCTTCATCAACTGGTTTTACATTATTGACATTCAGTGGTCATTCATCGCGCAAAGTCCAACTATTTACTGTTTCTTGGTTTCAACTCGATCAACACCTCGAACAAGACGATTTGAGATACTATACGTATACGCCTTTAGCACTCTTCTGTCCTGATTTCTTGAGACCGGATGGAGCACGTTTGTTAGCTGTCGCTTCATCAACTGGTCAACTGGTTATATGTGATGCGAATCAAGAATCGCCTGTTGTCTTGTTTAATGTCTCGAAACGATGGAGATCTCAATTAGACGAACGAAATGGTGGAAATCCAGCAACTTCACGAAAAACAGCAACAAGTAATGGAACGACAACGGGAGGTCTATCTCGTGACGAAGAAGCATTACTAGGTAATGATTAAGTCGAAGGAAACATCCGCTATTTCATGCTTATTTTTTTCTTTAGTACCCACATGTTTGGGATGGTCGAATGTTCTTCGCCGTGATTCTCCATCACGATTCGTTCTTCTCTTTTGTGGTTTAGAATCTGGTCATGTGGCCATTTGGCAATTATCAGAACAACAACAGACCAATAATTTAACCCTAACCTATGCTGCTTTACTTGAACCTAATGCCACCGAACCAACAATACCATCAGCTGCGAAAAAACCCGGCCTGTCACCCACAATGTCCAATGGCTATAATTCAAAACCCGACTCAGCTTACAAACCTCCACACAATTCAATATCCGCCATGGCATGGCTGTCGTTATCAGATACAGCTGGTATTCTCGCGCTTGGCTCTTCTCACGGACATGTCTCTCTCATATCCATATCTTTGACTGGTAATGAATTAGCGCCTTTACTTGCATATACAAAACAAGAATCTCCACATCTTGTTTCCAATGGCGCACGAATTCATCATATTGCTCTGTATCAACAACACAATGAACATCGATTATTTTTCGCTCAGATGGATTCGATCGTTATCGCCACACTAAATATCACATCCACTGGTTACAACACATCCTGTTCACAATTCACAATTAAAACAGTTAATGAATATGCTTTAAACTCGAGCGTTCTAACACACTTCCTATCAGATACACAAGATCTGTATTTAATTTGTCGAGACGGTTTTATTCACCGGCAAGTGACACAAACATTCAATGATCCAATACACCATCATCATGCTCAACACACAACACGATTCGAACAATTCTGTCAATTGTTACCTACAGGTTCGTTGGCCTATTCGTGATAACAATGAGTAATCATTTGTTCCGTATTTCAGGTAGTGAATGTCAAGCAGTTGGTATTACTCCAACTCATTGTACTGTTCTGACAATGAAACGCAGTGAAGCTATTCTAACATTATCAGTTTATTCTTTAAAAGATGTTTCGTCAACAATCACATTTTTCCTTTCGAATCCTCTACCATCATTTCGTCTCAATGATGTTCTCGCTGCCTTACGTGTGTTACTCTATTCAGATAAATCCAATGCATTAACTGATCTCATCATGTCTGTTGCTGATTGTGCTGATCAGGCTAGTGTTAGTTTATTGAAGAAAGTGCATTCATTATGTCGTCTGTTACTATCGTACCATAATAGCGGATTGGGTAGTGGTTTAAGACAAGCACCTTACATGTTATTTCTCGCCGATGTATTCGCTCAAATGATTTCAATCGATTTAATTAAAAAAATCTACGATTACGTTCCAACTGATCAACAAATTCAATTAACACCCATCGAAAAATCGATTCTCTACTGGTGTGAACAATTATTAAGTTTCTCCATTCAACAGCTGCAAGCATCAGCAAATGCAACAAATAGTGGTACAACTGCTAATACTAGTCTGACAGGAAACAATTTAACTGCACAGTTCGGCTCCTTATTGGCTATGGCGAATCCTAATATGACAAGTTCGGCCATTGCCATCCCGAATGGACCAAATCGACCATTACAGATCAATAGTCCATATTTTTCGACGTGTGATCAAAAATATCTCCATTGTCCTCTTTGCGGACAATCATTATATATTCGAACATTCTTCGATGTGGCATGTTCGAACGGACACGAATTTCAACGTTGTAACAAAACCTTTTTACCAATCTTTCTTCAAGAACGCGCTAAACGTTGCTCATTATGTAATTTCTATATAAGTGATACGACCATCGATGAATCGACGCAATTAACAACACTAATCAAAATCTTAGGAGGATTTACTTGCACATTTTGCGGTTGAGTTTTGTGTTTATGTACAGTTTGTTTGTTTGTTTGTTTGTTTGCTGTGTCTCTGTGTGTGTTGTATATATGATCTATGTCTACTCTACTTGTTGTTTTGTACTATCTATTTTTCATTGAGCAAAGATTCATAGTGATTATTCTATTTGCAATTTTTGTTTGCATGTATAGAAAACAAATTGAATGTGAGCACGACGTAAGAGTGTTTTCGTTTTCTTTTCTTTCTTTTTTTTGTATTATATATATTCATATACACACACGTATTACGCGAAAAAAGACATGAGTTTGAGTGAGAAAGAAAAACTAAGTTTCTTTTTTTCTTATGACTATTATTAAAAAAAAAAGAAAAACAAGAATTTTTGTTTCTTATTTTAGAGAAAAATTTTGCGATTCTATCAACGCTTGTTGAATAACTGGTAGGCTAGAAGGAAGATCAACCATTCACAGAATGAATGATTAGTTCGTGCTTTTTCAGCTGATGGGCAATCAACAAGCAGCAGGTCGAACTCGAAGTGATACCTACACACGGTATGAACGTGACGGTGAAGATGGTCGTTATGTGACACTTGATCATAACGATTACACGGGCAGTGGAAATCTGTCTTCCTACGATGAACGAGTAAATTGAATCGCTGAGATGACTTCTATGCGATCACGTCTTTGTAGGCTGGATTGCGACACGATGCAAGTCTACCAATACGTATCCGAAATCAGCGACCTATGCAACAACATCATACGCAACACGCAGCGCAAGCAGAAATGCAGAATGAAAAGAAAACTATTCCCGTTGTTTTTCGATATCCAGCATTAGCAAAAGATAAAGAAGCTCTGTTGACTGGTTCGTTTAATAACTGGAAGGAGAAAGTACCGATGGTAAAAAGGTTCGTTGTTTGACATATATTCGTTGAGGAAATCGAAGATTCTTTTGACATTTCCAGTGACAATGATTTCGTTGTTATTTTGGAATTACCTGAAGGTGAACATGAATACAAATTTCTTATCGATGGTCGATGGGAGTACAACTTGAATGAGGTATGATTATCATCTAGCTTTCATAAATTTGTCTAATAAATCTTTTGCAGGCATCGAAAGACGATGGTCTGAATGGTCGAAACAATGTCGTTACAGTAAAAAAGAGCGATTTCGAAGTCATGGAAGCATTAATATCGGATTCAATTCCAGCGAATAGTCAAAACCAAAGTCTGAACAAACAGCAATGTAAAGGTTTTCTTAGAAGTTTACGAATTAATTATTAATTTCTCGAAAATATATTTAGCAAGCGATTCAGATATAGCACGCTCACCACCTGGCTCCTACGAGCAGAGCTGGCCACCAGCAAACCAGAAAGATTTTCCACAATCAGATAAACCGCCGATTTTACCACCACATCTTCTCAACATTATCCTTAACAAGGACACCGCCGCTCACGTAAGTGAACAATATTGCTTCTTCCTTTTAAATTTACTTCAAATTTAATTAACTGATAGTATGAACCAGCTCTATTACCTGAACCGAACCATGTTATGTTGAAACATCTCTACGCTTTATCTATTCGTGTAAGTATCTATTCGTTCAAGAGAACATCGATTTATATCTGATTCAAAATAGGATGGTGTTATGGTATTAAGTACAACAACGCGTTATAAACAAAAATTTGTCACAACATGTTTTTATAAGCCTACTGCAAAATGAATCAACCGAACAGAGTCTTTTATTTTGTACGAGAGTATTTTTCCGGTTGATGATAATATTTACCCGTTAGTTTTTTTTTTAATTCTATTTTGTGATGGAGACGTTTGTTTCATCACAGCCTTGTTCTTCTCATATCAAACCGAACATGTGTTCATGTATATACATACCTGCGTACGTTTTTTAAAGTAATATTTGATTTTATCTTCTGTATTCAATAACTATTAACACAAACACTCATGTTTTCTTTCCTTACTCGATTGTCAATTCAAATAAATCGATCAATTATATAGATTATGCAGAAAATTACATTGATTCCAACTTTTCATGAGAGTAGAAATGTCTTTACATTTATTTACAAAAAGAAAACAATCATTTCGATATCTTAGGCTTCCATATAAATGATTTGGATACAGGAGCAGTAGCAGGTGGCTGTGGTGGTGACGTTGATGTTTCATTTGTAGTCAAATCAAGTATGTCCGGTACGGAAACAGATCGAACTGCATCCTCTGGCGGATCGTTATCTAGATTAGATGACTGGCGAGTAGTTTTTGCTGATACTCGTGATGCATCAACTTCGTCACTCGTTGATAGTACAAGAGTTTGATCGGTTCGCTGACGATTACTTTCTCGAGTTTTCTATTCAAGGACAAGGAAAATAGGAACGCATAGTAGAGAAACAAACTATCGACTTACCGACGACGTGCGCACTGGAGCTTCAGTAGTAGAGTTAGGATTCTCAACAGCCGAAGTTCGCTCATTCGCTCTTCTCGGACGCAACCGTCTCGGCGATGTTGTCTTTTTCGTGTCTGTAGCTACCGGTGACGGCGTTCTAGATCGTTCATCAGGAACTGAACAAAGAAAGAAATGAAATAAGTCCAATCTAAAAAAATTAAAATTACCCTCTGTGGATTGATTCTCCGTAGGCAGTAACGTTCCATATTCAGGGGACATATCACCGACGGGTAGCGATGTTTCAATGGGTGCAGGTGTTGAGGAAGGAGGAGACGATGGTGTATCGAAATTTTCATGCTCAAGACTTGTTGAGAATTTGAGCGGTCGCAATTTCTTTGGTTTAGTTGCAGTCTAAAAGGCAATTTTACGTTAGACGAAGACACGAGAGTATAGGAGATCGAACTTTACCGAGGCAGGTGGAGAAGACGAGGATGATAGTTCCAGTATACTCAGATCTCTAGATAGAATAAGTGAATTAATACCAATCTGATTCCATATGAACAAGAAAAAGATATGTACTCTGTTTCATATTGTTCATTCGAATATTTTGGATTTGGTCGACGTGATCGTAGTTTACGTGTGTCCGTTTCATTGGCTGCCATTGGTGGCACTGTACTTTCCGCTAAAAATAAATCGACTTGCTATGAGTAAAATTCGAATGGACAACTGTACCGTTTTGTTCAGATGCGTTTTTCGCTAGATTGTCATCAGTTTTGATCTTTTTCTTTTTGATAGTAGTCGTCGAACTTTCATCTTTGCTATTCTCGACTGAACGCTTGGCTTTACGCGGGGTTTCCGTATTCGAAGAGTGTGGCAATGGTGGTGCGATGCAAACGACAGGTGGAGGTGGTGACGGGCTTGATGATATTGCTGTAGGTTCGGCTTCAATGACAGTAATTGATACTGGAGATATATCTACTAAGTCACTGGGTGAATGTGTTGGTGAGAGAACACGCGTTTTCTTTGGCTCTTTAGTTTGTACTTCTTTTGAAGGTGGAATTGATTTCTTCTTTGATACGACAGACGCCTTATTTGGTGTTTGTGTTAGAGATGTTTTATTGACTACAACTTTTGGTTTCGATGGAATCGATTCTTTCTTAACTGGAGGTATAGGTTTTGGATCTGTTTTTACTGGTTCTTGAGGAGTTGGAATCGATTGGGTATAAGATGGTGGCGGACGATAAACATGCGTTCCTCCAATCGAATTATAAACATGCTCGAGATGATCAGAGACGAACGATAAGAGACGGGGCTGAATTAATTGATCTTGACAGGATTGCATATATTCATTAACGAGCGTTGGCAAGGTATCTTTGATTAAATTCGACCTATTTGATATGAACTTCGTTTCAATCGAACAAAAAAATTTGATGCGTTCTTACGTTTCTACATGCCGTCGTGCGCGTTCACGTAAGTCCGACTTTTTCAATGCTGGACTCCATTTATGTTCGGATAGATAGGTTGACATCAACGATTCAATTTGTGATTTTAAATCTAAATAAGATTGCTGGAAAGAACAAAACGTAAATGATCAGATAAGGAATTTCATTTCACAAACTTTTTGTTCAATATCAGATATGAGATCACGTCGAATGGAATCAAACAAGCCATCAGCTTTCACTTTCCGCATCACATCATGTAGTACATAGGAATCGGACATAATTCTGAAAAAGAAAGGATGATGTATGAAAAAGAAACTAAATTCTACAAGTTCTCAGTTTTTTTTATTTGTTTAGCAAAACGACAAGAAAAACTAGAAAATATGCTAAACGAAAAACGGTCTTTCATATGTTAACATCGAATCGCACTGCCAATGGCCATAAATGTGCCAAAAGTTCCACCCGCAGAGATCACGGATTTGCCGACGGTCGAAAGAAGTTCACGACCACGTAAACCATGTCTGAAGAAAAAGAATTTTTCGATTGAAAACGGTTTTTTCTCAAAAAAAAGCAGACCTTAACGCTGTAAATCCACCGAAAACAATACCGGTAACCATTCCAACGGTAAAACCCATCGTAAAGCCGAGTTTTACACGATCAAAACAGCTCGGTTTGTTCATCTGACCACCACTTGTATAACCCGTAGGTACAGCTGGCATTGTAAAGCGAAATAAAGTGTTAATTGAGTTGAAAACAACAGGTATTTGTGTATGTGGATATGGAAAAGAGAAATGGATGGATGGACGATGCAATTCATCTCCTCATTCAAAGAATCTCTACACCAATTGGAATCGCTGGTAATAGATGACTCTAGTTGAAACTAATTGTTATACTTCGAATATATCCATCATGAAATTGTTGTAATGCAATCGATTGAAAACGTGCTTTGATAGAATCTCATCCGGTGAAAATTGGCTTTACAGTTGACGGTTAATAAAGTTGTGCATTCTGTAGTAATTATCCATGAAAGTGTTATTCTTGTATTTGGTGATATTTGGAAGCAAACATCAAAAGACGAAAGTCCAAGTGAGATGATCCGGTAGTTAATTCAATTATCATGATGCATCGTTTCTTGGGTCTTCTTTTCTGATGTTTTTTGTGCGTGTTGTGTTATATTTAGTTGCTTACATGAGTTTTCTCTCTAATTATTTGCAAAAACTGCAAAGTACGCCGGTAGTTGCGATTATTCTTTTCTCTCGTAATCTCTCTCTCTCTGTATTACGCGTGCTCTGTTTGTATCCCTGTCTGTTTCTCATTCGTCTTGTGTTACCTTACTGGACGTCAAAGACATTCTGCTATGAATAGAGAAGTGTTACATCCATCGCGAACGCTATAACAAAAAAAATCAAGAAAAAGACTTAGAAGAAGGAGAAGCAAGCAGACTATTACTCGCCACGATCAACAACAGACAAAGGCGACTGTGCTGACGGACAACTTGCTATGCTTGATCTCGAAATCGTTAATTGATTTCGACATCTCATCACTTTTCAAGACTGACAAGTCTTTCCGAAGGCGACGAGACAACGAGAGAGAGAGTTGTGTGTGTATATATAATACTCTACAAAGTATCAACGAAGAACTATACATGTGTTCTCTCTATTGTCGAATTCAATTCATTTAATGAAGACGTATGCTAAACAGTCACATGGAAGAACATCTAGCACCATATATTATTCGTTTGGAGATATTCAACGACATTCTGTATCAAATATTAACGTCGAAAAACAAGTTAGACAATTGTCCACAAAAGAGCTACGACGCTTACTACAATCACGTAAGAAACCGCATCTACAACATGTTCACTCGGGCAAATATGGGATTAAAGCAATATGGTCGTCTGAGGATGAATTACGTGAGCACAGAAAGTCCAAAAGAAAATCGTTGCAGGTAATGTTTAACAATCTTTTGAATCGATCAAGTTCTGTACATGATTTTATATGGACAATGTTTTACGAAGAGATGAGATATATCTATTGATTATCGTTTTTGTTATTGTGACCATAGGTACATGAATAATACGATCATTGTCTGAGATTTATATACTCATTAGGCTATCAGACGTTTCATCATCGATAAACAGAAACAGAAATAGGAAAAGGACACAGCAGCGAGAAAGAATGATTACTCAATGTATAAGTGTATATACAGGGTGGTAGATAAGGTATTAACTCTCATTTATTCTCTTCGCATCTTCTTGTTTAATCTTCAATCACAATAACAGAACAAGTAGTACTTTGTCTGAAAATATACATATATACATCTATCGCGATTGATGAGAAAAAGAAGACTAAGTCATCATCGTTGTCTTCGTCTTTTTTGTTTGTTGTTGTTGTTGTGTTGTTGCTGTGTCTTATCTCGATCGTAGCATAGTATTAGAGAGAATATTACAAGAGAGGGTAAGAAAATAAGAAAGCATGTTACCCCGGTTAACATCTGTATAGAAGGGTGGAACGCCTACTATAACCGATCGCTAACGCAACATAATAATGCTCGACGTGTTAAGAAGGAAAACCATAAGACAAGAAGAGGAAAAAAAGACATACAGAAGATAAAGAGCATCTATCTATTTGCACCCTTCTTGATGCCTTTTTTCCTCTTGGATTTTATTTCCACGAACGTCGACCGTGTCATCTGAAATCTGCGGGTCCGTAGACTTTAAACAAGCAATATAGACAAAAAAAAGCAAGTGATTTCTTTCCAAACACAATTTTCCTCAAAAGAAAACCAAAAAAAAGAAAATCCTGTGTCTGCTTGATATTCACGCAGTAACAAGAATCAGTCTAATGAAGGGAAACCCTAAGAGCATCAAATAACATCATTAGTTCGAAGAAAATTACCATCAATCTATCTATTATAGAATTGGTCGTTTTCTCCTATTCTAATGGCATCCGCAGATATTGATCGAGGTCGATGCTTGCGTTACAAGTCAGATGTACAGGTCGGTTTTGTTTTCTTTAAAAAACAATCAAGTCAATGTTTCATTGTCTATTCTTAGAAGAAACCTCTTCTCCCACCTACATCAACAGTTCCAGTTGTCGATCAACGACATGGCTCACCATTGATGTGGATAGTTATTTCTATAATACTTCTTCTTCTATTTATTCTTTTTCGTCGTGGTCAAGACAAATCAGATGAAAATGAAGCTAATGATGATCAAGAGCAGTCCAATGAAACAATATCCGGAAACGGTATGCATCATCGTGAACCGTCGGAATATCGTCTATCAGCTTCTCAAATATTACCGACGATAGCGGAAGAAAATCCAGTAACACTTTCGCCCTCGAATTCGAATGCAAAGTTTACTCCGTATGTCACAGCTATCAATACAATTTCACCACCAGCATTAGGTAGGAAAAATCGAATATCTGCTTTCCAACAAAAAAAAATTATCAACACGTCATCTTTAGACGGATATGACATGGGTCATTTATCATCGACATCTTTACGTCAACGTCAAGTACCGAAAACTGATAGTATCGATGATATAGATGGTTTTGTTCAAATACCACCGATAAAACAGGAAAAGTCATACTCTATGAATAAAGATACGTCGGAAAGTATCGATGATTTATCACCGGTGCTAAATGAGACTGGTCATCCAGTGATATTTCGTATGTTGATGAAAAGGAAACGGTCGCCCTAAGATGAAATCATGAATGTTTTGATTTTCGCAGGAAAATATTGTGTCCCGCATGAAAATGCCATTCGAGATGATTTTTCGTCAATAGAAGAAGTCAATCAAGCTGTCAAAGATGTTGGTCTCCTCCGCTCGCAGCTGATCTTTGGCATTGATTATACCATCAGTAATTTAGAAACAGGCAAATATTCATTTAATGGCTTATCGTTACATCATATCGAAGAAGGTCTACTTAATCCATACCAAAGCGTAAGAAAATAACTATGAAAGCACATTGAGTATATGTGTGCTAGCTACTTTCACATAGGTTATTACAATCATTGGTCGAACTCTAGAACAATTCGATTCTGACACCTTAATTCCCGCATTTGGCTTTGGTGACCGAACAACACTTGATCGAAAAATTTTTCCGCTACGTGTATGTTTATTATTCTTTCTACTTAGTAATCATAATCAACATTCTCGTCTCTGTTATCCTATAGCCAGATGGATCGTATTGTAAAGGTTTTCGTGGAGTGCTTGATGCATATAATAAGATCACTCCTAAAGTACGCATGTCGGGCCCAACGAATTTTGCTCCATTGATCAAAGAAGCTATCCGTATAGTGAAAAAAACAGGACAAGTACGACCTTGGTCAAGAGATAAACTTGTTTTTCTGTACTGATTATGTATTTCTCTCTCTTAGTATCATATTCTCGTTATCGTTGCCGATGGTCAAGTTACTAATGAACGTCAGACGAAAGATGCAATTGTTGAAGCAAGTAGTTATCCATTATCAATTGTTATGATTGGTGTAGGCGATGGACCTTGGGATGTCATGAACGAATTCGATGATTCGCTACCAGCACGACAATTCGATAATTTTCAATTTGTTAATTATAATAGTGTTATTCAAGCATCTAATGATGCTGATTCGGATTTTGCTCTTCATGCACTTATGGAAATACCGTCACAATATGCAGCCATCAAAAGACTTGGTCTACTTAACGATAGTTAGTTTTTTTCACTAGTCAGTTCTTTTTCTTCTTTTTTACTCGTGCAAATTTTGCCGGAAAAACAAAAGCAAAACAATATAGATACATTCACCCATATAAATATATACACACCATATAAAATAAGTATGTGTATGAAATCCTCTAAACAGATGTTTCTTCATCATCATCATCATCATCATCATTCTCATCGCTATCATCGTCTTCTTCTTCTTCTTCTTCCTCATTATTATCATCATCGTCATCTTCATTTTCATCTTCATCACTATCATCATCATCATCAAAATCTTCGAGTTCGTAGATTTCTTCGTCGTCATCCTCATCTGTGGCGTTTGCTAATGCTTGTAAGCGCATACGACGTTCATTTCGAATACGTAAGATGTTGTTGTTAAAGTTTGTGTTCACTTTAACGAAAAGCGCAGTCATTCCGCATGAATGAAGAATAACACCAATAAGGTTAATTATTATCGTGCCAAGAGCAACTGTTGTCGAACATTGGTTTTCGAAATCTTTTGGATAGAGAACATCAACACTTGGAATATAAGCGGTGGTCGTAGTTGTTGTTGTAGTCGCTAAAAAAGAAAGAAGCTTGATGAGAACTGATCGGTATATGCTTGTCAATTCACTAGTGGTAGCGGTTGTTGTTGTAGTGCTTGTCGATGACGTTGATGTTGTTGAAGTCGTTGTTGTTGTTGTTCGAGTCGTGTACGCCGGAATACCTGTTGTAGTAAGTAGTGTATTAACGCTTGTCGTACTCGAACCCTATATGCAAAACAAAACATGCAAATCGATCTTCAGCATAAATAAATAAGAGACGATGTATTGTTTATTGATTATACTAAGATCTGTCGGGAGAATGTTGTTTTCAAGAAAACCAAGACGATTATACTAATTGCTCTGGGGAAGAAGTGAATACATACTCTTGTTGCAACAGTATAGACCGTTAGTGAGGGTGTCGTTGTCGATGGCGTCGTTGTTGTAGATGACAACGAAGGATTCCAGATTGTGAATCGCCAAGCAGTTGTACCTCAATGAGGAAGAGCACAGAACATTTATATGAATTTGTTCATCGAATATCTTACTACCAAAACCAGTTGCTTCAGGACCGCAATAGTAATCAGCAGTTGCTACTCCGTCTGTAAGAGTTATGTAATAAGTCGCACCCAATACCCATGGCGGGTTAGGAACAAAAAAAATCAATGTGCTATTAAAGATATAAACATCTGTTGAATATTTGCAATCGATTCGACGAACAAGACTTCCGCCCACGCGATATATACTGATATATGTTTGATTAAGTGTTGTTCTTCTCAATGGTTGTGTAGCTAGAGACAACAATGGATAGTCTATAGTGATCAGAAAGACATGTATACCTTGAATGCTAAACCGTAATTGTGTCGACATAACAGTTCCAACCGGTGAAGCTGTACCTTGTACAAATCTTGGAGCAGGTAAAACAGGATTCACTGTACCGACGGCAATCATAATACAGTACTGACTACTTGTTTGACCATTGTTATCTACAGATGCTACACAAAATGGCTGAAGACCTAAACAGAACTATAAGCAATCCTGATACGGATAGATACTGACCAGTTTGATCAGTGGTCGGAACCCATGTAATGTTGATACCCCATGTATAATTCGAGATTTGATAAACAACAGATCTTTGCACAAATAGAGGCGACGTAGATATAAATTCGACAATGGTATCATTCAAACAGCTGACTGTGCTTTGAAAACGAAAAGGGGTGCCAGAACCAACGGATACAGCTAGAATTGAAATATAATCGATCATGTACTATCAAATAATACACGCTTTCAAATTACCATAACACGCTAGATTACGACGAGGAAATCCAGAAATACTCGGTCGATTCGAACAAACGCCAGATGGTCGAGTCGAAACTTGTACTAAAACTTGATGTGGCACTGAACTTAGGGCAATTGTGCTTGATGCATTGACGAAATCCTCAGCTGTGATTGCTGCAACATAAGTCGATTCAGTTAAACCATTAGCGATATCTTCTGAACGAAGTACTGGCAGCCATGTTATAGCACAATCAATTGAACTCAATGATGCACTCGGTAGATCAGAACAAATATTTCCACATTCGTCCAATGGTGACTGTTGTGACCAGCGGCATCGAACCGTATGATCATCGTCCCAATCATATACAATGATCTGTATGACTGATAGTTCGTTGACGTAGAGTTGGAAAACAGGCAGTGAACCAGTTACTTATATGATATCGAACAGATACGAAAATACAAGAGACAATCACAACTCACCTGGTGATGTATTGATTTTTCCCGAAACAGGTGTGAGATCGATATGAGCAACCATCGACCATGAATTTGTTAATATTTCATTTGCCCATGAAGCACCTCGTGCAGTGATGTCAATAATCGAATTAACAGCTAGATTTTCTTTCGTATAATTCGATCCTGTAGATACTTGAAAACTTGTCGAAAAGTCCGTACAATACAGATCAGTAACAATCGTCTGATACAATGATGATGTACATGCCGCTGCTGAACTTATACAAGTTAATGTCGGTGATGTTGAACTCAATGTATCATTGAAACTAGCTAAGGTATTGATAGTTGTTTCATCACATTGGTATCGAGACAATGTCCATGACTGTCGTTGTGTGATGATGACTTCAATGGGACTTGTTAAGGATGATGGATTTGTCGGTTTCCACGACAAACTGCCACCTTTGTAATGATCCGCGAAACAGAGATTGTTCGATCGGAGAACGAACACAATCCACAGCCAAGCGAACATGCAAAATAAACGTAAATGATTTTAGCGGACGAAAAGCGTTGTGTTGTTTTGCTACTTGAAAATGTCATTTTGAAAGAAAACACAATGAATACATTTTCCCTTTTTTTTTACAAAATCATTTAAATAACGCTCTTTTCGATCGCTTGGTTGACTTAACCTTTAGTATACATATAAAGGTGTACGTTTGTACTGGTAAGCTGAATTCTTACCGAGACGAATCGCATTGTCATGATTCAAAAAACTTAAGAAAGATCAACATTACCATCGAATCTCTTCTGAAAAGCTTTACAGAAAAAAATCCTAGACTGCTAAACATCACATGTAGACTGTCTGACTACAAATCATCCGTGTATATCACGACAATTTCAAAATGGTTCCAATTAATTTCACAATCCATTCGTAATAAGCCAAGGAAAGCGCTTTTCATCCTGTACAATACAGAATCTACGTGTATGGATATCAAGCACTGGTGGTTCAGTGGTAGAATGCTCGCTTGCCACGCGGGCGACCCGGGTCCGATTCCCGGCCAGTGCACTTTTTTTTTCTTTTACTCTATGTTGTTCTTCAAGATAAATCTATCGTCTGGCGATAAGATTTTGGCGATAAAATGAATGAAAAAAGTTAACTTCATTCTGTTCTTGTTTGTTATATAATTACAGTTCATTTTATTTTTCTGATGGCTCACTGATATACTTGAAAAAAAAAGAAAACGAAAAGAAAGAGAAAGGCATTAAAACATTTGAAGACAAGCCAAGAAGAAAAAGAAAAACAAGAAGAAAGAAAACGAAAGAAGAAAACGAAGAAAAATATAGAAACATCATTATGATGTCGCAACAGGTTGATGAAGGATATTTGTTGTGGATGTTGTTAGCGGATCTGTATTAATACCAATCGTTTGCTTGGTTGGAGAAACAACAGGGGATGGTTGTGAAGAATGTCTGTTCATTAAACTAGCAATGGACGGTAATGGAGATATTTGCTGCTGCTGCTGTTGTTGTTGCTGCAAATGTGACGTTGTGCCTTTGGTGAACATATCGACGATTTCATATCGAATATCAGTTATAGGTGTTGAGGATAAACTATCTTTTGTTCTTGAATGAATGTTAGTCAATAGATTACATGGTTCGTCGAGATGCAAATGTCTTGCCATGTTGAAATCGAGTAGATTTTCGGGACGAGATGTATGGGTATTAATTGATGGTGATACGGACAGGGTTTGTAAGAGATTAGTAGTTGGAATCGATTGCAGTTTTCTTTTCGATGGTCGCGGTCTTTGACGAGCACTTGTTGATTTACGATTATTTACTAGCGCTTTAGGATCGAACGTATCTAAAATCATTAACCGAGCATGATGGAATGTTTTGTATATCGACAGAACTTACAGGAAGTTGGTTTATTTCCATTCTGATTTATTACATCACTGGACTTTCTATTCAGTTCAAAAGATTCATTATGTGCATCGTCACTAACATCATCGATTGTTCGGTACATTTCAGCTTCAGAAGCTGTACGTGTTGATATTGAATGATCAATATCCGAACATGATTCGAGCCAGGTATCAGCATCGTGTCCTTCGGAATTTAATTCGACTTTTAACGAACTAAGACGATGTTGTAGTTCAGCATTGCGAGCTGACAACGCAGATATCTCTTGTTCATATTCACGCTCTTTTCGTGTTAGAGTCTAAATACAAAGAACAAATATATAGGATGCTGTTATCTTCTGAGAAGATACTTTCATACCTGGATGTATTTGATGGCTAGATTGAGTACTTGAAGATTAGTTATTTTTCGATCACGTTGACAAGGAACTTCTGCTTTGAGAGAATCGAAGCAATCTTTCAAATGAGCTCGTCTAAAATTGGCAAACAAGCAATGTTTCTGAAGACGTTCACGCAAAACTACCTTCTAGCTTCTTTGGGAGATACCATAGGAAACAAAGAATACAAAAGATAGTGATGATATACTCTGACTCGAGTCTCGAACTAGCGCACCTGACTTTCGTTTTATGTTTGATAACGAAGCCAATGAAAATTCTCCTAATATTCGCTTATTTACTTCATTCGAAGACAAAAATATTTTTGGAGATTTTATTTTAGTCGGATGATAATTCCCTTAGCAAAAGTTCGATAAAAGATGGCGCTACTTACCGATGTTTCTCAAGTCGATTGTGAATTTCACGATCTCGAAAACACGTTGTTTGCCCACTAGAACAAACATCAAACTCAAGAGGAGAACAAGAAGAAGGTAAGCAATATTTACCGATTGGTTGTTTCACTGTTTCCATTAATATTCTGATCGCTGGTTTCGTCGTCATCATCCTCGTCATCGTCATCGTTATGATCTAATGACAATCGTTGCTGAGCGCGATGATTGTGATGATGAAAATTGAGATTAAGATCGAGTTGAGGATAATCATCCGTGGGATCAGTTTTTAGTAAAGATGATGTTGACGATGTCACTGTTGGTAGGATGTTTGTACTCGTCGAATTTGTATTGATTGGTGTTGGAGACAGAACACTGGTAGGAACATGATTAGGTGGAGGAGATGATCGATCGCCTAGAACAAAACATACGAAAAATTAAATCATAAAAATATTCTAAACATACACCAATACCACATTGTTAACATAGATGATCAGAGTACATATGTCTGTATGTATGATATGACGATCTTTCCTTTCTCTCTCTCTCTTGTTTTCTCGCTTATTTGTTTTGAAATCAATCACTGTAGATGTACGACCGTCTGTCCGGCTCTATCTATATTCGAACCGTTAGACAAGCGATGACGAAGGAAGGAAAAGGAAATGAACATAACATATGTGTGCGCATATATATATATATATGTATGTGTGTTTCTTTTCGATCGACGAAGAAAAGATACTTGTAGCGAAGTATTTTTATAGCAGTTAAGTTTAACAGAACAGATTTTTATATTTTTGTTCTGTCTGTTTATTGTCTCGTCCGTCGTTTTTATAAACTCACAATCGAACTAAATACTTACCTAACAATAAGATGAAATCGAATTGCATATTTTTTTTTAAAGTTATAATAACATGAAAGAGGAGAAAAGTCGACCTTGTCTCATGAAAAAAAACGAGAGTAATCGACGATAAAAGAGAAAAATGTATTCAGTACTCGTATCAACGCACGTCACACATGAGCGCATTCTGCCTGCTTTTAACTCTCATTACTATCATCGATCGACAATGACAACGAGCATGAGCAGAGGAAAAAACTGATGACAATCACTATCATATGATCGGCCGGGTGTACAATCACGAAAACAAACTATATTTTATACAAGAAATCGATGTCTCATGTCTTTTCATCAACCTCCGTGGCCACACAAGGCCAACATCTCGCAGAAGAAATGCCCAAGTCATTTTGTACATAATCTCAGTTTTTATCTATTCTTTTTCTTTTATCTCCGTATGTTTACATGAATTGATTGTTAGCCACGTGCGTGATTCATTCATTACACATACATATAAGTATCTATATCTTTCGAACGGAGCAGATAGAGGAGGAAAATACTGAGAAAGTATGAGTCATACTCACCTCTTCCGAGCCGTTTTTTGGGAGGAATTGATTGTTGATTTTCCAGGATTTGAGCTGCTTGCAGCAACGTTTCAATATTCATCATTGCTTGAAAGATTATTTGAAATAAATTTTTTTAGAAAGAAATATTGAATTATGGTCGTAATAATAATAATAATCACGATGGATGGATGGATAGATGAAATCAGTTGTGCAGAAAGAAAGAAAAAATACACACACACACGCACACAAACACACGCTTAGACAGAGACAAAATAGAAGGTAATGAAACTATATTGTATTAAAAATTGTTGCTGTCGTTGTTGTTTCTAGTTTTTGCTGCTGTTGCCACTGCTGCCATTCGATTCTTTCAGCTGCGCAAAGCATGTAGTTGTCGACTGTCGATCGGTCGGGCGGCGCTCATGATGTTGGCATTGTAGATGAAGAAAAAGAAGAAGAAGAAGAAGGAGAAGAAGAACGTGCGCACGGGACCACGCATACACACACGAGAAGAAGAAAAACGCGAGACGACACCAACAAGCAATGAGAGGAGAGAAAAGAGGGCATAAAAATACAAATGACGACTTGCTTATGTGTATGCGCGCTCGAGAACCGAGAGAGAAAAAAAGACGTCGACACACACACACACACACAAAAGCCACGAAACAGTGTGCGTGTCAAACAAAAAAAAAGATGCGAGGAAAGGAGAAAGACAAGAAAGTGATTGTGTATGTATGTATGTATGTGTCTGAAAGAAAAAGAATCTACACGTGTGTAATGTGTGCACCAGTTTTTCTTTTCTCCCTCTTTCTCTCTCTCTCTTTCTTCGTTGGCTCGCAGACGATGAGAAAAGTGAGCACAAGTAACTCGTGTTTTATGTATGCGTGTATATATGCGAGTAGTAAAAAAAAAGAATTACACAAAATTGAGATAGAAAGAGAAGAAAAATAAACACATGGACTGTAAAATGAAGTAAGAAAAGAAAGGCTCGATAAATTCTTTTTTCTTGACTTTCTCTTTGCATACAGATGTGTGTGCGTGAAATATTGATGGAGTTCGGCGTGATTTTACGTCATGTTTTTCTCCTAACATTTACATTGAATTCATCAATAATCAAGTTTGTTCTTTAACTATTGGCAACAATCTAATACATCAGCAATGACAAAAAAACTCAGTTTTTTTTTCTTTCATTTCTTCGAAAATCGATTATATACTCATACATACATATTTATATATAGATGAAAGACAAGCTCATCGGTTCTTCCGCTTGTTCTCTCGCTCGATTTTTTCTTCCTTTCTGAGCAATATTTCTCCGCATGTTATCAGAAGAGAAAATCGACTCTTCTTCCAGCCTACATGACACATAACGTCTGGATGGATAAATAAAAAAAAAGTCGTTTTTTATCATTTCTTTTTGCCATGGTTGCACTCATATCTATGTATTTTTTTTGTTATTCGCAGTGCATACATCATTGGGTGAAGACAATAAAAAGAGTAGGCAAAATCTACTCGTAAATCATGATGCAGCATACGCGGTAAAAGTTATTTTATCACAAAGAAAAGCGAATCATATCAAATGCAGCATATACTCTGATTTCTTGAAATTCTGTCGACGACAGACAGACTCGAGCTTGTTTACCAGGGAAAAAAGTGTTGATTTGTTTTTTATGGTGTCGATGTGGGAAAATGACATCGAGATTTACTTGTCAAACTGTATATCAACTAATGGTCCCCCACCGTTTTTGTTATATATCAAATATACAAATTAGAATAGTAGGATGTGTAGTAGGAAGACTGATAGGCCACAAACTCCTGCGTCTGAAAGATCGAAAGGATCCAGAGTAATTCAGATACATTCACGTTGTGATTGAAGAACGTTTTGATTTATTTCAATGGGTTGTATATCAGGTTGTCATTTGAAATGAGAGACAAACATGAAAGTGGAGTGTAATGGCAGGGGTGAAAACACACGCACACAGAGATTTCCCTACAAAAACAGCAACGATATGAATTGTATAACAATAACAAGAAGAGTGATAACAATAGTCTGAGTGATTGATTTTAACGATGATTAATCCATGTTCATCGCTTTCGCAGCATTGGATATTTCACTTGATGATTTTGGTACTTTGACTGTTTCATCGATACTTAAAATCAAACAAGCAGCTTCACTTGCAGCTGTAATTGCATTGATTTTGACAATTGCCGGTTCCCAAACGGCTGATGTATAGTTATCACTAACATCTTCATGTGTCACGTCAACTCCAAACCAGATATTATCTATTCGAATGAAAAAAAAGTTTGAAATACACCATTTTATTCCAACCCCTACCTTCGGCATGTTTTTGTCGAAGTTTGTTTAAGATGTTCGTTGCATCGAATCCCGCGTTTTCACACAATTGTCTCGGGATGATTTCAAATGCTTTGGCATAGGCAGCGATGATCATTTGTTCTTTCCCAGCAACTGTTCGACTGTATTCTCTCAGGGTGCGACTTAGTGCCATTTCAATGGCACCACCTCCAGCCACAATAGCATCGTTTTTAACAGCACGTCGTACAATCATGATGGCGTCGTGCAATGAACGTTCAACTTCATCGATGAATTGTTCTGCTCCACCACGTAAGATCATTGTTGCCGTTTTCGCTCTTGGACAACCAGTGAAGAAATTATAACGTTCCGAGCCGATTTGAATTTCTTCAAACAGATCACATGTACCAAAGATTTGATGAGATTTTTCATCGAGATTCTCAACTGTCGTGACGATCGCGCCTCCACATGCTTTTTGTGTACGCTTAAGATCATCATCTTGCACGCGACCAGCACAAAACATTTCTCTGAAAGATAAATCCAGATTTGATTCTAGCTATTCTCTTAGGAAGAGTTTTTACCGATCGGCGAAATATTGTGTTGCAACATCACCAATCGGTAGCTTAGACAGAACAACATTCACACCGGCTCTGTGAAGTTTCTCCAGTTTATCATAAAGAATTGTCCATTCAGCATCGACTATCTTTTGATATTCCTAACAAATGATAGATATACATGAGAGAAATCTGGTTTGAGGAGAACATTAACTTACAGCGACATTATCAAGTCGAAGTTCAGCGTTATCACGTTCAGCTTTCAGTTCAAGTTCAATATTAAGCAAAGCAATTTTCGGGTTCGAGTATTTTTTCTGTTGCATTTCAAAACCAGCATAGCTAAATGTTTTCTTAAATGCGACGCCAGCAACTAAACGTGACTCCTGAAGGAAGAACAACATTTTCTAAAAAACTAACATCTTCTTAGATATTCTGTTTTACCTCGAGCGAACCGCCAGTTACTTTTTTGATTCCAATCCTAGACATAAGATAAAGTGAAACAATCGTGCATATAAATAGAACATACATATTTAATGGAAGTAAATCATCCAACATGAGAACTGCATCGACAACCATCTTAGCAAAGAATTCTCGTTGCCGCGCAATCAATTTCGAATTCAATGTTGTTCGGGCACATTTTTCGAGCAATAATTTTTGTTCTCTACACACAAGTAGAGCGGTATTCGAAGTTTATAGAGACCATTCATATTTGTCTTACTTCGCATCATCTTTCTTAACATTAATCGAAATTTCCCTGATCTTTTCCGTAGCCAATGCTGTTGCTTTTCGTACAGCACGAATAACAATCGTTGGATGCATGCCATCTTCAATAAATGTCCTCGTACTTTTCAAAATCTCTGCTGCTAGTAACACAACCGACGTTGTACCATCACCAACCTCAGCATCTTGAGATTTAGCAATATCGACCAGTGTACGAGCAGCGGGATGAACAACTTCCAAGAGTTTGAGAATCGTTGCACCGTCGTTCGATATCGTTGCTTTGCCACGTTTATCGACAATAAGTTTATCCATGCCACGAGGACCTAAGGTCGTGCGGATTGCTTCCGCAACTGCTTGGCACGCGCTGATATTTGATAGAACTTGAGGTTTACCCTGCGAGGAATCAGTTCCATCCTTAAGAATCACTATCATTGGTTTCATGTTTCAAATATATCTAAAAAGTTCAGCGCGTATTATTCAGTGAAGAAACGAGAAAGAAGTGATTGTAATCATTCAACTGTTGCACCAAAATGTGCCATAACTCAAGATAGGACACTAGGCAACAGAGAATGATTGAAGAGACAAACAAGGTAACTAATGAGATGCAATTGGATCATTCTATCAATCGACCTTACTCATTAGATTCAATTTTTAAACACTGAGACAAATTCGATATACCTCAAACAAACTCTCGATCCACGCGAAACATTTTACATAAACTTTTCCGTGCAGATGTCGTTGGTGGCATTATCTTGGTCAGGTGTGATAGTCGAATGCAAATAATGTTGTATTCATATGATAGTTTGACTATGTTGCAGTCTATAGATACCGTAAGGACAGGCTTTCTTTGTCCACAATGCCACCAGGATATGTCAAATATGGAAATGCTACAAGTACATTTTCAGAATGTGCATACGAAGCAACTATCGGCTTCGACTGCCAGCAAAAGTATCGAAGTATTTTATTAATCGAATGATCTATTCAATTTTTAGGTTTCTTTTCATTTGCAAAACAAAAACTGAAGAGTGTGCAAGGTAGTTTTCAGACTCCGACCGAGCCATCAAAGCCTCATGCTCAATATTTTTCATCTGACTCGAACAACAGACAACAGTTTATCGGATATTCGATTTCGCATGACGAACTACTACGAACGATACGGAAAAAGAAGCACGATGAATTCTTTCATCGAACCGATCAGCTGTTACTGCATACTCGATTGTTAACTACTAAGAATGAATACATTCCACTGAATAAAGATACAAAAGAACGTCGAAGTAGATCGTTTGATTATGAATTTACGTTGGATAATCATCGACGTTTTGTTTTTAGAATACGAACAGGGTATTGTATCATGGACAGAAAATTCTGTTGCCTCACAATGCGCGTCCTGTTCAAAAACATTTGGCATTTCGAAACGAAAACATCATTGTCGTTTAGATGGTCGAGTTATATGCAGTCAGTGCTCTCGATTGTTACCATTTTCCGTTGCACGTCTGCTTTCATTTTGTTTCGGATTTGTTTCCCCTCTATTTCTCCCTCATTGTAGAAGATCTCATCGATCCAACTGTGTCTCCACTATCATCGACAGCAAATACAGTTATGTTGCAAAGATTGGTCAATCTCACCAGTCTAATACCATCGGCGATGATTCAGGATGCATCGAATGAAGATAATCTACGAATTTGCATACGTTGCGAGTTTATTTTACAGAAATATCATAATCAAATTCGCTATAAACATATTCCGGTCGATCAAATATTTTCTCTCTATGAAGTAAATCTCATCACATACATTTTCATACCAAAGAATACTAAAATGAACATTTTTCAGAAAATTATTCAAGCGGAAAAGCAATACAAATCGATTCAGTCGAAATATACAACAATAATCGAGTCCCTTCTGTAAACACTCTCAGAGAATTTCAAAACAAAATTTCTCTTCTACGTTCTGTGTTGATAGAAATGGAAATACACAATACCAACTGGTCGATGCTCAACGCATCTATCGAGAATTGAGTATTCACTATGATAAAATTGATTCCGTTTCGTATGTCGATCAGCAAAGGAAATAGAAAGATATTTGTCATGACTTATTATTTTTCAGGAAATCAATTAGTAAGTTGGCTGAAGGCGATTCGACTACACCAGTGAGTAATCGTTATGCAGCACTCTGTCGGAATATTCGAACCTATTCTATACAAATGATGCAGAATTTTTCGATCTCGATAAGACGTTTACCTACTGAGGATGATCTTAGACGCATCCGCGAAGAGAAAAAACGATCCGAAGATGAACGAATGGTGGAATGTGCGGCAAAGATACTAGGAATGAAGGACAATTTAATAGAGATACCACCCGAGCTCGAACCATTTGTCCAGCAATACTATCGTGTTACACAATTTCTCGAAGAAGCACGACTCGCTGGTCATCTGGATGAAGTCCAGGCATTAGAAAAGAATTTGAAGGAACTTGAAAAAGCAATACGTATGGTTCAACTAAATTGATTTCAGTTAATAAAGAATAAATCGGCTTTTTTTCCCACTAAACTTGTACATTTTATCACATATCGGCAGATTTCATAGAAATATTTATGTAACATTTCATCAATCAATAATGGAGTCAACTATTTACTCCAGTAAGTCGATTTTTGACATGGTTGTGGTAATCGGTTGGTAACAAGCACTGGTGGTTCAGTGGTAGAATGCTCGCTTGCCACGCGGGCGACCCGGGTCCGATTCCCGGCCAGTGCACTTTCTTTTTCGCGAATTTCACATAACTCATGCACTCATTTCTCTTTATACATCTTTATTTTTATTGAATAGCAAAAGGAAACGCGGTGTTCATGGTTTAGTTACTTGAGAATATAAGAAAACAAAGAACCAACAAGATATATGACTTTACAGATATTTTGAAGAAAATATATTCTTTTTTCGTTTGTTATCTCTATACATTATGCAATATATTCATAAACATTAGCATTGTCCGCCGATCGCTTCATGTATTCGCGTTCTAGTAAGCTTTCGATGCGTGTTTTAACTGTTGATGTCTAGAAGGGAAAAACACAGGTGAAGTTTTTTGAAGAATATTTTCAATTCCATACTGAAATAGGAAATTTCAGTTGAGCAAACACTTCCGACATTAATTGGGCATGTGGCAATGTTTTACGCGTTTTCATAATTCGTACGACTGCAGCATCAATTTGATAATGACGATCTTGAACAACACGTTGTGTAGTGGAGCTGTTTTCTTCTTGCTGCAAAAAGTCAACAGATGTCAAAGAGATTCGCGAAGTTTGTTCTACGAACTGTTTCCTTCAATTGAACTTGATTGATTTTAATTCGAATTAATTTATGTTCAAACGATGTATTCAGGGTAAATTGATCATTAGGATTGATCTCTTTCGTCTACAGTACAAAAAAATATCCAGTATAAATAGCTATAGACTGGCGGCAGGTACCAATGGTTTTTTATTCAGTAGGCGAATCTTTCCACAAGCTAATGATTGTAGCGTTCGATGCAATTCTGCTTCTTCTACATGAACAATCGAAACTAAGATAGACAATTCTCTCGCAATGAATACAAACGGAGTTTTGTTTGTTCTTTGATATCATTGTAATTCAGTTCGAGATGTTGATTAAAAAGAAGGAGCACCAATGCTTGGAACAGTGATACTTGAAATTCTTTCGGCATCTGAAAATAGGCGTTTTGAGCGAGTTTATTTTCCATATTGATTAACGAACTTTATCTTTCAACCATCCTTTCAGTAAACAATGGTCCAGTGAATACTGCCAATGAAGCTTGCGTCCTGTATGTTTACTCAAATAAAATTTCGCGAAGATTTCTTGTAATCGACACAGCTACAAGCATCAATCAAATATAAATAAAAGTGATCAGCGGAGGTCTTACTTCGGGTGGTAGAATAGCAGTAACTGGTTGATATGTTGGCCAGAAACCCATTGTTAGTATCGAAACATACATATTGATATTGCCAGGAGTCTCTCGGCCATGCATATGCTGAAAATGTCTGTGTGAAAGATGTTTTTTTAATCTAACGATCGCTCACTTGTTCAAAAGCTGACATGATATCTTTCGATAGTTCCATGTCCTTGAACATACCTTCCAGTTTACTTGTAAATACATTTCCACATTCTATAATTCGAATTAGACAATGAATGATGGGAATGAATGAAAGTAACGAACCATGTTTGAGCTTGAGTAACATTGATTTTTCTGCATCGACTGAGGCACTTTTTCCGACTAACAATCGTTTAGCGAGATCTTTCTTGTAAAAAGCTTCGAAGACATCTTTTCCATGGATAAATCGAAAAAGTACTAATAATTTATCGAGGATTTTCTCCAATTCTTCCTCCGACGCTTCTTTATTTCCAGTGCGCAATCTCGCGTCAACGGCTTTGGCTAATATAAAATAAAATCAGATGAACTGTATGAAAGAAAGAGACACCGACCAATGAGTTCTGCTGGTTTATTTGAGCGTTGGTTAAGGAAGTGTTCAAAGGAGTCTTTTAACGTATTGGAAAATTTTTCATTGTTGTGGAAACATTCCAGTAGGAATTGATCTAGTTTTTCTTTGAATTCAAGCAACTCATCGACCATTTTCTCATCTTTCTCAGCGTCAACAACAAGTGCGCGTCCATGTTTCTAAACAACCGAAATCCTCTCATCGGTCAATCGTATATTCTAGAGTATAGATTTACTTTAATGTAATTTCCGAATGCTTCTCGAAGTTCCGACATGCCCGTTTGACCAACACGTAGGAGAAGTTCGTACATTAATGTAATCGATCCATAACGATTTTCGTCGATTAATGTGTCAAAACCTTTGGAAAGCATTTCTTTGATATGCAGAGTGATTAGATTGGTTTCTACGAGATGAATCAATTGTACTCTAGGAGAGAAATTTTCAATATGAAGGATAAAACATAAAGTTGTGAATGTATTTTACTTCGTTGATTGGTCGATATAATGTGTAATTCGAGTTTGTTCTTCTCGCAGACGACGTTCAACATGAGTGAGATATTGACTGAGTTCTAGAGTTTGAATTAATTGACGACCTTCATTGTGATAGAGTTGTTCAGTGGTTCGTAGAAATACAGGTTCGAAGTCTTTTCGATATAACTGTAAAGAGTATGATTGAGAAATAACGATTCTTCGAAATGCAATAAGATCTTACGTGAAGATCAATTAACATTCGAATCAGACTTTTAATCAAACTTCGATCGACTGTTTCACTTCGTCTTTCTTGTTCAATCAATTTCAGCAAACCATTGATACACCTAAATAAACGAAACAACTCAAATAACGACATCAAAAATCTTTTCACTGACCTGTTTGAGATCTTCAAATTTTGCATAATGTGTCGACGGAACAAATCCTGATTTAGTTCCCAAATACTGGGCACAGCTGCGTGCAGAACATACGTTCGATCAAGAACGATAAACAATTGCCGAATGAGGCTCTACAAAGCCATATGAATAACTTAGAATCCTTTGAAGAATTTGAATACATACTGATCGTACCATATGATCATTCCAAACTGTATTGAGTGTTCGAAGATAATCTAAACTGTCATTTGGTTCACTAGAAAATGATTCAGTTTTCATTTCATCGAATGTGCCGTCTAAATGAGGTTGTCGATCTACCTGAGTAGAACAGGTACAAGTGTTTGAATGTGTTCATCAAGAATTTTTCTTAGATTTTCATAGAGAAGATTTGATGATGGGTTAGCATCATTACTTGACGTCGTACAGAGATGATTAATGTGTCGATAGAGTTGCTCTTCATTGGTCGGACTTGTCGTGCCGTTGAGAATCGCTTCTAAGGCTTGCTTCAGCAAAGGCCAGATTTTATCGAAATAATCTGGCGGTGGAACAAGAGGTGCAGCTAAAAGAGAATTATCGAAGAATTACAATTAATGTTTGAAATATTTGGTCGTTCCAACGAACATTTCAGATTCTTGATCACGAGTTTCTTCGTCGAGTTGGTCGGCATGAAAGTTGACGATGAAGATCCATTTGGGTATCGATTTCGTGCTTCCTTATCCACAACTGGTGTGTTATGCTGTTGTTTTTGCTTTTTTATCGGCGAGGAAGATACTGTCGATTCTTCTGTCAGACTATTTTGATGATCGCGTTTCAAGCGAACCGACGAATTTGTAGCACTTGTTTTTGACATTCACAAAGTTCAGAGCATAAAAAATTATAGAGGGGAAATAGTACAGGGTAAAATATCGCTAGTTGCTTGTTCTGTGTTCACTTCTTTAAATAACTGACGAACATTCAGAATAATAACAAACAGCTGATTACGCACTGACTGTACACGATTGGTTAGATTTGAAGCAATCAGAAAACTGCTGTTTCTGTCTCTTGTGAGCGAGCAACGAGCATGAAACCGTCTTTTTCTAGTCTTTTATTTCTTTAGCGCTAGCAATGATTCTTTTTTACAATACTAAAATTTAAACCAAAACATCAGATCGAAAGTTCGGAATGTATTTTTGTAATGAGAATGAGATCTCGTCGGTTGTAAATGGTGTCCATTTGTCCGTGAGATTTGGATCTAATAGAATTGAGAGAATATCTTGAGGAGGAGTTCTCTTGTTCGGCAATTGTCGTCTAATCATATCTGTAATGAGTTTACGGCGTTCATCCAACGCTGCTCTATCGTGAAAATCATACGGCGGTAGTTGTCGATAATATAGCAATGGATAGATAAATAATTCATATGTTCGAATGAATTCCTCTCGTTGTTGTTGTGAACTTGATGATGAACTGAGGAAACGGCGTTGTCGAGAACGATAAACTCGGCGTAATCCATAAATAAGATCAGGTTGTTCGATTGCTTGAAAGAACGTACTAAGAAAAATCGAATCGATCGGTGTTGTCGACAGGCCTGTAGGATGTTGCCGTTTATACAATTGATAGGCAAGTTCATTGCGATAGTACGCCAATGATTTCGTGAGATTCAATGGCACAATGATCGATTGAATCGGTAGATTATCGTAGAGTAAGTCTAGATCTGTTTCGCGTGATTCAACGGAAAATTTGATTCGTGCTCGTTTGATACGATCGATTTTCCCAGATAGACCATCACTGCGAAGGATTTTGTACTGAGGATCAAGAAGAACGTTGGTTTCATCAACATGTCCACCGTGTAAGAGTTCATTGTAACCTTTTGTATCCGTGATGAGTGGTGGTTTCTCGTCCTGTAATGGAACCATAGCCCAACCACAAGCAACTTCACATTTTTCCTGTGTGACAGTCGATTGACACCATTGAGATAGTTCGAATAGTAATTTTAAACGTTGACTGCTATTCGCCGTGTTCGATCGAATCAACAGTTGATTTTGCTCATCGATTAAGGTGTTAATATCATTCGGTACAAACTGCCAATCTTCGGTTAAATCCCGTTCGTCGAGTTTCTTTGGAACGATAGCACGAACGGTATGAATATTCGAAATTATTTCAAATCCATCATACAGACAAACTCGAACCGAACGATCGAGTACTCGTACCTAAATAAGCTGTTGTTTTTGTGTCTGTATGACGAAGAACAATATTTACCTGATCGCCTTTAATTCGAGGAATTTTAACGCATGTTTTTAGCGTTAAAATTTTTTGAAAAGTAGTATCATGAACATGAATTTTATCTACTTCCGGACGCCAACAAAGGTCAGCGAACGCCAAATTTGACTCGGTCATTTTCGGTACGATGGCTCGCCATAATTTATATTCTTCTAAATCTGCCAATGGTGCCAGATCGGAAGCGATGTAACCAGCGGGCATGCTATTTGCAGCTTTGAATGCGTCGACAAGTACGGTCGCTGATGTATTTGGTTTAGCACGACGTCGAGCTATCTGTCCAGTTGATAAGGGTTGAATGGCATTGATGGGTACAGCACCTTGTTGATTTTGCGCGTTTTTAAATAACCACCAATCATCTGGACGTTGTTCATCGAGCGTTAAGATTTCGCCACGATGAACTGTTAAGTCACCCGTTTGCTTGCTAGCGATGTCATGTGTAACAAGAAATTGGGATCCGGGTGCATATTTACTTGTTCGAAGTTGTTGAACTTTGGTATTAACAGCAGCTGCTCCATCCTCTTCTCCATCATCATATTCCTGATCGGATTCTGGTTCGTCATAGTCACCAGTATCACGTAAACCTTGTAGTTCATGATCGACATCGTCATTTTCATCACTCTCTTCAAAGTACGAATCTTCTCCACTGTCTTCATCTTGTTTTTTAGCTGCAGCCACTTCAGGACGTCGTCGAGGACTTGGTGTTTTCTTTCGTGCGGACGATGGTGGTAATGGCGATGCTCTTGCCGATTTTTTAGGCTTCGTTGTCGGTGCTAGTGGTGCAGATTCAGCTAAAGCTGCGACACTTCTCGCCTTACTAGCTGGCAGTGCTGGTGATTGTGATCGACGACCATCACTGCTTGTTTCCTTTTTCGGTTCTCCAGCTCCTACTACAGTGACCAATGCCCGATGTATGTCATAATTGTCTTTGGCATCTGCATCATCATCTTCTTCTTCGTCTTCGCTTTCGTCCTCATCTTCCTCGCTGCCTTCACTAGCTGCTTCGGATTTCTTTGTTTCTGGTGCCGCTGGTACAGTTGTTTTACTAACTGGAGCTGACGGTTTGGATTCTAAATATTGAAATAATTCAATACAATGCAATAGCTTCACTCATTTTCGTCTTACCTTTCTTTTTATCTGATACTACATCTTCATCATCGTCATCCTCTTCGTCACTTCCTTCTTCATCTTCATCATCTTGTTCTTCTGTGGTTTTCTTAGAAGTTTCTTGACCAGTTCCTTCGACAGGCTTCTCTGCCACTGGTGCTGCTGCTGTCGTTGTCGCTGCCGGTGATGAAGTTGCAAGCGATTCTCTCGATGCCGATTTTTTTCGACTGCCAAATGGAAATCTATCCAGTAATGCTCCAAGTCCTTTGCTATTTTCACTCTCAGCCGGTGCCGCTGGAGTAGCAGCGCCAGCAGTTGATGGTATCGTGTCAACTAACTTCTTTAGATTCTTATCCACTTGATCCAGCTTTTTAGTAAGATTGGTCAATAATTTGGATGCATCTGCTTTCTTTCGATAGAATGTATTATGCATAGGATCGGTCGTTGGTGGTTCTTGCATTTCTTTGACTTCTTTCAAATGAGTGTCGATCCGTTTTTTCAAGTCGTCAATTTGTATTCGACCTTTGGTTGCCGCATCACGATTTTCAGCAGCTTTCTTGCGTCCGGTATCGATATTTTTCAAAACTTTCACTGCAGATTCGCCTTCTTGATTGAGTTTTTCCACATCAGCTAGTATCTGTTCTCTTGTTCTGTCGGCTGTTGACACAGTCGTTGGTGGAGCTGCAGGACCTCGAAGTCCTGCTGCTATTGCTGAAGACGTTGCCATCTTCTCAAGGAAATCGTTCTATGCTATGCAGAGTAATTCAGGCTTGCTCATCTGAACAATGCAAGAGTATCCTAGCAACTGCACTCATCATCATCTGAAACGCAACCATTATTCATACGAATCGCTGTACATTTATCTTCAAATCACAGCTAATTTCGTTGATTACGAAATTGGCGAGTTTTTATCATAATACCTCGATAAAACACCAGTGACCTCTATCGCTTGAATGCCAGTGAGAAATATAGAACTCAGTCACACACACACATTTCTTCTGTTCGCGACAATCTCTATCTTTACTATTTCCACATTCAGAAAATACTTGTAATCTCATGAAAACACCAAATTATCATCTAAACATGTCGATCACACGATACCGTGCTGGTCGTATTGAATTACCGTCACACAATATGCATAGCAATGATGTAATTCAACTCAGCAGATAAGCAAACAAAGATGAAGATGCATGAGTATGTAGTACATGAGAAAAAAAATTAGAAAGCTTTTATTTCTTTATGAAAAATTTCCAGAATAAATAAAAAATCCATCAGATGCATAGGTAAATACATATATATATTCTACATCAATAGTGACCAGGCAAAGAAAAAGAACAAACGAAATTCCACGTAGAGACAAGAAGAGATCTAATGATCAATACGGAATGCGAATGTAGTAAAATAAAGTTTTAGTTTTGGTAAAAATCAAATGAACAACATAAAATAGAATTATTATCATTTCCTAGTCTTTTCAAGATCGCGTTTCGTATAGGCCACTTTTACCAATATAACGCACCCATTTAATCGTTTCCGAGTCGGAATAATTTAATTTATGTTCGAAGACTTTTAGATATCGAACTTTGAAACCTGAGGGTGCAAATGGTACTTCGAAATTCATTGAAATGGGTGGACGATTCCATTTCTTCTTATCATTTGGTGTTAATTCGATTTCTGCACTTAATTGAGATTCTTTCATGCCACCCATGCGTTTCATCTTCCAAACAATGGCGTTGTCCGATGCTTTGTGTTTCGCTTTACCTTTCATACACAATAATTGTACGTCGCAAGTGTTGGGCGGTGTAGGAATACGTATTTCAATCTTTTGTCCAATCAATGTTGGTTTGAAATTGGACTTAACTACGACTTTCACTTCCATTTTCGTCCGACCTATTTCTCTTACTAGAGGTATAACACGAAATGGTAAACTAATATCTTTGGTTGTGCGATAACGCATCAGTTCGAATTCACCATCGGGTGGAATAAATGATATTGCATGTTCGGATTCGAACTTCGATAATTTAACACATTGATGGAATTGACAATCGTCAATAGCGATTGCCGTTTTGGTTGTTGTGGTTGTTGAAGGATTTGTCGAACCATTGGTTGATGTATCTGTTTGATTCTTTGCTCGATTTTCTACGGTAATTTTATCATTGATACCAAACTTACACTCAGGCATACCGGATAGATAACTCTTCATGACGACTCGACCAGCAACGTGTGTGCTGAGAACTTGACCCTGTTGGGACATGAGTAAATTAACTGATTCAATAACATCGAGGAATAGTTCGTTTCGACGATATTTTATACCTTCACGTCGCCAACCGATTTGTCCAGTGACAGCTGAAGTCACATTGGTTTGTTCTTCTCGTGTAACTGGTCGAACACCTTGTTGAGTTATGAAAGATTTCAATACACCTGTGTCACTGTTTTGCGGATAACCAAAATCAAGTATTTCATCCAATAATTCATAGATGAGAACGAAGTTATTCTTAACATTTTCTTCGCTGATTTTACCAAAATACGATTGCATGATATCGATCATTTTAGTTAAGAATTCGAAGACCATAGCTGCATTAATATTCTGTTTAGCCACTGCACATAGCCAGATGTTTGAACGTTTAGTATAGAAGAAACTCGTTCGAGCTATGTTAACCACTGGAAAACGTGATTGTTGACGAGCGTGAATTACATTCACTCGAAAGGCATCGACAGCATTACGTCCGATATCATCACGATAAACACGCTAAACAAACTCATTTTATGTGAAACTTCAAACAGAAAGGTTCGTTTTCTTACTGATATAAGAACTTCACCCTTGTGATTGTAGATAAAAACACCACCGATCATCTATCTATTTTAATGATGAGATTAAATGAGTAAAAAGAAAGAAAGAAGTGAAAAAACTAATATTTGGATTACGACTTCATCCATAGAATACCCCCAACGAGTCATCTATGCATTTATGTTTTCAATTTTCTTTTTTATTTTCATGCTTATAATGGTCGTCACTCTGTAATAGTTTTTATTATACCTATGGGTAACAATGAACGAATAGGCTTTTTTCAAATTATTTTTCTATTAACAACGACGTAGTGTTTTTTTTTCTCTTCTATGAGATGCGATGCTGACACATGCACAAACACATGTAAGTGCATATTCATCTCGCGCCCTATTGCACATTGTTTGCTCCAACAATAAGAAAAGACGTTATTCAATAAAGCATCTCACAATCAGACTTATTTCTAGATTGTTCCTTTTTCGAACTTTATTTCTTACTTTCCTCAACATAAAATCTCCACAATGCCTTCAAATCCCGTTGATCAATACACAAAATTGTTATCACGAGAGCAGCAAGAAAATGACAAATACGTAGTGATCGATTCTAAATGGTTTGAGCATTGGAAGCGCTATGTCGGAATCGATTCTCCACCTGAAAAGAATGCGCCGCCGGGTCCGATTAATTTCACTAATCTCATCGATCCACAAACAACTGATCATCCCGATGGTGTTCAATTGCGACCCGATGCCGTCGAGGGTAATGATTACACCTTTATTCCATATGAACTTTACCAAGAACTTGTACAACAGTATACGAAAACCGGAACAGAAATCGTTCGAAAAGTAATTCCATCAGGTGATTTTCAAACAGTCATTGAAGCCTATCTTATACCATTACGCATACGAAAATCACGGCAATCGACAACAACAACCAAGCAAATCTATCGCAGTCGTCGAACGAAACTGGAAGATTTAAAGAACGACATTTGTAGAATACTGAACCTTACATCCGATTCCAATTATCGTTTGTATACATCTACTGATGAATATGGTGACAATTGGGAACCCATCGACATGCGCGCGAATTCTGTTCTTGCCGATGTTGAATTACCTAAGAATGCCATTCTGACATACGAACCTCTTGCATTATCACGCAATAATTTATCACCCGTCCCTACCGGAACGTTTTATACACCTGGACTCTGTGGTTTATCAAACTTAGGTAATACCTGTTTCATGAACTCAGCCTTGCAATGTATATCCAACGTACCAGCATTAACTCAATACTTTCTCTCTCGAGACTATGTCAATCATATCAATCGAGATAATCCGCTAGGAATGAAGGGAGACGTTGCTCAAGCATATGGTGATTTAATCATGAATATGTGGTCAGGCAAAATTAACTATTACGCACCAAAAGCATTGAAACAAAACGTTGCACGTTATGCGCCACAATTCAGTGGCTATTCACAGCAAGATTCACAGGAATTTATGTCGTTTTTACTCGATGGTTTACATGAGGATTTGAATTTGATTAAACAAAAACCGTATATGGAAAAGAAAGATGATGATGGTGTTGCCGAAGATTCGAAACTAGCTGCCGAACAATGGGATTACTATCGCAAACGAAATCAATCGAAAATACACGACATCTTTCATGGGCAAATCAAATCAGTTGTTCAATGTCTCGAATGTAAAACATTAGGACGAACATTTGATCCGATTTGTTTTCTCAGTTTACCACTGCCAAATAAGAAAAAGATTCGCGTATTCAAAATTGAGTACGTTCGTTTAAATGGACAAATCAAATATTATTACATTAAATCGAATGAACGTGGACGTATGCACAATCTCTTAAAAGATTTCTGCGAACGTTTTCAACCGAAACCGAAAAATGACACACACGAACCAATGGATGCAGAAGATGAGTCAACATCCAATGCAGCTAATGCCAATAATCAAGATGATGAACAAGAAGAAGATTTGACGTTAGCACCTGATTATGACGGACACCAACCTAAACCCGAATTGATCTTGCCCGTGGAAGTTTACAATCATCGTATTCATCTCCAATATAGTGATGACGCGCTATTAACGAATATTCTCGAACGTGATCAAATCGTTTTCTACGAAGTGCCAGTATCATTGAAAAAAGAAAATAATGATACTATTCTTATGCCATGTTTATTTCGAACAGCCGATAGTTTACATCAAAATTTTGGCTTACCAATCTATTTGAATATTCCAAGACATAAATGCACGGGAAAGCACATTCAAGATGCTCTACAGGTAAGGCAATTCAATACCAATGTGAACCTCACAATCATTTATGTTCTTGGTAGAATTCAATCGGTAGTTTCCTCCCACTGCCAGCTAATAACTCATCAGAGAAATCACTTTACACGGCATCATGTGTTTTCAATCAAAATTACACTCAAACAACGAAACCATTGGCATCGTGTCTTGATGATCACATTGATTTCAATCGTACAAATACGACACTCGTTGTTGATGTTTCACCAGCCGTGGTGGAAAAGTACGAACAAGAGGAAAAGAAACGTTTAGACAAAGATCATCTTCAGCCGACATCATCAACAAATAACAGCGGCGTCCAAACACGTAGTCAACACAAACAATCGACAACGTCATTGTTGGATTGTTTCAAATACTTTACAACAAAAGAAACTTTGTCCGATAATGATCAATGGTACTGTCCAAAATGTAAACAATTGAAAAATGCTTCGAAAAAGATCGATCTCTGGCTGTTACCTAAAGTTCTCATTGTTCAATTGAAACGCTTTAATTACACGCGTCACTATCGGGATAAAATTGATCTATTTATCGATTGTCCTATCTATGATTTAGATCTCTCACAATTCGTTCTTAATCCAGCTGAGAAAGCCAACGCAAAATATGATCTGATTGCGGTTAGTAATCATATGGGTGGCTTAGGCGGCGGACACTACACAGCGCATGCGAAGAATGCTCATGACCAAAAATGGCATACATTCGATGACTCATGTGTGACAGATATCGATGAATCTAATGTGATTAGTAAATCCGCTTATGTACTGATTTATCAGCAGCAACAACAACAACAACAACAGCCATCGTCATCTTCGCAATCGAATCAACAACTAGCGAAAGAATCACCACGAAAGGCCAGTGCACGAGCGGCGAAAACATCTAGTTAAATAAAAGAACAATCTCAAGTTTTTCTCTTTCTGTCCTATTCTTCTTTGTTCAATCAGTGTTGTCTTTTCTTCTGTCTCTCTTTTTTTTTGTCGATCGTTTCAACAGAAACACTAACACTGGATTTGTCAAGCAATTTTTTGACAGAAAACCAACAAATTCTACATATATATATATATTTTATGTTCTCATACTTACATTGCTCTTCTCTTTTAATGTTATTATCCTTGCACACACTCTTTGGAAGAGATCACACCTACAAAGAAATAATCAATCTTTTCCTTTTTCTTTCTTTCTTTTTGTTACAGGTTATTTAATAAACACGCTGCAATGGCAGGACGACGAACTGGTCGTCCGTAATCTAAAGTGAAGAAAATTCTCATATATAGACAGCTGATTGACCACTCTGCTAAAAGTTGCTCCACACCTTGTAAGATCAACTACGAGAGGAAATGTTGTTTCATTTCAGATATCCGCTACATAAAACGAGGAGTATTTCGATCTATTCATGGATGTCAATCGCGATAGTAAGTGTGTATCCTGCTGAACGAATCATTTTCAACGCTTTCTCTAGATTTTTACGATGTTTTACCTCAAGTTTTACGAGATATCAACGAAGCGGACTATGTAGCAATCGATGGAGAATTCTCCGGAATCCTATCATTCGATAAAATGAATTATTTCGACACGCCAGCTGAACGATACAAGCGTCATTATGAAGTAAAAGATCATGGAAATCAATCTTTTGAAAATATATCATATTGTAGTGTGATCGACACTATATGATGGTTCAAGCAGGTCTCGCAATGATTCGATGTACCAATCACGAAGAGAATCGCTATACATTGAAAGCCTACAACTTTTATCTCTTTCCTGAAAATGAATCCGATGCGTTTGACTTCCGATCGAAAGTAATTTGCCAAACATTGCGCGGAGGAAAGACTATTTTGTGCATTTGTAGACTTCATCATTGCAATTCTTAGCTGCGAATCGTTTTGATTTCGCTCAATTATTTCTCAAAGGAATTCCTTTTGTTTGCAAGACGACTTATTTAGAAAAACTTCGAACTCAACCACATTCATTATCTCGTCGTAACAATCGTCAGATGGTCAATGGTAATACAAACGAAAAGTAAAGCACTCTCTTTGATCGATATGATAACTCATCGAACGAGTAGGAAATTGGATGCAATGAATTCTCCGAAACCATCTGAAATAGAAAATATGTCAGATGCTGAGTTATTAAGCAAATCAATGACAGGCTTTTCCGAAGTTATTTGGTATGTTTCATCTTTGTCAAAGATCAACAATCGATTTTGAATTTATTTTTAGGAAACTCCAAGAATCTGTAAGTGTTATCGATCGTATAATGAATTTGAAATGTTGAAGATGAGAGTGCGGTTCGATCTTGTTTTAGGGTAAACCTGTGATTGGACATAATCTTCACATGGATATTTTACATATAATCAATCAGTTCTTTACACCAATACCTGCTGTTTGTATACTTTGAAATTCTTCGAGTTGCTTACACTTTTTCTTTTAGTCATATGAAGACTACAAATCGATTGTAAGATCTTTATTTCCAAAGTATAAACATTTTACTTAATTGAGTTTTCGCCATCGTTCCTTTGTCTGACTTCAAGGTTGGTCGATACAAAAACGATTGCATCGTCATCAATTTTCCAAGTAGGGAACACCTGGATTGATTGCATAAAAGATCTCTTCTTTTCATTGATAGAATATCATCTCAAACACCGCACTAAATGCTGTTTACAAAACTATTCGTGAGCCGTCATTTCCACAATGCCGTTTTGGTACAAATTCAATAAAAAAAACTGATCTCTTTCTTACGATGTATAATTGTTTCTTCTTTAGAAACACCTGAAAATTTCAAGTATGGAACAGGCGAACACGAACATACAGCTGGTTATGATGCAATGTGCACAGCAGTTTGTATGGTTAAGATGATGGCGTTTATCGGTAAGAAGTATGCCTCAATAAGACGTGATCATTTATTTTCATGGTTTCTTTTTAGCTGAGAAAACAGAATTTAAACAAAATCCTGTTGAACATACGTTGATTAGTAAATTCACTGGAAAGTAGGTTGAACATATCTGTTGAGAAAGAGTTCATAGGAAAATCTCTATTCGTCTAGGTTATTTTATATGCGTTCGTTCGATCTGAAATATTCAGATCTTCTCAATGATGATGGTTAGTAGAAAAAGCATTTATTGTGTACAAAATAATCGATTTTCTGTATTCTTTTTCAAAAGATTTACCCGACCGATCGTGCGTATTTTATGTAACTCATCCAGAATCATGTTCAACAGGAAATATCAAAGAATTCTTTTCACAATGGAATCTTCTTTCATACGATCGATTCGACACAAAAACACACATCATTGGAGTATCATTGAAGAAGGACACTGTAGAAACAAGTAACTATTAAAGATATGTGTGTTATATTAGCTTGGATTTATGTGTATAGTGTTGACAAAAATGCGTACTAATGACAAGAACTTTGTCATTACTCCGTACGCCGAATTTCACAGCTTAGATACTTCAAAAATCAAAATCAAAGAGCTCGATCATCTTCTCGACGTTGATCCGGAAAATAGAAGATCTAATAAACGACCTTATGTCGATAGAGATGCGACTGAACCTACACCGGAAACTCCAGTCATCGTAAGACAATGTTGTTCTTGTTATACATCCAACGATATACATACGTTTTATTCTAGTCGTTGGAAGTAACTTCTGACATCATACAAAAATCATCGCCAGCGACAAGAAGTCCAACAATAGAACAATTAATTGAACAAAAACAGAAGGCGACAGGAGCGAAGAAACCGAAATTATTTGATTATGATGATGAATGGTAAAAAGATAATCTAAGTAATCTTGTTTTCGTATTTTGTGTATTTTCATTAAATAAAAAAACTTGATTGTGTTTAATAATACTGATGATACAAGAAATGAGCATATTGAATACAGCGCGAAGTTTGATGATGGAAATGAACTTTTTTTGCTAGGCAAGGATGTTGCCTGGTTGTTCAGTTCGGATTGCTCTCTGTTTAGTGAATTTGTGTTGAATATTTGGCAATTTTAGTCACATCCAACTCACTCAGCCCAAACCTTGAACCAACATTTGTTATCAAGCGTGTCTAAGCAAAGTACTTTCAAGGTTGTGTAGAAATATCGTTGTCGAACGAAAGTTGAAAATCGAAATTTCATTCATCGATTAGCGCCACTATAGTTTCTCTTATAATTTCTGTTTGATGTTTTGTTGAATACAGATATACTTGACAATCATGGCTGAAATGTCTAAAGATCTCTCACGAACAAGCGCGTCGATCTTAGATGAATATTGTCGATACTATTCTGATTTTAGTAACTGATTGATTCTTACGTGTTGAATTCAGACGAAATCGTCTCTCCTTGTCTTAAGGTAAAATATTAGATGTCTATGTGAAACACATCTATCCACAATTTCATTTCGAATTTCAACAACTACTCGACGCTTCGTACAATGTCTGGCATCGTCTAAGCGACGCGGATAAAGTTTCTCTAGCAACATTCGTCGAAGAACTCAATCGAGCAAGTTTATCACCGAGCTTTGCAATAGTTTATCTTTCCTTATGTAGGAAGGCTGTTCATCATTAAGAACGACAACATGTGATGCGGCGACACATTCAGTCTTGAGTCCAAAGTCATTAGCATTGAATACAAGTTCAAATTCGAAAATGAGCAAAACAAATTTTAGCAAGCGTGCTTCAATCACACCTTTATATTTCTTTATGAGAGACGAACGAAAGAAACTTCGTCAAAGTCATTCGAACATATCGATGCGTGAGATCAATAGACGTCTGTCTGAGCGTTGGCAAAAAATGTCGAAGCGAATGAAATATAAATATGAATACCGTTCATATCTCGCAAAGAAACGTCTGTATAAGAAGCAAGGTCAAGCAATTCGATTGAAAAAGCCCTCTTTTATTAAACGAATGTCATCGAAAACAGTACAAAAACATGTAAGAAACTCCTCACGAGGTCATCTTGCCGTTAAAAACAAATGAATTCACGAACTGTTTTTCTTTCTTTTCTGCTTCAATGTCTTTTTCTCGCTTGCTAATAAAACTATATTCATTGATTTGTAAAAAAAGGATGTTGCAATAATTGGTCAGCACTCGGACGACGGACAGGATTGACTTGTAAGCATTGTTTAAGTACATCGCGAAGATAAGGATTCGTTGTTGGTGGAATGGTCGGAGTGTGTTTCAGTCGAGCTATATATGACATCTTATCATAGTTGTCTTGAACATGTTCGAATGGTCGATAACCAAAGATCATTTCGAAGAGTAGAACACCTAGAAGAACAAGAAGATCGTGCAAGATTCGGTCAGGGAGAAGGAATGAAAGTACAAACCAAGTGCCCAAATATCTGATGCTCGTCCTTGATGAGAATATTGGCCATTCTGTATTTGACATACTTCTGGCGGCATATATTCAGGTGTACCTTTGAATATGCGAGGAGAATTTACATCGAAAGAAAGACTATTCAAAGATTTCCACCTGCAAATGGTCTAAGAACGGATGCTTGACTTTGTGGTAATCGAAATGAAAGACCTAGATCGATAATGCGAAGTTGTCCACCTTGTGTCAAAATGAAATTTTCTGGTTTGATATCTAAAACGAAGAAAGTGAATATATTCCGACAATAGAGATTTTTCTACCTGAATGAACGATCCCATTTCGATGAAGTAATGCAACCGCTTCAACCATTTGTTGCCAATAGAACTTCGCTTGTGGTACACTCATCTTTTTCTCACTAGCTGGTGCTTGTAATGGCAGAAGGAAACGAAAGTCATGTCCTGTTTCCATGACGATCTTGCCCGTTTGAGATTTACTATCGAATTCATGGTTATAAACTCGGATGACGTACGGATTTCGTGGTTGCAGTTTCGTTAAGTAACGAATCTCTTTGAAAAACATTTTCGAATGTCCCTGACTATCGACTGAATCGAGATTTTGTACAACTTTAATGGCAACCGATTGAGTCGTGCGAGGATCGTAGGCAGCATAAACTCGACTGTGAAGACCTTCGCCTAATAAACGAACGACTGTGTATGACACACCGTTGACGAATATAGTTGTTGCTTGTGGTTTAGCATTTACTAATGGAGCCGAGGGAGACGTTTGGATTGGACGATTCCAATTGATCGGTGCTGGTAATGCTAAAACAGAAAAACTATTGTTTAGTTTTATCTTTGAATAGAAGCAATCTTACTGGCATCACATGTTGGTTTGTAGTTGGCCGGAAATGGTCGAAATGCATAGGCGATTTTCATCATTGGGTAAGAGGTTCTTCTCTATGATATGATCATATACGATGAGATAGACATACCAATGTATAATCAAATATGCGTTTGCCCTTCTCGTTTTCTCCTATGCACTTTGCTTCTACTCTTTTGTTAACACGGTCTAAGGTTAGATATCAATTGGACGACGATGAACTATTGTATTCTGAACTGGATTCAAGGCCAAGGTTTCGTTTTTCTTTTCTCTTTTTTTCCTCACTAAATAATACCGTCACACATCTTACCTCTAATACTCTAAAGAAAAATCGACATGTCGAATAATATGTTGATTGCTCAGTTGAACAGCTTGTCGCCGTTATTCATTCAAAATATTGTTATCAACCATCCTCACATACGAATATATCATATGCTTGTTACATGCTTGATTGATGTTTGTGTCGTATATATAGCTCAATAACTGCTGATTCAATGTTCGTCGTCTTCGTTTTTTTCCTCCCTCTCTGTGCTTCTCTCTTATCCTCTCTCTCTCTATTGCATTCAATTTACGTAAGATGAAAACGACAGTGTAACGTTGCGCGAACAAGAACGAATACTTGATGCATAATTTTCTCTCTTTTTCGATATTCATTCACTGGTCCTATATTTGATCAGACTTCGTTTTCATACGATTGATAATCGCATCCGAATTTATTTCGAGTGACATCATGATTCACTATGGATTAATTGTTCTTCGTCGTTTTATTTTATTTAATTATAGTATGATCGAAAAAAAAAGAAAAGAAGCAGAAACGTACATAGAAAATATGTTATTAAATATGTCTAAACGAATTCATTTTGATTGAAAAAGAAAATATAATCAGATTATGTGCGTCGATGTCAAATCAAATTTCTCGCTGTCAAACCATAATACGTGCACCGGGAATGTACCGAGTATCTTTCCAAATGTTGGATTTACCATAATTGTCCAAAGTTCGTTGACATTGAGCACAACGACTGTATTCATCACATTGTTCGTGAACAAGAATACCTTGGGGAGCCTTCATATGCATCTTTTCTTCTTCGTCACGTTTGTGTTTCTCATCCATAGCATTGATCCAATCACTTTCCAAATCTTTACGGATTTTTATATCGCGACGATATCGTTCACGACGTTCTCCTATTAAACTACAAGACATTTCATAGTTTCAATTATGAAGACGAACAACATCAACGATCATACTCTTCTTTCATAATATCCAAAGCTTTTAGTTCGTATTCTTGCTCTTGAATTTGTTTCAATAATTGTTGTCGTTGTCGTTGTTCGATAAGTTCTTTCTGTTGACGAACAATATCGATTGCGTGAAGACGACGTTCTTGTAGTTTTTCAGTAGACATATCATTGAGACCGAATAGAGTAGCATCAGGTTGATCAGGCACTTCTTTTGGTTTACTACGGATCTAGATTTTAGGTTGAAAATAATTACCATTAATCATGTCAATTTTGAGGACAATTTACTTGATTGAGTAATGTACTTTTCAACTGTTCTTGTTGAAGACGTTTGTTTCGTATGTAACTTTCACGTTCTTGTGCCAATCTGAAGCAAAATGCATGAAAAAGGGCAGTTTGTTCTTTTCTTGTAAACGTACGACTCAGCTAATTGTATTTGTTCGAGACGTTCGCTGAAATCTTTGTCTAATTTCTCTGTCTGTTGTTCTTCTTGTCGCCATTTGATCTGTGCTTCGATTTGCCGAGCGAAGTCTTGTTGTTTAAGGTAACTCGGAGGAGTACGAAGACGTTTTCGAAAGATAATCGAACGCTAAAAGAACAGATGATATTCCTTCGAGTTCTCAAATCAAAATTCTCACTGGTATTTCCAGTTCTTGAGATCGGTCTAATTTCTTTGCTCGCGTTGCTTCAGCAATACCCAAATTGTACTAGAAATCATGTATTTATGCATAAATCAAACAAAATAATAGACACTTACAGCTGCAATTTTCTGTCTTTCTTCTCTAGCGGCTTTCGAGGCTTCCTAAAAAAACAAAAGACGATCACATTGAGGATTTCCCTTCTCAAAAGGACTGACATCTTGTTTTTTCTGCTCCTCCATATCTTTGTTATCTCGATATCGATTGAGAAGTTCGTCTTCTTCAGCTTCTCGTATACGTTTCTCTTCGTGCAAATAGACCGGTACGTTGAGTTTGGCACGTCGATGACACAGACTGCACAAGTCTTGTCCGATACCATAATGACCACATGATGTCATTTGAGGAGGATCAGCATTAACGGAAGCTGAAAGGCGTCTTGTTTCCGATCGAGATAAACTAAATGAAGGCAGATCTTCTTGTTTGGAACGAGGGACAACAGAGCTTGGTCGTGGTAGTCTAAACAGGGAAGGAAAATATATGTGCTAATCGTGATGAAAATTGATCAACGGAGAGGAAAGAAATCAAGCAGCAAGAGTGTGTTATCGCTTACGATGGAATAACTGTAAATTTTCTTCGTAGGAACTAGATAGAAGAAATTTATAAGATACAAATGATGAAATGATGGAAAGATTAACTTTCAGTGAATAATTCTATATTTACTCCAAATAGAACAACGATTTTCATCCTTTTCTGACTTTGAGTAGTCTATCTATCAAAAAGTTAATTATTAATTTCAATTGTCATGTGTTCTAAATCACTGTCAACCATTGAAAAGTCATTGCTTTATCCTAAAAATGAATGACTTCATCATGAATTCAATGAATCATTTCCTTCTTTTGAACTATTTATATACACGCAATGAATTTCAGTTTCCGTAGCAACTGAAACTATAGTCACAGACATAAACTTACATAGGAACTGGCTCATTTGATGGCTCCCCTTGATACATCGATACTGATCGCCGTAGTGGAGTTGTGGTTGATGAAGATCTTCTTTTCGTTGTTGCTGGCGGAGCCGGAGTGGGTGCCGTGGGTGGAACGAGATCAGCCGTTGAAAAAAGTGATGCAATTGGAATAATTGCTTCTTGCGAATATCCTCGTCCAGTCGTTTTTACCACGTGCGGATTGTGTTTTGTTGTTGCTGTTGTTTCTACAGTAAAATTAGGTAATACTGAACTAGCTGAATAACCATATCTTCCAGCAGCCGATTTACAAAGTTGAAACTTTCTATTCGACATGACGCTCTCTGATATCGTAGGAGACAAAGTAATATAACAGTGAACAAGAAAAGAACTATTTGGATATTTTTTTTGCTTTTTCCCGTTCTTTAGTCAGTGACAAGCTAATAGTTCTTTCATCTTCGCCGAACAACAGATGCTAAACAGAGCTAAATTTTCTCATTGTTATTTCATAACCGATACGGAGAATAGAAAATCAAGCAAATAGTCTAAGGTTCCAATGACTCGTTGCTTAGAAACAGCAAACTTGACTTTACCTTGTTGAAATTCATCTTTCCGGCTAGTCTCTTGTTGTTGTTCATCTTCGTGTTGACTTTCTTCTTGAATGACTTGCATTGTTGGATTACCAACACGACTATTAAGTCTAACAGAAATAAAGTATCTCGTTGACAATTAGCTCTCTAATAGATTGAATACGTACCGTGGAAGAACAACGTTCGAAGATGTTGGTGGCCGAGCAGCTTCGCGTGCTGACATAACTGAATCACATGTTTGTGGTCTCTAAATAAACAAACGGTTATCATCGACATGTTTTCGATGTTCGAAAGTACGCACATTGCACATATTGTCAATAATATGTTTGCCATTTTCATCGACAGAGCTGACGAATTCTTTGAAAAATCTCATTTTGACTTTACCATCGCGAATTTGTAATTTGCCAATGTTTGAGAAGGTGAACTCGACATTACGTTGGGCAGCAATGGAACGATTGAATATTTGGAGAACATGTTTAACACAAAGATCAATTTGATCCCGTGTATAAACTGATTGTGTCTGGATGAAGCAATAATTTAATGGATGGACAGGAATTGAACCATTAACAGGATACTGCGTCGTTTTTAAACCATGGGTTTGAGCGATTTTTTCCGAAAAAATGAAAACCGGACGTTGAAGAAGTAGATACTTGTTATTTCCTACATCCACACGTTTGTGTATGAAACTAAATGTACCAAAACCCGGAATAGACACCCCCTGAAACACAACATACATTCCGATCGAATTTCGTCGTATGATCCGATCACTTTACCTTGGATTGTCTCATAAAAGATTCGATATACGTCGACACGGCATCCCAGATCTTCACTACATCTAAGCGAGAGGAAAAAAGAAAACATTCCAGGTTTTTTTCTTCTGTTAAATTGCTAGTTGTTTGTTTATTCAAGAACTGCTGGATAAGCACTTTCAATAAAGTACGGTCGAAAGCGCGTTTTGGAACAAAAAAAAAGAAAAACAAATGACAAACAATCGGAAATCATTTATGTATGGCAATGTTCAACGAGTAGACGCAATAAGGAATAGAATTCCTTCATTTTTCCTTTCATTGTCTCGAATAGAACGTATTCGGTAAAAACTAAAACTCTATACAAAGTGATTATTTGACTGGAAGCAATGAAAAGAAGCGCCGTTTTCGTCAGCAACATGAGAACAGCATCATGAATGTGAAAACTAAATAATGATCTCTGCGATATTCTCGCTGAGTAACGAATCAATGTAGCGGAACGATAAACTTCACTGAAGAAATATATTTCAAGATAATATCTCCTATCCGATATACAATTTCAAGCAATAAAATGAGTTTTCTCTACGTCGGAAAAAATTAATTCATCAAAAGACAAGCCGGCTTACCATCATCTGTAAGATTGGCAATCGAAGCAGTTGTCTGATGCCGTTTATCGAGATTTTGCGACAATTTATTTATATTATCCGTCATAATTGAATATTTGAGGCACTGAAATTTCTTCACAAAACGTTTCTTAATGTTTCTCTCATTTACACCCGCAACGATCGATTGTTGCTAAGCATTGTATTTAATTATTCGGATAGATGTCGCTAATACAGAAGAGAAAAAAAACAAGATAACTCCATCTATTTTATCCTTCTTAACAAAGATGTATCAATGGTCTATAAGATTCAATCATTGATTAGTCGAGTATCATCTCATTCTCTTAGATTCATAATCAAAAGAAAAATCATGCTATTTGCAATGTTTACATTTCACTATTCTGATTTCATTTCATAATTCGACGCGTTTTCTTCTCTACTTCAGACTACATGGTATCATCCATTTTGTTGACTACATGACAATAGAAATGGATGAAAATGAAACAATAAACCATAATAATGCTAATTCAAAACAAGGTCCACAAGCATCGACAATATCGATCGTACCAAGTGATGTACGCACTGGAGGCCGAGGACCAGGCTTAGCGACAACCACCGTGGAAAAATCGAATGAAACAACTGCGTCAACATCAGCCTCGGCTACAACTAGTTCCGGTCCGAATGCTATGCTTATGGTGGGACCCAACTTTCGCGTTGGAAAACGAATAGGTGCCGGTAATTTCGGAGAAATTCGTTTAGGAAAAAACTTGTACAATAATGAACATGTTGCGATCAAATTAGTAAGTCGAGTCGAGCGAATCAATTCGCAATCGAACATGTTCTGTTCTTTTCAGGAACCTATGAAATCTCGTGCTCCCCAACTCCATCTCGAATATCGATTTTACCGGCAACTTGGAACTTGCGGTTCGTGTATATTGGAAACTAAATTTCTCGTCTACTAAAATTCCTTTGTTTTCTTCAGAGGGTGTGCCACAAGTACATTATTTTGGACCATGTGGAAAATACAATGCTCTGGTTGTTGAATTACTCGGACCGTCTCTTGAAGATTTATTTGACAATTGCGATCGTAAATTTTCCTTGAAAACTGTCCTGATGATTGCTATTCAATTAGTAAGGAAAAAAACATTTGAAATCAAACTGATTCGATTTTCTGTTTTAGATCACTCGAATGGAATACGTTCATTCGAAAAATTTGATCTATCGAGAGTGAGTTTGATAGAAAGATGAATTACTCTCATAGATATGTTGTTTGTATTAGTGTTAAACCTGAAAATTTCCTTATTGGACGTTCGTCTACTCGCAAACAGCATTTGATACATATTATCGATTTCGGATTAGCAAAAGAATATATCGATCCAGATACTGGTCGGCATATTCCATTTCGCGAACATAAAAGTTTAACTGGTTCGTTCAGAATTAGGAATGAACTTTAACGACATTTTCATCTGTGATTTGACTTTTAGGAACAGCCAGATATATGAGTATTAATACTCATCTCGGAAAAGGTGAGGAGTTCATTCTGAAAATAACATTTGATATACTTTTATTGTAGAACAAAGTCGTCGAGACGATTTGGAAGCATTAGGGCATATGTTCATGTACTTTTTACGCGGTAGTTTACCGGTATGAGGGTTGTCATTTCTGCGAATCAGTTTGAATTGACGTCTTCCGTTTGCATTTTAGTGGCAAGGCCTAAAAGCCGAAACATTGAAAGAACGTTATCAAAAGATAGGTGATACGAAACGTGCCACGCATATCGACGTTTTGTGCCAAAATCATCCAGAAGAATTCGCAAAGTATCTAAAATATGTACGAAATCTAGACTTCTTCGAAACTCCAAACGTAAGTTTCATGGCCAGCGAACAAGTCAAGACGTAATCATATTCGTTTCCTTTCAGTACGAATATTTAAGAAAACTATTCAAAGATCTTATGGACGCGAGAAATTACGTATGTGATTACAACTTTGATTGGGTAGAGAAAATGCAGAAACTAACGAACCGAGTATGAAAAACGATCGATTTTCACATTCTTCTTTTCTTATTGATATCTTCCATTCAGCCATCCACCAATAATAACTCTCAATATCCAACATCGACTCAACCGGAGGCAACATCTAGTCCACTCGCCCGACAGACTAACAGAGTAAGTCAACTGATCACCTAAGAAGGCAATCATTTCGAATAGAAAAAAAAAACATTCACTTTGAATTTTCCCTTCCCTCTCAGACGGGCCAAAATGGTTCGGAAGTTTTGAATGCTCAGCTTTCACCATCATCACATCAAATGCACGGGTTAATCCAGGTATTTAAGTATCTCTTCGTCTGTGGACCCACACCTTTAGAAAGAATGCCTAATGTCAAAATACATTGAAAAACCCTTGAATAGCATATAAACTCTTACGTCTTTCTTTCTAGCCGGCCAATGCAGCTGATGAAGATCCTGGTCGAGAACATGCACGTATTATTTTACCATCATCTCCGCCCAACGTTGATGTTATTAGTGATACAAAGTAAGTGCTTGTCGGTTGTGCCATGAAGGTGCTGAAGTGAATTATTTTAGTCCGAAAAATTTCTTTTTTATTGATGAATATTCAAATAAGAAAGTGTAAGATGGAATTAGCAGACTCTTCTTTCTAGATTTGCTTCTTCTCCTTTTGAGATTGCCCGTAATTTTGATATCGATTTGTAAAATGTTGCTTTTGTTTAGGTGTTGTTGTTTTTTTAATCGTCGTACAAGACATGCAAATAACAAACAAACAAGGAAATAATTCGTCAAACATGGCATTCATTGTTTCAGAACAGTTAAACACATCAAAATACGACGTGTAAGTGAGCTGCTACTCATCTACTTCGTTTCCAGGGGAAAAAAAGGTTAGAGAGAACCCATGCCAAGAAGAAAACAACCATTTCAATGAAGAACAGCATGACCGTATGATGCTCTGCCATAATGTAATGATGAATATCAAATATCGACAAATCACTTCAGGCTATCGCGAAGATTTGATTTACCGTTGATGAAGAAAGTTTAATTTAAAGGTTAATCATTTCTCTTCATTACGTGAAATCTTGCCGAAGTTAAGTATACGACTAAGACGACGAAGAGTTTAAGAAAAGCAACACGCCTCTTTCTCATGTTCTTAATCATTAAGTAAAGAGCTTCGTGTCACAGGGTTTTATTGTCGCTTCCTCATCGGATGTTGAATAAGCTATCCGGATTTGAGAAGAAAAAAAAAGAAAACGTCGGTGTCATCAATCATTGATTTCAAGACCAAACGAAACTTTTGTCAATTATCTATTTCTATTTTAGTGTTATCAAATCGGTTCTATATCTTTGTATCTGCTCGTTTTCTTATCTTTTCGTACAGTGATTTTGGCGTTGGTGAAAACGATAACGACACAAAATCCGCTGTTTATTCCTTCCAATCGGCATTATGGATAAATTTTGCCGTTGCTCTCTTTTTGTTTGTTTGTTGTTATTGAGTGCGTGCGTGTGTATTATTGTATTTCGAATCATTTCTTCTCTCTCTCGTCTCTTACTGTGTCCACCTGCCCATTGTTATAACTTTTGCTTATGCCTTGTTCTCTACTTTCTCATTCTGCTAGTGTCTGTACTTGAGCATGCTCTGTCAAGCCCAAAAGGAGAAACCAAAACAAAACACACAAACTACCAAAAGATGGAATATTTTTTATTTCTTATCTGAGAAAACAACAACAATTAATCACCGAATTAATATTCTGAGAGAACAGTCTAGGTCAAATTCTATGTATATAAAAGACTGATAAGAACGCATACATACATACATATTTATGATCGAGAAAAAAACACAAATAAAATTCAAAAGGCGATTTAGTACGCACACTGTTTTTTTTCGAAACTCCTGTGTTCGAGCTTTTCCTTATTTTCTTTTCTTTTTTTTGTCAATATCTGATGTGTGTGAGTGCGAGTGTTTTCTTCTTCATTTTTCTGTACTAATTCTTACAGACATCAACATTTTTCTTTCTCTTTATCTTTCACTCTACGTTCGTCATATTTTCATTTACATTATCATTTGTTATGCGCTTCTATGGTATGTGTGTGTGTGCGTGTGCGTGTGTATTGAGAAAATAAAGACATTAGCAGTCAAATATCAAAGAAAATACATCTTGATTGTTGTTTTGTTTGAAGGTCATCTGGTGTGGCGATGAACGAAGATGAAGAAGCACCAAGTCTGGCCGAAATTCATATCGCAGCAAGTCATTTACGTTCGTTATCATTACCAATAACACCGATTCTAACCAGTTCAACATTAAATACTTTAACCGGAAGACATATTTATTTGAAATGCGAGAATTTCCAACGTACCGGATCGTTTAAAAGTCGTGGTGCACTCAATGCCGTCTTGAATGCAATGAAAGTTGATCCGAATGTAAAAGGCTTTGTCACACATTCGTCGGGTAATCACGGACAAGCTTTAGCATACGCTGCATCGATTGTCAAACGAGCATGTGTTGTTGTTGTGCCTCAAGGCACGCCTAAAAACAAAATAGATGCAATCGAACGCTATGGAGCCGAACTGGTTGTCTGTGAGCCGACGCCAGCAAGCCGAACAGCCACATCTCTACAGATCAGTCAAGAAAGAGATTATCTAATGATACCACCGTTCGATCATCGAGATGTTATTGCAGGTGAGACTCATTAATCTTCTTACATGTTTATTCGATGTATTATCTAGGACAAGGAACAATTGCTGTCGAACTTCTCGAACAATTACCTAATCTGGATGCGATTCTAGTGCCCGTCAGCGGTGGTGGATTGATTAGTGGCATTGCTTTATATGCTAAACGAATTAATCCGAATATACGAATCTATGCGTGTGTACCCGATGGGAAAATATTGGGAGAATGTTTAAAGGAACAGAAACGTCTATGGCCAAATCCTCCACAGTTTCTTCAAACAAAATGCGAGGGTACTGAACTTCTCTGATCTTTCTTTTCCTCACTTCCTGATTTTATTTCGTTTGTTCAGCTTGTCGTTTGCAACAGTGTGGTACACTCACTTTTCCGATAATGTGCTCCTTGGTTGAAAAGCAGGTCTTTAGTATATCAGATAAAACAATGATCGAAGCCACTCGTTTTGCTTTCGAACAACTGAAATTAGTTGTCGAACTCGCCGCCGGTTTGTCTCTAGGTGCCATACTTTCTCAATCCGATCAGTTAGACGCTGATGTTCGCAATGTTGCTCTTATTCTTTGTGGTGGAAATATTGATTTGAATGAAAAATTGCCTTGGCAAAACTAATTTTGTAATCATAATTCAGTACATCTTTGAGTATTTGTTATTGTCGTAGTTGGAGATAGATGTTGATTAATAAATCGTCGAAGATAATAGAATGAATTCAATGGACTATCATCTCTCGTATCATAACGCGCCTTTTCATCTTCAATACATCGACCCGAACGAATACTTCGTTCCAATATTCTCAAATAAGTACGCTTCTCATGGTCGATCGTTGAAGATTTGCGTTCAGGATTTGAACAAGCTATGCTGAGATCGGCTTCAGCTTCATTGATTTGTTTTAATGCTGTAATGTAATAAGTTCGTTCTCGGCGTTTATGTAAATAGCTATACATACAACTGCTCAATTTTTCCTTTTCGAAGAAAATTCACTTACTGTAAAATTCTGGGTTGTACAGCACAAATCACTATAAATAAACAAATTCCACAAATGGTTAATATCGTTAGAGTAATAAGAATAACTGCAAAAACATCCATCGATAACAATGAATGTCAACTTATTGAGACGCACTAGAGTTTCATCCAGCTCTTAACATTATCGAAGTCTGCTGAAATGTCACTCCAAATGGAGTCGTTCGAAGAGATAAGAACAAGCAACTCTATACATATGCAATAAGCCCGGAAACAATGAACAGCAACGTAAATCAACGCAGTCAGAACTCAATGAGAATGATGGATGGTAGTTTTATCTCTTCGTCGTTCTCGTGACATATACAGAAACTATTTGTAACTATTGCAAGTTGGACTAACATACATTCTCCTTTTTTTTTCTGCTCCCCTTTGTTCGTTGATGAAGCTCGTTTTGTTTTGATCGAACGACTGACTCGGAAAACAATGTCCAATATAAAGACGACTATTCATGGCCGTAAAACGAGAACGATCAATACAAACACCTGCTTTGTTGGACCAAAAAAAGAAACTCTAAATTGGCAAACAAAAGACACATCGAGAATACAAATGTCAATATAGATGACTTGACAAGAGAACAAGTCAAGACTGGGATAATCGATCGATGATGGTTGCATGCGAGAAATCTTCGGAGAATCAATCTTGATTAAATCTTTTGGTGATAATTGCATGAATTTCGATTCAGAAATAAAATCCTGCAGATGATTCACTGATTTGTTACTTGCGATATTCAGTCGCTATTGTCTTAACGAAGTGAATGAATCCGCATAGTTTTTGAAAAGTCTGTTCTCACAAGTGTAAAGACGTTGATCTTTTACATGTAGTTTTCTTTCCTCTTTCATCTTTGACATGTTCGAATATCTTTTATCATCACCGACAGGCGAACAGAAAGCTCATTAATGATTGACAATATTTTATGCACTAAAAGTTTGTCTATCAATGATTTGATGATGACTATGTTCTCGAGTGACAAAGCGGAATCTATTTAATGTTTCTAATTGCTATTCGACTAGGAATTCATTCATAGTTCCTCATAAATTAGTTGTATGTTCTTATTCGAACGGATGACATAGAAAAAAAGAAGAAGAAGAAGAAACGAGACAAGTAGAAAAGTAACATTCAAATAATGATGACGAAGATGAATTAAGTGGAAGCGACTAAGAGGATATGAAGAAAAGGTTAGTAGATTGCGCATGATGCACACACAGTCTGAAAATCAAGATAATTTAGATTAAACGACATATTGGTAAGAATTGAGAGAATTATTGTGTAAATCAATTCTATTCAGTTGAGCAATTAGTGTAACGATTGCCATTATGTTCATAGTTTACATAAAAATAACGAATAGAAGTCGATATTGTTTTTTTCCTTCTAGAGATATTATGTCTAAAACAACTCTTGATCTTTACCGATGTTACTTCGCGTTGGAAGATAGTCTTCAAGCGACACGCAAGCCAATCTCAAGCTTTTTTATCAACGATATCCTCGACTATTCGTACAGCATGTCCGCAGATGCGAAAAATCATGTGCGAAAAACGAAGTCGAATAAGAAAAGTCGAACAACGTTTACGGGAAAACAAATCTCTGAACTCGAGAAGAAGTTCGAAAGCAAAAAGTACCTCTCATCCACGGAACGTGCAGAAATGGCTTCATTATTAACAGTAACAGAGACACAAGTGAAGATTTGGTAAGAGGTTAAGAACGCTAAAAGGACATGCAGATTGCTTCCTTCTTTTTATCAGGTTTCAAAACCGTCGAACAAAATGGAAGAAGATAGAGAATATTCCGAGCACCATAGTTGCTGAACATAAACTGCAAGCACGACAAACGTTGTCCAATCATACATCTGCTGACAGCAGTGGAAATAGTACATGCAGTTCGATTAGTTCTCGTCGATCTGATCCACATGCGGACGATGTATGATCGGATTGTACCATACCGATTTGAAGATAATATATATTCCACACGGTCATTTTTTTTAAAATAAATATAAACTTGCCGGAGCATTTTCGCTTTTCTCGGTTGAGAAAATGTGTACTTGTCATGTTAATTCAACTTAATTTTACCATTCTTCACTTGGTATGACACCATTAGAATGAAAATAGCATTAGTCGTGTTCATTAACAATCTATTTTTGACTTTATATTTCCTCAAACCTACGGTTTATGGCAATCTAAATACCAGACACATGTACTTAAGTTCAAGTTTTCCTTGATAGACAAAAAATGATTCTAATTACTTTCATAGACACGATATCGTACTGATCGTTTCTTTTTCCTTGCACAGTAGCGCTAACTATTGAAATGCGAAGTTGATTTTAAGAGAGGTCGTTGCCTCTTTAAAGTGTAAAGCAATGGCAAAATTGTAAAAGAAAGCTGTAACTATCAACTATACATATAGTTTAATTGTTGTCTACTGTTTCATCAACATGTCGGACGAAGAAGCTGAACATGAAGAGGCTGAAGAAATGGAAAATGAAACGAAATCAGGTTTGTCATGTAAAATCTTTCATTTGACTCGCCTAATTTCTCTTCAAAACAGAGGGTGAGGGTGAAGAAGAAGAAAAATTGGAACATGGAGAAGAAGAAGCACAAGAAGAAGTACGTATGTTTCGTCTCGTCTTCCGAATTCTCGATCTTTTCCTAGGCCCGTGACGAAGTTCCCCTAACAGACGAAATCATCGCTCAATCCCTTTCATTACTAGCCAAAACGGGGAATGGGTTAGCACACGCGTATACTCGGTTCGAAGCAACTAATCGGTAGAGAAACGGTTTTCTTCTGATGAATATCGCTCGAAGTTATTTGTAGAAATCTAACGGATATCACTCGTCTTGAACCATTTGTTCATTTACGTTTCATCGATCTATCGAACAATGGCCTTCGCACGGTTGCTTCGTTAAGTCGTTTGAAATTTCTCTTAACATTAAAATTAGATTCGAATGAATTATCAATGTTCGATTTACCACCCTTTCCTTACTTACAAACACTTCGCTTAAGTGACAATCGCATCAAATCTGTGAAAGGCATTGAACAACCACGATTAGAAATACTTAATCTGAATCGTATGGCGAAGATTGATTTTTCAGAGAGAACATGAGACTATTTCATCTTTCTTTTAGAGAATCAAATCGACAGTTGTGAAGGCTTGGAACAAAGTAAACTACCGAATTTAATGACGCTCGAAATGCGTCAGAATCGTCTGACAACAACCAAGGGAATAGCATTATTGAACTTAAAAAATCTATTTCTGGTAATTGTTGTCGAGATTCTTTGACAAAATGACTTATTGACGTTTGTTTAGGCTGCGAATGAAATCACCAAACTGGAAGATTTACAAGATTTAAGTCGATTGACAACACTGCATTTACGTGACAATAAAGTAGGAACATTGGATGGTTTTAGTGAAAACATGAAGCAATTGCAATATGTCAATTTACGTGCGAATGAAGTCACTGATCCTGAAGAATTGAAGAAATTGGCTGTGTTGCCAATGTTAAGAGCACTTGTTCTGTTAGGTAGAAGCATCAATGAATGAAAACTCGGTTTATTCTTAGACTAATGTTTGATTTCTAGAAACACCTCTATCAGAAACGGATTCCTATCGAACGGAAGTTTTAGTTGCGCTCGAGAAACTTGAACGGTAGGTTGATTTTCTTTTGATAACTTTGAATATTTTTGTTGTCTTAGACTGGATAAAGATCAATTCGATGAAGATGAGCGAGCCGAAGCAGATGACGAACGAAAACGTCGTGCTGACGAAGCTCAAGAAGCACAGGAAGCAGCCACGGACGATGGTTCGAAACAGGAGGAAGCTGCTGACAAAGAATGAACTTCGTTTTGCCTATATGCATGTAGTATGAAAAGAATCTTTTTTTCACATTTAAATAAACCATTTGTTGAAACAAACACATCAGTCTCATGTGCACGGAAATCGAATTAGACGCATATTCAACTGCCCGGTCGGAGAGCGTCATACGATCAAGTAAAATAGAATCAGACAACATTGAGATGACTAGCGGGCATCAAGAGCAAGTAAAGTGATTTGTCAGCAAGTGACCATGATCAATAGGATGAGTTCAAATAGAATCCGTTCGCTGTTATCTTGAGATGAGAGAGAATGAAAGACACCGGCAAGGCAACGATAGATGAACATTGAATGGTTATTTGTAAGTAGGTGAAAAGATATTCGTGCAAATTTGCTTGTGCATTCGTATCTGATACCATTCGATTTCGTAATCTTTAACCTTTACAAAATAAATATGAGTTATGTACGCAATGTGAAGAACAATCGAAGAAAAAGGTGTAGACATATATCTAAAGAAAAACTATTCGATTACCGAAACGATTCAATAATGATCAAGAAAAAAAGAAAGAAAATGATACACAAAGAAGTTTCTTTTTTATCTTTACTTTCATTTATTCCCTTCTATTTATATAATCAAAAGAAAGCTGTATGTGTTAGAAAGTAAGTCTAATATTGGTTTCACTGAATATAATTAGAAATAAACAATCTAATGTCTTTCGAATTGCACGATAGTTCAATTAGATGATATAACACATCGATATACACTTATGCTTTTAGCACATTGATGAAGCAGAACAATTGATTTGCGGCAGAGGAGATATCTAATGAAAAAACCTAGTTCGATGGTGATGATGATGATGACTCGCTATACCTTCTGTAGATCATTCTCAGGCCAAAAAACAAAAACATTCAAATAGATCAATCACTGCCAGACATCCAAATGTTCAATCGATCGATCAGTTCGTAATTGTCATTTACGATGTTATTCTACTCGTACATCATTCATATCGGTGGACTAGACGAAACAGGATATTCGATGATCGATCGATTTAGAAAACTGAAATCGACGATCACGAGTTATGAAGACGACTCGATATAACAAGTTTAGCAAGCGAGATGGTAGAAGTATACCTGGCCGAATAACTGAACTGATGAATTCAATAACCTTATTGATTGACACTGTATGGATAAGAGAAATAACATACAATTGATGTTATTTCAAGGTCAGTTCAATCGTACGTGTATGTACACTTAAAAGCGCGAGAACGAAGAAAAGTAATGCACCATTAGCTGTATATATGTACAGTATATATGATTGACAGGGGAGAGAGAGAGAGAGGAACAGTAGTAAATGAGTAGACGAGGAAGAGAAAGAGCGCGTCCTCGTCAATTTCATTCCTTGATAATATTATATGGTTATGTTTAGAAAAACACCTCCCATCAGATTATCATAGGTTATTTTTATATTCAATTCGACCATGAATCGTCCTTTTCTCTCAAGTAGTTACAATTTAATTTACCTGTCAAAGAATGACTTTCATCTTTTTTTTCTTCTAAAGTCATTCCTACTAGTTTCACATTGACGGATAGAGATAATGAATGCTGTCATCGATGTGTAATTTGAGACGTTCAGCGACTGATAGAGTCGAGAAACATATTCTGCAAGATTACAGATGCATCGTTTGGTGAAATCAAGGTTACTTGTCTTCTGAGCATTCGTACAGTTCAGTTGTATGTCTTTAATCAATGAGAATACTCAGTTCGCTTTTCAATATGCTAATAAGTATTCATTATTCTTCAGTTTCAACTGCTCTTCTTTTCTTTCTTTCTTGCTAGAATATATAATTAAAAGTTTTTTTTTATGCACTGAACGAAACACTGATGTTATAACACTTAGCTGTGTAAGCAGAGAAGAACATATTGTCACAGATGTTGTTGAAGATAAAAAATAGTCCATTCCTTTTTCTTCTTTCGTTGAATATTGAATAGCAAGAGAAATCTAAGAAAGTTTATTGCCTCTTGACGAATGTAGCAGCCGTGTAAGCGTTACCATTACGTCATACATATGTATATGAACTAAAAAAATTTCTCTTTCGATGAGAAAGTCATGGTTCTATTCAATGGCAACATGTGTTGATCAATGCTGACGTTAACTAATACAGAAAATGTTTGAAAGAGATTATGTTATTTCCAAGTTGACTAGGTATGGGCGTGCGCATGCATGAGTATTGCATATTACATATCCATGTCTATCTACTTTTCCCTCTTCCATTCTGGCAATGCATGCAACACATGTCTCGAATACAGTACCTTCTGGTAATAGAACATGAACGTGAGACTGATTTGTAAGTATCTTTAAACATATATGTGAAGGTTGACTAAAGCCCTGCAGTTTTGTAAACTTGAATCAATCAATCAATCAGTATGATGATGATGATGATCAAAAAAAGGCCGTCTTCAATCACATCATTTTCAATATGTCTAATTTTTCAAGTGGTATCCTGGAGTGCATATTGAATTTCGTTTTTTTTCCTCCTCTCTGCGTTCAGTTAACTTTTTTTTCAAAGCGACTAGTTAATTTTCGTTTTTGTGTCGTATGCCACTTGATCAATGAACGATTGAATATGTAGATAGAGAGAGAGGGGGAGAGAGAAAGAGAATTATGATTATTCCCTAGCGAGAGAGAAAAAAAAAGAAAAGAGAACAAATGAGTGAGCAGTCCTGAATAAACTTACTTTTGTTCAAGATGAAATTTGTTCACTCAGAAAAAATTAATGATGTCTCTGATAAATATATAACTGCATTTCTTCTTCTTGTCATCTCCCGATAACGCGCCTGATTGTCGCTCGTACGTATGTCTTAGCGTTTAATGATTATTACACACCTATTTGCACAGAACTGTACATGATAGCGATCCTCTATTTGCTTTTTTTCTCCCTCACAGTCTAGTGAAAGATCTTCTATCTACACTCGTCATTTCCGCTTGTCAAACTGTGTCATTGTTACAAGGCTACAATGAAAGCGACGCAAGAGAGACAACTCACATAATCATGTCTCATTTCTTCCGTTTCTTTTTTTTTTTGTACGTCGAAACTTGAATAAGAAAGTAGTGTACATTAAGTAGAGAAAGTTTTTTTGTATGAATGTGCTAATCACTGCTTGTGTGCATGATTGAATTTCGAGTATTTCATACAATTATGAGTAATGTTCAAAACTACCCCTTCAGTGCTAAAAAGAACAGTAATGTATGTATGTTTATGTTTCTGACTGTATCTTAGAAGATTGAAAGTGACCGATACTGTTCGAGCATGTACATATTGAATTAGATATGCTTGTTCACTTGGAGAAAAGAAAAACATAACATGATCGATGATCATGTCAGGTTTTCATCTGATTAGAAACTATTTAGCACCTGTCGTTCGCAGACAAATGCATCATTAATATCTCTTCTCTTCACGCATGTCTTTCGATTTCTATTTAATGAAAATGAACCATTCTCTTTCAAGATCTGTATTCTTAATAAATTATTGATTGAACGATGTTCAATAATTTATTTGTTTTATTTATTCTCCTATTCTTTTCGTTTATCGCTTGTGATCCTATTGAGTTATCCAATGTAAGTATACGTGAACACACACCAGTTGGTCAGTTGTTGGTTCGATTGAACGGCACAAGTACACAACGAAATGCGTTTCGATTTGTTAGTAACAATTATCGAGATATTCAACGATATTTTTCCTTAAATGCTTCAACGGGTGAACTACGCATTGCGATGGACATCGATCGAGAGATCATCTGTGCACATCGTCGTGTTCATTGTCAATTTTTATTAAAAGTTTTCGAAATATTCCATGAGAAACTTTATCACATACCTGTTATCATCGAAGATATCAATGATCATCGACCGATATTTCCATATCAATCATCGCCAGTGGAACTGCACATATCAGAAAACTCGCCGGCGCATCAATCGAAACTTTTCATTCAACAAGCCTACGATCAAGATCAAATGGATAATCAAAAACAATTAAAATATCAATTGAAAAATTTTGACAGCAACTTTCCATTCACTCTCGAAGTTAACGACGATATTTCTAATCGTTTAGCTCTTGTATTAGTTCAACCATTAGATAGAGAATCAATTGATTCATACAATTGTACGTTGTATGTTGTTGACACAGGTGGACACGAAGAACAATTACAAATGAAGATTATCATCGATGATGTCAATGATCAATCGCCAATGTAAGTGATTTCATTTAACTCGAAAGACGCTCATTCTTTTTGATGTTCGTTTCAGTTTCGACAGCAGCACATACTCAGTGGAGTTATCGGAAAGTACGCCGATCAATACGACTATTCTTCGTGTTCATGCCACCGATGCAGATATTGGTTTGAATGCACGCATTACGTATGACTTTACTGATGCGTCGAAACAGTTCAGTAGTATGTTTTACATTCACAATGAAACCGGTATTCTTCGACTTCGTTCATCCCTCGACTATGAACAACGCTCGTCATATATTTTCTATATCGAAGCTCGAGATTCCGGCAAAGAGATTCGTTCATCTCAAACGCTGATTAATATCACCATTCTTGATGAAAATGATTGTTATCCTGTCATTTCATTTCGTTTTCTTCCGGATCTTTACTACAATTCATCAGCCGATGTTCTCGAAATCTCCGAAACGTATCCAATCGATAAGTTTTTCGTTCAAATCCTCGTTACCGATCTAGACAGTTCTCTGAACGGACACGTGCGTCTTTGGTTTGATGTACTCGACGCTCATCCTTCATTGACCAATCATTCGTTCGATTTCTATCAGATTGATAATTTTACCTATTTTCTCAACCGTACTCAACCCTTCGATTTCGAAACTCAACAGCAATATCGTTTGAAGTTTCTTGCCGAAGATCTCAGTCCAAAAAAGCCATTGCGAACCACGAAATTCCTAACTATCAATGTTCGCGATGAAAACGATAATCCTCCTCAATTCCTGCATTCATTCTATCATTTGTCTATTCATGAAAATAATGAATTGAACGCCATTCTAACCAAGATCGAAGCGTTCGATTCGGATAATGGTGACAATGGACGAATTCAGTACGATATTCTCAGCAATGAAACATTTTTACCATTTGATATCGATCCGAAAACAGGCATTCTGCGTTGTTTGGAATCGTTCGATCGAGAGAAACGTTTATCATATCATTTCGAAATCCTTGCTCGAGACTTCGGTTCGCCCAAAAGTCTTTCTTCGAAAATTCCCGTCGAAATCGAAATCAAAGATTTGAATGATAACAAGCCACGATTCGAGCAAGAAAATTACGAGTTTTCCATTCGGGAAGACTTTGAACGAATGAAAACCATCGCTCGTATCCAAGCATACGACCACGATTTCAATCCACACTTAATCTATCGAATCGAAAGCGATGTGAACAAATTCGGCATTCATCAAAATGGAGAACTTTACCTTCAAGAAACACTCGATCGAGAAATTCAAGATCAATATCACTTTATCGTCACAGTCGACGATACTCTATACAGAACATCGGTCTCCGTTCATATTCAAATCTTAGATGTCAACGATTGTCAACCACGCTGGTTAAGTCCATCAGAAAATCGAACAGTTCTTATTGTAAATAAAGATGTATTAACCATCGGAATGAGTATGATGAAATTGCAAGCAGTTGATAATGATGACATCGCTAATGGCAATGGTTTAATAACTTACTCTTTAGAAGATACTCATGAGTTCTTTGATATCTTCAACAACGACGAATTGGTTTTCAATTCTACTCCCACCATCGGACGATATTTATTGAAAGTCTATGCGAATGATCACGGAAAAGAAGTGCAACATTCTTCACTGATTGAAATCGATTTATTTATTGGAAATAATCATACCAATGGAAGTGTTTTCTACGATAAATTTTACAAAATCAATTCGTTGTCAACGATGAAACGCGTGATTTTGCTGGCCACATTCTTTCTTTCGGTTACGTTCATTCTCGTTTTCATCATTTCAATTATATTCATTATGATTTGTCGATATCGAAAACATAAATATCTCTATTATGTGAAATGCAATGGACAACAAAAGATGACAATGATCGAAAATCGTCTGACGCGATCAAGTTCGAATTCGTCAAAATTGAGTTTGGTATGATAAAAACCTAATTCGTTTCCTTTTAATAGCAAATGTTTTGCTTTGCAGGAAGATCTTCAACAGAAACGCTTTCTCGACCATTCGTCGTCACCTTCGTATATCGGTAATAGACATTGCATGCATTGATTTCACCTTGAAATGAACGAGTCAAGAGAAAAACAAAGGATAAAAGTTTTTAGTAAATGAGTTCGTCTCACGCATCGACAAGATGAAAGACGAACGTCCTCCATTCTTTCGATAGTGAACAGAAATGATCAATAAAGAGAAAATGATTGTACTTTAATTTTCTTAGGTACGAATATCTACACTCAACATCATCAAATCCCATCAATCATCCAGCCTACAAGTGATTATTATAGTAATAGTAGCAAGCATGAAGAAGGTTAGATTCGTTTTCTTTGATGTTCGTGTTGTTTTCGGATGTGCATGTCTTTTTCTTAGATGTCGACGAATGGACGGATGAACAACGTCAATCGAGTTTGACGAATCCGAACACTGAATGGTCAATTGAAAAGATTCTCTATCCTGACTGGTTGTACAAAGATGTGATCGTTACATCAATGAAGCCTTTGAACACTTCGACATTTACGGAGTTGAATTCCTGTCAGACGTTCACAACAAATGAAAGTGCAATGAGTAGTGCAAGTAGCGGCAGACGAACGATGTCATCGAACAGTCAACCATCGCCTAAACAAGTTCGATTCGGTTATCAAGATCATATCCGTTCACAGCCGCATTTGAATACAACGATACGACAATTCAAATCAGGAATAATGACGACACTCTCAGCTGATGAATCACCACATACATTCATTTGAATGTTCGATGTGTTTTTTGTTTTGTTTTTCTTTGATTTAGTACAGTTCTTCGCTTTGTTTTTTTTTCTTTTCATTTCGGTGTCTCTTTTCTATGTTGGTATGATTATGATGATAAGAAAAAACGGAGTTGACTTTTCTATGATAAATTATATTATTTATTTTGACGTATGACTGCTGAAGTGAATCAAATGAATACTTCCTAATTAGATTACTAATCCATATTAATTATAGTATGAAATGTCGTCACTGATTCGATTCGCAAGACTTTGATCGGAATTGTGTTTCGGTTTCTTTTAACCAACTTGTATCGTACTATTATTAATGTAAACGCATACTCTATCTTATCAGTCGTCGGTACTAATGCTCTTTCGACTCTTCTATCGTATGATTTTTACACGCTGGACGTATTTTTAATTCAAAAGAGCACATGCAGTTGGTGCACGCCTACAGAAAAAGAAGCAAAGCCGAGATAGGAACAATCACACTTCTTTTTTCTTTCTTGGGTATTTTGTTCGACTGTAGGTTGGCTGTAGACGAAACGACTCACCCACTCAGCCAACGCATGTCTTCTGATAAAATCTAACCTTGATAGAAAAATCGTAGGGTGACTGGCGATGGAAGAATGTATTTATTTGACGCACATTTCGTTCTTTTGACTATTAACGATGAGTAGCAACGGGTATACAAACGGACATTCAACGCGAAAAATCAATTTCGGGGCGGGACCAGCTCAGTTACCAGTAGAAGTATGATTGAGACGTTCGTATCTCTCCAAGGAAATCGCTTGTTTTCGATAGGTTTTAGAAACTATTCAAAATGAATTTCTTGATTTTAATGGATCTGGATCAAATGTTATGGGTAGAGCACAGAATATAACTACATTTTCATTTTTATGTCGATATTTGTTGTTTTCGAACAGAACTTAGTCATCGGTCGTCGGCATTCGCCAAAATTATCCAAGAAGCCGAACGCGATATTCGAGAAATATTGTAAAGAAATTTAAATTCAGTGTTTTTCAAAACTTAACCGTCAATTTTAGAACGATACCTGATTCGTATGCTGTTCTGTTCTTGCAAGGCGGCGCTACTGCTCAATTCAGTGCCGTTGCATTAAATTTCCTCAATTTGAAACCGTCGAAAACAGCTGATTATCTTGTCACAGGTTATTGGTCAGAAAAAGCGGCGAAAGAAGCCGAAAAATTCGGCAAGATTAATTGGGTTGTGCCAAAGTCTAGCAAGTACCAAGGTAATTGTATTCAAACAAAACCAAAATATCGCTTAATAAACGCTTTGAATGAAATAGGTGTACCAGCCGAAGATACTTGGAAATTATCTGAAGAACCGTCGTACTTTTATTACTGCGCAAATGAAACAATTGACGGAGTCGAAATGGAGAATATCCCAACAGTTGTACCGAAAGATGTACCGATCGTGTGCGATATGTCATCGAATTTCTTAACACGGCCCTTCGATGTCACCAAAGTAAACAAAATAATACTCTCATTTTACCTTCAACATATCTATTCTTTCTCATAGTACGCCGTTATCTTTGCCAGTGCCCAGAAGAATTTCGGTGCAAGCGGCCTTGTTCTCGTTATCCTAAGAAAAGATTTGGTGGAAAACAATACGAATAAATCAATACCGATCATTTTGGATTACAAAGTGCAAATTGCCAATGAATCAATGTACAATACTCCACCGACATTTTCGTAAGTTCTGTTTATTCCCATTTCGTCCTAACTCTACTTTTCCTCCTTTAGAATCTATGTTGCAAACAAAATGTTTGCTTGGACTAAAGCGCAAGGTGGCTTGAAAGCACTGAATCAACAATCGGCTAGCAAGTCTTCGCTCGTATATGAAACAATTGATGAATCGAACGGTTTTTATGTGAATTCTGTCGAGAAGAACTACCGTAGTCGTGTGAACATTCCATTACGTATCGTCACCAACGGTACAACTAACGAGACACTTGAAGCGTTGTTTCTTGCTGAAGTAGTCAAGTCGAATATGTTCGAATTGAAAGGTCATCGAGCTGTTGGCGGAATTCGTATAAGTCTTTACAATGGCATCACAGTTAAAGAAACGGAAAAATTAGTAAATTTTATGAGAACATTTCAAGCAAAGAATAATTCAGTCTAGTAGATATTTGTTTTTATTTTACAATAGAAAACTGTAGTTATGAACGTGAACGCGTTTTCATTGTTAAATAACGTTGTAATTCCTAGAAAAAGAAAAGAATTGTTCTATATTTTAAATTAAAAGTGATTGACTTACAGCCAGCTTTTGTTCTCGCATTGCATCAATCGAAGCATCAGCATATTGAGGATCACGCCCGTAATCTTGCAGCAACGATGGATCACGTTTCTCAACCTTGAAAATAAAGATTTTATCAAAAGTAAGTAGACGAAAACACATTTACTTCTTGGGGAAATTGTTTGCAAAACGTCGCCCTCCACATGGCGAAAGGTGAGCTAGTATAAAACGTTGATTAAATAAAAAGCCTCGATGGCACTAAGCCTTACTTTTCATTCATCGCGTCAAGATCAAGATCCTTGATAGGCGGTGCACCAATTTGTTCCTCAGTTTCACTACCAGACTTGACATACAGTGGTCCGAGATGATCTATTTGTGGCTTTTTCCTAGGAAATAATGATCGATGATTAATATACGATCTCATTACTTCTTACTCGGGCAGTTTCGTATCGAATAGAAGATGATTTAGTACAGATTTCAGGTAGACCGTATCTTTTTCACTGTATGACTAAAAAAGACAAGGATATGAATTGAGAAAATGTGTCAATAACTTGTTACCAGCAACGTCGCGCCATGATAAAATGCGAGAAAGCGAAGTGTTTTATAGATTGTCTTTTTGTCATTCGGCTGAAAACTCTAATATAAAACAAGAGAACAATGAGATGTGTACCACCGATGGGTTTCGAACGACGGTCATGGCGATTCCTTACTTGAAATTCATCATATTTTGATCCGACAATTACCAACGGAATACGAAGAGGTTCAACAAGATCTCTGTTCTAAATAGCAACTAGACAGATGAAGATATCGAATATTCGATAATTTGACAAACCGCGTCACCAATTCGTTTCACAATTGACTCTTTGAGTTTGTCTTTTAGAGTGGGATTTTGTTTTGATGCTTCACTAATGCAATACTTGACTCGTTTGGTTATTGCTTCATATAAAGTTTCATAAGTATGCCATAACTCTTGCGGCCGAGAGAGGTCGAGTACAAGTACTACGGATGCATTTCTAAATGTTTGAAGATGATTCAAGGTGATTTCAATTTGGAAAAATGACATTTACGCAATAGTTTCTGGTGTCAGAGCAACATCGATCAATTTGGCAAGAAATGTACCATCGCCCAATTCCCACAAATGACCAATATCCTTTCCTACCTGTGAGAAATGTTATATGAAGGAGAGGAAAGTGCACCATACTGTATCGGCTGTTTTCGGTTTTCGTGCATAGTTGTAATCAAGTGCAATTGTCGGTTTCGCTGATTCACTTGTTCTACATAAAATAAACATTACAGTGAATAATTCAATCGAATATGTACAAACCTTTCTAAGTAACGTAGAATCATCGTTGATTTACCCTGAAATATTGATATTATATTTGAAACGGAAATCAAAGTACAATTCATTTTACCCCACTGCGACTACCAGCGAACAGAACAGTATTTGATTCTGTTGGTAATGTTTCAGCTACGAAAAATAACGAACTTTAATTACATAAAATCCATCTCCCGAATGTATACCTTGTTCTCGACTTGCAACGATCTCTCTCGCCGCATCCCACAGTGATTTACCACTACTACCGCCTCTATTTCAATAAATCAACTAGAAATTCTACAACATAAAAGATTCAACAATACCCTAAATCTGTTTCCTGTTTTTTCCGTCCACCATAGAAATTCTCATCATGTCTAAATACACTGTTGAAAGCAAAACTTCATAATCTTTCGAAGATAGAAAACCTTTTATTCGTTTGTACATCATCATCATCATCGTCATCTTGGATACGTCGTGGCATGTTTATGAATAGATATTATTTCCGTTCAAAACTAATACCATGCAAATGCTTATATCTAAAGTAACAACCCTCATTTTATTTCTCCTCACCTGCGACATCTGTGCATTGTGCGTTAGACAATCGACGCATTATCGTTGCTCCGACAACAACAGTTCTGATGATTGAAAAGAAAAAGAAAATAAATGCGAGCTTATTCGTTCGGTTTGCTTTTGCACATCTTAAATTGATAAATATTGATAAGATTATTTAATCTCTTGAGCATGTTCTAATTCAAAGCGTCGATGAACATTGAACAGTCCTATTGATGAAAAGAGAGAAAACTCTGCAGATTACTGCGTCTGTTCCTCTCACGTCGATTGGAATAATGAGATTTCTCTTTTTTTTTCTCACAGTATTTCGATTAAAAATGATGACTTACGGCGCTTTTACCGCTTCATACATCTCAACCATGAAAAGTGACAGTTGTTGTTTTGCTTTTAGATGTTGAAAAGAACTTTTTTAGTCGGATTCTTAACTTTAATTAACTACCGGTGATTAGATACAATTTCTTTCAATGGAGAGTAAGATCTTTTCCTTTGAAATCTCGCTCCGACATTGTCTCTCTTGTAGAATATCGTATACTGGGAAAGAAAGGTGAAGGAACGTTCTCAGAAGTTCTGAAATGTCAGAATGTACGCGATGGAACGTACTGGGCAGCGAAAAAGATGAAGCAATTGTATAAAAGGTAAACTGCGAGTGTCTCTTTCTTTTCCGTTTTTTATTATTCCGTCATGTTGCAGTATGGATGAAATTCAGCAAATTCGTGAAATACGTGTTTTGAAACAACTCAATGGTCATCCGAATATCATCTTCCTTCGTGAAATAATCTTGTAAGTGATTTGATTATTGTGTATTCGCATTCGATTGTCAATGCGTTTACCCCTTCAGTGACAAACGATCAGGTGTACTATGCTTGATATTTGAACTAATGAATCTGAATCTATACGAATATATTCGCGGCCGACAACGATTGCTATCGAGTGAAATTGTATGCAAATTTATGTATCAATTAATTAAAGCTCTCGAGTTTCTACACAGGTATTTCATCGTAACTACTTTTCACAAGAGAAACTTCGTTCTTTTCTTTTCGTTTTCTAGACACACCTTCTTTCATCGCGATGTAAATTTGACGAGATTGCAATTTGAAACTATCTTGAGAGAACATTTGTATGCTTCTAGGTCAAACCCGAGAATATCCTGATCAAAGATGATATTTTGAAGTTAGCTGATTTTGGATCATGTCGACAAACTCTATCCAAACAACCATTTACCGAATACATCTCAACTCGATGGTAAATACATGAGAAAATGAACATCATTCATATTTAACTCCGTTTTCTTTCTATCTCCTATTCAATTAAGGTACCGGGCGCCAGAATGTTTACTTACAGATGGATACTATCGAAATCAAATGGATATTTGGTCTGCCGGTAAATTGTGAAACAATTTCCGATCTTATTCTTATAGGTTTATTTATACCCAAAGGTTGCGTGATGTATGAGATCATCACATTGAAACCGTTATTTCCTGGTAGCAACGAAATCGATCAAATGAATCGAATTCATGACGTGTTGGGTACGCCGTCGCCTAGCGTACTCGACAAATTTCAACAGTGAGTATTTTCACCTTAGTCATGAATGAAAACCCGAAAATTTACCATTTAGCCGAAATACGGCGATCGATTTCAACTTCCCTCCCCGTGCCGGCACTGGCATTGCTCGAAATCTTGCACATTGCACGTCCGACACAGTTGATCTCATTAATCAACTATGCATTTATGATCCAGATCATCGTTTATCAGCTGCGAAGGCTCTCCGACATCCATATTTCGAGGTGATACGGTAAGTATCCAACAGAATCACTTGAGTTCAATCCTTCTTACGTTTTCATAGCGCCCAAGAAGCTGCTCAATTGCAGGAACAACAGAATATTCAATTAGAAAACGGAGTTCGTCTAGTGAAAACCAGTGAAGATCGATATGAACGATCCGATTCGAGTGATAGTAAATCGAATGCAGCAGACGAAAGTATCTCTCCGAGATCCAACCCTCACATGTCGTCAACATTACACCACTCGCCAGTAATGAGACCTGATGTGAATCGAGTATTCCTTCATTTCTTGATTGAACTGAATAATAGAATGCGGTTTTTTCTTCTTCCTAGTTAATCTATGTCCCAGGCAAAAGTCAATCATTAGTTGATGCTGGTATTCAAGGTCAACCTATGAAAAAATCCATCAAACCGTATCCAATGAATACGAAGATGAAATATACACATTCGAATCCTCCTCAATCACATGCTAATCATGCACAAACGTTTTACAATAGTCTATCGTCATTAGGAACAAATCATTTACATTATCAAACTCACGCTACTCGAAAAACAACGAAAAACGGTCCTACGCCGTTTCTACCATCGGTATCAGGTGCTTCTGCTTTTTCCAATTATTCAACGAATAGTGGTCAATCTTCCTCAATAGTCAATACCAAAGTAAATTATCAGCCATTCTTCTGAACTTGCGCACGATCTTTTTTCTCATTATAGAACTCCTCTCCGGCCAAAAATCTGGTTGGCTATTATCCAATCATGTCCTATCGGCCATACAAAAAATGACTTTTATCCGCATGTCTCGTATGAAATCTTGTACATTGCTTTTCTTATCGTTTGTGACTATACATATTCGAAATGAAGATTTTATCCAAAGAGAAAACAGCGAACATCTACGTATTGAGAAAATTCCATTTTGTTTATATCAATCATTTTTATGACAGAAAAAGACAAAGAAGAAAAGTAATATTCTGAATAAAATAGAACTACAGAAGCAAGAAAGAAGATAGATATGCACATGAGTTAAAAATTATGCCACTGTTCAACGCGTAATCATCGACTAGAGATTTTGCATGAGAAGTTTGTTATTTTCTTTTTGACACTTATGATGATTTGAAGTTTGAGAAATCAAGTCGAAGAGGAAGCGATGGCGCTTGCGATGGTGAGTTCATCGATGAAAGATAGGATTTTGATGAATAACTCGATTCCTTTTCATCTTTTTGTTGCTGTTGAAGTTGCTTCAATTGTTGTTGACGACGAATAGCAGTTTCAAGTCTCGTACGAAGATCCGGTAGACTTTGAAGAATAAGTCGAAATTCATTCGGATATATTGGAATTAGGGACTGAACACGATCAATAACATAACTGGTTAAACGTGCATTGGTATTTGTTAGTTTAACAGGCGATGATGATGATGATGCAGGGTCAGGAAGGAAATTGATAAATATTGGAATGATTAATGATGCTAAACGTATACCTAAACATGAAAATGCATTAAGAATTTAACCAACAGAGAGTACAGGAATACATACGTAGCGTTGAATCAACAGCTGCTAGAAGTGTTTCAAATATTTTCAAAATTTCAATAATCTGCTGATGTTGAGTTTCGTTTAACTTCTTCAATTCATTGAGCAACAACGGTGTAAACAGCTGTATTAATTGATTACGCACGGAGATATTCGAACATTGAAATAACTGGTTGAGACATTGTAGAACACGAATATGAGTCTAAATCAAACCACAAGATTTGATTTGGAAAACATTCGAAATGTATTTTTTACTTCGGGATCTTCGTCATCAAACGCTTTTCGATAGAAATCAATACATTGTTCAGTCAATTGAATAGATGTTGAATTAATCATCAATGACGTTAAAGATTGAACAAAATGTCCATTATCAGAAAGATTCTTATCCATGACTAGAGCAAAAGAAAATTATCTTTCGAGGTTGTGACACGCTCTTTACTTACGATTGGCTCTGAAATTTATGATCGTAACTATTGTACAGTAGAGAATATTATTATCAATTGTAGTCGAGAAGATATTTTCGAGAAATTGATTGATTGCGGTTAATAAAGACGTTTGGTAGTCATTTTTGGTTGACAGGAGGACATAACTTGTCGATAATAACAATTGTAAAATCACAGGAATCAATGCTTGCAGACCTACGACAATCATTCGAACTTTTCTGCACAGATTCAACTAGTTATTTTTACCTTCAGTTGTAGTGCACAGTGTAATTAACTCACTAAGAAGTTTGACATTAGCTAAGAACAAATTGTTGATTTGTTGATTGTCAGCATTTGATTTCATCGAAAGTTTCATTTGAAAGATAGGTCCTAGTTGTAAATCGCCAGCGATGTTTGGATAGTAACTAATGAGAACACAGATAAGTAGTTCCAATGATGCAAACAAGAAGGATTCACCGGGCACCAGGTGATCCTCGTTAGCAGTGGCAGCGATTTGGGAACATGAAGGTACAATGTGAAAGATTTTATCGACTATTTTCAAGATTCGAAGATGAGTTTTCAAATCCGTACGAACGAAATATAAACTAAACATCGATAGATCAGATATTTTCATCAAAACTAAGTTAGTTTCATCTTACCGATGAAGAACGTTGAGTATTTCAATACACACCGGCATAGTCAATTGATTGGTCGCTATTTCTGCTTGAAGTAAATTAATCAATGATGATAGGATATCCTCAATTGTTTCATCAGTTTGTTCGGATACTGAGATGGACAGTGCTTCGATGCAACAACCCAGAAGCATCGCAAAAATGTCTTCTCTCTTTTCAGGAAATGTTCGAATTTTATTTGTTAAAGTTGATGTGATAAATTTCGTCATTAAACTATCGCGNCAATTGATTGGTCGCTATTTCTGCTTGAAGTAAATTAATCAATGATGATAGGATATCCTCAATTGTTTCATCAGTTTGTTCGGATACTGAGATGGACAGTGCTTCGATGCAACAACCCAGAAGCATCGCAAAAATGTCTTCTCTCTTTTCAGGAAATGTTCGAATTTTATTTGTTAAAGTTGATGTGATAAATTTCGTCATTAAACTATCGCGTTGTCGATATCCGATTAGTTTCTGATTGGCTGCTAACGTTTCCAATTCATAGTGATGTTCGCCAAGCCATTGAGTGGTAGCCTGCATAACTGATGCCCAATTTGCTTTGTAAATTGTTCGTGTTAGGTCGAGATTTGATTCAGCGGAATAAAAATTTCCGCCATGAGAATTTTCGTCAATGGTATTTCCACCGAATTCACTAGGCAGAATTAAAAATGCATAATCTGTCAAAGCAGCAAGCCAATGATGAATGAGAACGTTCAGTTCAGGTTGAACAAGAATCAGTAGATTGCTATTCGGACTATTCTTTTCTTGATTTTGTCGTTCGGTAGCAACATTGTACACGTCGGCCCATGCGCGGAGAACAGCTAGATTTTCAATAGTTAGCGCATTTTCACTGTAGACCATTGATGTATCATTTTTATGTTGTTGAATTGAAGTAAACTTTTGTAAGGACGAAACCAACAATTGATGAACACGGCGAAGGTCGTTCAAATCGTGTGCAACACCGCTAGATATCCACGTACTGCATACGTCACAAGCTTGGGCAGTAACGTGTGATGATGTGTCTTGAGAAAATGCTGGCCGTAATGCAGCGCCGACTTGTGCTTGATATTGTTCAAGGATGACATGACCGGGTAGATCGATATCTTCTTCAACATGAGCAAATTTCACGATAATCTGTCTTAACAATGAGAGGCCAGATAAACGTAGCTGATCACTTGTTGATGTACACGACATAAACGAAAATGTGATTAAGGTATTTAAATGTGTAACCAGATAATCTTCACTCGGATGCGTACGAAGGCGTTCTTTGGCGGCAATAAAATCAAAATGTAGATTGGATGCTGTGGTTTGTTCACAATAGTTGATTAGTTTTTGTACACAATCAGCAGCGAAAACTTTTGTTGGCCATTTCGCTGATGATGTTGCACGGCGAATGGAGTTTTGATTCGACGGTGTCTGCAATTGTTCATCACCACCTGTATCCGCAAAATCATTGTCATCATCTTGTAGACCAAAACTATCTTCATCATCATCAGCAGTAGCTATGGGACGTGATGATGATGATGATTTCGGATAGGCTGATGAGCCTGACGCTGATCCAGATTGTTTCTGCTGTGATTGCTCGGTCTGCACCGATGGTGTTGTACTTGATGTTTCTAAACAAATCTACAGTGACTAGATGTATTTAAGCAAATCTGTCACTTACCAGTTGTGGCTGCAAGAACATCTTTACATAATTGTAACCAGTGTTTCAAATTGCTTGCTCCAAGTGCTTGCAACATATACACGAGTGTATCTTGCACATTTGAACTTAGTTTGCTGTCTGTTTCGGTGTCCAACATTGAAAAGAGCAATTCTAAAATATCAGATGCTTGATCGTATTAGAGAAGAATCGTGAATTACTTTCATACCTTCAAGACTTCGGAATTCTGAAAGTTCATTCGATAGTTCCGATGCTTTGTCTTTCATGAATAATTTCGCATGCTCGCTAACTTCTTTTGCTTCTCGTTGTGATAGTTGTCTCAGACATGAAACACACGCACGTCGTAGAGATAAATCTCGACTTTTTAATGCTTTGATGAGTTCAGGCACCAATGCTGACAAGTTGACATGTCGTGGAGCAAATAAATGTAATTGTTGCAAAGCTTGGATAGCTTCCGCTTGAACAATGGGCTCGATATGCATTTGTAAAAGGCTACTTGCTGTTAAACAAGATGAACGTAATATTGAGATATAGTTCGTATTTGTTTGAAGTTCGGGACCAATGGTAGTTATCAAAGCACCAAGTAAACGCCCACAGCATTGAAATACATCCGATTGCGAAGGCGGAATCGACAGGAGAAGATGTAGGATAAGTGCTAAACTGGGTTCAACATACGAACGAAACATTTGTCCACCACAATCAGCGATCAACGCTAAAGCGTGCAATGCCCATACTTGTACTGTCGATGCTGATTGATCTTGTGCAAGTGCAAGCAAGATAGATACAGATAAATTTAAATATTGTCCTGTACTCATTCCACCGACGTAACGATGCAAACAACCGAGTGCTAAGGAATAACCGGTGCGAGATGGTACATCGCGTAATTCTTTCAAACGATCGAAACAGATTTGAGCAATTTCAGCCACAAATCGTCCATCACTGACAACTTGTGTTAAACGACCGACAGCTTCGCCAGCTGCACAACGCAGAATCGGATTCTGATGACTTAGAGTTTGCATGACAAGTGTATATGCCGATTTCTTGACATTTTCATCATCCATGGCAGATGACTGTTTCGTTTCAGCTAAGATTTTCAATGCTGATAACACAGCTGTAAATATATTCACTTGCACGGCTTCCTGACGTGGACCTTTCGATTGTTTGATTGTATCGATAAAATGTTGTAACATATTCAAACGATGTTTATTTGGCACACGAATAAACATTGTACCATAGAGAAGTATTGATGCGTCAATAACTGCAACACCTACCGGTAATGGATCGGTAATATTCGTATCAGCGGGACGTGAATAATACGCATTGCTCGAATTATTATCGGTGGTTGATGATGAACGGAAAAGATAATTAATTATATTGAATGACGTTAACGATGTGTCACGACGATAGAGATAAGTTTCATCGTGTTCAAGTGCGCCTGAACCGCTAGCTGAATTCGGTTGTAGTTGTTCTTCAACCATCTGATAATCTGTTTCTTGAAGCCAATTGCCTAGCAAGACACTGTCATTATCATGGCAGACAGAGCGAAGTAGCGAAGTTGTGGTATTCGATGAATTGTCAGTTAGTGTAAACTCGGCAACTAATTCTCGCAATAAAACTTTGAAATGTTGTTCGTAGAATTTAGTAGGAATTAATAGAAGTAGTTCGTAGAGACGAAGACGAAACATGGCGGTTGAGGCTTTTAATGGTGGACCGAATTGTTTGATTAGATTCGGTATATGAACAAGAACAAGAATGGCATTCTCAATTGGATTTAACATCCGCTTGAGTAAATCATCTGTAACCAAGTGTTCGTCACCTGTTGAACAATTATTGAGAAATGATATCATTGAACAAAGTGCGCCTGAACGTTGATTGAACGAAAGTGTCCATGTAAATGAATCGCCGCGTTGTTTTTCCTGTTCAAAATCAGCTTGCGAACGAGGAAAAACATTCCGCCAAAGAAGAACTAAACGCGGAACGAACTTCTTAATGACTTGTTGACCCAGAGTACAAGAAGCAGCGAGTAAATGCCAAGCTGTATGCGTACGTTGAAGTATAACGCGTGGGATAAGAGACTGTTGCTGGCCAGCCGTTGAAGCCGTCGCTGTCCGAAGCAAATCATCGGCAAAATCAAAAATAGATTTAGCGCGTTGCGATGGAATACCTGTAATAGAAAAATGAAAGAGAGCTTTCTAACTGAATTATTTCTGTTTTTATTATCAGTAATCGAGTCATTCGATCGTTGCTTTTTTCTTGACGTGTTTATCAAGAAAATGTCAAGCTAATTTATTAATTAGAGTACAATTGGATAATTCAACTAACCTAATGGGCATCGATAAACAGCTCCGAGTAATGCTTGCAAAGCCATAGCAAATCCCGACATGGCATCTGTATTGTATGAGTTGGATTGTTTAGCTAAACTTTTCATTTTCTCTAGACAACGATCAATTAATGGTGTCATCAAAGAGGGTAAAGCTGTCGTAATCGATCGAAGACACCAGGCCGCAGATAATCTAACCGGATGCGACGGATTCAAAATAACGAGAAATAGTGTATCAATCAAACCATGACAACTGTCTTGTAATAACAGTGTTGTTGATGTGCCGATACTTTGAACCAATAAACTTAATTCATGTAAGGCACAAATGAGTATATGTTGAGTGTATTCTAAGTTTGATGACGATGATTCGAATGTATTCGTCGATGAACCGTACGATTGTATCATCGAATTCGTACTCGAATTGAGTGAAGATGAACCTGTCGATATATTTAATTCATTAGTTGATGTCGTAGACGTGGCCGAAGTCGATTGTAATAATTGTGGATTGGTATATCGGGTTATGATCGTTGTAAGTTCTTTCGCGGCTGCGAATTGAGCTTTTTCGCCTAGACGAGATCCGATGACTGAACGAAGAATAAACGCAATACATTTGCGCGAATAGACAGCATCGACATGTGATGTGGACGCCCGAGGATTTCCAGCTAATTCAAGAACGTGGTTAATAAATAAGGAAAGATTTTGTTCGATCCAGGTGGTGCCAAGTACGAGTGCTAATTCAACATAAGTCTACACGGAAGAAAAGCACGATTATTGAAATAATCAACTATTTGAAAATTTACATGAGTGACACCAATACGTATTTCACGTTGAACCGTCGTAGGTCCTTTAATTCGTTCGGTGGTATTTGTTTTCAAAAAACCAATGTTGCCTCGCAGAAAACCCCCGGCAAGATAATTCAGTATATCTTCTGCTTTGATTTTCTTCGCATTGGCAGCATTTGTCGTTGATTTACTCATCGTATCTACACACAAAAGAAAACAGCAATAATGATTTTCATCCCTATTTCATTCGTTACGAACTTACTTGAATTTGGATTTGATGTGACATCTTGCGTTGCAGCTAACAAAGCTGCTAAATACTTCGCTACAGAACAGCGAACTTCGTAATTTGAACTATCAAGAGCTCGAAAGGCCAGTGTTACATTTCCTTCTAATTCGGTTGTATACATGAAATTATTTTGATTGATTAAAGCGATCAGGCACTAAGAGAAACAGAAGGATTAGGTTTGCATATTGATAAAATATTAGCGATTAATACCATTGCAGCAGCTGATCGAACAGGCAATGCTCGGTCGCAGATATGAGCTTTGGCAACTTTGAAGATTTCTCGATGAACATTGTTACCAGCTGAGCCAAGTCCGTTGACGATACGTTCGAGTGTGAACATGATTTCGAAACGCATTTGAGAATCACCATTTTTGAGTGTTTTTAATAGTAATTGAACCGTTTCTTCATATGAACGACCGACTAAACGACCAAGACGTTCGTAAAGTGCGCCAATCACAACTACTGTAGCTCTGGAGAAAGCATGTCTTGTTCAGTTTTTGTCTGAGAAACAGAGTTCGTGTTCAACTTACAACTTTGCTACTTCATCTTTTGCTTTTAACGTATCATTACAGCAGTTGACTGTATTGAACAATGGAAAAGGATCTCCAACACTAAACAACGTTGCTAAATTTCGACCAATTAACGTTCGTATAGGTGGTCCAGGTCCATCTTGAACTTGTTGCATGAGCTGTTTGACAATGCGTGGTTGACATTCTCGAATATCATTCTAGGAAAATGGTTGTATGTGATTCGATTAAATTCACCGTTGACTTTTACTTTTTGAGCAGCAACGAGTACTTTATTGAGAAAACAAAGCCATTCATAAATGAACACAGGTCGTTTATTTTCCGGTAGACTTTTGAGTGCTTCTTCGTTGAGAACTAAACTTTGAGCAAGTTCAAGCATCGATCTAGAAACGAAAAAATGAAACTGTCAATATGATAGGAAAAGACAAATGAGATTATCGAACATCTTTCTTGTCTCTGATGGATAGTTGCAAAGGATAGATGAAAAAAAAAGAATGCTTAGGAAGACGTGACAACAGTCTCAATAAATACTCATCTTCTTAGAAGATGTAGATAAAATAAATAACCGAGAAATGGTCTTCTATCACAAAGATTTTTCTTTCCTTCCTTCCGCTCGTTTTTTTTTGTGTATTAGTCAGTTGTATGAGCTCTAGTAGATAAGTTTTTATTTCTTTTTTTTGTCGTTCTACCAGTAGGAAAGGCGAACGACCAATAGGAAGAGCAGTCACCGCAAGGAAATGAATACTAACGTCATCTGTTCGATATCATGACAAAAAACATGTGTATGTTGATACACACGCACGTTCTCATTTTTCTCAAATAGAAGATAAGACTGAGTGAACACGATCGAAAACAAATTATGTAGATGAAAGCGTTGAGATTGAACACTTAATGAGTTAATAAAAGTATCTTCAAAGCTCATCGTGTCGTGATGAATAACAATCAAACGAAATCGCGTTGCGCATTGTAGATGAGCAATTATATTTTCTTTTTAGGCACGATTCGTTGTAAGAATGAGAAAAATACGTCGAAGAACAGAGAGATTACAAATTTAGTAAATTCTCCTTCTGCCATTTCTCGACAACATCTTGCGATACATTCTTTCAATCGTTACAGCTAGTCTGATTATGATTTATTTGTTCTTATGACATTGTGTCGCAAATATTTCGCGTCTTTCCGAGAATGTCTTTATTTGGTACAGTCTACAACTTCATGAAAACCATTAGAAATGCTCTGTACGTCAGTTTTCTCGGTCGGCGAGATAAAGATGTTTATCATCGCTTCTCGATTTTCCAAGAATGTTGATAAATTAATATATGTTGCATGATATAATCGACAAACAATAGTTGATCTCTGCCTTTACACTTGAATATTTATGTTTATGTCAAGAATTTTTATCTTTACATAGAAAATATCTTGGAATGAGTCAGTACGATTAAATAAGTGCGGCGGTATCGAACGAACCAAAGCTGTCCGGTAGTTGATGATTTCGAAAGATTTCTTGTCTACTTCGGATAGTGACCGCTCCATGCAATGATGCACTATGTTGAGAATTAGCGGCAATAGATTTGGTTTTCGAATGAATAGAAACATTTTCTGGCTCTAAATGACGTCGCAACTGTTCGTAGTACAGTGCTCCCATACTTTCAATGCTGGTTCGTTCTTCCGACTAGAGTAAATTTCGATAGAAATCTTTCCGTATGTGATAATAAGTATGACTTACTGTTTGAATCAGTCTGGTGATTAAAACACGAGACCCATCGGGCATCTTTCTCGAATAGTTTGACTGTTGGACTAAACGTTCTTTTCGAGAGACGGACTGTTCAACAATCAACATGATTTTTGCCCATTGTCGTAACCATTCCTTCTTACGTTCATTGACCATCGCATATGTATTACCCATCACTAAGGAAAACTCGATTACTTTAAAGAAAAACAGTATTCTAAATGACATACTAGCGATTAGCATATTAACGAGTAGTACAGCTGCCATAATGATATAAGTAACAAACCATATCTAGGAGAAAAAAGCAAGACTTCTAGTAGTTTCCGCACATAATTTTCCGAAACGTAAAGAGAACATCAGTAGATACGTATTATGTCCATCGCTTACTTTTCCGATGATTCGAATTCCAACGATCGGATGTCGATTTAAATTTTCGTATGCGTCTGTGACTTGTTGGAGCGTGACACAAAACATATGAAAAAATGTTTCGATCACGGTAGCAAATTCATTTTCACAAGACGTTCGAACGAACAGAACGTGCAGTGCTTGTGTGAAGCCACACATGAAGACGAGAAAGATCAAGCAAAATCGTAATAGATCACCGCGAATCATGGTGTATATCATCACAACAAATGGACCTGTCGTTCGAAAACCGCTTGAATAGAAATACAAAGGAAGTGATTATCTCTCATTAGGAAAATTAATTACCGGCAAAAGAAGAAGAAATAAGGTGCACGAGTAAGTGTAGCAAAGACACAAAGAATATCGTCGGCAGTAAGTGAACAAGTGAATCGAGCTGGTAACATTCCGATTGTTAATATACACGAGAAAAGAAATAAAATTCTCGATGGATCATTGACATATATAAATGCATCGAGTTGAAAATTTTGATAAGCAAACTCCTGGATTGTCAGTAGCAGATAAATTATTGCACCGAGTACACTCAAGCCGTCGCAAACGTTTAGTATCTAGAAAGAACAGTTTTCGAAGAAGAGTACTATGAAAACTTATGTTTTACCAAAGCCATTGGTTCAAATACTCCTTTATCATTCTCGATACTTGCAGCAAACGTTGCATTGAAACTTGTTTCGTTGTCCTTATCTTCGAACGAGCTACGCCAAAGAAAATTCGTATAATGACATTGACAATAATGTTTAGGCGAGATCACGGATTTGTATGTGTTCGCACTCTTGTCTAGTTCCAATTTTTCTAAGCATGCATCCGGAAGATGGTAATAACCACGAACCAATAATCCGAATAAACATATTCCGAAATAAAGTGTGAATATAGCCATGCGTTGGAAAAATCTACAAAGAAAATGCAAATATTCATCAAACTGTTAAGATAGATTCACTTGAATTTGATAAATGTACGCCATTTTTCATTTAGTAACTGGACGATTAGGCCATCCATCATATCCAAATGGCCGGCGGATTCCTATAGAACATGTTCAATATTTTTTCCAAGTCATTTTACTTTAACTTACACCCCGAACGATGATATTCAACGCACTTGTGTCGTTTAGAGATCCGTCTTTTCCAATAGTATCAATATCGTCTAACGGATAACCAGCGCATGTAACATTACCATATTGCCAATAAACCGTACGAATCTTTTGTAAAATATGATCAAACATCTACAGAAAACATTATAAATACCTACTTCAAATCTATATTCAATAAATTCCTACTTCTTTTCGTGCTTTCACCGCGGCCAATGTCAATGGTGTTAAACCTTGCCGATTCTTAATATCCAATGATCCGCCTAATTCATATAATAGATCGACCATACTCTATAGAAACAATCTTATGATCAGATCGAAGAAATGAGTCAAAACGAACGATTCGATTGTAGATGACACACATATGTAAAGCGGTATTTCCATTCGAATCTTGACAATTTGTATCTGCACCTTTGGCGACTAGTAATCGTACTGATTCTTCCTGTTGCAAGACAGCGGCAAATGAGAGTGGATATTCACCAAAGTAACAATAACCGTCGTAATTTGTAGCAACACTGACATCCGGACATTCTTTCGTGAAATTATCCATTCTAGACAATAACTGTTCGTTGTATGAACAATGAGAAAATCGTGTCACCATCTTACCGACTAGATTTTTGATCTTCTGGACAGAAAAACTTTCCACAGCATCGCTGCGTGAAATCAACACCGGCATCAAGAAGAAATTTGACTGTTGCTGGTTCTTCGTTAACGATTGCGATATGAAGAACATTTTCACCTAAAATGCCAAAAGAAAGATTCAATTGGAAGGCAGAGAAGATGTCTTTTACCATAATACTCATCACCCATGTACAAATCATCAATGAGTCTTGGATAATGTCGTAATAATCGTTTAGCTAATGCTGAATGAACAGGGCCCGATGAAAGATAACATATATGAAGAATATGCTCTCCCACTCCACCACGTAAATCTAAATCCCAGCAGACTCGTTTAGTTTCTTCGCCTAGATATGATTGAAAAATGAAGGGTCATTTATCTTGTCAAACTTTCAGTATTACCATTGATTTGTTCTTCTTCAGCAGTTTTAGCTACTGGAAGAATACTCTTCAATTTATTGAACGTGTTATTTCGTCGACGAACAATTTCGCTGATCGTTACCTAAAGATTAAAAGTCATCAATGAGACAACTAATGTTCTTCTATACCAATTTGCCTTCGCCATTGTTATACAGATATTTCGGTATATGTTCACGGATGAGTGTGTCAATATGTGTGTAATCTTTCGTTCGATTAGCGACTCGCATAACATCAATGAGTTCTCCACCTCCCTAAATAAAAGAAAACAGATCGTCATTGGTGAAACGAGTACGCTCGGTTCGAGTTCAATTTACTTTAAAATCAACGAAACGATACAGTTCCGGACCTTGACCATCGGAATTGATCTGAGCTTTTACCCCCGAAGCTACTTCTGATGTTGTATTACCCATATTATTCTCGAGAAGAATAGAGCGATGTCGGTTGCGATTGAGCCGGAATACTCAATTGAATGTTTACCAAAGTTGACGGGAAAAAATGAGAAAAGAAAAGAAATGACAAGGAAAGTATAGCTTATTTGCCCCGTAATTGGAATAAGTGACGGTAGACGTGTGAAAGTTGAATATGAAAGCGAAGAAGAGAAAAAAGCTTTTTACTTGTCACCTAAAAGAGTTAAAAGAGAACAAACCGATGATCGATTAGAACTTAATCATGAACCTTTGACGGAAGATTTGACTTCTCTTTGCCATTTCAATAGATTCTTCTCTAATTGTCAATTGAAGTTTCAAGAGCATGATTATGAATGGAAGTTTTTCTTTCCGTTTTTACTTATTAATTAAAAAATAAAATACTGACGACACATATTTTACAACAAAAAAAAAACGAAGAGAAAAGAAAAAGGATTGGAATGTAGATCATGAACTGTTAGCTTGACTGGAGTACTTATACTAAAATAAAAGAAAAGAATGATCAGTCATCATAGACAGAACAAAGCAATGACAAACCATTTGCTCTTGTAACAATTTTATTGTTTGTTTATCTTGTTCTCTTTCTTTACGTAATGTCAGTAATTCCTAGTAAACATAATTTGAAATCTTTCGAGAAAAGTCTTCTTCTGTCATTTCCTACTTTCACTAGATCTTCATACGAGGAGTTTTCATCGACAGAATTTGTTCGAATGTGATTCTCACAAGCCATACCGCTCAATGACTGATGCCTTGAACTGATCATTGAATCATGAAATGAACCAATCATAGAATCCTAGAATTATCCAACGGAACATAAAAACTATTACTCTTAGATAAACAAATGATCATATACGGTCATATTTGCGCCATCGGAATGTTTTAATAATCGATCAAGTTGATGGAGGATTGTTTTGACAACCATCACGTCTTTCATTACTTGACGGTAAGATTCAATATCCATAGTTATTTGTTCAGCATCTTCACGCGGTGGCAATGTCGTTGAAGGTGGTTTTAATGAAATCGATCGTGTTAATCTGAACGAAAAATGATTAAGGTGTGAATAGGAACAGGAATTTGTTGATCTTACCGATGAGGATCTTGCTCAAAAACACTATCCATTCGATGACTTAGGCGATTTAATTCATCAAGTGATTCGCGGACATTATTCGCAGGTCGATTATCTTTGAAGGAAGGTTGCATTGCTGATGCATAAACTTTAGTTGTTGAAGAGGAATTTTTATTGATGTCTAAAGATAACGATGTTGACGAAATGGAATCTGTTCGATTACTGAAAGAAAAACGATGACAAGACGTGACTCTATATGTAACAGGGAATGATTCACGTACGTTTTGCTAATTGAATCTAAAGTAAGTGTATCATCATAATCACAAATTAAATCATCTGATTTTAGACTACAATTGTCATCGTCTAATAATCCTTCTTGATTGAGAACATTCGAAAGGGCAGATGAGGAGGATAAAGTACTGGGTGTTCGATGTCGATAGCGACTAGCTTGAGAGCGTTGTGCAGATGTCGGACGATTTGTAGGTGATTCTGTGCTGGCGTAGGCCGAATCGCCATGATGAACGGAATCCGTGGTTAGATCATCATTCTAATACGAAAAAACAGATGGGGATAAAACTCAAGTGGTTGAATTTTACTTGACTTTCGACTGGGAAACTTGCTGTATGTTCATCAGCTGATGATTGCTCGTTTTTCTCTTCTTCGATCACTGTTGGTTCAATTGGCGATGCTTTCAGAGCGTTTGATATAGGAGTACGTCGTGTAAAGAAATTCATACGTTTTGGAGCTTTGTATCGATCGCGAATAACATTGACATCAGCTTTTATTGCTTGTGCAGATGGGATCAGGGAAGAAATATTCGAAGGACGGGAAGATGTATTTATACGTTGACGATCAGCTGTCGCCGTCGTTGACGGCGAATCTTTTTGGACACGATTTGAAGACGATGGTACCACTTTCGATTTCGATGTAATTGTTGTATGGAACCGATTTGGTGTTGTTTGAGTTTTAGTTACATGTTGTGTTGGTGTCGACTTTGTACCATTCGTTGATGATGGACTGATGGAACGACTACGAGCTTCGAGCAAAGCTGCCTGTGCTGGCTGTAAGCCAGGCGCTATCGGTCGTGGTATAGAACCGAGCCGTGGCTGAGTTCCTGACTGAGATGGTGATGGAAGCGATGAACGATTCGAGGCCGACATAGGTCGCGGAGTGCCTATGATAAAGCGATAATTAGAAGAAAATAGTAGTAACAAATAGGCAAAGAAGCTATTGATTCGTAAACATTCACATTTCTTCTTGTTTTTTTTTCCTTGACTGCCATTATCGTATAAGAATAGAAGGAAAAAAACTAGTATAGAAAAGGAAGAAAGGAAAAAAGCTCGTGGTCTTTATGACAAGAAGCAGGATTCTTTTTTTTTTCCTCGTCTTGCATCGGATGAGTCATCAACTAGAACGCCAACTAGCTCCACAGTCAAACACACAGTCAAGAAAAGAAATAGCGGTTGTAATTCTCTCCGTCCTAGATTTACCTATTGTGAGACCATTTTTAGGTCTTAAAGGCACTGCCGTTGTTGTCGTTGCTTGATAGACAGGCAGTCGAGTTTTTGGAACAGGAATACGAGGTTGAGGATGTGATTTCGAAGATGATGATGATGACATCCAGCTGTTTCTATTTGAATTATTATTATTATTATAATTCGACGAATACAATTGAATTAAACTATTTGTATCAGTCTTGTAGAGGGTTGTTTCTATGAATGTTGATGATTGGAGATCAAGATTTGTAAACAAAGACTGCGGACGTTGAGATTGTGGTTTGGAAAGTATCGTTACGGGCGAAAATGTTACTTGTTGTTTATTATCAAGTCGATGCGAATTCTTAGCTGGAGCTGCTTTGTGCAGTTGCGGATGATGCTTCTTGCGATATCTTGCGGCAGATGTACAAGCACCCATCGTCGAGCTGTATAGAATAAATACAAGAAAAACAAAAAGGAAAACTAGAGAGAAAGATCAAAGGAAAAGCAAGACAACATTAGCACCCGTTCGCATAATTACTAAAGAATGTGTTCTTCCTTAATCAATATCAGCCATACATCTTACTTGAATTTCGGTTTTTTTTTCTTCGTTCTACTATAACTCAACCTTCCTATGTTAATCATGCATGTTCAAATCTCTCGAATGTTCAATGAAAAAAATACATACACATATTATATATAAAAATCTATATTTGTATACGAAGCAAACGACGATCGCGTGACACGAAAGAACACGACGAGTAGTTACCTCAATTCCCTCATCACTTAGCTTCACATAATTGAAAATCGTTTGTGTCAACAAGAAAAAAAGAATTACAGATAGGAAGCGATATGTGACAAATATCGCATATCATACACAAATAATCTATCGCACATTTAGACTTTTTTTTTCAAGTAACACTTCGAAATTAACAATAGCAGCAAGAGAGAGAGAGAAAAAGAAAGCTGATACCTTGAATTTAACTATATCGAACATGTTGTTGTTGTTTATCGTAATAGAAAAATGATCTAATCGAAGGTAAATATTCAAATACAATTCGTAGTCGAGCATGTATCATACGTACATCGATCTGATTCAATGATAAAAATGAAGACAAAGTTAGAGCGTGCAGTAGCGGAGATGTAAGCAAGTTGTCGTCGTAGAAATGATAAACACGAAAAAAAGCCGAAATGATACTATTATACGAACGTTTTATCTCTTGTCTTAGCTTTTCAGAAGGAAACGCAAAAGCGAGAGAGAAAAATATATATATATATCGAATGACAAAACAAAAAATATCATCGTACTGTGAGTCAGAGAAATACACGAAGACGAACGAAAAACACGACTGTCTAATTACACTGCGAGATTATTACGATCGATATAATGTATCGCTAGTTACTAATAATTGACTGTTGACGTCGATCACTCAGTTACGATATGTATCCTTAAGAGCAAAATATTGTTTTATGTTCGATGATTAACAGATTTTTTCTTTTCTGAGAAAGAAATATGGCTCCTTCGAGATGAATAGCAAGCACCAGCTGGTCTTTACGAGGAGAGATGTCTGTCTAACCTTGTGTTTCTATGTAAATGAACCATGAAATGAGTTTGAAAATGTACAGTTGAAAAGAAAAGATTAGATCAGAATTATCTGATACACCTACCTGAATCGTGTTTTTTTCAAAATTTCAAATATATTGGTAACTAGAAGTTCATTGGATTAAAGATGAACAAGTGATTTGTATATTTCAATCAAACGGAAAATGTTCAGCGAAACGATGTCAAGATCAAAGAACGATTTCGATCAAATAATGAGAATGTGTCAAGATTTCTGTCTGTGTTTGTTTGCAAGTCGAACTGATCATCGAAGACAAAACAACAACACAAATAAGTAATGAGTTATTAATTGTAATAATAATATGAACTATCGAGGTGATATTATGACGTGAGGGCAGACGAAGTGAGGGAGTGTTCGAGTGTTTGAATATGAATCTATAGATGTATGCATATATATATATATATATAGAGAGAGAGAGAGAGAGAGAGAAGGGGAGAGTAGCAATCGGTCCAACAAAGTGCGAGATATAGTGATGAAAAGGAGAAGAAAAGAAAATGGTTGAGTATTTTGATGGTGTATACGTGAAAGTAATTAAACATGAAAACGGCAAAAAGTAAGTGTAAAATGATGGACAAAGGTCGTATATAGAGACGTGCGTGTATATCAAATGAGACAAACAAGAGTTTATCTGATGTCGAGATGTATAGATGAAGCCTCTCAACGCTTTTATTTGTCGATAATCAGTGCGAAAAAAAATGCTCTCTACCAAACAGAGAGAAGATGCATTGATCCAGAAAGAATTCGATTTCAAGGTTTAAGGTATCGATTGATTAGTTTTCCTTCGATGATATTTAAGCTGATCGAAGTAAATTATTTATTTGTTTTACAATGTGCGGTATTTATCAATTAGAAATGATTTCTTGACAAGTTCTTATCTATCGAAATCAGTTGGAGATCAGATTTGTAGTTAATGATTTGACAAATCTATTAGGAGATGTTCAAACGCAGAAATCTAGGTGTGAAATTCAAGGAGATATTACGTCTGCTTAATCGCTCTCCGCACGTGAAATCATAATATATTCAATAAATTTTCCGTCTGACATACATTTTCACCGTAATGACGATCGTTGGGATGACTGTTTATCGTAGGACAAATAATCAAAATAGTTGATTAGATAATAACAGGGTACAAACGATTCACGTATTGTATTTAGTGTCAAATCGAGTCTATTGAATCGAAATGTTCATAAAAATTGTCTCCGAAAACCTCGACGTATTCGAAGTTCAATAAGTAGAGAATGAACACCAACGAATTATATGTATCAAATACTTGATTAATCTGACGCAACGATATGCGAAATGTAGACACTGGTTAGATACGGTATATTTGTATAATTTCGTAGACATACACCGTGCGATACCTTCCTTTAATCGTAATATGCGCATCCTATCGAAGTTTCATTCTCTGTGACTTAGCCAAAAATAGCCGTACGATTCTATAAATAAAATTTGTTTTATTTGACAAAAATTGTTCTATTATATCAAAAGACAATGGATGGAATGAGAAGAACTGATCGAATTCAAAGAACATGTTTATTTGGTTTTCTCTTCGTGTTTGTGCTGTCGTTCTTTTGCTTTCAGTTCAAACGTGACATTCACTGTAACATGAACAGTAATTGTTTTTGCGTCAAGTAGATTTTGAAATGATGCCGCTTGTCCTGGTGCTGACAATGAGCCTTCTCGTTCTTGATAACTTTCTTCAACAATATGCACAGCTTTAGCTACGTGAAGACCAACTGTTCGAGCAATATCTTCGGCCGTGTGTTTGGCATTGCGAACAGCTTGAACACTTGCTTGACGTCTACGAACGAGAGCGAAAAATGAATCTTTCGTTTGACTATACACGAAACTTTACTTTAAATTCTCTAAACGAAGTGTCGAATGAAAAAAGACGGGATCGAGCACTCGAACAACAGGCGCATCCAGTTTTTCGACTAATTGATTATGACATTGTTGATACCGTTGAATATCAAGAAATATTGCTGTTACTTCAGCAGTAACTTCGTACATTGTGTCGCGACGTACTATTGATTGAACTACGGTTTTGTCCTGCTCTTTGACGCCATAGTTTCGAAACGTTTGTTCGACGTATCGCAATCGACGTATAACGCTTGTTTTAGCTTCGTTCACACTAGATTTCGTACTTGTTATCATAACGATTAATTTGATTCGATCAGGCGGAAGAGAGAATTCTCCCATACCTGAAACTGTTACTTGTCGACGAGAGTCCGAATCCGAGAAGATTAATGCACCACGCATTTGTTCATCTGTATAAACACGATTTTTTGGCACGAGACCGAGTGATTTCATCTGTCGATTTGACGTGATATAAGCGAGATTTTCTTCTCGACGCATACTCATGTATGATAATATCGAAAAATCGACTTTCAAGAGATGTACAGAATCAGTTGCTAACGTCAAGAATTCTTTCCGATAGAGGCAATAGCGACAGCAACCGACGATATGTATGTGCGCGTGTTGATAGGAGCAGAAATTTGACAAACGGTGTAAAAGAAAGAAAGAAAGAACAAAATGAAGGAACAGAACGACTTCTATGTCTTTTTTTCCTTTTCTTTCGTTGGTTAAAAGAAGAGATGTTACTGAATCAATATCACGAATAGCACATGTATATAAATATGTCTAGAATAACCTTCTAGGGAAAGACAACGTTTTTTTATATTGTAATGGTGAGGTATCCGACAATGAGACGCGTCACTCAAATCTCGGTCTCTTTTCTGTTTGTTCTAACTGTTTTAACCATCTTTTTTACTTTTGATTTTCTAATCACTACGGCTGTAGCGAATAAAAGTATTACTGATAAACACCGTCGTGAGCATTTGCAACATTTGACGACGTCGAATGAGATCTTATTAACAAAATTGAAGAACATCAACGACAGTAATCAAGAACGTCGAATGCGTCATTCGAAATTGAAATCACAACGCGTCAAACTTGCTCGGTTCCATAAGAGTAAAACGGGTGTGAAGCATAATCAAGTGCGAAAACAAAGCAAAGATCAACGAAAACATCCTCTACCAACGAAAACGAATAAACATTCACTTCATTAATATTGCAATAGTCGACTTCATTTTTTTCAAATAGTAAATTGAACAAAAATCATCGTTTGTTTTTTCTTCCTCTTTTGCCAATAAAATTTTATCATTTGAATTCTTCATGCTTGTTTACACGAACAAAACTTACAGCTTGTTGTCATTAATATATGTATATATAACAAAAACAAAATAGACTAAAAACATCGTGACCGATTACAAAAAAGAAAAAACACGAAAATGGATGACACATGAACGAGAACGACACATGAATATTTTCAAGAAATTTCAATTCAAAGCAGCTCACCACTAATATCTATCGCTGTCGATTTGAAATCATCCTATCAACGAGATTTTCATTCTTGTTTAACATAGGAACAGAATTATTTATTTTATTCGTCCGTTGCTAAAGTTTTGTACTTTTGATTGTCCCCGCGCACTTGCCACGCACTAATGGGTAGATTTTGCAACCGTATGATAGTTCGATATTTCCATATAAGCCAAATAATGCCAATGGTTGTAGAAATGATGACTTCGATATAATACGCGTCGACATACGGTCGACACGCGCCACCCAACATTCCACAATTTTTCTCTTCAGCTGGTGTACTGCATTTACCATCGCCTAGCGAACACGTTTTCCAAGTTAGGAAATCGGCTGAATATAGAACTCCAGTGGAAACCCAACTACTACCTAGAAGTATTTTTTTAAAATCATAGATTGACATGGAAACCGATCCAAACACTCTTACCGAGGTTTGACAATGTGTTTAATAGTGTCATGTAAGTTCCACCGATCTTCGGATCACTAACTTTAGCGAAAAATGCCATTTGGGACACAAACATGTTGTACATGAACACTTGTTGAATACCATAGAGAAAAACGCCTAATGCATAATAATACCAAGGAAATGACCTGTCATAATTCTGAAATGACGGCGTAAGAGCAACGTATATAGCGAGGACAACACCAATCAGCAATCTATTCGAATGGAAAATAGATATTAGTTATGAGTTCAGATAGATCGTACCGGAATGGATGAGATTTGACGAATAAATTCAATGGTTCTGCTCCTGTTGTATACCGTGAAATGAGAAATGGTAAAAATATTTCTAATGGAATTAGTGGAATTGCTAATAGAGCTAATGTATCTTTTCGGACACCACGTTCAATTAATTCTAAACCGGTCATTGAATCGACTGCTGCAAAGCCAATCTGAAAATAATTCACAAGAAAGATGAGTCGAGAAGTTTATCGCAGATATCTACCTTGATTGTGAGTAAAACTATTGCCATACTTCGAACTGCAGGTAACCGCAGAACACGAAGAAGAATTTTATATGTATCAATCAAACCGAAGTGTGGCTCATTGGAATCATTAGTCTCATCAGTTTCATGTTTAAACAGAGCAATAAATGTTGTGGATATGGCGAAGACAACGCCCCAAAATGTCAGAAAACCTACAATATAAAAGAATCAACAAATGCTTCATGTATTTTTCGTTGTTCTATACCAGGTAGTGTTATTAATCCAGTAGATTGTAATTCCATTTGTAATGGTTGGCGCACATATCGATTTGCAAAGTCTTTCGATTCAAGTGCAAGAAACACAACATTCCCTAGGAAATAACCAGCAGTCTGACCAACCGAATTGCATGTACTTGCCCAGCCAACATTTTCTCTGGATGAAAAGCATAGAAATGTTTATTTCTGCAAGGAATTCATCGTTATTCTTACCTTGAAAGCATCGAAAGAGCCCAACCATCGACACATATATCTTGAGTTGCTGCCAAAAATGATAAACCGAAGAAGATTGATGTTAAAAAGAGAATATCTAGATCGAATTAAAAATGTTGTCAGTTTCACATAAATTCGAACGAAAATAACAACATACGTGGATGTTGATTGGTTGTCGCGGACGCTGGTTCGAGTAGAATATCGTTGATATAATAAGATAGGATAATCATGACAATTCCAATGGAATATTGAATCGGTATTAACCAAGATTTTCTGCGACCAAATCGCTTTAGATAAAGTGCATCCACAATAGGTGCCCAAAGAAGTTTCAGACTAAATGGCCAAAATGCAAACGAAAATGTTGCTTGCTGAGACCAACTAGCACCATAACTTTGTATAATAAGTGGAATTGATGCTGCCATGCCCAATGGAATACCTTGTAGTAAATAAAGAAATAACAATACGACTATATTCCATTGATCTTTCTTCCAATTGCTTCGTTTTACGACAGTAGAATGGGTATTCAACATTTCATCGCCTGATTCCGATGATTCGGATGATGAAGATACAGGCTTTTCACTCGTATCGTTCTCTTCGATCAATGAGTTACTGTCGCTTTCTTCTTTTCCCGGACGATATCGAACGGCCATTGACAAATGATTGTATACCACAACAAAAAACTTGCTCTATTCCATATATAACAAACACGTCTTCGTTCGATGACTCATCGACGAAAGTGATTGGCCGAGAGAAAAGAATGTTTATTTATTTGATAATAAAGAAAAAAAAACTTCTTGATAGAAATTGAATTCAGTCGAGATGAAAGAAACGCTTTCATCGGACAGATGTATTTTGATTGGATAACGTTGAACCAGTTATTTTCATGAGCTCCCGGATATTGAAACTCGCTCCGAGTCAATCGACGGTTTATCTTTCAAATATTCCGTTTCATTTAACAAATAATGATATTCATAAATTATTCGATGAACATGGAAAAGTGGTTAAGTACGTGTGAAGGCAATTCATTTGAATGGAGACACTACGTTTAACTTTAGGGTCACAATTGTCAAAGATCGTGAGACTCGTCAGAATAAAGGTGTAGCTTTTATTCTATTCCTTTCATCTGACGATGCTCTCCGTGCGATAGACGCTTTCAATGGTAAAGAGGTTTGATTGTTAAGAGATAATAATGAAAAAGAATTCTTTAATAATGTTTATCCTGTAGTTATATGGACGAACATTAAAATGCAGTTTAGCTATCGATAATGGCCGTACAAGAGAATTTCTCCGCAAACGTCAATATCCAGACAAAAGTAAATGTTTCGAATGTGGCGTAAGTGTAGTCATACTCGGATGATATTTGTCATAATCTCCTGTTTAGGAGGAAGGTCATTTGAGTTATGTTTGTCCCAAGAATGCATTGGGTGACCGACAACCACCAGCGAAGAAACGAAAGAAAATTAAAGGCAAAATTCAAACCGAATCGTATGTCAATATCGGAAATGATATTTTCTCGCTATAATGACTTGATTTCCTACAGAGATTCCAATGCTAGTGACAACGATGATACATTAGCAGCAAGCATGACTTCTCAGGTAATGTATAATCTAACGACGAGTTCGATCCGTCGTCCTTGAGATCAGATGAAATTTGAGTCAAGTTACTATTGCACTGTCCGATCAGTAGGGCTAGATGTCCAATTAATTGTCAAGAATAACCAGAAGGGATTGTTTACTTATCGTAACTTCAGTCAATAATTGATTAAGTCTGATGAGAGAGTGCTCGCCGCGAGAGTGGGAAAACTCTGAAGTGATAGTATAAGATCATAGTCAATATTGCACTTAGTATACTATTTATCTTGGCAAATAATCGAGCGGAAGCATTCGAAATTGTTCCAATGAGGAAAGAAGAGATGAATGTGATAGATTTTAATCGAATTCTTTCTTTTCCGTCATAGGATAATCATATTAAATCGACGACGATGGATGTTACAACACCTGCACGAAAACGTTATTGTCAATCCACGTATTTCAGCGATGAAGAAGAAGAAATAATTGAATAAAAGCTTTTTTTTTACAGATGCACATAATAGACTTGAATGTTTAGGAAGACAGAACAGATGTCTTTCTCCATCAATTTGTCAGCATAGAGAGAATAAATCATAGTGAGTACAACTCGAACTATAATAAATCACAAAATACATCAACTGTTAGTAATCTAACATTTGATTTCCGAAGCAAAATCTTTGATGTGATATTCTTTTAAACTCGATTCTATTAATAATCTTTCTTTGGTATGATAACGATCGATTGATTTCGATTTACTAACAAGTACATAATATACATACAATTGATGTTTATTTAAGAAGAACTAATGATGATGTGACATTGCATTACGTTAGACAAATACGAGGAAGCAGTTCTTTTTTCTCTCATTTATCATAACGGACTACTTTTATTTTGTTCTATTGTCCGAAGGAATATAAACACATATCGAAGTAATACTGAAGAAGATGCATGATGGTATATCAATGTTGTTAAACGATGTCGAGAGACATATTTCATGTTTCTGGTAGATGAGATTATTATGGAGAAAGAGAAATTGGTTCGACTGACAGGAAATAAAGAATTTCTCTTCGCTTTTTACTAATCAATGATATGCAAGGAGACACAGAAGATCGATTTATCTGAAGAAATCCATCGTTCTTTTTCGAAGAATGAACAGTTCAGTTTTACTCATTTTTATTCTACTTTTTATTCATTCTTCTCACACGTTCGATTTACCACCTGAAATTCATATCGGTAGGTGTCTTGTTTTTGAAGAAACGTGTCTTTGATCGTCGTTTTAGGAGCTATTTTTGATACTAATGATAAACTATCTCGTCAAGCATTCGAATACGCTGTTGCAAAAATCAATGCGAAATCTCAAATTTTCAAAAAATCCAAAATTGTTGTCAATCAGATCGACACTGTCGACGCACACAACAGTTTTCTCGCTTATAAGTTGGGTAAGGCAACTTCAGAAAAAAAAGAAACTATGGTCAGATTGCCTTTCAATGATCCTTTTAGCATGTGCACAAATCGAAACCGGTATTGCTGCTTTGTTCACCGGCCATCTCACTCCGGCACTAGAGTTTGTTAGTTCGTTAACACGACAACTGCACATACCTTTGTTCTTATCATCACCGGATCCACAGACAAAAGTTGAATACTACATTATCAATGTATACCCGCATTATACAGCCACGAGTCAAGCATTTAGTGATGTAATTAAATTTCAACAGTGGAACGAGCTTGCGATTATTACTGAACGTTCTGATAGTAAACACAACGATCCGAAGAGGAGACAAACTGTTCATTTGTTTGTAATTTAGATTTGCTCTATTTACAGGATTTATTGAAATTATCTACAGAGCATGACCAAATGACTGTTACGGTTAGACAATTACGAGGTAGACCGGGAAATAACAGTTGGCATCCACTGTTGAAACAATTACAAGAAATGGGCATTTCGAAATTTTTAGTCGATGTTAAAACCGATCATCTGGATGATTTCTTTCAACAGGTACATCAATCCAAGTTTAACTTTTCCTAAAAGCAAACTGATCTTTTTAGGCGAAAGTAGTTGGATTAGTCGGGCCTTACTATGATTTTGTGTTGACCTCTTTGGTAAGGAAATGAAAGTTCAGTTTGAATGGAACGATAGTGTTTTTTGCTTACAGGATATATCCGTCGTTAAATGGAATCGAATTTTGTATACATTGGTAAATATTACTGGTTTACAGTTTTTCGGACGGGAAGATCCAGCTGTTGACGAATTTTTCGCTACTAATGTACTAGACGTCAATCCTCCATTGAAAATAAACGAACGTTCATTACGAGTGAGATTTAACGAGCGAGAAAAAGATTCTGTTTGACGGTTTTTAGTTATTCTAGGTGTCAGCAGCATTGATTTATGATGCTGTCTACTTTTTTGCTCGAGCATTGAGTAAATTCGTTGAGCAACGTCCATTTACTGTTACACCATTAACGTGTGAAGCACAAAAGTTTTGGTCGCACGGAGCAGCATTCGCTCTTTTTTTGAAAACGGTACGAGTATAACAATTGTCTATGACGACATCAGAGAGTTTTTCGTTTAGTTTGAAGCCAATGGGATTACAGGAAAGATCAAGTTTGATGAGAATGGTCTACGTACGGATATTTCATTGGAAGTGGTAGATTTAGTTGCCAACGGTGTCAACAGAGTATGTATTGCGATCTTCTTGTTACTTTTGTTGCTATGATCTATTCTTAGAATGGTAACTGGTCAGCGAATACCCCAAATCGGCTAGATGTTCGTCGTAACTTCACGAAAGATTACGAAACAAGAAAACAGGAGATACAATTTCAAACATTAAAAGTGACAACCGTAATTGTATGTGAAATCTTGTTTCAATATGAACGAAGAGTCATGAATAGTCATTTTTCTAGGAACCACCATATGTGATGTGGAGTAAGAAAGACATATTTGGGAGAAACGGATGGGAGTATTCTAACGGTTCCTTTTAGAAAATGATACGGTTTCGAATGAAACATCGTTTCAAGGATTTTGTATCGATATTTTACTCACACTAGCTGAAAGACTCAATTTTACATTTGAAATCGAGATTGTGAAAGATAAAACATTCGGAAAGAAGAATGAAAAGGGTGAATGGAATGGTATTATCGGAGAATTAGTCAATCGAGTACGAAGTCATCCAAACTTGATTAAAAATATGTCATCATTTCATTATCCTAGAGAGCCGATTTAGGTCTCGCTGGATTAACCATCACGTACCAACGAGAACAGGTAAAGAGAAAAGCTTCGATTGCAAATCCATTGCAGAACTGTCAGCTCGACTTTTTCTAGGCAATTGATTTTACTAAACCATTCCTAACACTTGGAATCAATATATTATACAAAAAAGCAAAACGTGATAAACCGAAATTATTTGGCTTTTTCTCACCGTTGAGTTTAAATGTTTGGCTCTACATGATCGCTGCGTATTTCCGTCGGTTGATTAGTTAAAAATCTTCTTTCAATCACGTTCAGTTATCTCTTTTAGTCGTTGGTTTTGTATTGTATTTGGCTGCACGATTATCACCATATGAATGGCGAAGTCCACATCCATGTAAAACAAGTCATGATGTATTAGAGAATCAATTTACCTTATTCAATGCGCTCTGGTTTGTGATGTGCAATATCATGCACCAAGGTGAGCGAATTACTTTCTTAACTGTTGATTTTTATCAATCACTTGTCTAGGCACGGAAATCAATCCTGCGGCACCATCAACACGAATGATCAGTTGCCTTTGGGCATTTTGTACATTAATTCTCGTATCATCGTACACCGCTAATCTTGGTAAGTTCGTCGAAGATCTGATCCTTTCCTAAGCCTGCCGTCAAACTTCTTAGCGGCCTTTTTGACTGTTCAACGTATGCAAACGCCAATTGAAAATGCTGAAGATTTAGCTTCCCAAACGAAAATTGCCTATGGTGTCCAACGTGGTGGATCAACAGAAAACTTCTTTCGAGTAAAATATTGACACTAGTGATATGAATTTATCTCGTTATGTTCTAGGAGTCGAAATTAGCTACATATGAACGAATGTGGAATTATATTTCTGCTCATCAGGCATCTGTTATGGTAGCATCGAGTACGGAAGGTATCAACAAGGTGCTTCAAGGCAACTATGCTTTTCTCATGGAGTATGTACAATCCATAGAATTGATGCAATCTTGATAGTTTAATTACTCACAGATCAACGACAAGTGAATACAATATTATGAGAAACTGTGAATTAACATCAATTGGTGGGTTACTTGATTCCAAAGGTTATGGTTTTGGCGTACCACAAAGTGAGATTCTTTTTCAAACTATTCACTTCTCGAAATCAATTTTCAACGTGGGTAGATTCGCCTTACCGCGACATACTAAGCGATACGATATTAAAACTACAGGACGAAGGCGTTATTCAAAAGTACTACAATAAATGGTGGAAAGAAGCGGCTAATTTAAAATGCGAACGAGAAGACAAACGAAAAGAACTAGCATCTGAATTAGGTTTTGCCAACATTGGCGGTGTTTTTCTCATTCTCGCTAGTGGACTAGTTCTGTCAATATTTGTTGCTGCTCTGGAATTTACGATTAAAATACGCAAACGAAAAGGACGACAAGCTTCGGTGCGGAAGGAAATGGCACGCTATTTTCGTTTTGCTCTTACCAATGCTCGGTCGCCAAAACGACGCATTAGTGAATTTACTGAAGATGTTTCTTCACGTCTGGACCGTACAACAAAACATTACTGATGAAATCAAGAAGAAAAGACTTTATTACATTGTTTTATAATAAATTTAACAGAATAAGAAGAGAGAAAAAAACAAACAAAATGATTTTCTTCGATTATATCAGATCAAATTTGACTGATTATATTGCGATACAGAGATGATTGGTAAATTGTATTGGTTTTCCTACACTAGCAGATAATATAGATTATCAGTCGATTACATAAATGTACAAAAAAAACACAAGAAATCGAATGGGTCATATCATTGTGATTCTCGATTGGTCATGAAGAAAAAGCAAGTCGAATTTCGTATGGACAGCTTATGTTTCAGTTTCATTAACTGAGCCGGGTTCAGTCGTTGTTGGTGGAAGTGAAGGTTGTGAGTCATCACCGATCTCATCGTCATCTAATGCCGCTCCTTTTTCTTTTGGTGCTTTGCCTTTACGTTCCTTCGATCGACGATTTTGAAACCACACCTACGAAATTTTCAATGTTTGTATTCCGTTAAAAATAAACGGTTGATTATAAAATACTAACCTGGATCACTCGTAGATTCAGACCAGTTTCAGCCACCAATTGTTCACGTTGAGATTTATTTGGTTTTGAGCAAGATTCGTACGCTTTACACAAGATCTAAATCAAAAGGAAAGAGTGAAATTGAAATAGAAAGAAAGGATGTCTTTGGCAAAAAATTTACATCTAGTTGTTGTGGCTTGATCGTTGTACGAGCACCTTTCTTTTCAGGCGCTGCCAAGGAAGATGCTGATGGGATTGGATTTAATGATTGATCTCCCTCACATGCCGAATCATCGGATTCATTTCCTGACTTGCCATTCGTTGTTTGAGAATGTAACTGTGGCTCATCGGGATCGTCACTTTCAGTACCACTCATATGTCGTCTCGTTGGTGTTGAAGTTGAATCAGGTGTGTTTGCGACAGGAGGTGTTGCCTCCGAAGCTGTAGGATGTCCTCCTAGTTCACCTTCCATTGGCAAGGAAAGATCTGTAGGTGGTACGAGAGATTTCTTCTTATTTGAACGAGGCGTTGATGCTTTTTTCTTTTCACCATTCGTGTTAGCTTTACTTCGTGATTTGCCTGATTTAGTTTCAGATGCGTTTGTAGAAGAAGTTTTGTCATCGCTATTTGTTGAATTAAAATATGGGCAATGAGAATTAAGAAAAAAACAGAAGAGAAATAAAAATGGCTTACTTGTTAAATGGCGATCCTCCTGGAGGCGTAGCGGTTGGCGGCATGAAAGGAAACGGTTGACCTGGCGTTGGAGCACCAAAAGCAGGATGAAATCCATAAGGTGGAGGAAATCCACCAGCATAAGCGGCAGCAAACGCAGGATTGAAAGCGCCCGGAAACGCATTGTAAGCAGCAAAGTGCGGAGCCATATTATACAAAGCTGCTAGTTGAGCTTGTTGAGGAGTTGGTGTCTTACCATTTGTTGTCGCTCCGTTAGCGCCAGCCGGTGGTGGCATAAAAGAACTATTGAGCAAACCCATTTGAGCCAGAAGATTATGTGGATGATTGTTTGCATTTCCATTCATAACCTGTCCTTCTTCACTATCATTTGTATTTCCATTTTCAGTTGCATCTGGTTTCAATTTCTTCTTTCTCTTCTTTTTGTTTTCTGCAGGCGGCGGTGGTGGTGATGGATTATCATCATCAATGTCGTTCTCTCCATCAGTATCATTCTTCTTCGTTTTTGATTTACTTCGTGCATTCGACTTTCGGGCCTTCTTTTTGGGTGACGACGATGATGCTGATGAGTCATCAAGTAAGTTTTGTGAAACTACTTCTTCGTTATCATTGACGTCCGATTTCTGCTTTGATGTGTTTGAATTCGACTGGCTCATATCGAGCGGCATTGCAGTTGATTGGGGTGCGGGTGTACCGAATGGTGGGCGATAGAAAGTGGCCATGCCAGCTGCTGCTTGGGGAGAAAATGGTACACCTGGCCCGGGTGTAATGAATGGAAAGGGAAATGGATTTGGTGGTGCATTCGTCGGGCGTATATCACCAAGAGTTGAGGGTGGTATTGTTCCGAATTCTAGCAGAGAAGAAAGAGCCGATGGTTTCGTAGTGGAAGTTGATGGTCGTGATCCTTTCGATGGAGATGGCGGACGCGCTGGTGTGCCTGGCTCAGCATTCGTCGACACATCCATTTGTGAGGGGCTGGATGAACGGTCAAGTGAATCAGTGTCCGATCCATTTGTCGTACGATTTGCATCAGATGTAGATGCTGGTGGTTGAGAAGTGTGCGCTGCTGCTGTTGATGATGATGATGAAGATGATGTTGGTATTGGTGGCGGTGGCATTGGTAATCTTGGTTGTAATGGAAAGCCAGGCGGTAAGAATTGTGCAGGATTGGGAAATGCTGGATTGAAATTGGGTGGCATGAAACTAGGAGCTGCATCAGGCTTCATAATTGATGAAATTGACATTGGATTTGCTGCAAGTCCACTCAACAGTGATAGAGGTTCTGACATTTTCGTTTGCGATAAGAGTGACGGATTCAATGCAGTCTGTGCTGGTAGTGGAGGTATGGCTGCCATTTGTGAAACAACTGGTGGCATGGTTTCTGTTGCGAGTTTTTTCTCGTTCGAATTTGTTGAAGGTTTAGCTTTCACCGCCGGTGAATGATTGGTTTCGTGTTCATTATCTAGCATATTATCCTTAAAACGAAAATTAGAAAAGAAACCGTACACAAAGGTAATTCTGATATCTCATACTTCTTCGGTGAAATCAGTATCGTTGTCATCTTCATCTTCGGTTTCTTCTTCGTCACTACCGCTTGAGAAACTTCGTTTACGATAGCGTGTTGATTTTGTTGTGCGACGATTACTTGATCGTCGTTGCGAAGCTGACGGTGTTCCAGCAGACGCTTTTGACCGTGTTGCTGGTGAACGACCTTTTCTTTCATTACCTGTGGTCTGCTTTTGACGAGACACTGGGGTTGTTTTAGCTTTTGCTGGCGAACGTTTACTACCATTACTACTTGTACTCTGTCGAACTTTCGATTGTCGACCAGTACTTTTCGCAGGTGGTGTGGCTGGACTCGAATATGGGGACGATTCTTTGACAGGTGATGTGACTGGCTTAGTAACTTGAGGAGGAGGCTCATCAACTTCCATTGATTGTTGTTCATCGACGTGATTATCCGTATGAGATGTACCATTTGTTATCGGTTTTTCTTCCTTATTCTCAGGCGTGGGTGATGCTTTTCCGTTAACCCCATTGACAACTCCGTTCTCTTTTGTTTTATCTAGAACAATTCAAACAGATCGTTGAAAAAGATAAACATATTGGGAGCAACGCACTTTCTTCTTCATTTGATGAAGACGTTGTTTCGTCAGTGATCTTGCTTGGATTGAGACATGCTTGGCACATACAATTCGAATCATCTAACGTTGCACCTTCAGGTTTGAGCAAGACAGTGATATCATCATCCGTTAATTCTCGTTTGCATTTCGAGCAGACAAAACAGGCGGCATGATATATCCGACCAGCACGTACTCGACGGATAAATTCATGAGATTGTACAAGATTTTGGCATGCAAAACAACGATGAATATATTTTCTAAAAGCAGAATTCAAACAAGTAAAATCTCCTCATTTCGACATTCTTGTTTTACTTAATGAAATCATCTTTGCAATACAGTTTCCCTTCACGCGAATAACATTGTTCATTCAAGACACAACGACAAATAAAACATCGGACACATTCAGGATGCCAAAGATGATCGAGAACATTCGAAATAAATTGATTGTACATAGGTTGATTACATCCAAAACATTGACTTGGTGGAGCACTAAATGCACAATCAGGTTGAAGATCGGAACCGATCGTCCTATTCGAATTACCTGCGACTCGATTGACGAACAGGTCTATTTGTATGGTTATTTTGAGTAACAGGTGAATCTGCCAACGGCGGCCGTCGACGCTGTTGCTGCATGATTTAACTATAACGACAGAATTCAAATGATTTCAATTGTTTTTGTTATATTTACTTTTACACTTGCGGTCTCCTATGGAGAACAACAAAAAAGAGAAATGACAAGATTGTTCAGTTCCATTGTGCGTGTTTAAACTGTGTGAATGAACGGTGATTGATTGAGAGCAGACCAATGATATGTTCAATAGATAAGAACGAAAAAAAATAAATAATATCAGATTCAAAGATATTATTTTTGTCTGATTTTCGTTTTTCTTTTCTTTTTTTTGTCTGTTGCTCAAAAATTATCAGTTGACCACTTCGGGCAAAACAAACAGTCTTAATAATAATTATTAACAGTTGAACTATATAGTAACATTTTAACGAACGTTATGAATATGACGCCAACTGCTGGCAATCGACCGCAGCCAAAAGATAACGATGTGAGTTTTTTTTATAGTAACGTAGAAATTTTTCCCTTCATCTCAACAAAGATAATCGACTATTTTCTCGATGAACGATTAGTCTCCAGTGAATTTTACTTTGAAATTAAACGAGAGCGTTCAAGGTCTAACGCTCTGTAACCAGCGGAATATAGTTTTATTCTAAAATTGAGTAAAGCTCTGTCGAGAAAAGTTTAAACTCATCGTATATTTCATTATTTTTACAAGAAATTCAAAAAGTTCAGGTGTACGATGGACGCGGCGATGATCTAGGTCATCGAACAGATGGAGCTGGTCATCAATATGAGATACGAACATTATTCTCGTTTCTTACATTTATGAATGAAAAACATCTCATCAATAATTTTCCATTCAGAATGATGGTGAAATGAAAGTTGATGAGAAGTAAGTTCTCCTAGTTATCATAAAACTAACTTGTTTTGACTTAGATACATCTTCTTCGTTACTATAGGATATTACTAACAGATTAAATTTGAGAGTATCTGAGAAATAGTCTGTATTTTCTCTGGTATTATTAGGATAATCAAACAAGTTTCGTTGGTTTTGATAATTTACCGAAACAAGTCCACCGAAAAATCGCCAAACGTGGTTTTGAATTTACTCTTATGGTTGTCGGTAAATACATAAACTATCCTTAATCATATTTGCATCCCTATTATTCTGTTGGTGCAGGCGAAAATGGACTTGGAAAGTCAACCTTGATCAACAGCTTATTTCTAACTGATCTTTACCCTGAACAACATATTCCTAGCGCTCAAGGTAGCTGTTCTTTCGTCTCACGTGCTCTTCATTTCACTTTTCTTCTAATAGAAAAACTTCGTCAATCAACGAAAATTGAAGCATCAACTGTTGAAATCGAAGAACGTGGCGTTAAAGTCCGTTTAACTGTTGTCGATACACCTGGCTATGGTGATAATCTGAATGGTACTGAGAACTATAAAGCCATTTCGAATTACATCGACCATCAATTTGAACGTTATCTCAAAGATGAAACTGGCCTCAATCGTCGAAATATATCCGACAATCGTATTCATTGTCTTCTTTATTTCATTTCGTCGTTTGCACGAGGGTTTGTCTTACAAGAACCGTATGCGATTCAGATTTATTGAATGTTTAGATTAAAACCTTTGGATATCGCTTGTATGAAAGAATTGCATCATAAGGTCAATATTGTTCCTGTTATTGCTAAAGCTGATGCTTTAACTACCATGGAACTAATTCAAATGAAACAAAATGTAAGACACACGGCTGGTAGATTGCGTTTGGATTGTTGTGTTTTCAGATTCTTCAACAAATTCACCATCATCACATTGAAATTTACCAAATTCCTGAATGTGATCCAGACGATGATGAAGAAACCAAGGAAAAAAATGAACAATTGCGAAAATCCATTCCATTTGCCATCATTGCTTCTGCACAAACTTATGACGTTCAAGGGAAAATATTACACGGTCGAATGTATCCATGGGGTTTCGTCGACATTGAAAACAGTGACTATTGCGATTTTCTCAAACTTCGAACAATGTTGATGTAAGTTCAATGTGTCATGTATCAGCGCGTATTAATTTTTTATTCGATTCTATTATTAGAACGCATATGCAAGACTTACAAGAGATTACCGATGAAATTCATTACGAAAACTATCGATCCGATAAACTTCAATTGAAGAAATTCCTTGCCAATGATGAAAAACAAAAGAAACTCATTCAAGAAAAAGACAAAGAAGTAAGGTATTCTTTCCTTCCCCACCTCATCCCTTTCGTTTCTTTGTTCTAGCTTCGACGAATGCAAGAGATGTTGGCTAAAATGCAAGGCTCTTTACTTGAACAGAAAAAATAAACGCTCGTTTTTGTATTTACAATATTTTGTATATTCAGGAAAATAAACAATGATAGATTTGAACAAACTAAACGGCACCTAGCATAATGATTCAGAAAGGAAAGGAAAGGAAAAACGATGACTCATACTGAAGGGCGAATGTCTACTATGCAATTTTTGCGTTCGCTATGCCTTTAAAAGAGACACTTGTGTTGGTAGAGAAGTTAACTCTGATTCCGGAACAATCACAAGAAAATCTTTCGCCTTTTACTAAAGATTTCTGTGTTTCGGAATAATTCAATGAGTCTTATAGACGAATTTTTTCACTGCTCGCTTCGTGCGGGCGTCCAATAAACTAAATGAAAAATCAACAAGCGACACGGACAGAATGTCTACCCTATCACTCGCGCAGATAAGAATACATTTTCTCTCTACGCGATAGAAACACCTCCTATTCATACCAAACGTAGCTATGTTGAAGGTCGAATGGTTTCGTTCTGAAAATATTGGCATTCGAAAGACAATGACGAAAAGTACATTACATATATTTATCTTTTAGGACAAAGAAAAACGTATTGAAGAGAAAGAAAGCGGTACACTACACAAATCCATTCAAGAAAAGGAAAGAAATGTCACTGTGTGGTTTGGTTTTGTCAAAAAATAAGAAGACTAAAGAAAACAAAGTAAAAATCAACATTTATTGCCGAAAATTAAGCATCATCTCTACAAAAAAAGAAAATCTAATACATTGTACACGAAAAGAAATGTTCCTACCGAACGTATTCAACATAATTAGCCGGAATCATCCCTTTATCGCCCGTGTTGTTTCGCGCCAACCACCATAGAGGTTCAGTCTTTTTGATAATCATCAGGATCTGTCCTTTTTTAAAGGGTAAATCTTCATCATCCTAGAATACTCGATTTAAATAAACTTTCGAAAAACGATTCGATCATACTTTGCCATCAAATCGATATTTTGTTCGTACACGAGGTTTGGGACACTAAAATACACAGAGAAGAGACCTTAGATGAATACGTATCAAGCATAATCTAAATAAACACTTACAATTCGAATGAGTGGTGATACATCAAGTAAGCGTTGCTTGTAAAAATTCAAAAGATCCTTCATACTTGAAAATGTTTTATCACCAATTTTATAAATCAATTTCGAATTTTCTTGACATAAATTGATTATATAATGACTAACTTTGGAGCCTTCCCTAATGGATTAACATTCGTGTGTGCTTTGTGTTGATCAAATTAATTATGTGACTTACTTTACACAGAGGACCAGATCACCTTTGATAGTACTGCTTGGACGCACAAGAAATGTACCATCTGGTTGATTCTGTAATGTACTGATTGCTTCTTCTCGACTGAGTTCCTCGAAAAGCCAACTAAAACGTCGTTATATAAAATAGTCCGTTGAACAATCTGAATTTGTTTCTTACCTATCCTCATCGGCGGCATTGAAATCAGCACTTACTGGACTTTCCGTTGCTGGTTTTTGCCCTATAACATCATTCATCCCATGCAAATGATCTAAAAAAAAGGTACATGTGTGTGCGTGTGTATTTAGTCATCGAAATATTTTTATGACACATTTGTCAACATCCCATTCATCCTTAATCAAATAGACAATCGTTAACTACCTGCTATAGTCATGATGGAAAGGTGTTGAGCTCGGCTATTGTTTGATATATATGTATTATCGGAAAGCAATAACGATGAAAATTGATAGTTAAAACTGAATATGATGCGATCTTTCAGGTCACACTACAATTCTTTTTTTTTTCTTCTTCTTCGTCGTCGTCGTCTTCTCTTTCTCTGAGTAATGATTCAATGTCTTGGCTTGCTTCTCTACTATAACGGACATAGAGCAAGTAAATATCGTACAGTAAAACGAAAAGAGAGAGAGAGAAAAAAGAATGAAAGAGCAGTTCTTATCGTTCTGGCATGTGCATACGTTTACTTCGAATCGAATCGAAGCGTCACTATTTGTAATATTGCAATTGAAAAAATTGTGTCATACATACGGACACACATAACTGCTTCTATTGTTCAACAAAATCGATCATGTTACATTAGTGTATGTGCGGTCAACTCTTTTTCTCCTTCTTCTTCTTCTCCTTATTCTTTATCGTCTTCTTCTTCTTTGTTCCCATCGAATCAATCTTTTTTGGCCAGACATAGAGTAAACGAGAAAGAGAAAGAAAAAAAAAGAAGGAGAGTCTATATACTACACGATACGTATGTGAATATGTGAGTGGACGATGGGAGTAATCATGACGTTTTTCTTGTTTATTAGTCGCTTGGTGTGAATGTATGTATATGGAGATGACTTGCTTCATTGCTCAATGGACTTCGAATATATATATGTATATGTATTTATATGCACAAAGCGAGGAAAAGAAAGATCATGATGTAATAATAAATAGTATGTGCATATAACCAGATGTTGCTTATAGACATATGCTAGACGACAACAGTAGGGGGTCCTTATTTCAGACTGTATCGTTTTCCTCTCTACTCTTTTTAGACCCGATCTTGAACGGAAATGAAGATAGACATCGATATCTGTGTTTGTTTAGATTGACAATAACAGATATTATTAGTCAATTAATGAATGTCATTTTTCTCTAATGACAATAGATAAGTTAGTAAAACTTGTCAATTAATCACGAAGACAAACGGATAGGGCTCATTGAAATCAAGGTTAAACAATCTATGTGAGAGAATGTTGACATCCTATATTATCTCTATGTAACCTTGACAGGATAAAAAAGGTATTACTTTTTCCATTTCTCTTTTTCTCTCTCTCTCTCGCGTATCAATAAAACAATTCTTTTCTAAACTAAATAGATCTACGATAGATTTCCTCTTGATTATTGGTTTTTATAACAAGAAAAAAAATCACAGTACACCAATCAAGATAGGTAAAAAAGAACGCATACAAACAGGAGATGTTTGCCGCTCTTTTTCTTCTCATAAAATTCGACTATAAATATTCCAGAGACAAACAACTAATGAACTTTCATTATTATTCATAGCTAAACATGCGTAGAGCAACGCATGGAATTGTTGACGAACAGATTCATTATTGAGTATTTGTTCTAACGTTGTACTGTCGTGTATTGTAATTAATTTTTGTAGGATGTTGATGAGAATCGAAGCATAGATTGCATCGAGATTTGCGTGATGGAACAAAGCAAATAATTCAATGAGTATTTGCTCAAAAACCAATAAGAAATACGATGATTGACAACCTAAAAATGAGAAGAAAAGATTAAAAGAGAAAGAATTGTTATGAAGGACATTGTACATTTATGATAATTACAGCGCGTAGTGCTCAAGCTGAACTCTCGATTGAAGTGTCAATGAATGTTTTAATATTCAAATTTTACTCTCTTTATCCGAGGGGTAAGATGTGACGAGGCTCGGTGCGTGTCATCTGGACAAATTTTCGAAGTTATAATGGACATTCTATGTCAACGTTTGCAGACAGCGGAAATGAAGACTCTGATCGTGCATATAAAAAAAAGAAGAAAAGTTCAATCTTACTATGGTCCATATCTTGTACAAACTATCTGTAATATTCATCGATAAATACCGATTTGTTCGATGAGTAGCTGCCCACTGGTTGTGATTTTTGACTGTTTTATATACAGCATAATCAATCGAATGAAGTCTTGTATATGCTGAATACAATGCTTTTGAATGTTGGGTATGACACTGTAACTAGCAATCATAGTGATCAATTGTTTGAACATGATTTCATATGTTTCATCTTGAATCCGTAGTAAGTTCTGTTTCATTAATTCAAAAAGTCGATCGATAGTTTCCATGATTACAGTTTGCAATTCGATATTCATATCGACAGAGTGAGTAAAGACATTCTGAAGAAATCTTCCGTGATGATCAAGTAGATCCAACACGTGCGTTGGAATTCTGATTGCTCGCGTCGATTTTCGCAGTAAACATACATCGACTAGAAGTTGTTCGAATTGTATCGCGTCGTTGTTTCGTTTCCGTCGTAAGTTATTCTGTAATTGTATAGTAAAATCTCTTGGACTTAAATGCGACGGTGTCAATCGAATAATAGCCAGCGTTAGTGCAAGCTTTCTATACAGATTTTCATTGTATAAGAACGTTTGTACGTTCATCGTATTCTACAAGAATCATCAATAGTCATGAGAGAGGGAAAACAACGAATAATGCTCGGTTCAACGACTTTTATTGAAAACAAAACTGTTCATTACAGAGTAGCAAACATTTTCAAATAGTGTTTAGCGAAGGCCGAATTAGGAATCATTACTATTAAACTCGGCATACCGAGTTGAACGACAAATCTACATGACAGAGATAACGGTAATAGAATATTTCAAAAATTTCATTCAAACATCTCTACCCTGGCAATTGAAGGGTTTGAAGAAGTGTTTTGTCCAATGGAACGATCTTCAATTCGTGTTTATCTCGATCTTCATAATAGATCTAGAAGAAAAAGAGTTTTTCTACTGGTACTAACAATTATTGATTGAAGCGTACACTCATTTGATCTAATGTATATTTGCCTTCTTCGTCCCAGGGTGCACGCGATTGAAACATCTCCGTTAATTGATCGATAAGTCTAAACAACAAGTCAACGAGGAAAGAGTACAGTAGAAAATAGAATATCCGGTATATTTTACTTCGTATCCTGATGAAATTCTTTGATGTAATCAGTCTGTCCATATTCTGGATAGAGAAATACAACTGGGAATGTCAACGTTTGATCCTGTTCGTTCAGTTGTATACAACTTCCGGCCGGATTCGAACTAATGTCAAATATGTCGATAGATGGATCTTCTTGTATTCGAATATTTTGTTTCTAAGAAGGGAATATGTATAGACGAGAGAGAGAGAGTAATCGTGACGATACTTTGACAACATTTAGAACTTTTTGTTGTTTATTTCTTTGTTTTCGTTCGAGACCTTGTTGTTTTCTTTCGTCACGTTCTTTTTCTTTCTAAAGACGACGGGAAACCAATTGACCCCAAACAAAGTGTTCCATCATACCTGCAATCTGGCCGCTCGATCACGCATTTCGATGAGTTTCTCATTACTATTAGAAAACATTTAGGAGAAAAAAATTGTGTTAAGGAAAAAAGCATCAAATGTTTCGTTAAGTGTTCTTTGAAAACAAGAAACATCAAAAAAGGATACTGATAGACCGGCTGTGCACCAAGTTTGAGCTTCTTGATATTTGCTTAATTTCATGCACGATTCAGCTGCTTTTATGTAAGCTTTTAAATGATTCGGTTTACACTTTCTCGATAGAACACAATCGCGTAGAGCTGAGCGATGATTTCCCAAGTAAAAATTCGCTGTTGCTCGATTGCAAAACAAAACTGCATTGGTAGTCGGATCCGAACAACGTTGTTTTATCCCTTCGGTATACGCAAGAATTGCATTACGATACTTTTTCAATTCGTAGTATTTATTGCCTTCGTCTTTAAATTTGATTGCTTTATCTAGAATTTATTTTTTTGAAAAGTCGCATCTAAGAATTGGAATTGGATACCCATACCTAATGGTGTATCATCGTCATCGTCCCATTTCAAAGCTTGCAAAGCAGCTGCTGCGGGATGGAGTTCAGCACCGTCGGCTGGCATTTCTTTCATGAAAAATGGATGTCCTTCGAGATCCTACCAGACGCAAGCGTACAGAAATGAAAGCTATTATGGTCTTTGGAGTGTTCTTACTTTCCAGAAAGCATCATCAAGTTCAGCTGATGGTAAATTATCTTTGTTATCGACAAGATTATCGATAAATTCATCAAGTTGTCGATCAAGTTCCTCCGGTGTTGGTTGAGCCATCTGCAAGAAAACTCTATATGATGATGTATTTATATTTTTTTTGACTCTCGAGCAAATCAATCTTCAGATGATTTTTATTTCGTTTTTTTACGTTTGTGTGAACATCGTAACAAGAAGATACACACAAAGGAAAGAAATTGAGAGACAAGACGAAAAATGAAGACAAACGAAATATGTACAAGAACACACACACGTCTGTTCTTCATAGCGGAATGCTTGAAATTCATCTAATCTTTGGTGGATTGATAATAAGTAAGAGTTCAATGTTCTTTCTCTCTAGGAAAATTTATCGTTTTTTGCTATAGTAAAAGAAGAAAGAAACCAATGAAAAAAGAAAATGAGCACACGATCTGCGTTTTTTGTACAAAATGCTAGAGAATGTTTGATTCTGAGTTAATGTTCAAGTGCGAGCCATTTTTGATCGATTGAGATCATCGTATAACGGTAACAATTCGATATATCGTGTGCCCATGAATTTTTTGTGATATCTACGAGAAAGATCATTTCGAAGGATTGAGTAAGAAAGAAAAAGTACATACGTCAATGCTTCGGTAGCTTCTTCACGTGAACCAAATTCAGCGTACCAAATAGGCGGTTTGCCACGAGGAGTATTTTCTTGTTCGAGACGTATTGGCACAACTGGACTAAAGAACTAGAAGGAATCACTTGCATGTATGAATCGTACAGATCGATTGTCAGTCTTACTTCAAACACTTCTTTCTCACCGGCTTCAAATGGCACACCGCGTATTTTCATTGTGAATGAAACTGACATGGCACCTGAAGAAAAAAAATCACTTTTCTATCAAAATCTGACCTTTCTTCAAAGTTCTTACGCTTCATCCCACCACCACCCATTTGATTGTTCATCGGGTAATTCTGGGCACTCTGATTACCACCATAAGAATTGTAGTTATTTGTTGGTGGACCATTGTATTGATTCATATGATTGTTATATCCATTTCCTTCGGGATTGCCTTCAAAGCTGCCTTGTCGATGTGCTCCATAATTTTGATTAGGTCCATTATTGCCACCACGCTGTCGGACCGTGGACTGTGTGTCGTTCATGATGGAGGCACGAGCTTCGGCATATGTGGATTTGAATAATTCGATATAACTGTTATAAGGATAAGTAAAGCGTAAGAATAAGTTAAACGAGAGCGAAATGAAAATAAATATGTATATGCAACTTTGGGTGTCACAGGCAATGTCGAAGAGAGAGAGAGAAAAAAACGACCATTTTCGTTTCATTAAATTGATCAAATAGAAAAAATTCAGTACAAAATAAAAATGAAATGCAAAAGCTAAGATAGTAATTCTATCCGATCAATTTAGATGAACGTTCCCCGCCCTCCCCCCAAAACAGAGATCCGCCTTTGTTTTGATGAAAAAAGGAAACTTGCGATTTTTTTTTCTCTTCTTCTTCGTCTCGCTCAATTTACCGTACCGATGCCCCATATTCATGCGGTTGAATTCCATAGCTCGCAGGGCATTGTCCATGTTCGCGAAAGCGACAAAAGCCTCGCCTGCCGGTTTGCTCGAGGAGATGTGTACACCATTCTGAGCTATGTCGAGTCCTATAAGGTGAGGTAATCCCAAAAATAGACAACAACAACACAAAATAATATATATCCTTCTCTCGTTCAATGCTACCGAGGAGCTGTCCAACTGAATTCGATCTCGATCATGTCTTTGTTCGTCATTTAATCAATGCATACGTACCTCGGAAAAAACCAATCACATCTTCTTTGCTAGAATTGTACGGCAAACCACGTAGACGAACGACTGGATCACGCCAATTCTCATTATTCACATTTGGAGAGTCTTCGCTATTGTTCGGTTCACTACTGTTAGTTTTGAGCGCTTGATTCATCTCGTCGATCGAAGATTCAAACACTTCGATATAACCTGAAATACGCGCAATGCATCGAAGTTCTTTCTATTGAATCATCTTGTATATGAAGATACATACGACTACCGATCGTTTTCTGATGGCACATATTGGCATTATCGACGTCTTCTTGTGACTCTAATACTACAAAACATTCACCAGTCGGTCGTGATTGATTGTTCATCGGAAAGTATGTCTGGCGAATCTTACAACCTAAAACGGATCGAATCAAAATTAGAAAACAAGATCAAATCGATCAGGAGACCTTGAAGGAAACTTTGTATATCGCCTTTCAATGTATTCCATGGCAAGCCACGCAGACGTACAACAAAACCAGGATTGTTATTATTATTACTATATGAACCGTTCATCGTTGGACAGGAAAAAGTAACAAAGAGAGATTTAGCGATGATCCAATATTAATAATAAACTGAACAACGAATGATCATTGTGAACTAATAACCAATTAAATAATATACCCAATACAGTATATAGTATTCTTTCGATAAACAGAAAAAGAAAACATTCCTATGCATTAGCGCACTAATGCAGAGAAATTTGACCAATACAAAGTCAGCATCAGTCACATTGTTAATTGTGACGGGTAAACTACGGATCGGATAGGAAAAAAAACAACATCAAATCAATATATGATTGCTGATTGATCGAACGAAAATGGATGGTCAAGATTCATCTTATAATCCAAATCTTCCACCATCACATTATAGTCCAATGATACCACCGTTGACGACAGATGTCAAATATAATCTCTACGATACGAATACAAGTGAAAATAAGCCGTTTAATGATGTTAATGGAATGCTGCAACAAATCATGTCTATTGTTGATCAAAGTCTTGATGAAGCTCAATCAAGGTTTGTTTTGAAGTTTCCAATTGGAGAAAAAGTCAAGAATCTTTTATTTAGAAAACATGCCTTCAATCAAAGTCGACTCAAACCCGCTTTTTTTCAAGTATTATGTGAAATAAAAGAAAAAACAGGTATGACATATTAAACGTCAAATGTCTGATCGCAAGGATCTCCTTTTCTTTCTAGCAATTAATATTCGTAACTTTCCTGAAGACGAACCACCCGATGCGCAATTGATGCGTTTAGATAATATGCTATTAGCCGAAGGTATCGCCGGGCCTGAACGATTAGGCGGTTCATCGACTTCATCATCTGCTGCGAGTGCGAATGCAGCTGCTAGTATTAATGACGAATCAGCACTTGAACATGGAGATTATCGTGCAAAACTATCACAAATTCGACAACTATATCATAGTGAACTTGAAAAATACGTATGTATCGTATTCGATGAAGTAAATGTTAGTTTACCAGTGTTTGTCTCCTTTTCGTCAATAGGAACAAGCATGTAATGATTTTACTAGTCATGTTATCAATTTATTACACGAACAGAGTCGTGCACGTCCTATATCACCTCGAGAAATTGACCGAATGGTAGCTATCATTCGAAAAAAGTTTTCATCTATTCAATTACAACTGAAACAAAGCACATGCGAAGCTGTCATGATTCTCCGTTCACGTTTTCTTGACGCCAGGTAATACATCTTACTCTACTACGATATTCTATTAAATACTTGAACCCATCTAGACGAAAACGTCGTAACTTCAGTAAAACAGCTACTGAAGTTTTGAATGAATACTTCTATTCGCATTTATCAAATCCATATCCAAGCGAAGAAGCCAAAGAAGAATTAGCACGTAAATGCGGCATCAGCGTGTCACAGGTACAGCAATCTAATTGAATCCGAAGGCATCTTTTCGATATTGTTGATTCCTAATTCTAGGTCAGCAATTGGTTTGGTAATAAACGTATTCGTTATAAGAAAAACATTGGTAAAGCACAAGAAGAAGCCAATCTATACGCATCAAAACTAGCTAATCAAGCAGCACAGGGCGTCGGTAGTATGCGACGGGACAGTGACAGTTCACACCATGGTGAAAGATAATCCTTCACAAAGCCTTAATTTGATCTCTCAATCATAATTCAACTAAATCAACTCGCAAACTTCAGTCTCGAATTTTGAAATAATGAATTCTAATATACATAGTCAATATATACATATACGATATGTACTTGCTTTCTTCACTCTTCTATTCTGTGTGTGCAATTTAAAATGCGTGTCTTTCTTTAGAATCTCGTCATTTGTTGTATTATAATCTTATTCAAATGCTTAAAATACATGTTGTTTGTTTTCGCTACTCTTTTACGCTTGATCTCATTGAGTTATCTTTTTACTGTAGTGACTTTTCTCTCTCGTTCTTTGTAGTAGATTCATATATTTGTACAGTTTAGTGGTCTGTTTTCTTTTTCTCTCGTTGTATGACATTTTTTTCAGTGTGAAAATCAATAAAGATATAAATATGATCTCTCGTATTCATAGTTCACCTTTCAGTCGATCGAAGTTCTTTTTATACAATCGAAAATGTGCATGCGTTGTTGGTAATGACTGTTGGGCAATATCGAAAGCGAGTCTATAGCACGCTCGTGCTCGTGAATAATCACCCATTTTTTCGTAGAGTGCACCGATGTTATTGTGAGAAATAGCTAAATTCGGGTGATTTGCCCGGAGCGTTTGTTGGATTTCCAAAACTCGTTTGTAATAACTGAGAGCTTTTGTATAATTACCCATATGACGATATGATATGCCAATATTATTGTATAACATACTCAAATCAGGATGATCTCTCGGTAAAGATTGTTGTTTGATTTCAAGCGATTTTTCATAGTACGAAATTGCTTTGATATAATCGCCTATTTTTAGGTAGACAGCAGCGATATTGTTATATGACATTGAGAGATCGAGATGATCGGAAGGAAGCGACTGTAGTTGTATTTCAAGTGCTTTCTCATAGTAGAACAACGCTTTGAAATGATGACCGATATTACGATAGACAATGCCGATATTGTTATAGGAACTGCATAGTTCGAGACGATTCAAGGGGAGAATTTGTAGTTTGATAAAGAGAGATTTTTCAAAATACTGTAATGCGTCTTCGAATCTACCTAGTTTTCCATAGATCATTCCGAGATTATTGTACGACGCAGCCAGGTTGAGAAAATCAGGATGAGGATTTTCTCGATCAATTTCTAATGCTTTTTGGTAAAATTGAATGGCTTCTTCGAATTTATCTTCTCGATCTCGAGTTGATGCAAGCTGATGGTAAAGATCTGCGATGTCCCTTGGATCGTTCGCACGAGTAAGTAAAACTTGATAGACTGCTCCTTGATCGTACTTATTTTTCCCACATACCAAATGATTCAAAACTGGCGTTTGTTTCGCACCTTCTTCGATGTGCTCGGCAGTGACAAGTGGATCGTTGCGGGCATTGTTGGCGTCAAGTGTGACGTTCACTTGGAAGAGTTGTGGATCGTCGTACATGGATTCTATATCTCGAACGTGAAGAAAATTCTACTCTAACAGATCGTAAGTTTAATCCTAAAATTCTACTTAGCACTTTCTTGAGATGATCATGAGTAAAAAGTTGAAAATTCACTTAATAAAACAAACAAATTCGTCATTCTTTTTCTTTCGACAAAGTCGTGTGAAACAAAATTCAATTTACAAAATGTGAGCCGATACTTTTATTTCTATTCTACGACAAAAAAACCGCCACTCATTGTATGAAATTCATAGTCTAGCGAGTAGTAGTGATAGCTTGTTTGGCTAATAAATCTCGAATTTCGCATAGAACCTTCACTTGATCATCCATTTCAAGTTGCACCAATTCTTCACCTTCTTTGCCGGCTTTCTTTCGTGTAGCAAGTTTATGCACTTTATTAATAGCTTTAATGACAAAGAATAATGCGAGTGCCACAATGAGTAACGAGATTATTGTTTGAATGAATTTTCCATAGCGAATGACTACCGGCGGTTGATTTTTGTAGACGAAATTCTTCATCTTGATGGTTAAATTGACAAAGTCAACACCACCTAAGACTAAACCTAATGGAGGGGTGATAACATCATCGACAAGTGATTGAACGACATTGACGAACGCAGTTCCAATGATGATGCCAATCGCTAAATCGATAACACTTCCACGAAGCGCAAATCTATCAATATGATTTCAAGAAGTGAGATGAACTTATGTGCAATGGTTACATACGCTTTAAATTCCTTGCAAAAATTTTGACAGCACCCACCCATATGGAAGGAATCTAAAGATAGTGTGTTCAAGTTTCAGATTTCGTTGAACAACTATGCAATAATTGATAAGGAAAGAAAAATGTACGAAAGAACATTTCAAAGGTCAATGTCAGTCATTCACCAGTATGATCAAACTCAACTGAATTATATAATGAAACTCTCTGTACGCTGTTCTTGCTGGTATAATTAAAAAAGCATCATGGGTGCTGGATTAATCACGTCTTACACAAAGTCTATCTTTTTGTATCGAAGTTTAACAGATGACGAGGATGAAAGCGACTTGTATCATTGTGACCAATATTCTGTGCATATTATTTTTCTTTCTCGTTCTTTCTATTTGCATTTTTGTTCGCCATACACGCACGTAATGCATTTTAGTTACGCATTCTTTTTTCGAGTAGCCATATAAATTTAAACCGATGGAATACAATTCTGATGTAATATCAGCGTGCAAACAGACATTGAGTGGTGTATTCAAAAATCATAATAGAACAAATCAAACTGTATGCATGTTGATCGTTATTCATTCGAGTGCCTAGGGCGTTGTCGTGCACAGAAATCTTTAGCGTTCTGCCAGTTATCAGAATTTCAACAATATCTGCGAATCATTATGCTTTTCGAGATTTTTTTATCCGCTAAGTACTTCTGTGTATCACTGCTCACTTTATATTTCAAGTACATCCTGTTATTTACTCTTTGGAACGAAATACAAACTATACCATCTGATGGATGAATATCCAGGTCTCAAAAAGTGAAATGGCTCGTATTTTCACTCACACGAATACGTTATTAGTACGGTCGATTGAAACTTCAATAATGATTGCATATGAGCCGTACCGTACCATTCATTGTGTTTGGTTGGTTCTTTCGTCACCGAAGTTTGTTTATCTCATACATAGATTGAATTTGTAAAAAGGTTTGACTAAGTACAGCTCGTACGGCTACGAATTAAAAACAACGTTCATTAACATAAAACTACAACCTTACCATACCTTGATTTTCAAGTGCTATTATTATTGAGAGTCCCATTGAAGGAAACCTTAAATGTGACAGCCATGCAAGGTAATGTGCTGTCGCTGACAAAAAAGAGAATTTCAATCGTCGTACAATGAATCACTATCTACTCATGTTTTTATATTCTTTGTTTCTGTCCAGCTCCTATCACACATTCATCGAGAGGCCATCAATCTTTTTCAGATATCATAAGTCTATTTCTATATTGCTGTTTCGTTGGACATTACGGGGAAAGTTAGTCTTTATAGACGTTTGGAAGAGCACATATCTCCTCGGCAACACCGAATAAATACAAAATGATCTCATCGACGTCTCAGTGTTAACAACTAGGCATTGAGCGAGGGGTTAACGCTTTATTAGTGACACAAAAGGATATGAGATCTTGATTTCTAATTCTAAATGACGATTTATAGACAATATAACTAGAAGAACAATGATGAGTCGATGTTTCCACAAGAATATACAAGTAGAAATGGAATACGTTTATATAGAACTACAATATAAAAAGTAAACATTACGCATGTCTATTGTAATTCATTAGTTGAGTAAGTTGTTGTAGTTTGTCGAGCTAAAAGATCTCGAATTTCACATAACACTTTCACTTCGTCACTGATTTGGTCGAGAGGTTTGTTTTCCGCCTTTTCTTTTTTGCGAATTGCTAATCGATGTAGTTGATTGATACCCTTGATAAGAAAAAATAGGACGAATGCCATAATCAACAGCGAGATTATTGTTTGAATGAACTTTCCATAGCGAATGACTACCGGTGGTTGATTTTTGTAGACAAAATTCTTCATCTGAATTGTCAAATTGACAAAATCAACACCACCGAGGACGAGACCCAATGGAGGTGTAATAATATCATGAACAAGCGATTGAACAACATTAGTAAATGCAGTTCCAATGATAATACCGATCGCTAAGTCTAACACATTTCCACGAAGTGCAAATCTAAATGAACTCGAAAGTGTGAAATTCAGAAATCATTCTCAATTACGTACGCTTTGAATTCTTTGCAAAAATTGAAACAACCTTGACGAACGTCACCCATGCGACTTTGGTAAATATACTCTCCGTTAGAAATAAATCTTACCGTTTCTATGTGGATGTAAAAGAGAGAACTATCTATTGAAATAGAATGCAAAATGAGCGAGCGAGCGAGCGAAAGGATGAAAAAAAACTAGAGAAGTAGTCCACTAAGTACATCGGGAACGCAGCTCTTAGAATAGTCTATGTGCGCATGCGGGTGTGATGTGCATAAGGATAATTTTATGGTAGCTAAGAAGAGATGTAGAAAATGTTTATAGAAACTAGACAAACTGCCCCTGGTATAAAGTATGTAATCGGCAACCTTGACTCTTTTGTTTTTCCTTCTGTTATTCAATCAAATTAGTCATCTGTTAACAATCGAACGCTGTTCTATTTCCATCGAAAGTCTATTCGAGAAAAAAACAGTCAGACTCAATCTAATGTTTGTGGTGTCTATCTGAACGATGCACATCGTAATACTAGCATTCATCAACTCAGATTTCACCACAAGAGGAAGAAAAAGAAACATTTCTCCCATTCCTGTATGGAGATGCATTCAAGCCTTTTCCCTCGATGCAGTACAGATAATTGCATATTGTGATATATATATATATATATAGAAGTTATTTACTTTAATATCGTGTACTACTGTGCATGGCAGTGTGGAGAATTAGAATAACTAACGTAGTGTATAATTGTCCAATTTGTCCCTGGTGAGAAAGTTCATAAATAAGTACTCAATCAATCTCAGGGATTGTCTAGTCAAATATTAATTAGGACGATATATCAATTTATGTAGTCGTTATTAGATAAATAGCTCTTTTTAATATTCTCTACGAGTATTACTAGGACAGATGAATGAGCGACACGAAATACAGAGTGTGTGAAACGAACCATAGAAAATGTGTTTTATTGATGAGAGAAATTTAAATCAAGATTTTATTGAACACGACAAGTAAAGAAATGTGCATAGAAATATATGTCACCGGAATACGTATTTAGTCTTAGTTTATTAGTATCTGACAAATAGAAATCGAGCACAAAACAGACACAAACATTGATGAGTTATCGTCGAAGGTGTTGATGAAGAGTGAGCATTTGGGATGACACTAATGGTTTCTATGAAATCGATTAAATATAGATATTTGTCAAGTGAATGAAAGTGAACGTACCTGGGCGTAGAAAGACGGTGCTTCTTGGGTTTTAAGCCGTTTTGCAACAGGTTCGTGATTTTCTTGCATCGCCTAAATATTTAATGGTACAGTTTTGATCTTAGATGGTTATTTGTGCTTACAAGAAGATGCACATGTGCATGCTGTTCTTGAACTACGATCATTTTACGAGCAGATGCGTGACAATTTTCTTGTGTGATTTGAATTGATGGTTCTTCGACAGGAGGTGGGTGGGGAGGTTGAATAGCTGGTTGCTGTTGTTGTTGTTGCTGCTGCTGCTGTTGCTGTTGTTGTTCCTCATCTTCTATAATGAACTCTCGTTTTCCGTATGGAATTTCCATTCCATAGAACGCACTAAAATGGTGTAACTAAGATAGAAAACAGATTCATGTATGAATATTCATCCTACTCTTGATGTGGTAATGGTTGTTGTTTGAAGAAAGGATCACAGAGTGCTTGTTCTGCTGTTATACGTTTGTTAGGATCAAATGTTAAAAGACGTTTCATGAGTTCTAACGAGAAACTTGGATGTCCATTAGGAAAGACTTTCTTCATCCATTGTTCGATACTACAATGACCATAACTAAAAAGTACCAAACGAATGCAACAATCAGACATGGGAGAATTTCTTTGAACAAAGATATTTACTGAATTGCTCGAAAGCCTTCTTTGCTCAATCTAGGATATTCAGGCATTTGTTTCAAACCAGGCCAATCGCTATCTGAAATGTCAATAAATGATTATAGATAAACTCTTTTTCCTTAAAGTTTCATCGAATACCTGTTGGATAACCAACCACTTGAAAGATTTTTTCCAGTGCATCACGATTGAATGGCGATGAAGCTTTAATATCGTCCTGTTTACAATGAAATAGAGGTTCGAGTGTCAGTAGTTCATATAAAATGCATCCAATGGCCCAAAGATCTATTCGTAAAACATGACTTAGTTGTTGCATTCAGCTAAATTCCATTGAAAATCCTAACCTATTGCTTTCGTATGATGATGACTACCGAGAAGAAGCTCCGGTGATCGATACCACAGTGTCACAACGACTGGATCAATTTTACTCAGAGGCACAAGTGGTGAAGTGAATAATCGCGCAAATCCCATATCACCAATCTTGACTCGTCCACGTTCCGCACCATCACCCATCAATAAAATATTAGCTGGTTTCTACGAGGAAAAGAAAGCAAGGAAGATTTGGAGAAAACATAGATTAATTCTTTTCTAAATACGTACTAAATCTCGATGTAAGACCCAATTGGAATGTAAATAATGTATACCCGCAAGAATTTGATAAAGAATAGATTTAATCATACCCGGTGCGCAATTAACTGTCTTTTTTGATGCTTTGGCTGCTCGATGATATTTAATTATATGCTAAATCAAAATTCAAAAGTCATTTCCTGTCTCAAACAACATGTGTTAGAAATGAATCATACCCAAAGATCATGTTCAGCAAAATCGAACAGTAATGAAACACGACGATCGACATGGGATAAAAAAACACGTTGCAAACTGATAAGATTAATGTGATTAAGTTCTCGAAGTAACTAAAAACAAACAGAAACTCATCCGAAGAGGAAAGATTCACTCGAACGTTACAGCAATTTCTCGTATGGCACTATTCGACATTGATTGTCCAGTTGCTAGAAGAAAAGTCTACATGAAAACGTTTGATGAGAGTAAATATTACCATCGATCTGTTTCAATGCATAATCCGATGTGTCAGTTCTATTCAATGAAAAGAGATGATATATCGAAAAAGAATGTCACAGTCGTACCCGTCCTTTCGTTTTGCTTTAAAGACTTTCCCATAAGTTCCACGACCAATCATTCGACCCTGAAAGTCGAATAACTCTTCAACTGAACGTCGAACTTGATCTTGTTGTGCTCGAAATTCAAAATCCATCTTCGTTCTAGCATTGATTCCTCATTGATATTGAATTTCTATGTCTAAAAAGCAACAGATTAGTCTTTCGTACTCGAATTCCGGCGATTGATGCAAGTTTCTATATTCTACACCAAAATGAAATCAATTGACGACTAACAGACACATAACAATTGAAAATCAGTCATCCAATAAAAACGACTCGTCAGTTAATTTTCATTGGAGAATGTTTCTAACAATAAAAATGAGACGTAACATGATTAAAATAATCTGTGAAAACAAAATTTGACAAATACTCGACACTTCTCGTCAGGATTTCAAACACAACGTACATCCTAATATGCGCAAAACATTACTTGTTTGAGGAAAAGAAGGAGAAATGTGATACGTTGCTTTCGAGTAACTCTTACATTTGAATAAAAGAATGTTTCAATTAGAAGAAAAGTATAACAGATTTTGTCTTTGAAATTTGGATGAATAATTAGTATAGGATCATAATTATATGAAAAGTTATAGATTTGCTGCGCAGCTAACTATTAATTGTAGGTAATGACGTAGTCGAAGATTAAAGTGATGACGAATTTTTCATATTTATCGATACTTTGTAAATCCGATTAGCTTCTCTTCAACTGCTACACATATCGACAAAGAATTTGCATTTCGGTATGACCGTAGTGAAAACAATGTATTTATTTTTACGGAGAGATTTGATGACAATTCGTATTTTGTACTTTTACAATACTATCGTTTAATCATTCTATTTGTTTACCCGAGCAAATTGCTGATGAGATTATCAGGAACAAGATTATTTCATAGGCAATAATAGCTGATGTGCTTCATTAATCGAGTACATTCGATACATCCGCAATAGCTTTGACTTTCTTATAGTATTTAATGACCGTAATGTTTCTATTCTTAGGGTAACAATAGTTACGTATTGCATCACATTTCACTGCTGTTGTAAAATGTAAATTTGATGACGTTTAGTACGTACTACCTAAGAGTTCCTTGTCGATCTGATCAATACGCAGTCTCATATGAGATTACCTTTTGAGAAGGAAAAAGAACTTTAATCTATGTTTCACTTGAAGCAACATACATTTAAACACACAGAAAAACAAACAAAAGACAATTGGTTTCGAATATTAAGACGATAATGACACAGTATTCCGTTGAATTTGTTCAATCACATTCCACAATTTCAAAGCTTTGCCAATTTTCAATGTCGACTTATGAAATACTTCTTCACGTTTCAGTTCATAGAGTTTATCACCATTGACATGATACTTATTCAAAAGAATCGATGCATAGTCATAGCCTTGTTGATGAAAAAATTTAATTAAATCATCCGTTGTCCAACGATGGACGTCGGGAATACCACCACGTAATCCAAGTAACTGTTCAATTGTAATTGGAGGTAGGTTATTGTTCGTCAATAGAGGTGGACGAAAAACCGACTCAGGCACTAACTCAGGTGTTTTGCTTAGCCGAGATTTTTTCGTTTTATTCGGATATGTTTGACTACGCGTACGTTTCTTTTGGCTCGAATCAAGATTATTCTCTTTTGTCATTTGTGGCAACGATTCTAAAGATAGAACAACAACCATATAGCTCTTGATGATCAATTATTAATAATGTCAACAAATGTACCTGTAATGAAAACGGCAAATTCTGGTGATGGAGTTTCACGCTTATGATGATTATAAATATCGTCGGAATTCAACATGGATTGTTCCGCAAGAGCTGTGGCGGCGGCTGCCATTGCTTCTTGTGGGTTCATTGGTGTTGCTGTTGGTGTTTTCTGATTGTAACAGATATTCATGTTTTCAATTAACTTCGCATATTTTTCATTTTTCATTCGGATTGTAAAGCCGCCTTTGTGGAATACTTTAGTGATGATGCCATACTTCAAGAGATCGTCAAGTATAGAGAGAATTTCTTTTCGCTGATCAGACGGATTTGTTCCTGTGTAACGTTTAGCAACATATTTTAATATACGTTCGAAATCGGGTCGACATTTACGCCGCTTGATCTCGTCGATCGCTTGAAAAACTGGACGAAAACGAACATCAGTTAGAATGTTAAGTAGATCACATGTTGGTATTGTCGAAATCGTATCATTTTGTGCTGTTGTTGTTGTTGTTGTTGTTGTTGTTATTAGTATCGAAGAGGAAGAAGAAGACGACAGCGAAGAACATGACGACGAATCGTTGACGTCGGAAAGTGATGGGGGAGGAGTTGGGAGATTTCTTTTTCGACTAAATGAAGGAGATAATGATGTTGCATTGATTGTTGTCATCGGTGAGAGGATCATCTGGAAGAAAAGTTTTTCAATTCCAATTTGGTATAAAAAGAAAGACAGAGAGAAGAGAAGAGAGACGCACACGCGTACGCCTGTTGTTGTTTTTTTTCTTGTGTCGCCGGCGTCTTGCTAAAGGAGAGACACAATCATTATGGTTCTTTTCTCTCTCCCTCTCTTTCCTTGTATGTAATGCAATGATGGATGATCACATTGCGTTGTGTGTATGTGTCTACAGAAAGAGAAGGAGCGGGAGAACACATTCTCTTTTTTTTAGGATAGAACGCTTCGCGCGCGAAGCATTTACTTACTTGAGAAAGAGAGAACGAGCGAAAGAGAATAATTATGCGACGACGAATGTTCAATCGAGGTCAAAAACAGAGAAAGAGAGAAAAGTCTCTTCTTGTATCTTTTTTTTTCGATGAGTATACGTACATATCTCGTGTAAAACGAAAAAAGAAACGAGAGAAACGAAAAGGAGAAAAAACCTTCTGATATCGTTTAGAAAGAAGAGAAAAGGAAGAAAAACAACAACAACAATAATAATAACAACAACAAAGAAATGTGCGATTTCTCATTTTGAAAATAAACAAAGGAAAGAACATAAGACTAAACTAGCGCCATCCATACAAAATCTTAAAACTATATTTTTCTCTTTTGTGCATATAGTACAAAGCAAAAAGCAAACGGACGAACGAAAGAAAGAAAGATAAGCACAAAGTGTCTAACTGAATCTATCTTCGTTTGTTTTATTCTTCTTCTTCTCCATATTCCAAACGACTCAATTTGACAAAGTGAAAACGTTCAATATCATCAGCAACAATACATTTCTAAGAGAAAATCCTCAGCTAAAACGTAGATGATGAGAGGAAGATGCGATGTATGATGGCGGTGGTAGTAGTTACTAGTAGTCTAGTAGAGGGTAGAGGGAGGGAGGGAGAGAGAGAAGCAGCAAAGACGCGCGAACGAGCGAACAAGTAAGCAAGCATCGCTTGCTCTCTCGTTTTCTTGCAAGAGAAAATAAAAGAGAGGACGCATACACACACATATTGAAGCAAACGAGCGAGCAAAAGAAACGGGGGAGAACAAGAGAGATGCGACGAAAAAGCAAAAGGTTTTTTTCGGTTGTTAATAAATAGAAATCATAAGAAAGCACACCAGACTACACGTGTATATTCTTCCTTTTGTTCGTCACTATCTCATTACGGATATACGAATTAGTCAGCGAAATTTCAATCATATGAAAAGTTAGTTTCTCATCTGGAGAGAACAGGAAAACCTAAACTATGTTGATTTACATTTACAATCATGTATACCTGCAATGAAAGGTCTCCGTACCTTTCGTGTCATTATACAACGTCATTTCGCTTTGCTAGTTTGTCAACAACAAGAAAAAATATGATAACAACAACGATGCAAACCTTGTTGACACTTGAATATCATCTCAATATTGTAGAACCCTACTTGATACGAGAATGATCAATACTGAAAGGATAACCAAATAACTGACCTAGTCGTCAACAACTCAAGAATGAATACCAATTTCTTTCGCGTCTTTTCTTTTAAATACAAAAAACTTCAGAGCACTGAATGATTATACGATATGTGACGTGCTTTTACTTACACTGAATATGGTAAAAAAAAGCGAGAAAGGGAGAGAGACAAAGTCGAATGGAAAATGTAAGAGAACAGGAAAGCAATTCATGTATTGTGTACGGCGAACATGGGTAGTTTTCTCCTATCTTAATGTATACATGTACTATACAGTTGACATACTTTTGAAAGTCTTCCTTGAGTTCATCGGCTTTTTAGAATCCGTTGGTCTTTCGATGTTCTTTCGATCAAATGAAATACAGTCTACCAACTATACTTTCAAATGATATCTCGATGTTAAATACGATCAAGATATCCCTTTTCTTTTGTTTAGATCTCTGTGTCTCTCTTGTACGATGTTCCGAATTGTAAGGGGGGGAGAGAGAGAGGGAGAGGAAAAGAGGACAGATGAAAAAAAGGAGAAGGGCGAACACATGAGGCAGTGCGAGTTAGATAATGCACCTTTTCTCTTGGCTCACATTTTGCATCTATCATATCACGAAGAAAGAATCTCCTATTAACAAACGACTTCTGTGTGTAGTTTGATTTCTTTGAAAATTTTCTTCGTATAAAATCAGTCGAGAAAGAAATCTGTGCTTTTTGAAAGTGTCGACGATAATGGCTACTACTTTTTGTTATCAATGTCTTCATGTTGTTGCTATCCGAGCGCTACCAAAAAGCAGTGAGCGCACGGAGCAGGCAAGGACAAGAACAGCGGTTGGAAAGAGAATGAAGCAAGTAAGAAAAGAAGAGAACAAGCGAAAACATCGAACCAACCAGCGAGGTTTATGTGCGTCGACGCGCTAGGCAGTTCGACCACCATCATATACTGAAAGGATGTAGAGAGATCGTGCGTGCTTGCGTAGACAACCCATGTGCTTAACACTGCACGTTGTTGTTTTTTAAAATGCGCATGTTGCACAATGGATCTTGAAAAGAATCACTGAAAAATTATTCGAAGAAAAATTCCAAACAAATAAAAACTATGAACGTTATCATGCAGTGATTATTCATCGAGTTCCGACAATATACTAACAGTTGTCTTACATTGCAAATTCGAAGCGAAGTCGCTCCAAACATTGTTCGGTACATAAGTACCTGAATATACCAGAAGAGCATGTTCAAGACATGGCAGGATAAATTTACATTTCTGTTAAAGTCTGTTCTAAGACTGAAGAAATTATTTCTTTTCTGACGACGTTAGTGATTGCGCAAAGGTCACCAAGCTAGTCGATAGTTCTTTTTTTTCTCATATACATGCATAAGGGTAAAATAAATGTCGATGTTTCTACTAATAATCATTCGATATAACGAATAGATGATCTGAATTTTCTGTTTAAACATAGTTTCAAAAGAGTTCGATCTTTTTCCCAAAAGCATATGTGAATTGTATAAATGTTTATATACTGTTACTTGATCGTTGTTTGCAAATCAAATATCAAAAAAAGGCAGCATATATATAAACAGTGAAAGAGAAGAAAAGATGATTTAAAAAAAATAGAAATCTGATAAAATCAATAATTATTCAATGTTAAATCTGTGTTCATTCAATATTTGATGCACAATGAATACGATGTTGCATTACACATAGAAGGGACAAACATTGATAGATTAATCTTGTTCACTTTGTTCATCTGAAGGTGAATCGAGTTAAGAAGGAAAGTGATGTTAGTATTCAAATGCTTGTTGCTGTGTTGGGTCATTTCGTAATAGAGAATACGGCTGTGATGAGTTTGTTTCACGTTGCCACGAAATCCGTGATCTCGAATCGATGTGATCAGTTGGACTTTTCGGACGATCACGAATAGTAGTATGAAACTCTCGTGGAACTTCCCATTCAACGTCGTTCAATTCACTGACGCTGGCAAATCTCATTCGATATGCTGGTGGTGATGGAAGGGCAGGAGAGAGATTAGATTGAGATGGAAATCGTCTCTCGATCATATTTGTCGAGCGATCGGTATTTGTTCCAGCAGAGACATAGGGAGAATCTTCATATTTTGAAGATGTTCGACTACGTGAAGGTGAAGGATTTGTTGGTGTCTTAAGGATTGATTTTGGTACTGTATTAGAGTATTGTATACCATGACATTCAGTAGATGTATCGACTCTCGGTGTCGGAGGAAGAATAAGTGTAGGACGACGAAGTGGTTGAAAGCGAAAGTTTTCAAAATCACTCTTTTCATCGGAAAAGTCCTCTTGCAAGGAGTGAAAGTCAAGGATAGCTGGCGGACGAGCGTGTGCATAACGCATATCATCGGCGATTGGACGAGTACGAATTTCGTAGTCAGCTGGTGGTAGTTGAGCAGTTCTGATTATATTTGATTGAAGTTCAATCCAATTTTGTGATTGTGCTCGTCGAATACGTTCTTGTTCGTCATCAGGAGAAAACGCTGGATTCTGAAAGCCATCGTTGTAAGTAATCGCTGGTTTACTTCCACGTATAGTGCCAACAAGTGCCAATTCATCAGCATGTGGCGGACGAAGAATAGTTGATTGAAATTTTGATTGAATACCAGTTTGAACATCGTGTAAGTATTCACATTCTTCCCGCTAGAAGCAAAATAGAACGAAATCATTGTGATGAGCGATTGCACTTACTTTGACATAGAATTTCCTCGGTCGAATACGATTAAAACAACATCGACACAGACAAATGATAATTAAAATCTCGAAGAGTAATATGGAACATATTGCCCATAAAGCTAGATTTATTTCTAATTGATTCATCGTCTATCGACGAGATGGATAATAAGTAATCCCTAAAATAAATAACAAATCGATGTATACATCTGAGGTGAAGAGATGCATGTTTGAGAAGAACCGACAGATCATTACTGATGTAATTTATTTCTCGGCTCTAATCGAAATAGACGTGTAAATGTGAATCGAACACGTTTTAGCAAAGATTCTTTCGGAGGATATGTTTTCATACGATTGAGAAAATGAATGGGTATGTTCAAGGAGAAATTCGATGAAAAGAAGAAGCAGAAAGAATAATATGAGATGAAGATCTGTTTTCGATTTGTACTTGAAGGGAAGAAAAGAGAAACATCTTGTTCTAATTGTTTTTCTTGCTGATATCTCATTCGTGCCTAATCCATGATTACGATCACTTCAACTACTTTTACTCAGAGCGTTCGTTCTTCAGATATTCACTCGTGTATATTGTTATTTTTTCATGATATTAAGTATGATGAGAACTGTGCTTGTTTCGGTACTCACTGAGCATACGTATTTTTCTATGTCTTCGTCAGTGATAAAATCGAAGACAAACGAAGAAATCTTTCAAGTTGTGTTAAATGAAAAAGAAACGAGCATTCTTCCTTTTTTTTTACGCAACTTTCTTTTCTTTTATTCTTACGTACTGATCTAAGCAGAAGTGACGTGAGTATACAGAAAGTAAACCTCATGACAGATTGCCAAGGAGAAAAAACCACATACTTCCTGTCTGTTGACGTATTCATTATTATATAAAACAAATCTCTCGTGTTCAATTTCTTTCTTTTTTTTTGTACTTAAAAAAACGCTACTCACATGAACTGATTGTATTACCCGATTGTACATTGCGAATGATAAGAAATCAAACGAAAGAAGATAAATATATATGCCATAGACCATTCGACTAGCTTGCGTTTTTTAACACTATTACGCTGTTAGCATATATCATTTACTCAGAACCAATGACAAAATTTAACACGTATCTAACGAGAATGAATGAACCCAGCCTATAAATATCAATAAAAGTAAAGCACATCAGTAGTTGACTAAAAGAAGCCGAATGAGAGGAAGAGAGAGAGAGAGAGAAAGAGAAAAAGAACTACAAGACTGTAATGGAGTGCGACTTCTTCGTTGTTCTCCTTCAATACTCATGCATATACAAAGGTTCAGATTTTACTGTGATGAACGAGTCAGTCAGTCATTCGACTGAAGAAAAGAACAGTAATAGGGAGAGAGCGAATCATTCGTTCAATGATCAATACTGAATGCAGTGCAAGACGTTGAAAGAAAATTTTCTGACAATCAAGAAAAAAAACGAAGTTAAGGCGATCATGAGGAACACAATTTCTCAATCGTTTTAATTTCTTCACAATACACTTATCAAAACGAGTTTCTCTCTCTCTATTCGTGCATATAAACGCTCTTCAATTGTGTGCACACTGTATTGGCATCGATTTTAGGCAAGTTGAATAGCGAGCTAAGTCGGTATAATATATGGATTGATGGCCGTCTGAATGTATCTAGTTCCGTTTTTTTTGCGTTTTCGTCTTTGAATTAAGTAGGTGTCATATTAATCAAACGAAACGAACGAAGAGAGAAATTTTCGTCAACACCTTATTTTCAAGGCTATCTATTAGTTGTGATTGATTTCGTCTTCAATGTGTGTGTTCTGAACCAATACTAATTTGAATGATCTTTTGTTCGAATGAATATCAATGCCGGCCTACTTATTGTATAGATGCACTTTCATCATCCTCGTCTTTTACCAGAACTGACCGTTTGTCCGCCCACTAGTTGTGCTTTGAAGAATAAGAGACACTCACAGACTGTAAAACATTCTCTTTCTCCACCTCTTTACCGCTTTCAAGAGAAAGAATTAACGTCTTCTTAATCGATCTCGCACTATGTTGTCGTCTGTACTCCATGTACGCGTCTGATTTGTATAATTAGAGAGAGAGAGACGTAAAATAGGATAAGAATAAATGTACATGGGGTCAAACACTTGCATGTTCACTCGATCTAATAGACTTAACAGATATAAGGTATTGACATTTTACGCGGCTTGATGATAACCTATCTGTCTTGTTTATATACATTTGTGTGTATTTCGTTCGAAAAGCACTGCTCAATATCCCTTTCGATAATGAAATGTCTATAGGTTTGATGATAATGATCATCTTATTCAGTTTGTTCTACATTCTATTATTGCACCTGATTTTGATGTAAAAATAACATGGGACAGTGACATTCTCAGGTGAATAACAGTAGCGCCGTCTATCGATTAGTTTATTCAAATATGAAGCGTCACCCGGTCGGTATGTATAACATCGCGACGCTGACAAAAAAGAGGAGGCCAAAGGGATATTAACAAAACTATTTTGTCGAGTGTAAATATCTTTTCTTTGAATTTGTTTGTAAAACGGTGTCTTTGAAGTGCTTCGAACATGTCACTTATTGTTGTTGTAGTGTTTTTCTTATGTCTCAGTAGTCCATTCATTTCGTGTAAAAAACAAGATCCTGTCTGTGTTGAACCATTGGATGGTGTAGCTGCATATCCATGTGAAAGTCGTCCAAGCCGAGAGCCACTTAGTTTACAATATAGTAAAGTGCAAAGTGAGTTCTGAATTTATTCCTGAAATGTCATGAACGGTTAATTGATTCCATGTTTATTTAGTTAGTAAACCAGCTCCATTGTTTGATGGCTTAGCTGTGATTAACGGTGAATTTAAGGAAGTTAGTTTGAGTGATTTCAAAGGCAAATATCTCGTTCTTCTTTTTTACCCATTGGATTTGTAAGATTTCGAGTTATGTTTACAAATAAGATTCGATATTGGTTGTGATACTTTTAGTACATTCGTATGTCCTACTGAGATCATTTCTTTCTCCGATCGTATTCAAGAATTCAAGAATATTAACACTGAAGGTGCGTATTGGCTATCTTTGCCGTGAAATAGGATTTAAACAATGAAATGTTTAGTGGTGGCAATTTCGGTCGATTCACAATTCACACATTTAGGTATGAAAAGAATTCATACGAAACGAGCGATCGTAGTTTGTTTCTTTAGCCTGGATCAACACTCCTCGTGAACAAGGCGGTCTAGGAAAGATTCAAATCCCACTCCTATCTGATTTGACTCATCAAATCTCCAAAGATTACGGTGTTTACCTTCAAGATGTTGGTCATGCCTTGAGGTACGAACGATACTTTGAGCATTCGATTCAAAACTTTCTTGACTTTCTTTTCGTAGAGGATTATTCATCATCGATAGTCATGGTATCCTTCGTCAAATAACCATGAATGATCTTCCTGTCGGCCGATCAACGGATGAAACGCTCCGACTTCTTCAAGCATTTCAATACACTGATAAGCACGGCGAAGGTAAAAAAGAGATGTTTACTAAGACTTCTGACTGATGATGTCTTTTTTCCCAGTGTGTCCTGCTGGTTGGCGTCCAGGTGCTGACACAATTATACCAAATCCAGAAGAAAAACTGAAATATTTCAGTAAAAACTATGAATCAAAGAAGAATTAAAATGAACTAATTCGCGGATTGATTCCTGAGATTAATCTTCGTTAACAAACAATCCTATCGTGTGATTTTTACATACCGTTGATTCTCTTCTCTGACTTTTTTTAGCGTTTTAGTTGTTATAGAGATAGCAATAAAAACAACTATGTTGTCTTTAAACCGTTCGGTTTAATGGAATCTTTTTCTTTGAGTAATGAGGGTAAAAACAACAATAACATGTTGTTTTCCTTTCGTCTTCGTTCGTTGTACAAGTCAGATTAATCGGCATGCGATGAAATAAGTAGAAACGAAGAAAAAGAAAGGTTTGATTCATTCAATTCAATTTGTATTGAAATAATTGAATTAAAAAAGAAGAGAAAAGGCGCGAGAAATGTTCAAGCCATCATCTGTCGTAGAACTGGATCAGCATTGACATTAGTTCCATGTTCGGTAACAAACGGCGCAATTTTATTGAAACGTTGAGAGACCATTGTCTGATCTTGATTGGCAATTCGATCTAAAAGTAATCGATAGCCGGGCGCTTTGGCGACACGAATGGTTCGTTTTGGCTCAGCACGAGGCGAGCTAGCAGAGCCAACTAAAGAGAACGTGGATGTCTCATCAGAAGGGAAAATAATTTGACCTTACATCGTTCTTCAAATATACGTGAAACATAACGGGAAGCTGGTTGTTTCATTCGAAGAAATTGATAACGACGCATTTCGAGTGTGTTGTAATTCAGAACACGTTGATCGAGTTCGTTAGGTGGATGTTGTGGACGACCGCCTTCGAATGGATACATTGGATCTTTATTAACGCGATACGAATCAAGTGATGGAGTTGAAAGGACTAAGTCACCTGAAAATAAATACATCAGTGTCGTATTTGCTGACAAAGAAAATGTTCATTTACCAGCTGTATTATAATGGAAACCGGTATATGGTTTGACATTATTCGAATCGATACTTCTCGAGTAAAGTAAACTTTTTAGTGTATCCAAATCGGACATCGTTCACTGAATTGTTTCTTTCTCGGATAATGTCTCAATATTTTTCTAAATGCACAAACGTGTATGATTTTGTTGTTGAATCAGATCTGGCCACTTGCGATTGAGTTCTTTGTCGACACGATTTATTTTCTATTCTTTAGTTTGGGAGTGAAATACGAGCAATGGAAGAGAAGGTGAGAAAAAGAAGTAAAAGAGAACACCGCTAGAAGGTGATTGTTGCAAAATATTGATCAACAGCATTCTCGCCCGTTGCTCAGCACCGAAACATCCAATCTGTTCGAGACAAATTGATGTTGACATGTGTGCTCATTTGACATTCATAAAGAAAACTTGTGTTCCAACAATATATTTCTTGGGGTTTCACTTATTGTTCGAAGACATAGGAAAATAAACTGTTGTAAACTCCTTGAACAAATATTCCACCCGTTACTCATGATTCTTTGCCGATCTAATGCGACACGTTAAATATTCTTTGTTTATTTGAGAGTGAATCCCTGAACTTTTTCGTCTAGTGAATGTATTCAAATGTCATAGTAGCGCAAACAACTATTGAGATTTCTGTCATTCTCTCCGTCTGTATATCTATTCGAATACTGTCGTACGACAAACTTTAAATGTAGATCTCCTACATAAGTCAGATGTGAAGGAGAAGAAATCAGATGAAGAGAAGACGAAGACAGAGGATTAAGCAAGATAAATTCTAAGGTAACGACAAACAAAAAGAAAGAAAATCGATCATTCATCCTTCTACTTATTCCGAAGATGATGAAAAATATAACGCGAACTCGGGCTGTTTCTTATAAATGGATATCAAGAGTCATTGGCATTGTCTGGGCATTTCTTACCGCTTGCTTTGCGATTTTGAATATCTATGTTTTCGTCCAGCCGCAATGGATCGGCGATACACTAGAAAGTCCTCGTGCTGGACACTTCGGTCTTTATTCGCACTGTATAAGTACAACAAGTGATTACGAATTTGACTGCCGAGGCACGTGGACCAATTTCGGAACAATTCTTAATTCACCGTTTGCTGTCGCAACCTTCTTTATTGGCTTTTCAGCGTTATTGATTCTTATCTGTCTTGCAGCGTTCATCCTATTCTTATTCATACGGGCTCGAATTGTCTATTTCATTTGTGCGTCAATACAAATTGTTTGTGCTATTTGTTTTCTTATTGCTTTGATTATTTACCCATCCGGTTTTGATAACGACACAGTTCGATCGGTTTGTGGACCTAACGCGAACGATTTCTATATCGATACTTGTCAAGTTCGTTGGGCATACATCGTAGCGATCATTGGCTTCTTCAATATATTGATTCTTGCAATTCTCGCATTTTCCCTTGCCGTTACGCAACCGATAAGTACAGTGAGACACGACAACCTAGATACGAAACCTGTTCTGTCGAAATATGGCGAAGTCAATGGAGCATTTGATGATCGAACCTTTTCTGACCAACGACATGAATTGGCCATCTGACGTACAGAAGAAAAATGAAACTGTTATTTTTACTTTTCAGATATTTACAATTGTATGTTTTTATCACCGAAAAGATTGCTCATAGATACACTCCTCTTCATCTACTTTCACTATGTATGAGCTGTCGCACACACGAAATGAATTGAGCGGCACTGTTCTTGAGAGAAATGAACCAATCTGTTCCGCCAATATCGACAAAATTGAGTAACAAAACGCTTTATTCTTCTCATCAATTAGTCAGAGAAGGTGAATACCTTTATATAGTTGCGACATCACGAGAATAGCTAAGAGTCTTATCCTCATTTCTCATTATGCATCTATTCGATAAATTGCGTGCAAGTGTCCGACGGAAACCGACGAATGTATGTTATGAAGCACGATCTTTTCTTAATAATTTCGTTTTCTTTCGTAGAAAGTAGAGTTGACAGTATCAGAACAGATTGAAACTTTGTTGAAAGAAACAACCAGCAGCGATCGTCGCCTTCAGCTACTTCGTTTAGTATACGAATATCGATCGCGACAGTTCGATATATTGAATGTTCGATCGAACGATCCAAAACGCGAAGAATTCGAACAATCGATGTTGAAAAGTCTTCGTGCTATAACCGCGAATCTTCCATCAAAATCACAATGGATTTTTCAACGTTCATCACAATTGTACAGATCAATGCCATCAGCGACCTCTATACAAATAATCAAGAGAAAGACAAAATCTACCTAATAGACAATTCTCTTGTATTGATCAGTAATTTTACTTTCAAAAACTCGTTATAATAAATAGTTTTTCCTTTCGTACTACATTGATGCACACTGATTGGTTCATTCAAATCCATGACGTGCTTTTGCCAAACAGGGAAATGAAAAACTGTTTGAGCAAATAAACCCAACGTTAAACACATACTACCTGAATCGGCTTGGTCTGATTCACGTAACACAACTATTTCGATCATTAGTGAACTACTTATGTCATCTCAACCATCAAATGCATATTGATAAAATTTAAATTGCTAGAGTTTTGATCGAATTGAAAACGATCTTTTTCAATTATGTAGTCATTTGCTATAGATAAGGACTGAAGCAACAAAAAATTGACGAGTGTCTTTTTAACACAGAACAATTCTCATTTAACGATGATCACATCTTTCTAGATTAAAATTTCAAAATGGTCTCACGCCAACGTCAAGCACGTCGAGCTGATTCCAAACATACCACTGATGTTCAGAACAAATCGAATAGTAATTCAAATATATTGATCATAGGCATTGCATTCGCTGCATTAGTTTTATACGTCTTATACCAATCGATTAATGTGTATAGCAAAGATCGCATGTATAACGATTTCGACTAATAGTGAATGCCATATTGTAAAGCAATGCTTGCGCTAATAGCTTGTGTGTTATGCTGTTCAATGTAAAATCCATAAATGCTTTTCTTTTTTTCTCATTGCTGTTGTGATGGTTCCGCTTAATCAAACGGTTCTTTATTCGTGTGGTGTAGTCGAACAAATTCTAGCATATAGCTTTGAACATTTGCAATAATTTTATGTTAACAAATAAATTGCGTGTACGCTATTTTAAACTAATGATGTCTAACAATCTCATTTGCATGATGAATCAATTCTTAACCGTCCGTTTATTTCAGATAGATTAGGGTAAAATACCGCTCGTTTTCCCTTGTTATGTTCAGCGGTATATCAATAGCGCATGGAGAAGGTGTAACGTTTAGTTTTCACGTGAAATTTTTCATCGCATGATGCCAACCTTGAATTGAAGTTGTGTGCGTCTTTTTATCCGTCGTCAAAACAGTACAGAACGAAGGAAGAAAATAAGAAATGTCAACTCATTCTTTTCAACCGTTTGCTTCTTGATTTATAAGTGATAGTGTGTCGCTCATGCATTCAATCACGTCACTGTTTTGAAGACAAAGCATATGAATGAATTTATCAAGCAATGATATATCTTCTTTTGTATTTTTAGATAGAAAATTAGAGATTTTATTTTATACTTGTAAATCACAACAAAGTACGTCCTCGACAATCGAACAAACAAAATTTCATTCTGTCATTTCAGCAATGTGAAGAAGATAGGAATCAATCTCATCAAATGGCGACTAATCTAGAAAATATTCCAAGTTTGTTATCAAATATTCAAACAACTCTTTCTAATCATTCACTCGTTTGTTCGAATTAGCTTTTCTCCATGGTAATATGTCTTCATCTGTTTTTGACAGTCCATGTCCTAGCGTGGCATCTGTAAGTGTTAACATGTACGTTTTCAACAATGATGGTCATTGTTAATGTTCTCAGGATAAACAAGATGTGATAATTGTTCTCGACGACGATGACAGTGACATTGAAATTGATGAAATATCAAGTACGAATGTGAATGAAAAACAACGACAATCACAGTATGCTGTGAAGATGAAAATGAACAAGCTTAATCTGCACGAGCAAATTATCGTCGTGAAAGCAAATTTACCTGTGCGAGTCTGTCAAACGGCGATACCTTATCCAGACCTTGAAGATATACATATTCTTACAGTAAATCTAACGTAATCTCTCTCCATTTATAACCCAAATCAATTCGTTTGTTTCAGATTTATAGTCCTCACTCAGCAATACCTGAACATGTGACCAAGAGACAAGTGTATATGAACGAACCATGTTTGTTATCAGATATTCCTAGTCGATCACGTGTCTTTCATCGTGCAACCTCGTTACTTGGTTTTGTCTTAGAAGCTGCATGTGCGACAACGAATAACTATCGTTGTCTTGTTTTATATGATGATTTTACTGCTTGTTATCATTCTTCATCGGATCTACATTTATGCTTATGTCAAGATTTTCGTCGACATTTATTAAATATTGATTTTAAAGAGTTGCGTAATCATTATCAGAAAGTATTCAATGATTCGCAGAACGCCACAGAAACGTCCCACGTAATGAATAGTGTTATTCGCGTACGTAAATTCGGTGGTCAATATCATAATGTTCGAGTTATCGATATCGATCAATTATTGATTAAAATCTGTTTTTTCGAACGGAAATCGAAGAAAGAAATGTGGATTCATTGCAATTCGTCAATTATTGAGCAATCTCAGCCAAATACTCAATCATTGATTGAACTAATTCCTGTTGATCCTCCAACACCAACTGATGACAGTCTGGATTCCGATTTACCACGATTACGCAAACGAAAAACTGACGAGAATAATAAGAACAGAAAAGGTAAAGTGAATACAAAGGAAAAATTCGATTTTCTTAAATTATCTGATCATATTCGATTGTGTCTTACACTAGGTAGTATATAATGACGGTAGAATTTCGATCTTGTTACTAATGAGAATACGATTTTATAGAGAAAAAAACCATTCGCTATGTGAATGGGTGAGACACAAAGCTTTACTCTAATATCTCACTGGCATGTTTGACGTACAATAATCCTGAAGCACAGAATGCTTTTACAGACTTTAAATAGATCTTGATATAATTCGATAAAATCGTTCTAGGTGGAAAAAAACTTCGCGATCGATCGAATACTCGACAATTACTCTTATCTATCAACGACGATGTGTCATTGGAAGCGCACCAAAACATTCTAACAACCTATTACACAAATATATTGCTTCCAAAATTTCGTGCACTCAATGCATTACCTTCAGCAGTACATAAATGCGGCCAGCAGTGTGTTCAATCAGCAGAAGAGAACTTCTGTCCAAGCCGAATTCGATATAATCCATTTCTACTTCCGTTCGAATGTCAATGGTCAGTCGTTGACAGTAAACCTCGTGGCTATCGAACACCATGTCGTCGAACACTTTATTCTCTCGATGATATTGAACAATATCTCTATCGAACGCAGTCGAAACTATCCATTAAATACTTCGTCGATGGCGTTCTGACTCGTTTCAAACCACCAATCGATAATCAGGACAGAAACTGCATTCTATCAGATGATCTATCCAACGGCCAGGAAAATGTTCAAGTCTCTGTATATAATGATATTGATAATGAGAAACCAGATAATTTTGTATATATTACGAAAATTCAACCGATCGACAGTCGAATTGCTGCAGCGCTCAATGACACAAATATGACTTCGTGCTGTGATTGTACTGATAAGTAAGTTTTGTTGTATAACACGTCGGTAGAAGATTGATTGGTTTGTTTGCAGTTGTAGTGATCGAATGAAATGTGCTTGTTTTCGAAAGACATTGACTCAAGCTCAAGTCAATCGCGATCCATTAGTCATGGAGAAGGAGAAATACCGCTACACACAATCTCATATGTTGAAAACAACAGGCTATCAACGAAAACGTTTACTAAATTCTATATCAAGTGGTATTTATGAATGTAATTCGAAGTGTTCATGTCATCGTGAACATTGCTCGAATCGTCTTGTCCAACAAGGCGTATTTGTACATTTACAGCTATTTAAAGACAAATTGAAAGGTTGGGGCTTACGTACGTTGCATGATTTACCTCGTGGAACGTTCGTATGCCAATATATTGGAGAATTATTAACATCAGATCAAGGACATGAACGTGCACAAACAATGGATGATAAGTATCAAACAAGTTTAGACATAGTGAAACAAGTTCGATATGAAATTAGCAATGAAGATGACATGGATGATGATGATGATGACGAGGAAGAGCCGTATGTGATTGATGGAAGTCTATACAGCAATTTGGGAAAGTATTTCAATCATTCATGTGATCCGAATATGTTTATTCAGAATGTTTTCATCGAATCACACGATCTACATTTCCCAAACCTTGCTCTATTTACTCATACACACATCAAAGCTGGCCAAGGTAATTTTCAAAATCGATTTTTTTCCCCTAACAAAAAAAATCTCATTAAAAATTTTCAATGGAATCGTGATTCGATGACCTCAGTCAAGTGTTTGATGATGAAAGAATAATTCTCCTGTTCTGCAACGAACTGACGACGAGTCGAGTACTTGTTCAGCTATTTCGTAACACTATCACTTATATTAGGCAATCAAGCTAATCTGTACACACATAAAAACATTGACATTATACAAATATTTTGTCTAAATAACCCAATCTTTTTGCTTATGTCATCGAATGAGAGAGAACAAGTTCATAATGATCTATACTGAACTGTTTTGTTTTGTTTTGTTTTCTAGAATTGACTTGGCATTACAATTGTGAATTGCTACCCGACCGCGAAGTGAAGTGCTTCTGTGGCTCGAAAAATTGTCGTGGTCGTCTGTTCTAATATGAACATCTCTGGGTCAGATTTCAAATGTTACTAATATCTCTGTAGTTTTTTTCTTAGTGTATTATCTGTTCTGTTGCTCTTGCTCTGAATTTGTCTATGTATTTTTGATAAAAACTCTTTCGCATGATTTCTTTTGTTTTAATTACGAGAATATTTCTCAGACCTATCCGTTGATTACATCTTTGAGAAGAAAATGATGATTCTTGTTGATGTCCGTGGCCTTCATGTAGAATATATATATCCAGTTAATGAACACGGAGTAAATTGAGCGCAGAGGAAAGAACGACGAAAGTAATCGATGTTACTTCTCTAATGGCAGCTTTATTATTTCTTCTCCTTCTTCTTCACTGAACGATGATGTAATTTGTACTAGATTGATTCTTCACATCGAACAATTTCATCGATGTCCTACTGCTTCATCAAATTTCACTTGTATGTAAATTGTACTTGTTCTCAAGAAGATTATTTGCGAACGAAGGAAAGAAAATGTATACATGAATATATTTTTTTCACACTAGAACAGAAGATAAGAAGGTAGTGATGACAAGATATTAAGCGTAGTGGAAGAAATAGAAACTCGTCCTGTTGGTCAGATCGCTTTGAGATAGATAAGCTGTTTTTCTGTTAATTAGCGTCGAGCATCTGGAGCTTTCCTATTTTGCTGATTATATGATCACTGCGCGTCCTCTTTCTTATCTTGTGGATAGAAGAAAAGGTCAAGCAGATTTCGAATCTTCTTCTCTCGCATTTCACCACACACGCGTCTTCATTCCAAATATTGATTTGGATTGAACAAGACATTTTGTTTGGTCGAATCATCCGTTATCTAATCACATTCACCGTCCATTGATTTTGTTTAAGATAAAAGACAACTAACAGCAATCGAACGGATCATTCCTACATAGTCAATCGTTCAAATCTGGCGACTCCTTTCTTTCTTCAACAATCTCGACAAAATTCAATAAGAGCGAACCATAAAACTTCAATTCATTCATTGATAACCATCTTACCTAATGCGTCGCTATCGTCGTCACAATCAACTGATGAATCATCGACGTCGACAATACATCATCCGGCCAGTTCAGCAAATACATTACAACTGTTCCGTCGAATGTTATCAATAAGACGATCGTCCAGTACAAAACCATCGATCTACCATTCGTACAATTTACGTGCGTTTGACGTCGCGCGCGATCATTATGAAATTACTGTACATTTTCTTGATGATACCGAACGAACTTTTCATGTTGAAGTGAGTACTATAAGTAATTGCCTTTCTTTTCTACTTGATGATTTTCTAGCGGCGAGGTAAAGGAAGTGATGTATTGAATGAAATTTTCGATTATCTGGATTTGACTACTGAAAGAAAGTACTTCGGCTTACTTATTGAAGATTTAACACAAGATTTTGCCTATCAATGGCTAGACGCGACAAAACCGTTGAAAAAACAATTCGCACCAAATATGACCAGTCATCATCTGTATTTCAAAGTTCGATTTTTCCTAATCGATCCCACGACGCAGATCGATGATGAATTTACGAAATATTTGTTTGTATTACAAATCAAAAAAGAACTTCTTAGCGGAAAAATTTGGTGTCCTCGAGTAGTGGCAATCAGATTAGCAAGTTATATTGTGCAAAGTAAGATAAACATAGAAGAAATATATCTTCACGAACTATTTCGCGTCAGGTGAACTAGGTGATTACGATGTTAATGCACATCACCATGGTTATTTGAAAGATTTTCGTTTTGTGCCATTTCAAAACAAAGATTTCGAAGATGAAGTTGAACTTTATCATAAACAACATCAGTAACATGCGAATAATCTAATTTACACCTCAATGAGTAACATTTATTTTTTTTTTTTATGTAGAGGTCAATTGCCAGCGGATGCTGAAAGTAATTATCTTCGTATTGCAAGTTCGTTGGATATGTACGGTGTTGAGTTGCATAAATCATCTGTGAAAGTAATGAATTGAATATTGGATGAGTTCCCTGTATCGATGAATACGATTAGGTATCCCATACAAATGAAACTAATTATAATTCTATCGTGGAGTTATATGTGGGTGTTTCGGCTGTGGGAATATCTGTCTTTCAGAATTCGACGAAAATCAACACATTTTTATGGTAAGAGATCGTCAGACAAATGATGGCGAAGAGACTAAAGTTGTTTTTCTTCACTTTTGATATAACAGGGATCAAATAACCAAAATATCATTTAAGCGTCGAACATTCTACGTTCAGCTTGTGAAAAATATGGTAAGTATTTATCAACATGAAATTAAGTTTACATGACGTCAAGTCACTCATTCTAAACAACATTCTTACAGGAGTTATCCGATGATAATTCAATCGTATTCACATTACGTAATTATCGTTGTTGTAAATATCTTTGGAAATCATGCGTCGATCATCATACATTCTTCCGTTTAACAACAACGGCGGTGGCTGCTGTTGCATCCTCATCACCGAAAAGATTATTTTCATTTTCGAATAAACTTCGTCACAAGAACGAGAGTTCCAATCTACCATCAAATTCTTCACTCATGGAAACAATCGAGAAAAAACCAAAAGTATTCGAAAGGTAGGCTCATAAAAAACTCCAATGAGTGATCTAATTCTTATCAATCTAGAGTATCAAGTCAACGAAATAAAGGCGCAATCAATGAGAATCTTCCTTCGATAGAAAGTTCCGATGAACCCACGCCAAAACTTGCTAATCTTGTGGATAATACATCGTCAATACCTCCGCCGAAACCTCCTCGGTTAATCTCAAAACAATCGCTAACGACTACTGTAATTCTGGAAGCAAATGAGTATAAGCCGAAAAATGCGATACAATCTCGTGAAAGGTAAGCAGGAAACCATCGTCGTACGCGGACGAGTGTGTGAGGGAGAGAAAGTGAATGATGAAATTGTGGCACGTCCGTTATGAGAAAGAAAAATAGTTCGCAGCCGGTTAAAATTTTCCTTCGACGGTTAACAATGTGATAATGTCAATAGAATAAATTAACAGAATACATGCAACCTTAATTTCCCTTGAGAACGAAAAGGATATTTGTAAAACAAGAACATTATTAATAAATTCGATGGTTATTTAGTCTTCAAAATCCTCCTACAACGAACTGTTCGATGTCGTGTATGACGACTGATGCTACACAAATCAAGCTAACACCAGATGCTGATGGTCGATATGGTTTTAATGTTAAAGTATTTGGTTTCTTGCCTTAATTTGCAACATATGCGAAGATTATTTTTCAGAAAGGAGAAAATGAACAAACACCAACTGTTATTTCAAAAGTGGCACACAATACACCAGCAAGTCGAGCATCGATTCATGAAGGTGATATCATATTGGCTATTAATAATATTGACATTCGAAATCATTCACATGATCAAGTAAATTCGATGGTTGACCGATGAACTGTTTTTTTTGTGTTAATTGTCAAATTGTTATCTAGATCACCGAGATGGTTCGACATTCACGTGAACGGCCCTCGGCGGAATTAGAATTGTTAATGAAGCCCAGAGAGGAACAGAATTCATTAGAAAAATCAGTACAAATCTTACGTAGTGACTTGAAATCAGAACAATTAGTTGAACAGTATGAGGTAAGTTTGGATGAGATTGGAAATGGACGTTCGAATATTCAAAAATACCTTCACTCTAGGCACTCCAACGCCGAAAGGATGGTTTTACATTCGAAATAAGCACCAATCAAATAAACTTTTACTGTAATCGTTACAAAGATGTGCTACCTTACGATCAAACACGTGTTATTCTCAAAACAAGTCTTGAAAACGACTATATCAATGCTAGTTACATCAATGTAAGAATATCTAATCTGTTATAGTCAGAAAGATGTTTGTTCGAACCGTAGATGCCAATTATTTCGACTGATACTGTCAATCGTTATATTGCCACTCAAGGACCATTGCCCACGACCTGTGAAGCCTTTTGGCGAATGGTTTGGGAGCAACAATGTACGTTAATCATCATGCTGACGACATTGTTTGAAAAGTAAGTCGACGTTCGTTTCGTTTTACGTTTTTTTCGATCGTTTCCTTCTTGACTTTCGAAGTGGACGAGTCAAATGTCATCAATACTGGCCGAATGTTTTGGAGACGATTGATTATGGACTATTTCGAATCCGTTGTAATCGTGAACGAAATGAAAATAATCTTATGTATCGTGAACTGATCTGTTTGAACAAGGAAAGTCATGAAGAACGAATAATCTATCAAATTCAGAACGAAATTTGGCCTGATCATGGTGTTCCTACCGATTATGCATCTTTCGTTGATTTTGTCCTAGAAATACGTGAATTGCGAAAAGCAAATAAACATCTACCGATTCTCGTGCATTGCAGGTAGAAAAAACTTTCTTTCTGACAGAAACATCTGCTACGAATTTTGCGTTTCTTTAGTGCGGGAATCGGTCGAACAGGTGTTCTCATCTTAGTGGAAACGGCTCTATGTCTTATGGAGAACAATCAACCTGTTTTTCCATTAAACATTGTTCGACAAACGCGCGAACAACGTTTAGGAATGATACAAACAGCTGTAAGATAATTTCATTTCTTTTACATTCCAAGACACTCGTCGACTTACTCTTTTTAGAGTCAATACCAATTCGCGTGCGAAGCTATTCTTTACGCTTATGATCACGGCTTGATTGAAATCAACAACAATTAATCACCCGACTGTTTTCCACACATACATTTTCGTCAGATAGACTTCATTCGTCAACCATTCAATATGTGTTCACCTACGCTCAAAGAAATGTTCATAAATCAATGATTGAATAGTGTCTTCTTGTTTTTTTTACGCTCTTTTTTTTTGTAATTCAATTATGTATGTTCGCTTTTTTAATTGATAAGATAGAATAATGATTTTGTTTCATAACGTCAATCAGGAGAACATTACGAAAACCCATGTTGAAATGATTATTTTAGATGTGAGCATGCGTTAAATCTTGCTCACTTGTCCTACTTTACGCCTATATGTATATCAATTATCTCACACGATCTCTCACCGGTTCGCTAAAGTCAACCGGTGGATCATTTTCTTGCCATTGTGTCATTCAACGACGATATTACTCAGAGAAGAAACCATCGATCAATCATTATGATGCATTAGGAGTAAATTCGAATGCGTCAATAAAAGAAATCAAGACAGCGTTCTATAAATTATCGAAAAAACATCATCCCGACGTCAATCCAGATGATGCGAATGCTGCACACAAATTTAGTATAATTTCGAATGCTTATGATGTCTTGGGTGATGCTGCTAAACGACGCGAATATGATGCAGAATTAACGTCTCGAGATTCGTCTTCCTACTCATCGGTGATGTACGATAGATCAAGTGCATATGCTCAGCGAGCTCGTGCACATCGTCCATCGGCATGGAAGCCACCTCCGTCATCGAAAAGTTCATCTGGAGGTTTCCAAGGCACGGACAACGCATTTGGAAACAGTCGAAGTTCAAGTTATGGAACGTTTGATAAGAATTTTTATGATTCAGCATTTGGTCGATATCGCGGCCCATTGCCGAAAGGCCGATCGAATGTCTATGATTTCGATGAATTCTATCGGTCACACTACTCGGAATTCACAAATTGGAACGCGATACGAAAGGAAGCTCAGGAAAAGATGCGACATGAACAGGAAGAACAGAAGGCAAAACGTCAAGAAAGAGCGAGTCGTAGTTGGACTTCGAAGATTTCCACAATAGCTCTTTGGATTAGCGGTGGGCTTGTTATTTTATTTATAATTAGTGTTTTACACGAAATGCAATTTCAAAAACCGACAGAAGAACTTCGTTCGAACTTCTATATTATTTCAAAGCCAAAACGAAGAAAGCCGCTTGAAGAACCTTCAGCTAAGTCTTAGGTTGTTTTTTCTTTTCTGTATTGAATTACTTAAAGTTGTAACTTATTTTTGTATTTACTATAAAATACACCAGCTACATTAGCTTCGCAGGTTCTTTCTTTCAATTTACGGCAGAATCTAATAAGATTATCGTCTTTTTCGATAGGATGTACGCTATATAGGTCATCACTATTCTTTCACAATTGCTGATTCTAGATCAACGATGGTAAAATCCAATAAAATCCAGAGTATATCCTATACTTTGGAAGAATTGCGTCCTATTCGAACATCTGTTGATCAATGTCGTGTTCATCTGAGCGACTTCATCGAAAAATATAAATCAGTCGATTTATTAGAACTTGAAATGCGTCTACTAAGTCGTTGTGTATATAAAAATTGGAATGCACGCCATGCTGAACTTGGCATTCAAGCCAGTCGACGGGTCGTTCGTTTCTTAGAACGATATCTTGCAAAACGTGAACGTCAGCTGGAACAAATTCTCAGCGAATTCAAGCCAGATGCTGTACACATCTCTTTGCCATCACGTGGAACGCTGAATCAATTGATAAGCAGTCTGCAAGAATCTTCAATGTTACTGACGAAAGCGGAACGTTTATCGAAAACAACTGTGGATAGACTTCGACTCGAATGTAGCCGAGGAAACTATGTTCATTATAATATTTTGATCATGTCTCTGTGTTCAAGAATTTACTTTTTGGTTTTGGCACTTGATAAAACGCAACAGGAGTTTTGTACCAATGTTAAGAGTTTAATCAAGATATTCAAAAAGAAAACCAAAGAACAATGAATCAGTCCATCGTATATTTTAGATGCCAGGCTGCATTGATTATGCACGATTCTTAAGTCGCGCAGCTTTGCGTCGACAACCAAGTGCTGTTCGTGAAGCAAGTAAGTGCTTCTTTGAATTAATAGAGTACATACTACGGGTGATCTTTTTAGCTCAGTTATTTGCACGATCTCCACCGTCAACAATCAGCTTTGCATCAGGAAGTCCAAACACATCCTTGTTTCCATTCAAAGACGCAACAATAACTTTAACGTAAATAGTTTATCCTTTATCCCTCATCAAGAGATTGATATTCTATTTTGAACAGAGACGATACAACTATTCATTTGGACTCGTCTGCAATGACCAAAGCACTACAGTACTTACCTACACCTGGGTATGCATTAAAATATACTTTCAAATGTTACGAACTGTTTCTTTTCCTCATCGATCAATAAATAGCCAAGAGGATTTGTTACAATGGTTGAAAAAACTACAAAATCGCTATCATTCTCCGATTGATTTCAAACGATATGAACTCTGTATCACTAATGGCTCAATGGAAGGCTTAAGCAAAGTTTTTGAACTTATTTTAAACTATGCAGAACCAATTCTCGTCGATTCACCTTGTTATTCCGGTTCTTTAGATTGTGTATGATCTCCAAGTGTCATTGGTCTCATCATCATCTTTATGTTTAGTTACGTGGTTTCGGTGCTGATGTTATTAGTATCAATACAGACGCCCATGGAATGAGTGCCCAAAGTTTACATGAGACTTTATCCAATTGGTCGGATCCAAATACTTTACCTCGAGTGCTCTATACAATTCCAAATGGTTCGAATCCGACTGGTGCATCAATGAATCTAGAACGGAAAAAGCAGATCTATGCCGTATGAATGGTTAATTTATATGATGAATGCATAAATAGACTTTTTTTGGCATGTTTAGATTGCTCAAAAATATAACCTTATAATTATTGAAGATGATCCATATTATTTTCTTCAATTTCAAGTAATTCTAATCACTATTCCAGGGAAACTCCATAAAAATGCATTCTAGAAACCTGATCCTTCATTTCTATCAATGGATACCGACGGTCGTGTTATTCGACTCGATTCAATGTCTAAAGTTTTATCAGCTGGGTAAAATTGCTTTACCAAACAAACATTAAAAAGACACTGTCTCTCTAGTATGCGTCTTGGGTTTGTTACAGCACCCGTTCCCCTTTGGCATAAGTTGGTTTGTCATCAGCAAGTGACTAGTATGCATGCAAGTGCCCTTTCGCAGGTAAGATTGTTTAGTAATAAAAGCAATCGTGGAAATTCACGCTCTTTCAATAGATGGTAGCATTGAAGCTATTCGAAAAATGGGACTTATCCGGATTTCATCAACATACAGAACGGTATGATTTAGATATACGAGTTTTTACTGTTCTAATTGTTTCGATGTACTATAGTATTGCGGAGTTTTACGGCAAACAAAAGACATTGATGGTCAATGCAATTCGAAAACATTTGAAAGGTATTCTTCGGATTCATTCGGATTTTGTCAGTGACAGTAATTCGAGAATTTAGATATGGTGACATTCAATGAACCGAAAGCAGGAATGTTTGTATGGTTGAAAGTAAATGGCGTTGAAGACACAAGAAAATTAATTTATGAAAAAGCACTTGCACAAGAAGTCTTGCTCTTACCCGGTAGTGCATTTTTTTACGACCAATCTAAGACTTATCCCTATGTTCGCGTGTCTTATTCAATTTGTACACCTGAACAAATTGAAACAGTAAGTTTGTTTGGTTTATTTCTTTTTCTTATTTGTATATACTTTTGAATAGGGTATGGCTCGTTTTGGTAAAGTTCTTCGAGAAGAATTAAATAAATAGACAGACTATTCTCATCAAAATTCTCTTAGCATATTAACAGTTTCCTCCCGATTTTATTTAAAATAAAACAGACAGTCTAAACAGGTGTTAAATGAAGATATTTCTCTTCACTCACTTCCTACCTCTTCTTCACTGAAGAAAAGAAAGATTTTTTGTGTTTTTGATAGTTACAACAGTTGACACAATGAAGCCATCTTGTTTGCTTTGTAGTTTTTCTTATCAATTGATACAAAAAAGAATCTTTTCGAGCATATCTCAACAGTTACATGTGTTTTTAAGTTTATGGGATCAAAGCTGTCACTATAGTACCGCTAAAATCATTCTCCAGTCAGATGGAAAGTAAAATATTTCCAATACGAAATCACTTTCGACATCAGAACTATGTTGGAAGATTTCAATGTTCTTGGTGTTCAAGAATATTCTTTAGCTTCCAAAGCAGAAGGAATCATATTAATCGAATACATGATACAATTCACTTACGCATGGAACTATTAAGTTATGTTGATCCAGTGCCCGAAACGAAACGATCTTGTTGGCAATGTAAAAAAGTATTTGATTATGATGAAGATCGTATACGTCATTTTCAATTCGATGATGCACGAAAACTGTTCAAATGTTGGATTTTCAATCTACAACTGGTCAGTTGAATCATTTAGTGCAAAAACATTTTCGAAATGTTTTATCTATGGATAATGATCCATCAAGTGTTTTAAAAAGTCAAATGGAAAAAGTACGAGAAATCATGCAAAGTAAATCGTTATTGAAATGTTCTCAATGCTCAAAAAGTTTTCAAACAATGAATGATCGTTGTCGACATTTTACCATTGCACATAACACATCCATTACGATTTCAACTACGATAGAAGCACAAGAAGAATCAAAATATTTCTTTATAAAAATTTGGTATTTTTGTGAAAAATGTCAACAGCGTTTTCAATGTGCTGACGCTCATCTAAAACATTTTCAAATTAAACATTCAGAAGTCATTTTATCCAATAGAACTCTAGAAGAGTTTTTCCTGGATTCCAGTATCATGAAATGTTCTAAAGCAATATCTCCAACATTAGTTTACATGATATTAGAATCTACTCGAAAGCAAATTCCTGTTAGATATGATACGACAAATCATTGTCCGTATCAAGAATGTCAATTACAACTTCAAAGACTTTTGGGTACATTTAATTAAAAAACATAACTATGAACAAATTAAAATGGAATGCTGTGATCCAATGAGAATGTATACTTTAGAAGAATATCAAAAACACATTTTGCATAATTTATAAAGTACTCAAATATTATCGAAAAGAGATTTGCACGAGACAATTGTGTTAATTTAGAGTCTGCTCGTTGCTCCATAGACGAGCGTTCTATTCTGAACTTATTATAAGATGTTCGTTAGCATGAAGAACAGGCAGCGTCGGATAAAGTACTTTTCGATGTGACTCTGTGACGAGGTGATGAGTCTTGATTAAGATACTAATTCATACATAATTGCTCTTTTGACTCATGAAATTAAGAGCTCTCGATGAATGACGTGTGAAATTCATATCCTTGATTAACGTCATGAGAAAGTTTCCATAGTAGACGGAAGTGTGCCCATGGTTATTATTGGAGAAAAGCATTTTCAGCAAATATGAATGCATTTGTTTATCGAAATTCGTGTATGCACCGTTGCACTTTAGCCTGTCAATACCTCGCAGCATGTTCAAAGCACGTGTTAACTAGGTTGTAGAGTTCGATTCATTCGACGATTTTTATTTGTTTAATCTACCTTGAGCTAGAATATCATTTTTGATAGAAATCTAATATTCTACTCATTCACTCCGGCAAGATAATTGTGGTAAAGGTTGTCGTTGAAAGTCAATCAAGAAATATGAATTCGTCGTTTACTGTGATCACTATTATTGAACGTACTGGAACACGTAGTTTGTCAGACTTTTATCGTGACAAAAAGAACTTTTATTTGAATTACATTTGCGTTATATTATATATGTTTAGATAATGGATAGTTCAAAGAGCAAGAAAAATGAGTTTTTTCAAACATTGAATAACATCTAGCAAATGCGTTACAATTGATCCTGCTAGTGACGTCAATGTTCAGCTCAATTCAATACATAACTGAAATCTAAACGGAAGAATTGCATATGCCGATGAGCAGAGCCATGAATAATTATTAATCTTTTTCTTTCTTCTAAAAGCATCTTCCATACATTTCAATCTAACTTTTTTTCCGAAAAAAAGCAGTACTAATCCTCAGACTATCAACACGTTGCGGAAAATCATGCCTTGACACAGTGATAGTTCTTCCAGTTAATCCTCTTTCATTTTTCATGATTTCCTGTAAATACTTACTAATAATACTACATGATTCACAAACACTACCATTCCAATCTAGTCCGAATTAGTCGTAAAGTCGGGAGCAAATTATATCGAGTTCCTGCGTCTGATTTTCTACAAAATTTAATACATTGAAATTGTTATACGACTGAAAATTAATAGTTTAAACAGTTGAGAACGAATGCATGAGGTGCGCGTCATATACCTCATTCTAAAACTATCTCTACCAGCATAGATTCTCGATCAATTATGTCTGTGTCATGCAATGTTTTCGACATTTAGTCAGATGAAGAAGGAAGGTTGTTCGTCAGAGAGATATTCTTTTGAGATGAGTAATTGAATGAGATGCTATTCTGCTGTCATTTCTATGTGAAGATAACAGACGTCCTAAATATTATTTTGTTATCGACTCGAAGATCCTGGTAGACTTTATACCAGATTCGATGATGTAATGTTCATTCACACTTTCGAAAAGCTGTGTTTATGCCCACACACATTTAGCACCTCGTCTCTTCGGATTAATTCGATTTAAAAGAAGAGGAAGAAGAATACACAAGAGAGATGACTGTGAATGTTGTTCTGGAACACATCATAGTGTTTGTACAGATGTTAGACGATCGGCAAGCAATTGTATACATATATGGTAAACGTCGACAGAAACCCATATGTGTGTCAGTGACACAATTGTGAAAATTACTAATGAAAAACAAAATCTCGTGATGTATTATGCACTAAAGAAATGAAACCAGTGAACTGTTTTCGATTCATATAAGTAGAAAATGTCCTCCAAGTGATTTACAGATAGATGAATTCTCATTAAGGTCACCCGTCATCATACCTGTTGTGGTTGTTTTCTAGAAAAACAACAAGTGTCAAATATTGAGCACTTAATAGATTGGAAAGCAAAAGGCATTTATATTTATCTTTTACCGTTCATAAATAGAAGTTACACTAAAAACTAGACAGGGTATAAACAATTATCAGGAGTTCTAAAAATACCATTTGTCTTTGTTCAAGTATTTTGTTCTAATAAATCTAATTTCCGCTCGTTTCTAGTGAACAAAAAAGATTATTTCGGCCCACTCTTTTATCTGATGTCATTTTCTTGATCATCACGATAGAAAATGAATATCTGTATTTAATCGAACAACAATTTATTCAAAGAAAAAATAAATGATATTCTACACGACTTTGGTAACAATAATTCTTATTTAATTTCTGTCAAATAATTGAATTCGAATCTAATAACTTGAAACTTAATCTTTACCATATTAAAAACTCATTAAGAGAACAGCGTGGAGAGAAAAACAGTTACTGAACATTTGACTCAAATGAAATTCACAATCGATTGACACTTCGGAGAATCATATGTAATAATGATTGATTCGATTTGCTGTTATTGTCTAAGCTCATACATGTCAATAAATAAATACACAAATAAAAGACTATAAAAAGAAAATTTACTCATCGAAATGTAAAACTATGTCTATAAATAGACTTAGGATATTTTTACTTTCAACCAGTTAATATCTCGATTCATTATTCCAAACACGTTCATGTTAAGTAGGATAACATTTTGTCAAATAGGACAAATTTCTCCATCACTAATGCTTTCTTGAATACAATGGCAAGATTATCATCGTATCAAGACAATCCTTGATTCATATATGTATATACACACGTCTAAGCAAGGTTTCACATATGATTTTAATAAATATACATCTATGGATGAATCGAATGAATATTGTAATTATGAATTCTATACTTTGGATGATTTCTTTTTTTTTCATTGCTGCTCGGTCTTTCTCGCGTCAACACTTTCTTCTTTTTTCTTTGTTATTTGGTTGACAATTTTCGCCTGAATCAAGCTTTACTTACTTGTTGCCTTATTCAGAACATTCTTCCTATTCTCTTTCCCTTTGTCTCTCTCTCTCTCTCTCTGTCCTCTTTTCTTTCTTCTCTCCTTATGCGTCTGTCATTCCTTATTCAAGACTAAAGACAACATTCTATTTCCCAACAGACCATCTATTTTAACAAGATTCTAGTGATACAAAAACAAAAAATCAAATGAATTAATCGCAGAAATTTACTCCAAAGATCATATACAATCGACCTATTACCATATTTACAAACCACTCACATCGATTCATTTGATTACAAACTAATCATGATACGAGATCGTATTGACAGGTTATATAAAACTTTCGGTAAGTGCCATCAAGAAAAACCAGTTAACACACTCATTATCAGCTGTTTGAAATCTATTTTCTAGCTTCGTGTAGATAATGTCAGTTGACAATCGAACATTTTGCTAATTACTAGTTTCTTTTCTATTTATACCGGAGTTCGGCTATCTATTCTTAAATTCATTATTCTATTCAACATGAAAGTCAAGTGTGATTCCGAATACTTCAGTCAACACATTAATTGCTTTAAGCTGTATAATTAACAATCAAGCAGATGACTGTTTCTTTCTTTTTTTTTTTCAATGCAATTTTCATATTCTAATATATAATTTATAAGCAACAGAAAATGGAAGAGGAAACCAAACTTGTAGCGAAGCAATTTGAAAAAAATGAACAGATAAAAATAGGTTTTTTTTTCTAGTATATTAGTATAATGTTAGCTGTCAGCGAATGATCCATCATTAGATATGGATGGACATGTCTCTTTTTTGATCTCTTTGTAGACAAACCTTTTGCCTGGTCTTCAAAGGATTATTGGTGAATGGGAGAAAAAAAAACACACACACTCCGATCTCGATAATTTTTTTATTAACAAGCTAGATACTTCAATATTTTTCTTTTCTTCAAATTTTCAAATAAAAGAAAAAGAATCGGCTAGTGTAATTATCTTTATATTGCTTTTTTTTGCTACTATTAAGTGTCGGTAAAGTCATGACAGTAAGTAAATAATCTCGATAAGAATATTTCAATTGAATTTAATACAAAAGCCAGTATATGTTTTGTTTCTTGAAACAGACAAAGGAGATTAGTATTCTTTTGTATGAAAGTCGAGAGATCTTTTCTTATTCAATGATCTCGTTCACTTATTGTCATATACATCTGATTCACCTATGAATCAAACAAATTCATGGTATTTCTTTCTTCTAGTTTAGCAGAGGAACAAGATCATCATCAGTTTATGATGAATGTTAACCAAACGAAGCTTAATGACACACTAACTACACTTTCAACTGAGGTCGTTGGTTCGCGAATTGGAGAACTTATCGTTGGGGTTATTGTAAGTTAATTCGAATAGAAATCTCATCTGCTTCGTTTTGTTTTCGAATACTAACAGGTGTATTCGATCATTATCATCTTCAGCATTGTCGGAAATGTCATTGTTGTCATTGCCATTCTTCGAGTTCAACGATTACGTAATCCACCTAACTTCATACTTATGTCGCTTGCGATAGCTGATTTATTAGTAACCACGACAGTCATGTTGCCAGGCTTTCTCTATGAAATTAAGAAAAAGTGGATCTTTGGCCGAGTGATTTGTAAAATTTGGCTGGCGAATGACATTACCTTTTGTACAGCTTCAATTCTACATCTTGGTAATCGAGAAAAAAAAAGATCATCAAATGTTTTCTGATTTAAGCTTTTCATCTATCTTAGTTGCTGTTAGTTTCGATCGTTATGTCGCCGTTGAAAACCCGCTTAAATACAAACAAAAAATGGCTAAACGAACAATATTTATCATTATCGGCTTTATATGGTTAATAAGCGTATTACTTTCTTATGCGCCCGTTCTATTAGGTCTTTATAGCAAATCTCGGACTGACGGAGGTTTATCGAATCCTGATGAATGCGATATGAGACCAAATTTAATCTATTCAATCATTTCGGCGTCGACATCGTTCTATGTCCCATTAATTATTATTCTCTGTCTTTATGGACGGATATTCATCACTGCACGGCAGCATTCAATCGAACTGCAAAAACTTGAAAATATCATCAAGCGTTTGCATAGCGATCAGAAGTTTGTCTTAGAAAAAGCGAAATGGAAGAAAAACATGAAGGCAATAAGAACGTTAGGTAAATAATCTTCATGACATCGAATTGTTAAGTCAAGATGTTCGAATTCGCGTCTGTTTCTTCTAGGTATTGTCGTCGGCGTTTTTGTTGCGTGCTGGTTACCCTTCTTTATTATGTACCTTCTATTAGCATATTGTGATTATAAATGTGTTCCAGCACTTGTCGAACGCTATATAACTTGGATCGGTAAAGTCAAGTTGCCGTTCTTTTCACTCATACAAAACGTCTGCTTTCGTGTAGGTTATGCAAACTCATTTTGTAACCCAATGATTTATGCATTTTCAAATAGGTATGTGGAAATGAATTTCTTTCTCTGCTACTCTATAATTTACTGACAAATCTCGTCGTTGGACGATATTAATTATAAATCATGAGAAAAGAAAGCAGCTCGTTTCCCTTTTTTCTACATGTACTATGTTTTCATTGATTTAATAACAATTGTTTTTGAGGAGTAAAGAGTATTATAAGCTCATACAACAAAAGAGACTATGTTTTTATTTATGACGGAGGAATAACTGCCGCTTATGCACTTATCCCATAAGCTAGAAAGAAGAAAATCTCGTACGCCCCAGACGAGTAACGAACGTAACTGTCTGGAATATTAACCGACTTTGACAGTTAAGCGTTTCACATTTTAATATGACAAAAAAACATCTTATTTAAGACCGCCAAGGACAGGTGTTATACTTCGGAAAAGATGAGAATATTTGGATTGGCTTTCAGTCATCGTTTGCTTCGATACAGATGACAATTGATAATGGAAATTTGTCTGTTTCGCATTAGATGCTTCAGAGATTCTCTTCAGTAGATATGTTGATCTTTATAATAATAAAGCTGTTTTTCTGATCCGATCAGGAAAGATAATCTTGGAGAATAAATATTTTACTATAATATTCTTTAGTCCTAAATCTTGTTAAGCTACATGAACAAAATGCATTCATTCATCAATATGAACCCTAGACATACTGGTAAACTATTTGTCTTCTTTCTAGAGAATTTCGTCATGCTTTCGTTGAAATTCTCAATTATCACAATTGCGGTTGTTTTCCATTCTTAAGTAGTATTCATACATCTATAAGTAAATCGACTCATTCAATGAATATGAGAAGCAGTACACCACCGAATCATTCTCGACAAACAAGTGTAACACCACACTCGAATTCTTTTCAACGTAATGGTCATCTATCGTGTACTTCGTCTTCCCTATGCACGTCGATTCCAAAGAAAACTACCGTTGTTCCCATAAACGATTCGATCGATGGAATAGAAATACAAGAGATTACACATCAACGTCAAACAATCGAAGCCTTCCATGAACTGGAACATTTAGTACCAAATCGTTTGTTGGGCCGTGCATCCATCGTTCGAATGAGTTCTCTTATTCAAGATCAAGAGGGCTTATTCAATGAATCATCAACACCTACGTAGTGACATTACCTCAACCAAAGAATAATATCGTCTCATTCCACTAGTCATCTCATAGTTCTTACGTGTTCTCGATATCGGTGACTATTATTGACGACAGTGCCCAATGTGCGCGCGTGGTGTGTGGTGTGATATGTGTGAATTTTTGTTTTTTTTTTACTATTTTTTTATTAAAAGAACTACCTTGCTTTGAAGTATGACAACATATCTGCCGCCGTACCACAGAACATACAGTGGGTGTCAATTGAAGTAAGTGCGTACGGGTCCGATTGGCGTAGGCGGACGTCTAATCAGTAGATAGTCTGTTTCGTTCGATTTCATCGTTACATTCTCTTATCATAACATTTGTTTTGTACTAAAGTATTTCATTCTTATCTCTTACACATAGCTGCACTTTGGATATCCACTCTACCAAAGATCATAAGTCAACTATCTTACGCTTGTTCTTCAGAAGAACCTACTTTTTTTGTGAAATATAATGTTCGTTTCTCGACTGCTTCGATCGTTGATCGCCCTTCCTTACTCGTCTTCTTCATCCAGATTCATTACTAATGCAGCCGATCGAACTAATCAGCTATCATTAGAATTGAAATCAATCAACGATACACATGCAACATTACTTATTGATGGCAAAGAAGCTAAATTTGATTGGATATTTTTACGAGATTCATGTCAATGTACACAATGTATAGATTCATCAACCCGACAAAAACTGCACAATACAACTGATGTTCCCCTAACGATTGCTCCGCGAAACGAAGGAGTACAGATTTTGAATGACAATAGTCTTGAAATATTGTGGAATAAACCATTACTAAACTGTCAAGGTATAACTGAACATCGTAGTTCATATTCAAATATTTGGTTACGAACTTATTCATCATTGAGTAATATTGCGCGAGCAAGATATCATGATCGTCCCGCGGTCTATTGGAATCGAAAGGATATCGAAAGTGTCAATCTTCGTGTTCAATGCGACGATTATCTTCATTCCGATCGAGGACTTTATCATACATTAAAACTTCTAAATGACTACGGTTTAATCTTTATTGATAACGTTCAAGGAGAACTGGCTGTTGAACAATTAACTGAAAGAATTGGAGAAATTCGTCACACATTCTACGGCAAATCTTGGGATGTGAAAAGTACTGAAAAAGCGATCAATGTCGCTTACACATCGCAAGCACTTGGCTTACATATGGATTTATTATATTTTGAAGCACCACCCGGTTTGCAATTTCTACATTCATTGACGAATGATGTTCGAGGTGGAGCATCGTATTATGTTGATGCATTTCGAGCAGCTGAAACACTTCGTCGACAAAATCCTCAAGCATTTCGCCTACTTTGTTCGTATCCCGTTACTTTTCATTATCGAAATGCTGGTCGGCATTATCATTTCACTCGACCGACTATTGTCTTAAATCCGTTTTCATCCGATCAACGTATCGATCATATTAATTATTCACCACCATTTCAAGCACCGTTTGAGAGTGATACATCAAAAGAAGAGTTTCGACAATTTATTCAAGCATTTCAACGATTCCGTGATTTATTAGAAGACCCTAGCAATTCATACGAGCTTATGTTGAAGAAAGACCAATGTGTTATATTTCATAATCGACGAATTCTTCATGCACGACGAGAATTCGATGCATCGAGCGGCAGTCGATGGCTCAAAGGATGCTACACTGATTTAGATAACTTTCAAGATCGATTGAGGACTTTTCAAGAAAAATTTCATCCCGTTGCCGATGTTCATATATAAAAAGGGTGACCTTTTTTTTACTAATTTAAAAGTAAAGGGAACAAAAAGACTTTTATTTATGTATGTATAGAAGATTATTAAAGAATGAAAGTTAAATACTCAGTGAAAGGATGATGCGCACTAAAAATAAATATGTTTTTCTTTCTGGATATAAATATACGTATTAATTTGGTTTACGAACAACAAGAAACATGATAACAAACAACATGAAAGGAGGAGAAAGAGAGAGAGAGAAGAAAAATAAGCAAAGAAAGTGTGCAGAGTGGGTCATCGTGATGAATGTGCATGGTGATGGAATGAAGAAAGATGTTGTCTATTGTTTCATGACGTTAGTTTAAAAATGTAAAAGTGCACGTCGATTTCGTCTACCAGACGCTTTAGCATCCTCTTCTTCTTCTTCATTGTCATCTCCATCGGGAGAACGTCCACCGTCATTGTTCGTCGGTGTTGTTGTACTAACTGCTTTGGTTGTTTTGGTTTTCTTCTTCTTACGAGATTTGGTTACTTTTTTTCCCGCATTACCACTGGCAGAACCAGCAGCTGAATTGGCTTCAGCATTGTTTACCACGGCGATGGGTGTTGTTGCTTCAGCAGCTGGAAGTGCAGGTGTAACCGCTTTAACTTTTGAAGCGATCCATCCTAAACAACGAACAAGGTAGTTTAGACTTTGAATAATTATTGAATTCGAAGCACATGACAATACGTGCGAATGAAGACCGAAAGAACAAAGAGACAACATCGACTTTTACCTATCACCACTATCGCAAAAATAGTACCCACTACTCCCATGATAATCATCATCTAATAATCCCCATTAGAAAAAGGTTGGTTAATTTTATTAAAAAAATAATAAGTCAAACTCAAAAAGCAACCACTCGATTCTTTACCTTCATATTTTTCCACCAGTATTTCCGTTTTAATTTGCCCGCATGTTGCTCAAATTGAGCTGCGTTATGTTGTAATTTATCTGGACAGAAAAATCAGCACATAGGAACATTTTCACATGCAATGATGTTCTTACCAGCTCGATCATCAAGAAGTGATAGATTTTTATCACGTTCTAACACCTTATCTACATTTTGTCGCATTATATCAACAACTTCGTCGACTTGGGCTTGTTGTTGTGCTAAACGTTTCGATCCGCCACCGCCTGCAGCTGGTGCTGCGGCACCACCACCGCCATTAGTAGACCTAGTCGATATATCAAAATCCACTAAATCGAACTCTCCCATGTGCACTTACATGTTCTGAGTAGACTGACTTTTACAATTGAAAAAAAGATCTAGAAAAAAGAATATTCTCATTTAAATATATAAAATTTCATCATTCGATGCTTAGATAAGTCTCGTGCACAACTGAAGTATAAATATGGACGAATAAAAGAAGCAAAAATAAGATCCTTTGAAACAGAGTATGCAAATAGAAAAAGAAAACGAAGAAGAAGTTATAAAAACAAAGATCATAAAAGAATACATGGACAGATATGACCACTGAAGGAATGTAAAGGAACGTAAGCATATGAAAAAATCACGCGGAATATGTATATGCAGATAATGTCTTCATTGAAGAGTATTCTACAGAGAAAATCGAGAGTTAATTTACATAAATTAGAAAGAATCCTCATTAACTTACAATCTCCCAAACTTGTATTTGTCTTAATTTCCAGATGTACGAGTACCATTATTGTTACTGCCACTGTTACTATTATTACTGCCATTGCTACCACCGCCTTTTACTGATTGAGTGACAGCAACTAGATTAGTACATACAAGATACCCTTGTTTTTGAGTTTTAATCATTGAAATTCTTACCGGCAATGATAATGATCAAAACAATCTAGAAGAGAAAAGATGACATGATTTAATGCAAACGATGTAATCGAATATGACTTACAATTACAATGATTAAAATAGCCCACATCTAAAACAAACAATGTTGTTTTTTTCGGGGAAAAGAGACCAGAAAGTCACAGTTTACTTTGATATTTTTCCACCAATATTTGCGTTTTAATTTATTAGCATTGGTGGTGAACTGCGATGCACCACTTTGCAAAATATCTCCAATGAAATACATCTACATTATACTAACCGGATGACCTTATTGATTACTCACCAGCGCGATTTTCAAGTGTCGTTAGTTTGGCATCGCGTTCCAAAACTTTTTCTAAATTGTCTTTCATAACATCAACAACCTGTGCAAAGCGAACAGTTTTGACAAAATTTGATCTTTCTTCTTTTTTCGTACTTGATTCACATCGGCTTGAAGATTGTCAAATCGCTTTGTCGATTGATATTGTGTTGAACGGGGTGGATTTTCATATGTCGATGGTGATGCCCTACACGATCATCAATATTGATTCAATTAAAACATTCGAACAACAAGTGTTTACATAGTTTAATTAATTTCCTTTTGATCACAGTGAAATATCGATCTGCAAAAAAAAAACAATAATAAATATGCTGAATAGAAACTTTGAGAGAATTTCTAAATAGAAATGTCGCCATCTTGGCATTGTTGTCATGTTTTTCTGCAAGAGAGGCGACTTTCTTTTTTTTATGGCTTAGAGATACTAGCGACAAACAGAACAATTTACTTAACAAGAAAGATTTTACGAGTTCAATGGAGATTTCTAACCAATCACTGCGCTGAACGAGAACTACTCCTGGAATCGTTTGTCATCGTCGTCGCTATGATTGATTTTTTTGTACTGAGCTAAGCTATTGTGCGTAGAAAAATATGATTTATTGTAGCGGAAGAAGAGGAGTTGGTGTTGAATTATTAGTCATAGAAGATAAATACTATGAATCATTACATGATCTCGAACTCTTGTTGTCGTCAGGATTATACATCAGCTCAGCTATTCTTATCTTTGCTGGATAAAGAAGCAATAAAATTTTTTAAAAGTACGATTAAGGTTATAAAGTTCTCTTGTTCTAACGTCCGTTTGATATAAACAGAGAGACAGTATCACGCAATTTGAACCTAAATTGAACAGATATTAAGACAGGTCTCTGTATCTTCTTCTTTTATCTGGTATAGTAGAAATAATCTATCTCTACACAGGAAGTTATGTGTCCTTTCCAACCTACACCCGGATATCCGCTTTTTGTTAAGTATGCTTCTAAAAAAGAACGCACTTTTAATGGTTTTGAAAGAATGCCGAAGGCATGTACGTGACTGTTTCGTTTCAGATACTTATGGATCGCCGTGTGCTTTGTGATAGCTTGATCAAATGGGTATGTGAGATGCTTTCGAATGGCAATAGAAGATTTGTTGTTCATCCGTAGATGAAAACGTTTGATCTGCATCGAGGAATAACTGGTGCTGGCGATCTTTCTGATGGTGTTCTGATAGCTCAATGTTTGAAAAACATGTCCGTTCATATTTCTCTATCATCTCGCGAAATTGTCGATCTGTTTTATGTAGTGATACTAATCATTTCAATGACGCTTGGCTACAAAAGATTCGAACAGATGCTGTAGATAATTATCGCATAAAAGTTCGCCTTTGAACATTGAAACAAACGTTGTACTCTGAAGTTTTGTATATTTAGGCGAATAATCTGAAAAAGATTCTGAAGAATATCACGGATTATTATTCAGAAGTATGTTTCAAATAGAAATGTAGATTTCGAACGATTCATCTTCATAGGTTATTGGCCAATCTTTGACTGATTTTCAGATGCCCGATTTGAATATGATTGGTAACTGCATACAAAAAATATCTCTGATCGAATCATAAAATTAATTCTTTTCTAGCGGAGAGTACAGATGAAACTGAACTCAGCCGACTCTTACAACTTGTTCTCGGTTGTGCTGTTAACTGTGATCGTAAACAAGTTTATATTGAACATATAATGTTACTCGAAGAATCTGTCCAACACGTGTTAATGAATGCGATTCAAGAAGTTGGTGCAGCGAAAGTTCTTAAAATCGAATCAGCTATCTGAATGTGTATTGTTTTAGATAATGGTAAAAGAAAATCGGAAAATCAATGAAGAATATGCTGAATTAGGAGATCAGGTAGGTTCGATTAACTGAAAGAAGCTGATTTTGTTTAATCTTTCTCTCGGTGATATGTGCAGTTAAAACATGCGCTCGAAGAATTGAATCGAGTTGTCGAAACTAAAGAGGAAATCGAACACCGTTGTCGTGAACTTGATTTACAAATCACAGCACTTCAAGATGACAAACTTGGTTTAATACAAGAAACCGCACGTTTGAACGAACGTATTCAACAATATGAAAATGTCGAAGATGCCGAGTAAATCCACAAAAAACGAGTTGAACTGGAACAGAATGATGACCAATCGTTTTAGATCAATTCCAAGAAGTCGGTATAAATCATTACAAGACAAGATTCACTCCCAACAAGAAGAACTCTTCAAACTTGAAACAAGTAATGTTCAATCAAATTAGTTCGATATGATTAACATTCTTGATTTTAGCTTTACAAGATTATCGAGCAAAACTCAATGTGTTAAGTGAAGAGAACGAAAACCTTCTGAAACGAGTAAATTCTGTCTTGATGGTCGAGTGAATTTTGGAATAAAAATCGTTTCCTTCTTAGAATGATGATCTCATGGTGCTTGCAGGTGATGCGCGGAATTTTAAAGACGAATTAGATATACTTCGAAATAAGTGTGAAAAAATGGTTGGTTCGATTGTTCGTTTCGATGGATTTTCTCATTAATTGTTCGCTTTAAGACTAAATTGGAATCAATGATCGAAGCGTACAAGCTCAAATTAGAAGAAATGTCAGATCTACGACAACAAATCAAATTCTTAGAAGAAACAAACCTTCGTCTATTCGATGAAAAGTCCAATATCGAACAAGAATGTAAACAAGCGAAGTTATTGCAGACACAAGTGGAATTCCAGAAACGAACAAATCAAGAATTATATCAGAAAATCAGCGAATTACAACGTACAGCTGATAAAGCTGAATTTGAAAGAAATCGAGCCGAAGAACGTTTGACTGCAGCTAATGCGGAGAAGATTGTGAGCACAGATTTCTAACGAAACTCATTGCTATTTCTTTCCTTTGAACAGAATTTAACGAATGAAATTGAATTGCTCAGAGAAACGAATGAACGACTGCGTGGAGTTAATCTGGATGAAGGTAATGAGTACAAGAACATTTTCGATTTCCTTGTTTGTGTGCGTAGCGAATGGAACATCAACTACGAAAGTTCAACTAACTGGATCACTGGAAGATTTGAATTTTCTGAATTTGCCTGCAGATGTCAGGTAAGAAAATGTCATATTCAGAGTATTGGCAAATCTCTGTTTGATCAGGGAACGCTTCATTCATCTTCAACACGAGAACAAAATGCTCAAATTACGTCAAGTAGAAGAGACAAACAACGAACAGGTTTTAATACTTCAAGCAAGTTGTGAACAACTAAGAGATCAAAATAATCAATTAACGAATGATTTATGGTGAACCAGTCGCTTCTTTCTTGATCATTCTTCTCATTTGATAATATTCTAATCGTAGGATGGCGAATAGAAAGATTCTAGAATTAGAATCCACGCTCAAAGATACTACATCTCTAACCGAGAATAGTACCGAAGTAACAGATTTGAAAAAGTCTTTGAATCGAGCAATGACTCGACACGAAGAAGAATCGAGCCGAGCAAAAACTCAAATTGAAGAATTACAGAAACAATTAGAACAGTTCGGTAAGAGAAATCGGCTTATTCAAATAAATTTCTATCGTTCGTCTTATTCAGAAAACAAACTAGCAGAAAAAGACACGATTATCGCAACAAAAACTGCTGAAATCAATGCGATGGAAGAACGTTACGTTCAATATTTAGAAAAAGCTAAAATGGTCTTACGCCAAATGGATCCACGTAATAGTAATTCGATCAGTCATCAGGAAATTCAAATGTTACGAAAACAACTCGAGGAGAGAGAACGACGAATCAAAGATTTCGAAGTAAGTTCCTTCTATATGATTTCACATGAAGATCATCCGGTTTCCCTTTTTCTTTTTAGATAGATTTTGAAAAAATGAAAACAATCAGAGAAGACCAAGAGAAACTTTTAATCAGTGCTTGGTATTCTATGGTAAGTAAATATCGTGCTGCGAACACATATTCGTTATGCTTTATTTTTTAAGGGTAGCACAGTTCAACGATGTGAATTTGAAGAACGTCTGAAGTCTCATGAAAATCAATCATTTCTTTCCAAGCAACGTACACTTCCCTCAACACGTAAACAGTTACCTTCTGATCCGTCTAATTCTTCAACAAATGGAAACACTAACAGTAATTCAAAACGATAGTCTTTCCACATCAACAAATCAAAGCATTTATAACAGTGACCTGAACATTCCATGATACTTTTAATTAACATGTGTTCTTTGCAGTTTTCTTTTTTACATTATTCGTATATGTCAAATTTATTTTAGCTGTGTGATCTTTGCCTTCGTGTACATATATAAATATATAATATTCCGTCCGTTCATAAAATGTTCTCCCGCTCGCCATGAAGCGCTAACAATATGAATTATCTGAATTGTTTATTCGCTAGAATAAATTTTGCTTGTATGTTGAAGTGTATGCTAATCTATAGCAGAGGCATTTTATGATATTTCGATCAGGACAAGTTCCTTTTGATAAATATGATAGAACAAGACAAGAATTAGTACGTGAAAACCACTGTCCCTCTTCACCTAAACAAATGTGTTGTTTAGCAAGAACATGATCTTGTGAATGAGTGTACGTGACCACGTCTTGTTCAACAGCGAAAGAACCTGTTCCTTGCTTCATACAATACTATCGAGAGATTGCTTATATCATAAGTGGTTGGAGCAAACTGATCTTTATCTTATATTCTCAACTACGATGAACATAAACAATAGAAAAGCAAGATTTTGGAATCTATTTCTAAGAATCAATTCTTGCAGGTTTTTCGTCATTGTCGACATCATCGATTGGAAATTCATCATTCTACAAATTAACATTAGATAATAGTTATATTATCATAGGTAGATGCGTATATATAGTAGAAAAATTTAAGTTAGTCATTATCCTATTGGATCGTTAAGCCATTTGGTAATTCACTGGTTCTATTAATTTACAACGTAGGTCTTTTATACAATTACAAAAAGAATTTATCAACAAAATCAACTAAGATAAATCTTTTCTTTGATTGGAATAATATACAAGATGCTCAGTGCACATGGGACTAAAATGGTTTGTTCTGTTGACAGATGAGTAATCATAGGAAATTGTGGAGAAATGATGATATTACACTTTGAATGAAAGATCTAAAAAATTTTACCTGAGATTTATCTTGACTAACGGTTAATAATCGTGCTTGCTGTTTTTTAAAGACTTTTGATTTTCTTAAATATATTTTTTGCAATGTCGAACAGTACTATTGCGTTATCACCTTTCAATTCATCTGCAACATTTTCAATATATCAAAAGAAATATCCGAAACATCAGTAGTAATGATTCATCTGATTCTAACGTAGAAGGCACAATCAACATGCTTTTTAAAATGAGTTTGACTTCATCGAATCACCTAAGATATTATTTTTTCTTCGTTTAGACATCTATCAAATTGACCATTTTTCTTGAAACTCTTTTCTCAATATTCAAGTAGCAAACCACAAGTACGTAAATAATCGAATATAAGAGTTAGTACAAAGATTTCGGTGATTCGGATTACTCATAAATGTAGTTGATCATGATGCATTGAAGTAACATTTAAGTGAATGACTAATGCGAGGATTGTTTATGTAAAGAAAAGCTTGACAGAGATCCACTGATGATAAATAAGAAAATATTTCGTTATTTTCTCGTATCTATTCGATACAATCTTCTTATCAATGCTATACAAATGACCCTGAATACAATGGAAAATTACACGAATTGATGCTGCGCATTGAAGAAAACAGCATCAAACTTCACCAATCATATTCCTTATTTTGTTACGATTGTTTTTGTAGCATATTCAATCGTAGATAAGATAAAGCAAATGTTCAGGCATCGTTCGTCGATAGATGAAAATAAACTGAACAGTTTTTCAAGATCACTCTTGTTTTTTATGCAACCGGTTTTATGTCATATTCCAAATTACAATAGATGTGTATTTACACTTGAATAAAAATAACTGTAAAAGCGATCAATGTTGTTAAGTTTTACAAAGATCAGCTTCATTTTAGATGCGAGTGCCAGTTGAAAGCGTTATTTGCTTGCTATCATGGTCTCCGCGTCATTTGTTCGTAATCATTTTTTGTCTTCTTGGTGTTTTATAAGGAAAAGCCACTCAGTTGAAAATTGCTTTCGGATTAAAATATAGTCGACCATATTGAATGCGAATACTACATAGATTCTTTCTGAGATTTTTATTTTCTACCAGATCGGATGTTCAGAGCAGAAACGTTAGTTTCTAAAATAAATTTCTCACGTCTTTAGATAATCGATCAGATCAAATTTCCCATGAAAACTTTCTATCGTCACTATCAATTACTCAACTACTCTAAAACATCCGAGGTCATGTGTCAATAAATTTTCTTTTTTTTTCATATTTATATATGGAAACATATTGTAAACCTATATCTATTCCAACAGATTCCTTTTGGTGAGTTTTGTAACGCAGAACAAAGAGGAGATCGATGGATTCAAACCAAGATTACTCCATTGTTCATAGTTTCACCCATTCTCAACTTCTTACATATAACTTCAAGATGCTGTATTGTTTAATAATGTCACAAATTCATGTCAGATTAAAAAAAGTTTTCAGTATGAAAATTCAATATTCAAAGAGGATCTGATATTCGCCAACGGCCATACTTGACTAACTTTACTTCATTTCAAAAGTGATCGCCAAACTGGTGTCTCTTCCTCGTGAGACAACGCTAGTATACACCTTGAAATCTAATATTGAAAATTGAAGGTGTGATAAAGTGAAGCCGCTACAAGCAAGCTGTTTCAAATTGAAGAAACAGAATTCATCACGGTGATGATTTATCTGTAAACAATTCTATACCGATACAAATTGTCTTAAAAGCAACAGCTTGTTTCATGGCATGTCAAATGAAAACAAAAATGACGCTACGATTTTCATCTCAAATGACTAGTTTACTCGTCGGCTACGTTGCGCCTAATTGATCAACAAGATGTAAAGAACTATCTTGAAAAATTCGAGATCTCTAAGAAGTATGATCACTGATCAATATCAATTTTGTTTTGATCTTTTGACTCTTCATACATGAAATTGAAAAAGAGAGAACAACATGTATTCTACATCAATTTACAATTGTTGATCTGGCAAATAGATGTGAATAGGTGATGATAGATTACACATGATGTCTTCTTCTTTTCCCACCGTATCATATCATATTATCATTCAACGGACAAGTGCAATGTCATATGCATGTGTGTGTGTGTTCAATCGGTCTGAAGTAATTGAATTATCTCAAAGCAGCAGGTTGAAACGAATTGCTTATCTAAATAAAAATTGACTTATGTCATTTTTGAAGACGAACATTGAGATCATCCGAAATGAGTGACGCAAGAGTTTTCAACTGCCAATATTTCCAATCTAGATACAATTCGTATTGAAAAACTTTTGTATATGAAATTTTAGACAGAATATCTGTCATGATGCGCTAGNGAAATCAATCGTATACAAAAGGTGACAGTTGACATTGATTAAGTCGTATCGAGATTATATATGTAGATTTCATTGAAAAACATCGATCAATAGAAGTCAAAGAGCACAATGCAAAAAAAAAGTTAAGTTAAATCATATCGAATAAGAAGAGATGGGAGGAAAAATGTATTCATGCACATGTGTTTTGATAAGAACAAAGTGAATTTCAATTGAAAGGAAGAGAGTAAGTACAGAGTTGACATGGGTACTAGTAAATGAAAGAAGAGATGAATGCTGACCACTTCGCCTTGTTTCGATGATAAAAGCTCGAGTCGAATGATGAGCCTAGCGAAGAGAAGAGACTCTCAAAAAGAAAACGATGTCCATTAGAAGTATGCAAAACAAATGCCTAATTGAGTTCTTAGGACGGAACTACGACTTGTATTGAATAGACACGAAATAAAGTATGACTAAGACAATCGCCGGAAAAACTTCTTCAAGATAAACTCTTATATTACTGTTTGTTCATTGATTTCTCTTTTTCGAGGTCGTATGTCCGTGTTCCGTTTCTCAACGAGTATGTGCTCATCATCATTAATAAAATATACGTCTGGAAGTCTTCACTCATGTATGAACATGCCGTGTCATTCAACACTAGTCTGATTCTCCTTGTCGATGGACAAGTCTAACGGTTAGCAAAAGAGAGAGAGAGAGAGAAAAGTAACCGTAGACGATTCGTTTCCTTTGCCTTCTTCTTTGTTATGTGTATTTTCCACACTATTCTTTTCAATAAGAGAGTAGACATTATCTTTTTGCATTAATTTTTCTCTTTATTTACTAATCATACCCGAAGATTTGTGTCGTGGAAGCAATTCACTCAGATAGAATGACCGACTATTATTATCACAAAATGAAAAGCATTCTATCCATGCTCAGCTATTCTCTCTTTTACTTCAATTGAACAGATCTATGCATGCATCACCTGCGCAGACAGATAATCGTTGAGTAAAAAAAAACAACAGGAAGGTAATTAAAGAGATCAAAATTGCAACAATCATAATCTTCTCATTTCACTAATGACTAGGGTCATTATTTGATGATGAGACTCTCCGTTTTTCCCTCAAGCGGATTTAAGCTTTATAGTTCTTTTCGTCTTCGACGTCACGTTTGTTTTTATCCTCGATACTTCTGACCTTGTCTCTTGTTGAATACAAATGAGATCAAGATCATAACAGGCTTGAACGAGCGCAAGTTTGTTTTTCATTTCTTCACTCTCGTCTTTGTTTTGCTTTTTTCGTATCCACTCCAATTTGTACTTCAGCTATATTTGACAAACGACGGGGATGATCAGAAAAGGTTACAGTCATGCTGTGTGCTGTTCACTTGACCTTCGATACTGATACTTGATTCGTAGTCAATACCTGCCCGAATACAGATGAGAATGATTTTCTTTCTGAAGTAGAGAAAGTGATTGATATTTGATTAGTCAATTGTTGCCATATCGCTCATTTCAATCTCGTTCGAATTTATTGTCCGTTTAATCAAGTAAGACTTTACTCTATTCATGATCATCGGGGTCAGTTGTTCTTCGTGTCGAGGAGAGTACAAAAACGAGTAACTTGAAGTAGCAGCATGCAACTCTTTACTCTCGATAAACATCTGTTGTCTACAAACATC